AGCTCTTCGGCCGCCTCCCATCGGCCTTGATTCCAGTACGTCGACGCTAGGTCGGCTATACTGTGTAGCGTGTCTGGATGGTCGGCTCCGAGCTTCTTCTTACGAGTCTCCATCACTTGTACCTGCAGCTCTTCGGCCTCCTTCCATCGGCCTTGATTCCTGTACGTCGACGCCAGGTAGGCCATGCTGGTCAGCGTTGAATGATGCTCTGGGCCCAGCTCCTTCTCTTCTATCTCGAGGGCCTGGGAATAAGCGACCTCTGCCTCACTCCATCGTCCGTCGGCGTCGAGGCACGTTCCATATCTCCGTTGGAGATCTGTCCGCTTCTTCGAATCCTTCTGAAGGAGGCCAGACTGTAGTATAAAGCGCACGTGCGGCAGGTATGCCCTCCATTTGCTCCTGTTGGTGTGGGTGTTGTCGGGAAAAACTTCCTCTAGTCGTACGACTGCTTTGTCTTTCCACTGGACCAGTTGATCGTTCTCTTGAAGCCAGTTTCGAGTAGCTATATGTACTAACCGATGAAGATCGACAGTAAGATCTGTTGGACGTTTACTAATAAATGAATAGGCGTGAAGCGTCCCGATAGCGTCTATCTCCTTCTTGCGAGATGGGCCAGGTGGAAAAAAACTCTGCGGGATATCTTTTGGCTCAATACATGCCATTAAAGATAAGTAGTCTGCTGCCAAAGAATCGTGCTGCTGAATTCGCTCGAACGATATCAGCCATGTTGTGGCCACTGGGTTCTTGATATTGCGGTATCTGCCGTCATCTTCAAAGTCTTCGCTCAGAAGTTCAATTATAGACGTATCCTGCTCATCAAGTAAGGAAAGATAGTCGGTAATCGAGGTGTCGTTCGCATTAATATACGCTGCCGCCTGAACAATGGCGAGCGGCAGGTAAGTCAGCTGTGTGACTAAGGCTTCAGTATCTGTTTGGCAGGCCGCTACATCGTGTCCGATCAAGCATTTCTGTAATAGCTCCGAAGCCACCTCTGCGTTCATTTCTTGGACTTTTACCAAATTCTGAGACGCCAGCTTGGTAGCAACCTTCCTATCTCGCGTAGTAAAGAGGATGCTTCCTTGCCTGCTCTTTGGAAGGTAGTCGAGGAGACGGATAGATTGTCTCTCGGCTGGTTTCCCCATCCACATATCCATGTCGTCGGCGTTGTCAAACACCACCAGCCACTGGCCCGCGCCTTCGTTGCTGAGGTAGTTCTGAACTAGACGTCTTACGTCCGCTCCTTGCTTGTCTCTTCCAGGTATATCCAACTCTTCGGCGACTGCCGAGAACGCCTGAAGAAGGGTTTCGGGATCGGTAGCGGGAATCCAAATTACTGAGCAGTCACTCTGTTTCTCCATGGTCCGATAGACAGTCTCGATCGCTAATTGCGTCTTCCCTACGCCTCCAAGTCCTGTAATTGCGATCTTTACGGTTTGGCCATGTTGGAAAAGTAGCTTTTCAATTCTAGAAAGCTCGGATTCGCGACCGGTGAAGCGAAGATTGCGCTCGAAGGGGATAGTACGTGATAGCTTTTCGTCTAAACAATGGAGCACATTAGCAAATGGAGGTGCAAAATAGATAGCAAAGACTTACATGACCGCGATTTATGCTTAGAGTCCTTGATCTCTCGTCGCAGCCTTCTCATTGCATTCTCTTTGCCTTCGCTATATATAAGTGGCAAGAAAACATCGAAAATTCCAAGGAGACAGTATGCCATGTCCTCCTCCTCGGTCGTTTTCCGCTTCTCTATCCATCGAAACTTCTCCTCGACGCTGAAACCATGGAGTGGACGGCCCTGGAGTGCCTCTAGAGCGATTCCTGTTTTCTCGCAGATATGCCGTTCGAGTGACTTTCTATCACCTAGTCGGACGTGATCTCGGGAGTAGAATTCAACTATTTTCGGCGCGAGAAGCTCTTGGAGTGTCCATCCTCGTTCGAACCATCGGCTATTGCGCATAGAAGACTCCCACTCGATATGAGTAGCCTGCCCATCCTGCGTGCGTACAGAAACGTCTGAGAGATAGACGTAGCATCGCGTCGCATTCTGGTACCAGCGAAACATAGAGTTGATTGCCTTCGTAAGTTCGTGGGTATCCGACTTATCGATGCAGCATGTGTCCACCCAGAAATAGGATAGACTGTCGGACTTGGCTTGGTCTCCGCAGAATACCAGCTTCTGGTATCCAGCCTTATTCTTCCCAGTACCGTCCACGACGTCCTTGAATGTGACTTCATCGCTGTCGCTTCCCCATGTATGAGAAAGTATGGCGTAAGGAGGGGTCGTGGTTCCAAAGGTCTCCAGGATGAACCCGCCGTTGCCGTTGAGCTTTAAGAGGCGCATCGTTGGCCGCAGTAATCGTCAATATTAAGGAATCATGACGGCTGCTCTGGAATATTCGAACGACATATTAGCTGAATCGTAGACGCATTAAAAAGGACTGCGATGAACAATGTGACGAGGCGCAAGGCTGTGCAGGAGCTTTCGGAAACGCAAAGCCAAGCTGCACCAAGACCAGCTGATATCGAGAGAGCTGTGGTTTGGCGACGCAGATAATTTGCGACCCCTCTCCATCATCTCGTACATGTTTAACATCATTGGGGTTGGTTGGCATATAACGTCGATAAGTCGATGATCCACACGGCTGACTTCCGTTCAAGATCGTCTCAGCTGGAGGTCATCGAAAAGCATGGATGTGCGGCTGGTCGTTCAAATTCATGTCTCTATTAAGTTAACTGACCTTTTAGGTTGCCGCTCTAGTCCCATCTCCTGTAACGCTCGTCCCTTTGCACAGGGACACTCCGCATCACCCAAGAGTGTTGGTCTGCCAAGGCCATAGAGGATTAGAGAGTCTGCTTGACAGCGGCAACTTAGGACAAATACTCGTGTATTATTAATCCCTTGCCTATTCGGATCGCTAAAAGTGGAAGTTTGATCGACTGCAAGTACGTACCGACCTGCGTGGAAGAAATGTTTGAAATTGCTTTTAACACAACGTATACTTTGGACGAAGGCTTTCTAGCATTATGATCGGTTTTGATGACTTGGACTGATTCTTTTTATATCTTTTTTAAAGGAAAAGAAGATGATAGTGGCGTTAAAGCATGGAAATACTGTCGCGGTATCCAAGATGCACTTCGTGTACTCTGCGGAAATCAGCTAACTAGCAGCCAAGCTTTTGAATATGAACTTAAGATAGGCACAGTTCGGTGTGTTGGAAAATAGCTGAAGAGCGCAATTTACATAGGATTACGGAGTATAAGAATTGTAATATGTGTAGACTGTGGAGACTGAGTAGGTTTGAAGTCAAAGTACCTCAGATTCGTTCCAGCACGGCGGGTGTCCCATCACGCAGGGGGAAGTTACATGACTGTGCACAAGGCGATCAGCGCCCGAATTGCATCAGGTCCTCCTTAGTGTTCTAACTTCTAAGGTGCTACAGAACAGCTCTACTTTGTGCTGTACATTGGGTGAGGATAAATTGCCTCAGGAGTGCCATCGGAGGTGTGGCTGAAAATATGTGAAATGTCAAATGTGGCTCCGCTCCGAGCCCGGAGCGCCACAGCAGCGCCCAGGCAGCGACAGGCCACGGCAGCCCCTGCCAGTTGAGGCTTGGCGGGTGTGGCGATTTTGTTCTCCTGTGGTGTTCAGTCTTGTTAGCGGCGCGTTCCATCCGCAGCTACGACAAGCCATTGACTTTCATCTCATTGCGTCGATCTGGCCTCGACTTTCTCTTCCATTCGGAACTTTTGCACTGTCCACATGTCCTAATTCCTAATCCTTCACCCCGTTCTTCTGGCACGATGCCACTCATCGACAGTCCCCAGATCAAAGCCGCGAGCCTCCACAATCCGCTTCCGATCGGACTGCACGCTTATGTCTGGCCGTTCTTGATCATCTGGCCCGCGTTCTTTGCGCTGTGGCTCAACGAGGATTTCTATGACGAATATATTGAGGCTTCGGAATGGAGCTTTGTTTGGATAGGCTCCATCTTCTCGATCCAGGCCCTGGTTTGGCTGACCACCAAATGGGATGTTAACACCAAGGCCCTCTTCACCTCGACCTCCGCAAAGGATGTGCGGACTGCCGCCTTGATCAAGGTCATCCCGATAGCGAATGCTGGGTCGGCTGAGATATGTACTCTCAAGAGGGACAGTGTTGGTGGAAAGCAAAATTTATCCTTCATTTTCCAGAAACGTCGTTTCCTCTACCGTACCGAAACGGGCGACTTCGCTCCTCTGTCCTTCGCCGTCGATTCGGAGCCCAAACCACAACTACAGGTGTTCCAAGAATGTCAAGGGCTTCGCACCGAGGCGGATATCAGGAGATTGCAAGAGCATTATGGAGACAATACATTTGATATTCCGGTGCCAACGTTCACGGAGCTTTTCCAAGAACACGCCGTTGCGCCGTTCTTCGTCTTCCAAATCTTCTGCGTCGGACTCTGGATGCTTGACGAATACTGGTACTACTCGCTTTTCACCCTGTTCATGCTGGTGACATTCGAGAGCACGGTCGTCTGGCAGAGGCAACGTACCCTGAGTGAATTCCGGGGCATGAACATCAAACCCTACAATCTTTATGTGTACCGGAAAGGGAAATGGGCGGAAATCCAGAGCGACAAGCTGCTACCTGGGGACTTGGTCTCGGCGGGAAGGACAAAAGAAGACAGCGGGGTCGCCTGTGACATGATTCTGGTCGAAGGCACCGCCATTGTCAATGAAGCCATGTTGTCCGGGGAGAGCACGCCGATTCTGAAGGACTCCATCCAGCTTCGTCCGGGCAACGCTCGCGTAGAACCGGAGGGTTTGGACAAGAACTCATTTCTTTACGGCGGAACAAAAGTACTCCAGGTCGCCCACGGAACTCAATCCGACGACGGCACGGAGGCGACTGAGAAGCCGAAATCCGGGGTTCCTCGCCCTCCAGACAATGGTGCAATGGCTGTTGTCGTCAAGACAGGTTTCGAGACCAACCAAGGCGCTCTTGTCCGTACGATGATCTTCTCTACCGAACGGGTGTCCGCGAACAACGTCGAAGCCCTGCTATTCATTCTCTTCCTCCTCATGTTTGCCCTTGCCGCTTCATGGTATGTCTGGAACGAGGGTGTTGTCAGGGACCGCAAGCGCACCAAGCTTCTACTCGATTGCGTTTTGATTATCACCAGCGTGGTCCCCCCAGAGCTGCCCATGGAACTGAGTTTGGCGGTCAACACCAGTCTTGCCGCTCTGAGCAAGTATGCGATCTTCTGCACCGAGCCGTTCCGCATCCCATTCGCTGGTCGTGTTGATGTCGCTTGCTTCGACAAGACCGGTACGCTTACTGGAGAGGACCTTGTCGTTGATGGAGTAGCTGGACTCGAATTAGGCAAGGCAGGAGTGAAGTGCGAATCGGACGGGGCGCAGACTCGACTTGTTCCAACGATCGATGCCGGACCTGAAACCACCCTTGTCCTTGCCACTGCGCATGCACTGGTGAAGCTCGACGATGGAGAGATGGCAGGTGAACCCATGGAACAGGCCACTCTCGCATCCCTTGGATGGTTATTGGGGAAGAACGACACGCTTTCCAGCAAAGTCAAGACCGCAGCGCATGGTTCGGGATATGCCACGCATGCAGACACGGCCCAGATCAAACGGCGATTCCAGTTCTCATCTGCTCTTAAGCGACAAAGCTCTGTCGCCACTGTGGTCACGACAAGTCGGAAGACGGGTAAGAGGGCGAAGTCGACATTTGCGGCTGTGAAGGGTGCCCCAGAAACGATTCGGGACATGCTGGTTGACATCCCTCCCAAGTATGAGGAGACCTTCAAGTACTTCACTCGAAACGGAGGCCGCGTGTTGGCGCTGGGATACAAATACCTGAGCCAGGATGGCGAGATCGGCCAGAGCCGGATCAACCACTTGAAGAGGGAAGAAGTAGAATGCGATCTGCATTTTGCGGGGTTCCTCGTCCTACAAACACCCCTAAAAGACGACGCGGTGAAGTCGATCCGAATGTTGAACGAAAGTAGCCACCGCTGCATCATGATTACCGGCGACAACCCCCTTACGGCAGTACATGTTGCGAAGCAAGTCGAGATCGTGGATCGCGACACCTTGATCCTCGACGCGCCAGAGCATGACAATAGCGGCAAATACCTGGTTTGGCGTAGTACCGACGATAAGGTCAACATCCCTGTCGATCCAACCCTGCCTCTTGACCCGGAGATCCTGAGGACCAAGGATCTCTGCGTGACGGGTTACGCGTTGGCGAAGCTCCAGGACCAGAAGGCATGGCCGCAAATCCTACGGCATACCTGGGTCTACGCCCGTGTTTCCCCCAAGCAGAAGGAAGACATTCTTCTGGGCCTCAAAGACCAAGGGTATACCACGCTGATGTGCGGTGACGGTACGAACGATGTCGGAGCTCTGAAGCAGGCGCACGTTGGCGTGGCGCTGCTGAACGGCACCAAACAGGATTTGGCGAAGATTGGCGATCACTTCCGGAACACCAAGATGAAGGAAATCTACGAGAAGCAGGTTACCCTCATGAAGCGCTTCAACCAACCTGCGCCGCCGGTCCCCGTCCTCATCGCGCACCTGTATCCTCCCGGCCCCTTGAATCCTCATTATGAGAAGGCCATCCTGCGAGAGGCCGCCAAAAAGGAAGGACAGGCGAACGGGGCCATTGCGGCGCCAGCCGATACTACTGTGGCCAGGAATTCAGACGAACCGGAGCAGCCCGCGACGCAAGCCAGCATGAAAAACATGGTCGATCAATGGCAAAAGACCATGATGGAAACCGAACTGGACGAGAACGAACCCCCGACCATCAAGCTTGGCGACGCGTCCTGTGCAGCCCCGTTCACGAGCAAGCTGTCGAACGTTATCGCCATTCCCAACATCATTCGACAAGGGCGATGCACATTGGTGGCTACGATTCAGATGTACAAGATCCTCGCGCTGAACTGTTTGATCAGCGCATACAGTCTAAGCGTGCTGTATCTGGATGGCATCAAGTTCGGGGATGGTCAGGTGACGATCAGCGGGATGATGATGAGCGTGTGTTTCCTGTCTATCTCGAGAGCGAAGGTAAGTCGACTGCGCCATGGTTGGTTTGGGCGTGAGTGCTAATTCATTTGCAGTCGGTCGACAAGCTCTCCAAAGAGCGGCCACAGAACAACATCTTCAACCCATATATCGTTGGCTCTGTCCTTGGGCAATTTGCGATCCATATCGTGACATTGATCTACATCTCGCAATATGTGCAGCGGACCGAACCGTAAGTCACTACGAAAGTTAGCATCCGTTCGGGCCATTTACTGACCGTCTCTGCAGAAAAGACCTGGATATCGACCTTGAGGGCGAATTCGAGCCGTCCCTCCTCAACAGCGCCATCTACCTCCTCCAGCTCATCCAGCAAATCTCCACCTTCGCCATCAACTACCAAGGCCGCCCCTTCCGCGAATCCATCCGCGAGAACCGTGGCATGTACTGGGGCATCATCCTCGTCGCCGCCGTCGCCTTCTCGTGCGCGACGGAGTTCATCCCGGAGATCAACGAGAAGCTGCGGCTGGTCCCGTTCACGAGCGAGTTCAAGCTCGTCATGACGACCACGATGGTGGTGGACTACGCGGGGTGCTGGATCATCGAGTTCGTGCTCAAGCGGCTGTTCAGCGACTATCGGCCGAAGGACATCGCGGTGCGGCGGGCGGATCAACTGGAGCGGGAGGAGCGGAGGAATCGGGAGGAGGAGGCGGAGGCGGAGCGGTTGAGGGAGGAGCGGGGAGCGAAATAAATAACGTGCCAGAGATAGATTTGCATTCCCGATCGATGGGGAGAAGGGTAGATTGTTACTGCTTAGACTATCTAAATTATCTGTATTACCACACGCTTGCACAGCAACTGTATTACATGGATTAAAACGAACTGTTGGAGAAGGAATGCTAGATGTGATTCTGTGAATGGTTCCAATCAACCGTAAGGATCGACCGTTGAGTTCTGCATCCAAGACACTCTCCGTGCACTTGATTCTTGGAGTCTCTGATATGAAGTATGTTCCCGTCTGTATGTATTACATGTACACTGTCCGATGTTGGTGAGCGCGGGATAAGATTCAGAAGGTGATACAGCGTGCCACAGGGTGGGGGCACCAGGAGCCTGCCAAGCACCATGGGACGAATCCAGGAAACAAGCGGGGCCAATGGTCGGGGGGTCCAGGGGGTCGGGCCCAAACAGACCCCCGCCCAACCCTGGGCCGAGCGAATGAGCCGCATTCAGGGAACCGCTGATTGGGCGGGTCGGCGCATGATGACGCCAATTCACCAACACGCGCCTGCAATCAGGCAAGCCCCCGGGCGGCCCTTGCCTCAATTTCCGCGACGGTAATTCGCTACCTCAGGCTGGACTGCTGGTGGGAGCGTGGGAATTGGGAGCGTGGGAATTGGGAGCGTGACGATGTCGGTTCACTTTCTTGGAGGTGAACAAACCTATTACGCACGAAACCTGTTTGACTTCCACTTCTTCACGTATACCCTCTGATTCCTGGTTGCTGGTTGCTGGTTGATCGGTGATGTAGCGATGCTTTTTGCGACCTTTCTTCTATGATTATTCCACTTCTTCCTTTAGTCGGTTCTTTATCTTCGTCTACTACACCTCTGACCTCATCCCCGTACTAGTCTTGCATTTCGGATCGACAGCACCCCTCCCTTGCCATTACCTCGCGTTTACATCCTTCTATTGTTGCTCTACGAGATTCGCTCTTCATGACAGCTCTGGAAGTATCGACTTAGCTGTACACCATCCGACCCATAGCAAGAGATATCCAGAGCCGCCCTCCTGAATCCCGCGTCCTCGCCATCCTCCTAGTATAGCTCCTCTCCCCGCCAACGGCTGCGCATCGGTATCTCACCCGACATGGCGGATACACCTGAAAGTACGTCCACCTCTTTGGCGAATCCCTTCACATCGGGCGGCGGTCAAGGTCAAGAGAAGGAGAACATTTCCTTTGCTGCGTTCGTCGCGTCGCTCGCCACCGCCCTTGTGGTCTTTTCCATCGAATTGCTGGCCTTTTTTATCCTCAAAGGGCGCTTCGCAAGAATCTAGTATGTATCTCTATAGGTGGTTATTCAGGAGATGATGCCTAACAATACACCAGTGCGCCGAGAACATTTCTCGTTCCGAAACGAGAACGAATAGCGGCAGCCCCATCGGGACTGATACGATGGATCATACCAGTCCTCAAAACCTCCAACTCGGAATTCATCCACAAATGCGGCCTCGACGCATATCTCTTCCTACGATATCTGCGGATGCTTCTGAAGATATTCCTTCCCCTCGCTCTAGTCATCCTCCCCATCCTTCTACCGCTCAACAGCATCGGTACCCACACCGAAAACACTTCTGGGATGGACCTCTTTGGCTGGCAGAATGTTGGCCGGACCGAATACAAACGATTCTGGGCCCACCTGTGCCTTGCCATTCTCGTCATTATTTACGTCTGTTACACCTTCTATGACGAGCTGCGGAAATATGTTCGGCTGCGCCAAGCGTATTTGACGTCCCCGCAGCATCGGTTACGGGCGTCGGCTACAACGGTTCTCGTCAGCAATATCCCTCACAAGTGGCTCACCGAGGATGCTCTGGGCGCCCTGTACGATGTGTTCCCAGGAGGCGTCCGTAACATCTGGATCAATCGGAACTTCGACGAACTATCGGAAAAGGTGGCCATGCGTGACAAGTATGCGAAGATCCTGGAGTCCGCCGAGACGGTCTTGATCCAGACTTGCGTGAAGAAGCACGCCAAAATAAAGGCAAAGGAGCTGAAGGCCGCCGGCGTGAAGAGGTCCCGATCGCAGAGGAAGCGCGATCGCGAGGCCGAAGATGCACAGGAACAACGAGCCGCGACTCATAGCGAGGGTATCAGTGCCGGAAACCCGCATCAGATCCCAGAATCCATCGAAGACGCCGTGCGGGACGGTATGCTGGATCCGGGCGAACAGAAGACGGAAAAAGAACGCAAACTGAAGGCTGTGCCGGTTATTGGCGAAGGGCTTAACGCCATTGGGCGTGGGTTTGAAACGGTCGGGCGTGGATTCGGCAAAGCGGGCGGTGTCGTCTTCGCAGGTCTAAAACGCGGGGGAAAAGGACCAACAAATGCTGAGGACAACCCCTATCGAGAATCCTATGACCTGGATGATGAGGGTTATTCCGTACGATATGCCTCGTCTGATCGCCCTTTGAGATCTCAGGATGGCTCGGATCCACATCGTGACGGCTTGGGACAAGATGGCGTTGATGAGCCGGAAAAGCAGGGCCGTCCGTCGGAAGCCACTGTGGTCGATCCGCATGCCGACGCCTCTGATTTTGGTACGCATGCAAGGGCACCGACAAGGACTAATCCGAGTTTGAACGAGAAGGATCTGCCCAAGACGACGATGAAGCGACGAGTCACGACATATCCAACGGCCTACGATGCTCTTTACGATCCCACCGATCACCCGGAGGTCGACATCGACGCCGCATGGAGGAAGTACCTGAAACCCAAAGACCGCGAGACGATGCGACTTCCCTTGTTCAACAAGACGTGGTGCCCGTCCATCCCTCTCCTGGGCAAGAAAGTCGATACCATCTACTACGCCCGCCGGCGACTGGCACAATTAAACGCCGAGATCGAAAAGGATCAGCAACACCCGGAGGACTTTCCCAAGATGAGTTCCGCTTTCATCCAGTTCAATCATCAAGTCGCCGCACATATGGCTTGTCAAGCGCTTAGCCACCACATCCCGAAACATATGGCTCCCCGCGTGGTCGAGATTGCTCCCAAAGATGTCATATGGGACAACCTGAGCGTGAAGTGGTGGGAGGGGATGATCCGAACCGGCATCGTCATCGTCTCGATTGTTGGGATTATCATCGCCTGGGCGTTGCCCATTTCCGTGACCGGTCTGTTGTCGCAAGTCAACTACCTCACCGAAACCTTCAAATTCCTGAATTGGATGAACGATCTGCCGAAAACCGTTATTTCCATCATCCAAGGTATCCTCCCGCCGCTGTTCTTGGCGATCCTCCTCGCGCTATTGCCCGTCATCCTTCGTCTACTCGCCCGCCTCCAAGGCATCCAGACCGGGATGCAGATCGAGCAGACGGTCCAGAACTATTACTTCGCATTCTTGTTTATCCAAGTCTTCCTGATCGTTTCTATCTCGTCCAGCATCGGTGCCACGGTCGAGGCCCTGATATCGAATCCGCTGTCGGTTCCGCAAACCCTAGCGAGCAACTTGCCGAAGTCGTCCAACTACTTCTTCTCCTACATGATCCTCCAAGCATTGACTGTCAGCGCTGGTGCGCTGATGCAAATCGGCGGGCTCATACAATTCTTTCTGCTTGCCCCGATCCTCGATTCCACCGCACGACAGAAATGGCAGAGGCAACTCCAGTTAACCAAGGTACCCTGGGGAACGTTCTTCCCCGTCTATACCAATCTTGCTGCCATTGGTGAGTTTCGCTTTCCAATCCCGACGCCGTATGGAACTAACTGATACAGGAATCATCTATTCCGTCATCTCTCCGCTCATTCTCGTGTTCAACATCATCACGTTCAGCCTGTTCTGGATTGTGTACCGCTACCAGACGTTGTACGTCTTCCGCTTCGAACTCGATACCGGCGGCCTACTTTTCCCTCGTGCGGTCAATCAGCTCTTCACCGGTGTCTACGTCATGGAACTGTGCCTCGTCGGTCTTTTCCTTCTTGCACAGACCCCAGATAATAATCCTGCTTGCCTTCCTCAGGCGATCATCATGGTCGTGTTCCTGGCCCTCACGATCCTCTACCAGTATCTCCTAAATGATGCGTTTGGGCCGTTATTCCGATATATACCGATCACCATGGAAGATGATGCGGTTCGACGTGATGAGGAGTTTGAGCGTGCCAACGGTCAGCGCTGGGAGCTGGATGTGGACGAAACCGTAGAGGACAACATCCAAGTCGTCTTGGAACAGCGTGAAAGGAATGAGGAGCAGGAAGATAAGGCTGCGGAAGCGATCGAGCTTGCTCAGATCGAGAAAAGAAAGTCGGGCCACACTCTCGACCCACTCGGTCGTCCCATTTCACTGTCTCCTGGTGAATATGACGGGCATGACGAGAAAGAGACGGGTGGCGTCAGCTCGCACCCCGACGGCCCGCGGAATACCACCTCTAAGCCTTTCAAACCCACCACCTGGGGATCGCACCCGACTCGCAAGTCTTGGGCCGATCGGTCCGACCCGCAAAACCGTCGACTCTCGCACCATGCCGAGACCGCCCAGATGCCGGCCTTCCTCGGCCGCCGCCCCCGCGGCCTCCGCCTCCCCACTCCCCCGAACCCCGACGAGCCCCCCTCCCGCCACGAACCCCCTTCCCGCCGCGGACCTGGCGGTTTCATCGAGGGCGCCATCGACGGCGCCATCGGCGGCACCAACAAAGCCCTCAAAACGGTCCTCGGCAACGACGGCGCCAGCGGACGGCCCCTCGGCACCGGCGCCATCGACATCGAAGCGCAAGGCCCCGACTCGGGCAAGAAGTCGCGCATCGACGCGATCGGCGACCTCATCTACGGCAACTACGACACGGCGTTAGAGGACATGACGCCGGAGGAGCGGGACAAGCTGGTGAACTACGCGTTCCGGCACAAGGCGCTGCGGGCGGTGCGGCCGTGCGTGTGGGTGCCGCGCGACGGGCTGGGGGTGGCGGACGACGAGATCCGGCGCACGCAGCGGCTGAGCCAGGAGTATATCTGGATCAGCAACGAGCGGGCGCGGGTGGACAAGGTGGGGAACGTGCGGTTTGGGGGGGCACCGCCAGATCAAAGCCCGGTGGATATGATTCAGTTGTAGATACCCTTGGAGCGTTACATCGCGACGTTATGAGACATGACTTTGAACGCCGTTCGATGCTGATGGTAATAGTTACATGCTAGGGAACGGTCGTGGATAATAGATCTTCATTACGCATGGCATGTACAGTATGAGCTAGCGATATACCAACGTGAATTCATCAATTAGCGGTCACCATCAGATGTTGAGATTGATTCCGAAAACAATGCGATCTTCATTCTTCCAATGTAGCTCTATGTATACCCTCCCGACACTCCTCCAGACACCTCACCAGCTCATGCAAAGACCCAACTCCTCCAACGCAAAAAACAATCCGGCGACGCTCTAGCAGACTTTTGGCCCACGAGCATCCAGCCCTCCACCAAGAAACGAAAACAAAACTAAACTAAACCACCCCCGCCCGTCGCGCCCCTCAGGTCTTATCCTCAATGTGTCCAACTGTGAGGGTTTCGCCCGGCTCACGGGGATGTTTAACTTTTCGACTTTTTAACTATTGATCGGGGTCTTTGCAAAGCGGCAGAGTTTCTAGGGAAGAGCTTTGGTGGCCATCGCGTTGTGGGGCGACTGCTGCGAGCCTCGCTCAGGGGATCCCACGCCTCTGCCTGGTTTTGGTCTCTGGAAGAGGGGGGGAATGGGAGAAGAGAAAGAGAAAGGAGTGTCGTGGTTGGTTCGGGTGTTATGGAATAGAGGCCGAGTACTCCGGGGTGGTGGTTGTGGTGCGTAGGCAACTCGAGGTTGGCCGTTGGATGTGAGTCTCGGATGACAACACAGTTCGCATCAAGCCTGGTATCGATGGACCCAGTCCATCGCCAAAAGGCGCGGTCCTACTCATACCGAGTCATCGCCAGCATCCCTCCAGGTCGACAACGTCAATCGCAGAGCGGAGATGATATTTCAGCAACGCAGCCCCTCACTTGCATGAACGAGGCCCGATCCCCCTTCCTTTCAGGGATCATCGTAATCCACACACCCATCAAACAACCCCATTACCACCCTCAGCATCGGCTCACACAAACTCCGCTCTTCCCCTAGCTGCCCTCCGAACACACGCACGCACTGCGCATCCACGACAGCCGATGCCGCCACCTCCGCACGCTGGCGGGGATGCTCGACAGTCTCGCGGTCATGCTCGACGCGGAGGCGCGCCTGCCAGGCGGCGTATTGCGCGTGCCAGTGGGTGGGGGGGCGGTGGGCGAAGGCAAAGGGGGAGAGCGGGGGAGAGGGGACGGGGTCGAAGGAGACGGAGTCGAGGGAGTCGAGGGAGGAGGAGCGGCTGGGGCGGCGGTTCCGGGGGCGACTGCGGGTGCGCTTGCGGTTGTGGCGGGAGCCCATTGTGACGGGTTGAGGGATATAAGGTGAAAGACGTGAGGCTAAGGCTTGAGAGAGGGTAGGAAATATGCGGAATGGTCTATTCGCACGGAGACATGATGACGGTGGGGAAATAGGTCATAGGAAATTGGGGGGGAATTTGGAAGGCTTTGAAACCTACAGAAAGGCTTTCTGAACCGATATCAAGAAAGCGGTGTTCATGGCCCTACTTATAACTTACATGGCGTCTTTTTACTCCGAGATAGGAGCCGAGTCAAAGGCGAAAAACCTTCTTGGTGGAGTTGGGCACAGTCACTGACCTGTTGGGCGAAGAAGGGTGAGTCACTGGCGGACGTGTGACTTGACGTTGGAGTTGCGTGACTTTTCCGTGACTGCCTCTCCACTTCTCCACCAATCGCCGGGCTGGAATCCATCTGAAAAACGAATCCGGATGACTGGAATTTGGAAGATTCCTGTGTCTTTTGAAACAATCTTGAGAAACTCGGGCCTTGTTGGGATCGAAAATATTCGGGATGCCGGCAGTGCATGACATAGCCTCGGATTTCGCGGAAATTCCGCCAGATGTTGTCGAAACTGCTATCGGATAGGTGGCTCTGATGCAATATCAAGATGCATAGCCACGCCATCCTGGCTTCGCCCGTGCGCCACTGCCTACAGAGTAGTGAGAGTACGAGGAACAATTGCGGTTTCTGGTGCAACGGATTTGTTTGCCAGGCTGCCTGCATGGTCCATTTTCTAGGAATCACTAACCTATCAAGGTAACAAAGATATCACGATCCTGGCTTAGAGGTGGGACATGAAAGTATGACACAAAAGGGCGTATCCCGCCAACATCGTCCGGTCCCAGTACAGTCGAAACAAAAGCATCCGGTCGTTCTGCCTAGCACATCATTATAGAATACAAGCATGCCACGACTCCTTCACATGCAACCCGCAGTCGCTGTCTCATGAAGATATTCCTTCTGTAATTCTGTTCCATCCCAAGTGCACTTGATAGGACATGGATACTGCTCCTACGCGCAATATCGACTCACTCCTATCTGCTGCCTAGACAGCTTTGGTGACAGGAAACCTTCGATGCTGGCCCGCATCCCTCTGTCTTGTGGGCGGCCTGCTGCCTCATTGTTCATCGACAGGGCTGTGACGGGCAAATTCGAGGCTCTGTTGATCAGGCGAGCCCTTCTCTGCAGGCGGAACCATCGCGAAGCGCTCCCTAGTCCCCATGAACGCAACGGATACGAGCGCTAGTTGCAGCGCAAGGATGGCGACCGTTGCACCGAATGCGAATCTCTAATGCACAGATGAGTCACAGTTCTAAAGAAAGGGGAGGGGTTCATCACGTACGCTCGCCGTACACAACGTGCCGAATCCCTCGTTCGTAAACGTCGCCGGCACAGACAGCTCCTTCGCGATCGCTGGGGTTTGCGACCAGCGACAGGTCCACGATTCGATGGTGTCTACGTCAGGGCTCTTCTGGTTCAGCACCTGGACGAATGCGATGGCAAACACGGACACGACGACGCTGGGGATCGCGGTGGCTGATGCGATGGCGAGGGAAAGTTTGGGTCGGCCGGCAACCTGGAACTGGTAACCTGTCAGTGATCCATGTGATACTACTGTCCAGGTTATACGTACTCTCGGAATCGCCAATGCGAGGAAGTAGACTAAGCCTAGCGCTAGCGACACCGATCCAGACGCAATCAGTGACTTGGTGCCGTTCAAATCGAAATGGTCGGTCCATATCGGTAGCCACCAAGGGTTGTTTTGAGCCTTCTGATCCTTATACTGCTGGAGCGTGTAGGCAGCCGAGCCAATGGTCGCCCCGGCGAGAAGGACCGTCAATGCGGAGATCGCTAGGAGTGTTATCCATAACAAGTTTGCCACGGCCATTTTGGGAAACAAGAGGTCGTAGAAGTTGACGATGCGAAGTTATTAAAGGATTTGGCTAATATGTCAATGGAATCGAAAGTGGCGATTTGTCCAGCTCACAGAACCGGTAGCACGCTCAAGATGATGAATAAAAAATTGGTCTTCAACTAGGAAGCCAAAACGAAGAGACAAACAAAACTCGCTAAAGACAAAACGGAAGCATCTCGAGGGGGTCCTAAGGTCTAATACTTCAATTGCCTCAGATTTTACCCGCCTGAGACACCCAGCCAACCCAACCCGTGGCGTGCGACGGCGCTTAGACGACCACCACAATGAAACTCTGATATGCAGCAGACGTGCAGATAACCTAGACGCCATGCTGAAAACAGCCATTGCAACATCGCCCGTCCGCGACAGCGCGCCGAACGAGCGCCCTACCCAGAGAGAGGTGAAGGTATTGTGTACGCCCCTGAGCGCTGAACCAACCCTCCGGCACGGGCAGCCCAACTAAAACGCTTGAACAGTGTGAAGATTCCCCTGATGGATTCCGATTGGCCGTGTCATGCAGTTGCGGTTTCCAAGCATTTAAGGTCGATCTCCTCGGGGCGTTTGTGAGATGGAATGTTGGAGGATTGATTCGCGGAGTGGGAAGTTAAGCGCTGAGGGGGCTTCTTAGAGCTCGCACTAGGCGCTTTGATAGGCGTGTTCGCGGCAGCCACGATTCCACGACCTGACGTCTAAACCCCATGGAATAGTTCAAAGATAGTATCGGAGCGAGGTGAAGGTTATTGAATATGTATATTTGGATAAGTAGGGGTGTGAAGTTGAACTTTAGCTGAGGTCATTCTAGTCGCTGGCGATATCACAGAAGTACTCGCGGATGGAGAGGTTGTATTCAGTACGAGGATAGCAAGTCGATACCATGGATAGAAACTTTAAAGGGACCGGTATAAGCTAATAATAGCCTCTTGACAGAGCCGGTCCCTTGCGAAGAGGCATGTTGTGTAGCCGTCCAGCGCTAACTCGCATACCCCCTCTTGGAAGGGTTCACAACGCCCTCTTCAGACGGGACATGAACGAGATCGAGGTATCTTTCGCCTTACCCGTTATTCTAGCCATAGGATGTTCCAATTCCCACCGTGCATCGTCCCTAAACGCATGGACCGCCGCGTCGAGGTCATAGTCGTGCTGCGTCATATATAACACCGCAATATCATACCTATGCGCCGGGGCGACACTTTCGTCAGTCACCACCTTGTGGACCCGACCATACAGCGGCGGAAAAGCTAGGGACCTACTCAGCGACCTTGCAGGCGACCATCCAGCGCCGGATCTTCGCTTTACGCGCCTCCGCTGCCTCGCCGTCGATGGGCCGCGGACTGAGGCTCACGCCCCCTTTGTAGAATTCGCCAGGAATCAGCAGGGTCCGTCGAGCGATGAGCAGGTGGTCGGAATACAGCCCGTTTGCTCGTCGGAGGGCTTGGATTGGGACGTTGTATTGTAAGGACAATGAAGACATCGAGTCTCGATCCGCGTTTATGAAGTGGAGTACATCTGGTGCAGGCGCAGCGTCTTTCGCGTCGCCAACTTGGACACCTTCAGGATTTATGTAAGGCGGAGGAAGCTCATCGTCAATGTCTGTCGCAGTCAGACTCGGTGGAGAGTACGCAGGAGGATCCGAAAGGTCGAGTGACGGTGACGGCGCAGCAGTCGAAGTTTGACAGTACGGACAGTACTGCGCAAATCGCGGGTTGTCAGTGATACATCGCGAACATATTACCCGGCCGCAGCATCCCAGCCGCCGTTCATGCTGTGCCGGCTTCTCCGTCTTCTCATCGTATGTCGGAGGGATAGAGGATAGGAAGGCGGCGCAGGTACAACAGGACTCTTCAAGAGACATCGCTCGGGAACGTATCAAGGAAGCCAGATATTACATAATAGCCGTCACTTGTGCCGATGAATCGAATCCACCGCACTGCAGCTAAGAAGATAAAGGATATGCGAAGATATAGTCGGTTGGACTTCTCGATCCTCCCCAGGTGCTGCTATAATCGATGAGACAGGAGTGGAACAGGAAAGCAACGTAAGGCACCAACATTGTTTATACCTGAGGCACCTCTACTTTGTACCACCCAATATTCATGCCTTAGGCAACTTCGCGAAGTCTTGGCGGCTCGCTTCTCGCACTCAAATTTCCCGTCTCTACTTCTTCTCCTGTTCCAAACTTCCATCTGATTTTTAACATTCACAAACTTCAAAACTAATACAGAGGTAAGATTATGATATCCTCCCTTCAAGTGGCCAGGCATGGAAATCGCTCTTCGGCCAATATCTGGTCGTCAGCGATACTCTATGTCCCTTGATCAGAGTTGATGAACCCATTCAAATGCTCTGGCAATGGGTACTCTTCACGCTCTGGGCTACAGGACACTAACTGGACCTGATTTCAGATACCTCAAATAGCCTACGTGCCTTTGAGAATCTCCGCGTCCAACCGACACCATGACTCGCACCTCCGTCCTCAACGATTGCTTGAACGCCATCAACAATGCCGAGAAGTCGGGAAAGCGCCAGGTCCTGATCCGACCGAGCTCGAAGGTCATCGTCAAGTTCCTGCGCGTCATGCAGAAGCATGGTACGTTGTTACGATTTTCCCTTCCACCCTTCCCCCCACCCGGTTGATAACTAGGCGCTTGGTCGATTAAATGGCTATTCGCCCTTTAAGTTCCGGGGAGATTGACTTTGCGACATCTCACACTGTGTGCCGACTACGATTCGGCACGTTTGTTTAATATGTCGAAACATGCTGACTGTTTCCAGGCTACATTGGCGAGTTCGAGGAGATTGACGACCACCGCAACGGCAAGATCGTGGTCCAGCTCAACGGACGGTATGTTCGGCCTTTCCGATGCGCTTCGTAGTTCGGTCTCGCTAACAGAAGATCCAGCATCAACAAGACCGGCTGCATCAGCCCGCGATACAACGTCCAGCTCAAAGACCTCGAGAAGTGGGTCGTCCAGCTTCTGCCGTCGCGTCAATTCGGCTTCATTGTCCTCACCACCTCGGCTGGGATCATGGACCACGAGGAGGCCAGGCGAAAGCATGTCGCGGGCAAGATCATCGGCTTCTTCTACTAAGCGATACCATGGGTTCTCAGCACTGTTGTTGTGTCCCAGCGGAAGGTGTATGGAACGGTTTGAGCACATGCAGCGGACCTGACGTACCTTGAAGCATCCCAAAAGTTCTTGAAGCGATGCTATTCATAGATCAATCAAAAGAGCTTGTTGAAGCATAAATCGTTTGAATATTGAGTGAGGAATGTGATCTCTGCTGTGGTGATATATCCAGTCGCTTCCTTTTGAAAGAAATGAGAACGCAGCCCAGGAAAACCTATAATAGATGATTGGTGGGTTGTAGACACCGTATTGTATAGTAAAGGGTTGTGGGTTGTCTAGGTGGTGCATGGTCCTGTGACTGGTGACATGATTCTTAGTGTGGTCCATAAACTATTGTCTGCTAGGAGATCGTGATATTCAATGGTGGTCTTTCTAGGATGTGCATGGTTCATAGGTACCTACCTTTCTTTCACCACAGCTCGTGAAAGCGGACAAGCGGATTCAAGTCCGAATGGAAATATCATTTTCCCTCAGCGAACTTGAAAACTCGTGTGTCTTGCAGACTCCATGTACTTATACATCCAGCGTTCTAGAGAATCTCCAGCACTTCTCTCTTCATTGCGTTCGTTGGAATATCAAAATATCAAAAACTGCCGTAACCTCGGATCTTCTTTAGTCGCAACTCACAAGTGTAGTATTACCACGATTACTGGGTTCAATCCAACAACATCAATCCAGTTCAGTCTCCAGTTCATTGTACCTCTAGTACCTTTGCGCGAATTCTGCCTCGAAGACAACTAGAAGAAGGATGGTTCTCGAAGTTATCTATATTGTGAGGCACGGTGTACGTATAACGTCCTGGGGGGCCCACCCCCGAGTGAACTATATCTTCTGTCGAATTACACCCTTTCCGAATAATCGTTAACTTCCAAACAGTACCGGTCCAACTGGTCCGTGAACCACGAAACCGGAGTCTATCACTCCTCCGTCCCAACGCCCACGGGGATTCCAGCTGATCCAGCACTATCAAGCTATGGCGTCGACCAGTCCAAGCAGCTCGGCGATAAATTACTTAGCATAGACCCGCCCGTGGATGTCGTCTACTCGTCGCCATGGTACCGTTGTATCCAGACGATCAAACCTGCGATCGACAAATGGGCTGCTGCGGGCGGGGCAAAGAAAGTTCGGGTAGAGAACGGCGTAGGGTCAGTCTTCAGTGTAGTCGGTTTAAGGGCTTCGACGTGTAGCTAATCTAGATTCTAGGGAGTTCTTTGGGGAAGCACGATTCGAGCATCCGTCCCCAGCCCCAGTAGATGAGCTAGAGGTCCACTTCCCAGATATCATGGACCGTTCTTACACTCCTGTTGCGCGTCCGTCTACGAACGGCGAATCTACTATGGGACTGCACAACCGTGCCGCCTACGCATTAGCCCGCATCATCTCCGACCTTGACCGTGATCCGAAGGGACCCAAATCCGTGGTGATCTGCACGCATGCCGCCTTCATCATTGCGGCGGGACGAGCGCTGACGGGTCTGATGCCCGCAGAGCCAGAGGAGCACGATTTCTCCTGTTACACATGCGGTCTGTCGATGTTTGTGAGGCGGACTAATCACCCAACAGAGGCCGGGGTGAAGGCACCGGTCGCGGAGTGGGATCCGAAGGACCCGGAGAACATTCCGGAGCTGGATTGGATAGGGGGGAAAGGAGTTGGCGGAGGGTGGGACTGCGTCCATAATTCGGACTGCAGTTTCCTCAAAGGCGGTGAGGAGAGAGGCTGGTGAGTGATCTTAAGCACGTTTTCCTTTACCCCGTCAAAGTCTATTATTGCGGCCATCTTGTGATCGGAGCGAGATCGCTGTTCAGAGATTTAATCGCGAGCATTAGGGACTTCTCGATGGAGGCCAAGATGGCGGCGAAGCCCGTCGCGATTGTTGCCGAAATTGACCCTTCCATATCTCCTTGATTTTGCCGACTGGCTGGGGACGACACGCTCATACTTCAAACCCATTCAGGCACTTCTCCGGCGACGAATCGTTTCTGCAGGACCCGAACGCTTTTAACGATGCGCAGAACGCGGCGGCGGCGCCAACGGCAGGGAATGTGTTCGTGTATGGGGATGGGGATGCGGGAGTTAGCTGGAAGGGGCCGAAGCTGTAGCAGGGAGTTCGGAGTAACTGGAATCAATAGCATAGACGAGGGAATGATATAATTGACACAATTCATATGCAATACGCTTTTGTATTTTGGCCATGAGTACCCGCGCAGTGACTGATCATAGAAAGAATTTCCCCACGCAATGCTTCTGAAGCACACGAGACGCCCGAAACGTCCATAAGAAGTTATGGAGAGATGACCGCAACCGCAGAGTGAATCCACGGCGCTTCTGCTTCTTCAACCGCATCCTTTGTCCCCTTCGTCCAATCCGACATTTAAGCGGAGGTGATGGCCTTCCTTCGGCGGGCGCCGATCTGTCGGGTGTTCAAGCGTTCCGCGACCGGGGCAGCCTTCTTAACGACCTCGTCGCCCTCAGTGAGGATCATCTCGATGTGGCAGGGGTTTGACATGTAGGGGTTGATCTAAGGACGCATTAGTTTCAACCGTCCATATTGCGCTTGACTGGTTCCAACGTACACGACCGTGAGCACGGTAAGTGCGTCTTCTCTGCTTCGGGGCCTGGTTGACTTGGATGTGCTTGATGATGAGAGCGCTGGTATCGAGGCCTTTGGTATCGGCGTTGGCTTCGGCGTTCTTGAGGAGACCGAGGAGGAACTCGGCCGACTTGGCGGGCCATCGAGCCTTGGAGACACCGAATTGCTTGCCTGTAGAAATGAATCAGCCCTTGGGTCCCATTGAACTCCCACTGGTATTCCAGCGTAGATCCTCCACCATAGGATGCAATTGTACATACCTTGAGCACATCGACCGGTGCTGCCGGCATATCGTCGCATCGGCACGGCCTCCTTGTGTCCAATTACATTCTCAAGGTATTGGAGAGCACGCGGGACCTTCCAGCCATTGATGGCCTGGGCGGTTTCCCGGGTGTTCTTGAAGGAGACGCGGAGGTAGGAGCCTCGCGACTTCGCGGATTTCGCTGAATCGGCCGTCGTTGCGTATCGAACCTATAGAAGACCGGATCAGCGGATGGACGAAGGGATTCGGATAGTCGCGACCGCGTACCATTTTGGCGGAGGTGTCGAGCAACGAGATCGAAGTGTCAGTGTATCGGTAATAGGTGATGTTTGCGTGCCAAATATTGTGATGAAGTGAAAGTGTGCGAGAGCGGGGAAGAACGTTTCGCCGAAGGCGCCGCAGGAAAAATGGTGAACCACTCAGCGAATGATTGGCTGGCCCCTGCAAAAATTAATCACGTGACACATCCCTGCAAGCTCGCCCACCATCTGAAAACTTTTGGAACGCAGAGAAAGTTTGAGCTTGATCTACTTGTGCATCGCTACATTCATCCCCCTAATCATCCCCCTAATCACGCTTCTAACCCACATACCCGAGCGCATAATACTCAGGAGTTAAAGAGGAAGATGGCATTTACACCACGAGGAGGTCGTGGCGACAGCCGTGGCGGCCGTGGCGGGTTCGGTGGTCCTCCCCGCGGTGGACGAGGTGGTGCACGAGGTGGACGAGGTGAGCAATTCTCCAATGGCACTTGAGATCTTCGGGTGCATTAGCTTCTGTTGAAGCTCAATCATCGCCGATTGAGTCGGTTACTGACAGTCTTCAAGGAGGCTTTGGCGGTGGTGACCGAGGCGGATTTGGTGGACGAGGCCGCGGTGGTCCTCGAGGTGGTCGAGGTGCTCCCCGAGGCGGCGATAGAGGTGGCAGAGGAGGACGAGGAGGATTCGGTGGCGCCGGCGCAAAAGGCGGACAGAGAGTGGTCATTGTAAGTGCTTTCCAAAATCTGATAGACCGCGCAATGCTGACAATATTTAAGGAACCGCATAGACATGCCGGCGTGTTCGTCGCACGTGGTAAGGAAGATCTGCTCGTCACGAAGAACATCGCGCCCGGCGAATCGGTCTATGGAGAAAAGCGAATCTCGGTCCAAAACCCGCCCGCAGAAGGCGCAGCAGATGGTGACGCTCCCACGTCCATCGAATATCGTGTCTGGAATCCTTTCCGAAGCAAGTTGGCTGCGGGTATCCTTGGTGGTCTGGCAGACATCCACATGAAGCCCGGCTCCAAGGTCCTCTATCTCGGAGCCGCATCCGGAACGTCCGTCTCTCACGTCGCTGACCTCGTGGGACCCACCGGCGTAGTCTACGCCGTCGAATTCTCTCACCGATCTGGACGAGATCTTATCAACATGGCGACTCACCGAACCAATGTTATCCCCATCGTTGAGGATGCCCGACACCCGCTCCGATACCGCATGCTCGTTTCCATGGTTGACTGCATCTTCGCCGATGTTGCGCAACCCGATCAGGCCCGTATCGTTGCCCTGAACGCTCACTTGTTCCTCAAGGTTGGCGGAGGCGTCGTCGTGTCCATCAAGGCCAACTGCATCGACAGCACGGCCGCGCCGGAGGTTGTGTTCTCCAAAGAAGTCGAGAAGCTAAGGTCAGAGAGGATAAAGCCCAAGGAGCAGCTTACCCTTGAGCCTTTCGAGAGGGACCATGCCATGGTCGTCGGCGTCTACCAGAGAAGTGCTTAGAGCTGTGGCATGTCTCTTCCGTTTCGTATCAGGGGCCTTTGAGGCTACAGTTGTGGACGATGGCGCAATTCAGGGTCTTCAAAACTCCGGGTGGAAGGCGTTTATCGGGGGATGCTGTATTTCCTTCGCAAGAGCTTGTATTGAGGCTTTTTGGGGTTGTTCTCGCTTCGTCCAGGGGTTTTATTTTGGTGGTTGTCTGAAGACTTTGCGTTTTCACTCTCGTATGCAAAGAAACTGTAGCATGTCTTCAAGATCGATCCAGCTTCGCCCTCTCGACGTGAGGATACGCCGAAGGGGTTCAATTCCTTCATACTGAGGGTGATTCAACGCAGCTTTTCAATACACATGCTTTCGATCTGCGAGTTCAAGATAGACGCGATATTTATGGATGGGTAAATTTGTTCTGCATATGTGCCTTGATCCCAGTAATCTTGGACTTGATACATCCACAGAGCGCGGTTAGGAGAGTGGCCATGTCATGCTGCTTCAGCGATCCCCATCATGTCCGGCGACGAGTCGTTTCTTCCCGGATTGAAGTGTAGAAGAACCTTTTCCCGCTGAGCTGCTGTCAGCTCGTGGACAAACAGGATAGTTCAATAGCGAGCCGAGGTTCCCAACCTCTCCTCGATATACTCCGTTATTCGCCTTCCCAGTTACGAGGCTGACGGCGAACTCCTTCAGTCGCGTCACAGCCGGCTGAATGTCTTGGTCGTTTAGGAACATGAGACTTGGAGACTCGGCGTTTGTAAGCCCTTTGGACAGCGGAATATATCCGAGTCCATGTTCAGAATCGTGTGATGCCATCCGAGGATCTCACATAATTATACCGTATTGGGTCTTATCAAGCAGGGTAGTACTATCCATATCCGTGTCGAGAGGACGTTCAGCTGAGGGTTCATTACGGAAAAGCGACAAGGGCCGCCACAGCGGCTGTTGCTTCCCGAGGCATATTCATCTGGGACAAGCATCCGATACTCACTGTTCCCTTGCAAACGGACACTCAAGCGTCAATATTTTTGGCTTCATTGTCGAGAATCTCAAACTTCACGAGACCGGTGTAAGGGGGCAGCCCCGATGGCTTCAAGCTAAACCCCTTTGGGACGAGGAGATCCGAAAGGACAAGATCATGGGAACAGATATCCGAAGTTCAACTCGTCAACTTCATCAATGATATGCCAAATATTTGTCAGCCTCTAGATCGTTGAGCCTTACGTCCTTCTTAAATCCATTTACGAGGTCGAAGGATGTACTTTGATAAGGACATATAGACGGACTTTCGGCGTTGAGCAACCGATCGCTTGTCTAAGACATGGAGTTTAGATCTCTAAACTCCACCTCCACAACTAAACCACAGAAGCTGACTCAATATTAACATTTAACACATGCCCGTATAAGGTGCTATTAGTGTTTACGGGATCGGTATATCTTGGCACTCGGCTATTCCACTGACGATGCCATTGCGGGGGGTTCTGACCCCCACAACTCACCATTCACTCGAGTTCGTCCAGCCGATAGTACCAGACTGCGGAAGGGAAATGGATTTCTTCAATCGAAGCATCTCATTGACCACGAAACTTCAACGAGCGGGACCTCGGTTCACCGAGGAGTGCTTGAGTAGGTTCGGAAATGGTCCTCCATACGGGCCTTCTTTGTTGTATCAAGTTCTTGAGCATTCAATGTCGCGGTTGATATAAAGGTTCGCCCATAGCTGCCAGACGAGTTATCTCGGTCTTCACTGTGTCAAACCATTTCCAGCGCTCTCACAGTCCTGCATGTACTATCCCTTTCAGTTACAGAAAGTCCTTCAGTTCTAGCTCACTTTCCCATGTCGTCCCCCAATACTAGACTGCAAGCTATTGCAGCCACCATTCCCATACCTAGTCCCTCGGACTCCCATGGCCCTTCAATGGCTGATATGGAAGTTCCCGATCGACCGCAATGTGACCCCGACCCGATCAGGATCATTCACGTCGGAGCTGGAGCCAGTGGACTTCTCTTCGCCTACAAGGCGCGGAAATGGCTCCAGAAGTACAGCTTGACCTGCTACGAACGCAACCCAGTCCCTGGCGGTACCTGGTGGGTCAACCGATATCCCGGTTGCGCATGCGATATCCCTGCCCACACGTACACATTCCCTTTCGACGCGAACCCCGAGTGGTCGGGCTATTACGCAGGCGCAGACGAGATCCAGGAGTACATGGTGCGGTTCTACGAGAAGCATGAGTTGCAGCCGTACATGAAGTTCAACACGGAAGTGACCGACGCGACTTGGGATGAAGCCGCGAAGGTATGGCGGGTCGGGCTTCGCCAGAGTGATGGCAGCCGATTTGAGGACACGTGTGATGTTTTCGTGAACGGGACTGGGGTTTTGAGCAGGTGGAAGTGGCCGGATATTGAAGGCCTCCAGGACTTCAAAGGCGAGCTCGCTCACTCCGCCGACTGGGACAGGAACCTGAAATGGGAGGGAAAGAAGGTGGCGGTGATTGGGACCGGATCGAGGTACGAAGGCTACTTCTACGAGCTACCAGAGAAAGTTTGCTGAAGAATTCCAGTTCAATCCAAATGACTCCCGTTCTGGCCGACACAGCCAAGCACCTCACGGTCTTCATGCGCAACGAAACCTACATTGGGCCACCTTTTGCTAGCGACATCGACAACAAAGAGGCAGATTCAGAGTCGCAAAACCCTGATGCTCCGGGTCATCATCTTTACACCGAGAAGGAGAAGCAGAGATTTAGGGACGACCCCGACTATCTCGAGAAGTATCGTCGTCGAATGTAAGGCAGGTATCAGCTCACGGATAGGTCAACGCTGATCTTCAATAGCGAGCAAAGGGTTGTCGGTGGCTTCTCCATGTTCTACCGCGGCAGCGAGTTAAATCTCACCGCAAAAGCCGCCATGCAGAATCTTATGCGTACACGCCTAGGCGACCGAGACGACCTCAAAGAACTCATCATCCCCTCCTGGTCCCCCGGATGCCGCCGCCTCACCCCCGGCGAAGGCTTCCTGGAGGCCCTGACCCGCCCCAACGTCACCACTGTCCACACCGGCATCCAGCGCTTCACCCCGAACGGCATTCTCACCGCCGATGGCAACGAGCACCCCTTCGACTTCATCGCCTGCGCCACGGGCTTCGACGTGCAATACCAGCCGCACTTCCCTATCTACGGCCGCGGTGGGGAGCACATGCAATCCAGCGCGGAGCCGAACGTCTACGCGGCGGTCGCGGTGCCGCGGTTCCCGAACTACTTCGTCGTGAACGGACCGCGCGGGCAGTGGGCGCAGGGAAGCATCCTGCCATCGCACGACGTGCAGATCGAGTACATCCTACAGGTGGTTCGGCACATGCAGGAGGACCAAATTGCGAGCGTGGAGCCGCGGGAGGATCTGACGGACCAGTTGAATCGATATATGGATACGTGGCACAAGAAGCATTCGATCTGGGCGGAGGACTGCAGGAGCTGGTATAAAGATAACAAGCCGGATGGGAGGATCCATGTGTGGAGTGGCTCGATGTTACATCACCTCAAGTATATGAAGACGCCGCGGTTCGAACATTACGTGGTGCAGTGGAAGGATCCGGAGAACGTGTTTCGGTTCTTGGGGCATGGGATGACGATTGGTGAGATGAAATATGGAGCGGACGTGCCGGTGCCTTATATCCGGAAGGAAGATACCCCTTGGGATGTGGAGTAGTGGGCGTGGCCTTATAGAATGTCCCGATGAGTTTTATGATTTGGTTCAAAGAGGAACGTGTCGTCACTGCGAGATTAGGTCAGTGTTTTTAGCAAGTTAAATTTTGATAGCCTAGAAATTAGACTTTCTTTTCCCGACCATGCCTACACAATCAGACAGATTCGAATCTAGGTAGTGTAAGTACGGTAACATCAGGATGTGCGTAGCAGGCAGGTCGGGATTAATAACAATCAATACACTATGAACAACAGGTGCGCTGGTATGGCGAGGCTTATCATATACCTCACATGCTGTCAGACCGGGAATTTTTGTGTGCTTTGACTGTAATCAAGTCTCTATTCCTAAGTCTTCCTATTTACAGCCTCCCCCGTCTCCGCGAAAGTGCCCGGGTTGATCCAAGATGACCGCTATTATGAATCGCTCATAGAACACCTCGCTATGCAGGCAGAACGAAGAAAAAATCAAGAACGTTCAGCCAAAGATCCAACTCCAGTCGCTGATAATCCAACGGGATACAAATAGGATAATTCCAGAAAGGGACATGACTATTATGAGGGGCGATTAGGATTTCTTCATTAGTAACTGAAAGCCTCCTCAACGAAGTCCAAACATCCCTTCCCAACCCGCTTCCTCGCCGCCGCCCTCACATCATCCGCGAAGACGCCCGGCCCACATACAGTGACGCAAGTCGCGCCGATCGGCTCCTGCATCATCCGATCAATCACCTCATTCGGATCGCAGCGCCTCGTAAACGTCCGCACGCCACCCGACTGACTGCTTGTCTCCCTACCGTTCCCTCTTGTGATGTATATCTCCATCTTGAGGATCTCCCTCCGCCCGGGCATCTCCAGCACCTGGTTCATGTACGGACGCACCCAATCGAAGCAGTTCTGGTCGGGCATGCTCCAGACGAGGAGAACCTTGCGCGTGGACACCACGCCGAGGTGGTACCCGTGCACGAGGTGGCGCAGGTGCGGGAGCATGTGGGTGATGCCGATGCCGCCGGCGAAGAGCACCACGGTGCCGTACGAGGACATGGGGTCCATGCCGCCGTAAGGGCCTTCGAGGAGGCATCGCGTCGTGAGGGTCTTGTCGGGGCGGGCGGCGGCGCGCTGGTAGAGCTGTTTGGTGAGGCCTTCGCGGGCCTTGCAGATGAGGTGGACGCGCGTGGAGGGGGGATTAAAGAGGGCGATGTCGGAGGTGGTGTGGGTCGGTTGGTTTTGGTCGGTGGATGAGGGCCCTCGCTTTTCGTTGTAGTTGGCGGCGGGGGCGCTGGACATGTGGGAGAATTCGAAAGCCGAGGCTTTGGGTAGCTCGCAGTCGGTCCAGGCGACGGAGAAGGGGTGGGACATGAGGTGCGGGTTGAATCGTGGGATGTATATGTGGACGTTAGATCCCGGCGCGGCGCGGAATGGTCGGACAACGTCGATGGAAAGACGGCATGCCTCGCCGGGAAGGGCTTCGACGGTGACTTTCGACATCTGGCCGAATGTGAAGGAGTAGTACATGATGCGACCAGATCGGAATAACCATTCCATACCCCACAGCCAGCAAACGACTTGCAGCCACCACAATTGCGGGAGTTTGTGAGTCTGAAGATGGACATAAACACCGACAAGGGAGATGAGGACGATGAGTCGATGTCCATGGACGAAGGAATCGTAAAAAGCGTGGCGGAGGGGTCCGATGGAGAAGATCGCGATGAGGGTGAATCCCACGGCACCAACGAGACCCCATCGATAAGAAAGGTGCTGGCTCAAGGACACTCCCATGTTAAAGTCGTCGGTCGTTGCGGCTATCGTGTTCACTGACCAGCAGAGAACATGAATGAGGCTCTGGAGGACCACCACCCGACCACACCAGCGGTGTAGGAGGTTGAACGTGTCGTAAGATACGCTCAGGAGCCAGATCAGTGGATTGTTTCGTAAAGCAAAGAGAATCGTCGGGAAGAGGTTCAGGGCGGCCAAAACACCACTGCGCCCACGGAGGGCAGCGACGACCTCCTGGGAGGGGAATGTGCTCCACGGCAGGACGAGGCAGAAGGCGATGTTGGCGAATAGCCAAGTCAGGAGCATCATCGTGTGAAAGCGTGATGGGAGGGTTCCAATGGCATGCGCCTTGGAGATCTTGATCTCCTGGTTGTGTCGTTTCTTGCCGAGCGGCGCATATAGGATGTGGCGTTTGATGAAGACCCAGCTGTCGGACCAGGCGGTCGAACCGTTGTGGGCCCACAGGGCCTGTTGAGTGACCCCGCCGACGGTGTTAATGTGGCGGACATGTCGTTCGAATAAGATGGCACCCCGATAGATTAGAATGAAGCCGAAGGCAGCGAGGAGTGCGAATAAGAGGGCGTGCACGAAAATGTAGTTCGTTTCCTGTTGAACTCCGGAGAGACCGGTCGTGTATTGCACGAGGGAATCCCCTGAGGAATTGGTAATGAAGTCGGGTACGAGATCGCCATGGCTGCCGATCGAGCGAGGTATCACGAATGATGAGGGAGGCATATTGACAAGTTATCGTCCCACTTGGGGTGGAGTGTGGGAGTGGTTAGGGAATGCGGTAGCGGCCTGCGCTTTGAGTGAAAGTGTTAATCACTGTGGGTCGATTGCGTTCTGACTTCGGAGTTCTGACGGAACGAAGGCCGTGGAGAGAGGGGGTCTTTCATATAAAAGACATTGTGCGAGTGGTTGTCTTTGTTGAATGAGAGACTGCTTATTGAGGGTTCCTGTCTTCTGTGACGGTTAGTCTAAACGAAGACTTTCCTTGTCAAGGGACAATGAGTCTGTGACAATAAAGGCAGCAGAGGCCACAAAGCCTACAGTGATTATTGTTCTGACTAAACAAGAGGTGATTTCACTGGGGTGAGAATGGTGGAAAAGCATAACAGTGTGCGGGCGATATGGGATTTATTTATCACGAACCTGATCCAGACGAGGTAGCCCCTAGTTTCGAGAAATGAGCGACCGACTCAAGGTCTCTCTAAGCTTTAGAACTATAAAACAAAAGGGACTTTTGGTTTAACGGCCAAAAATCACACGATGATTGTTTCGAAACCTGAATCCTATCGTGATGGTGGGCAACTGTGTGAAACGAGTGACTGATGGTCGGCCGACTAGAACCGGGGATGAAGGACAAGGGAACGCGGAGAGAGAAATGGGGAAACTGAATATGTAAATGAATGACTGTAAAGAGGAGGAATCGAGTCGTCCACGACCAGGAGCAAGAGTTGCAGAGAAGACAGACAAAAGGTGAACGGCAGGACAGGAGAGGTTAAAAAACTGGAGTGAAGTGATAGAGATAATGGATCACGACTGGCAGAGCCCCCCCCTGGAATGGTAATCGGCCCCTTGTGGCCCTGTCTCTTACGGGCCTCAACAAACGAAACTGGCTCGATCGCTGGAGGCGAACAATCAGCGCCAATCGGGCGGCACGCCGCACCTGGTTTCGACGGGTACGTGGTAGGGATCGCTCACTGACCAGCCAATCTTAGCCGTCGATCTCATTTGAAAGAAAATGATGCTTGTCCTACGGTGCTTGTCTTGGATGGAACACCACTCATGTGGTGAATCTCCTAGTCAGGCATATTACTGGATAGCATCTTGGGGCAAGCTGTATAACCGGAAGCTGGCTTTTACTCAGAGTAGTATGCTGTGAACGGGATTACTCCGGAGCTCTGGTCGGGTTCGGCTTGGAATTGGGTTATGTAGATTGACTCCTTGGATATGATGGCCTATTCTAGGCTGCTGTGGCTTGCCTCCGTGCAGGATTGAGGTGGATTTCATCCCGCGGTATTCGATAGAGTACTTATACTGGTAGAGACAGATGACATTTTCTCCATATCAGATCTCCATCAGCTGTTCTTAATTTCCTGAAGAAAGCGAGCTGACCTGGATTTCTCCGTCTGTATGTTAAGGAGGCTGGGGTGAATGGAGGATCGGAATGCCCGTTTCATGCCAACTCCTGTATCCAGCGTTGATTGGCTGTCCGTTCACTTGCCATGCGCCTACCTGCCTTAGTGCCTTGAGACATCACTGGAGGACCGAGGGCCGAGACCCGCAGAGCCTCTACGGGCCACGGGGTGTTCCGTACCAACTCCCGACCCCAAAGCCCTAACTAACCTGGCGTGCCTAGACTCTTGAACTCACACCATCATCAAACGATACATCATGTTCCTTCACTTCCTTGGGAGGGTGTTAATGAATTATTCCGAAACCTGGGCATGATGCCGGCTCTAAGGAAAGAATTAGGCCGCTTCGTAGTTCGTGAGCACTGGGGCTAAGATCCGACTCGTACCCTCAGACTTCCCCACTTCCGTACGTCCGTCCCGTACCCATCTCGTACCGTTGGACGCCATCTCCACCGCAGTTGGATTGATTGCGTGGCTGATACGAGTCCATTTGCTTTTGGCTTCCTTTTGGCTTTTGGGCTTCGGGCCTTTGATATTACAAATTTCAATCCCTCAGCACAATGGCGTATTTCCCCGACTAGGAAGTAGTAATAAGTACCTATGAAGGGCGTCCTTTGTATGGGGAATTATTCCGTGTGCAGTATCGATCCTCAGGTTCCTTGTCCACCTTCATACCAATACAGAGAAATTGATATGCTGTCTAGTTTTATATAGGTGACCTGGCTGCGATCCTTAGGTGGACCATCGATCACCCCACCGTTCGGACTAATTACATTATTGGATCCCGCATTGACAAAGAAACTTAGTGTTATGTCATTTGCTGATCGTGCCCATAGATCGATTGCTTGGTTGCTCTTTGCTCCAAAAGTATTTCCTAATGAAGCGGACTCTTCCTTGCGAGTTGCGACTTGCGAGCCATCGTTGGGGCTTGGTACCATGAACACATCCCTCGACGTTCTATACTGCACAAGCATATGGTGGAGGAAGTCCAGTCCAGAGAACAACGGTCTTGCCGTGATTCCGGCGAGTCTTTTCAGATCATTCACGAGACTGGTATGTTTGCGGGTGCAGTGGAGAATATGTGGAAAACCGTCCACACTCGTCTGCCGAAATTAGTTCTCCGTCTTAAAGCTGCGGTAGGCTTGTAAACAGCGACTTACTGTATTAGTTGGGCATCGGTGGCTGATCACTAATGTACACCTGATGATTGTCCTGAAAGCTTCATGGAAGTCGTGCAGATCGTTTACTCCATATCTCCAGTGCGGCCTCCTCTGTAGGCAGCCCTTAGTACAGAGGACATGCTTGATGCTCTATCATACTAAGTATGCACGAGAGAGGTTGAAGTTCCTCGTCGCGAAGGGTGCCCCGATTTAGAGATTATCTTTCATATTCCCGAGTTTGCCTGGGAGGTGGTGCAAGAGTAAACGGCCCAGCTCAATGTGGAAGTGAGACAAGTAAACGAACGGTACTGGTCATCTTCCCTTTCAACGTGACGAAATACCCGCAGTTCATAGAGCAGGCGTAGCGGATGATACCTCCATCTCTCTGCCACAGACAACTGTACGGACTTCTTCTCTTTGATGAGCATAGACAAACCAAAAGTTATAGTAGATTCAAAGGGTTTATAATATGATGCGTCGGGATTGATCACGAATACCAAAAAGTCGGATATTAATGATGCATTTCTTCATTGATTGGGATACCTAACTAGGCATTATAGGAACAATAAGAGAATTTGACACTCCTAGATGAATACTCAGCTCAGAAGTCAGATGTTGTTCTCTCTCTCGACGTCACTAGTAGCCGAGTCAAATCGTAAGGAAAGGAAAAAAAAAGCAAAAAGTAAAGCTCCGAAACGGGGAATTGAACCCCGGCCTTCCGCGTTCTACATCACGATGTGTTGAGAGGCGGAAATCCTAGCCACTAGACCATTTCGGATTATTTATTTAAAAATTGAGTCCACGATAGATATTGCAATTCCTAGTATTGACCAGGATCATCATCCGAGTCATGCTGTCGACAGGGGAAATGATCCTTCGCTTTGACTCTCGAACCGCTTCATCAACGACCGACTGCACATTTGCACTGCCTCCTTGAAATGAGGGGATTCTTGCTGGAACATGAGTGATCAATGTCATCTCATGTATGTCCACTGAAACCTTGATATATCGCTATTGTGGTGATGCTCCAACGGGATCAATTTTATTTGATCATCCCTCCAATTGCCTTTCGAAAGCTCGGAAGGGACAATGAAACCAAGGAGATGCGTCTGCCTAAATGACCAGTGCTGCCGATTTTTGATCGTTGAAGATGCGTCTTTTGCACACTGATACCTTGGAACTCCATTACTTTCCACGAGATGCACCGCCCTATGCTATTCTCTCCCATACGTGGGAAACAGAGGAGCTATCATTGCAAGAGATTGGACCAAAGTCGAAGGGAACGCGAGGCTACAAGAAAATAGCGATGGCCGCGGCGACTGCCCGTGCGGACAACCTGGATTACATTTGGGTTGACACTTGCTGCATTGATAAAACCAGCAGCGCGGAATTATCAGAGGCCATCAATTCCATGTTCCAATGGTACCAGAATGCTAGTGTGTGCTATGCATATCTGTTTGACGTCGTCCCGAACCACCACGATTCGGTCGCATCTATCAATCCCCGGGTCCGGGAAAGCAAGTGGTTCACTAGGGGATGGACGCTTCAGGAGCTTATCGCGCCATCGGACGTGATATTTTACGCCCAGGATTGGACGGAGCTGGGGACGAAATCGAGTCTTCGGACTGTAATTTCGCAGATCACCAGGATACCCGAGTTGGTCCTGTTGGGCAAGAGTATTAAGGACTACAGTATTGCACAGCGGATGTCTTGGGCATCTCAGCGGAAGACAACCAGGACCGAAGATATGGCCTACTGTCTCATGGGATTATTCGAGATTACCATGCCCATGCTGTACGGAGAAGGCATGCAAGCATTCATTCGCCTTCAAGAAGAGATCATGAAGAAGTCGGATGACCAGACGTTGTTTGCATGGACCAGCGCGGCTCTGTCTGTTCAGTATCGGTTCGGCTGCGGGTTGCTGGCACCTGTCCCTCGGTTTTTTGAGACTTGTGCTGGAATTGTACGAGGGAGTAAACTGCCTTGGAAGTTGACAGAAAAGACAACCTTTGCCATGACCAACAAAGGGCTGAGCATAAGACTACCAGTACTTGCTCGCAAGCCGCCTATACCTTATCCAGGATCTATTAAAGGAACCTATCTTGCATTATTGAACTGCCATGACGTTGAAGATGAGACAAAGGCCTTGGCCTTGTGGCTCGGCAGATCCGACGAATCTCCGAAACACTACTTTCGATGGCGGGCTGAAGAGACTATTACCGTCGATATCTCGTGGACACTGAAGCGACTGACCCGCTTGCATGAACTTTATGTCCAGCAACAGAATTCTTTTTCGTCCTCCATGGTCCATTTGGAGAGGCGCCCTGACTCCCATATGTGCAGGATTAACATGGCCGGCCTACGCGAGACGGACTTTTCCATATCTGCCAATTTTCCGGAGTACTTGGCTCGGAACGGAATGGATTTCCTCGTACTGGATAATGCGCAGTACAATTTCGAGGATAGGAGTGGACATGCGTTTGCATTGCTATTGAAGAGCTACCCCAATTCTGTGCAAGCCTGCCTGATCCGAGGGAAAAGAAACTCGCTACCGGACTTCTCAAAGAGCACCCCTGAAAACAATTATTCGAATCGATGCTTGGAGTACTTTGCGGAAAAGGACGTCTGGATACGCATGAAGATTAAAAGAGAGCTGACCTGGCTGAACCATCAACCGATCCATGTCGTTTACCTGGACACTTCGGGCACAAGTTCCTCATCGTTAAATGGCTGAAACGGGCCCATCGTCTCTACCTTTCCGCATCAGTTGTCACGCTGTATACCGTAGAGAAATCGAGGACTTATCGAATGTCAATTTCAAGAAGTACCGTTATTCAGCAGGTATTTCACCTCTCGGGGACACAAGCACACGAACATTTCAAGAAATCAAATAATCTTGATTGAAAGACCAGAACGCCTCCTTGCGAGTCTTACCTGTGAGGCCGGACAAACAAATTACTTACCGTCAGGCATTACCTAGTTCAGCAGATCTCCACCAGTGGAGACTATTATCCCTACACTTCCATTAGTACCCCATCAATCGATCCAACCCTCGTGCAATGGTTTCGGCCTTGTGGACTTTCTTCGCATACTTCTCCTTCTTTTCCCTAATGGCGCGCTTCGAAGCAGCGAGCTCAGCAGCGGTCATCTCAGACACGTTGACCCGAACCTTCCCGTCCCATTCAGCGGCCTCACCAGCGGCTTCCGAATGACGCGCACCAACCCGAAGAATGGCATCGGTCTCGACGCGCTCCTGGCGCCAGTTTTCCTCCTGCGAATAGAAGTGAATCATGCCCTGGCGCCAAACCTCTTCCCTACCCAGATGGCCGTACTCGAGCCTGACCCAGCTCTCCAGCCCCCCGTAGCGCTGGGTCATCTTAGCGTCAAGCAGCGCCTCGATGCAGCGCTCGCAGGCGAACCGCGGCACGTGGGCATAAGTGGCGGGGACGCTCGCGCAGTTGGCACCGCAGGAGCTGGGGAGGTTGGTGCGGATGGTGTGGCCGCAGTGGAGGAGATGGTGGGTCGCAGTGTTCAGCGCGCAGGGCTGGAGCGGGTATCGAGGGACGGCGCCGTCCTTGACCACATCGTGGGGACAGATAGCGAAGCGGTGGGGGGGGTTGGATCGGAGGGGGTTAGTCATGGCGAGGGTCATGATGGTCGAGGAGCGGGTGGTGGTGTTCGTCGGCGACCGGGCGCTTTCTAGAAGAATCAGCTCAGCTGGGAGTAGAGAATACTTACCTTTCGATCGAAGGTATGGCTGAGACGCCAGGAAAGCTGGTGATCACGGACGAACGGGGGAGAACAGGGGAGTGTGCTGATGAGAAAAACCTGGGGTTGATGGCGTGGAGCGAGGAATATTTATCTCACAACTATGTTCTGACGGACAAAGAATGATGGTTGCATTGTGGAAAAACAATTGGATTGTTATGCCACAAAGGAGGGCTGGCTACAAAGGAGATACCTCGCGTAATGTTGTCAACAGAATGACAAAAAGACAATTTCGATTTCCTTCAGCCTTGTTAGCATAACCAGACTCGGCCATTGACTTAACGGATCGCTACAGTAGCAGTCAAACCTTTCAATCGATTTCATACACTGAGCTAAAAAATACTACAAGCCCCATAACCATCGCAATTTGTTCATCGTGGTGTGACCCAATTGTTTCATCCGTGTTGTCCCTCCGCTAGTCTGAGATCATCAGGGAGGAGGATTCAAGTCGAGACCCTCTACCGTCAGTTTGAACGCGTCACTCCGCGAATAGTGCCCTGCGACATCAAGATCAAGTCTGCCGCGGTCACAGTCCTCCAAGTCAATCTCGACGATAAGAAGACTATTCTCTCCGGAATCGACATCCCAAAGCGGACCAGCGAGGACCTCGCCGAGCGGGGAGATGATGCATGATCCACCTCGGGACATGATCTCCTCGTCCTCATCATGTATAGCATTGTCGAACGAGTTAGTGAAGGTAATAGCCCGGTGGCTGCTTGCAGGGGATGTTGCGCGAGCATGAGGTTCTGGCGCAGGCCAACATATCTCGTTGTGATCCGGAGTCTCGATAACAATTGACTTTCGTCGTTTACCGCCTGGGTGATCGCTGGTGGTAGATGGGGATACCGGGGCGTTGTCAGTCTCATGATTTCCATTGCTCACCGGATCGGCGGTTTCCGCTTCTTTGTTTCCGCTTTTCTCTTTGTCGTCCAATGGCCAGCAGATCTCGAAACCATCGGGAGTCTTTGTGACCGTTGATCTTCTCCTTTGGCCTCTTATCGGCTGAGTGGGAGATAGTGCTTGAGGTTTGGCTGGCGTAGGAGTAGATCCGCCGATCCAGTTGGGCAAATGTTTGCGCCTCATGCATTGGTTGGCGCTCAACACGAAGGTCCGGCCTTCAAACGCCACGGTTCGCATCAACGGCAGCCAAGTATCTCGACCGTCTGCTGTCGGTGAAAGGTAGATATTGACATTCTGCGAATACAGACTGTGTCGGAGCAGCGGCATATAATTCTCCCAGCAAATGGCTGCAGCCAAGGTGACCTTGACGCCGTTCAGAGTTGCTGTCACGGCTCTGAGTGTGCTTGCGCTACCCTGAGCCCATACCAGCCGCTCAGTGCCCGTTGGCATGACCTTACGGCGCTTCCCGAGAACACCATGCTCGGGGTCCACGTAGACAACGGCACAATAGAGACTTCCACCAGCTCTTTCAATCAGGCCAGTCACGACGAAGACACCCGACTCCTTCGCGATCCTTTCCAGATCTTCCCGGGTGCCATCGCCGCGGTGACTCTCTCCTTTGGCCAACGGCAGCTTTCGATCTATCCAGTTGCCCCCCGCACCTTGTGGAGTGTCGCCGAGATCGACGGCCGCCCGGTAGTAGTGCAAGAATTGTTCGCGGCCATTCGGGTCTCGTGCGCCTATCGCGGCGCCGAAGTTGCAGCCCCGTGGGTAGCCGCCGATGTAAGCCTCCGGGAAGAGGACGAGATGTGCTCCGCGTCGTGCTGCAAGGGTGGCAGTGGATTCGAGCGCAGCAAGAGTTGCTGAAGTGGTATCGAGGGTATGCGATTGCGCTACGGCAAGTTTGATCGGTTTAGGCATTATGGCGGATGGCAGAGCTTCAGAGGAAGATCAAGGAATTGCCGACTCGACGGCTGTGATTGTCTCGAAGCCATACCATTTGAGAGAGGTTGAGTGATCGACTAAATAGCAAAGAGGTTGAAAGGTGAAAGGCGGGCGCCGGGGGGGGGGGGGGGGGGGGGAAGGAGCGAACGCGGGACTGGATTATTCCCTTTCCGGTTAGATATATTACGTACAGTTGTCTTTGACCCTAACGACTTCATTTGCATCACTTCATGAACACTCCAAAGCACATCATCATCTTGGGATAGGAGACATTACTGATCTCAATGAATGCTATTCTCGTGGTTAGAAAAGCCCCGTATACTACAGCGTACTAGTATCCTGGTAAGGCGATTACTATTCCATACTGTCCGTATGCGATCATGATTATACATCCTGAATACGGTGGTTCTCATTGAGGGCCACCGCCAAGGTCCATGGGCCCTCCTTTGTGTAAGACTCATTGCTTACTAGCTCCTGATGTGGGCTTCTTAGCCATCTTGTTATTCCATGTACTCTTTCTGCTGTGCATCACACCAGTCCAGCACCATATCTCCCCATATCAACACCCCTCTGTACTCTGCTACCTCGGCCGGCCAACTCCTCACCGTTACAGCCAGTCTCCTACAGTCCTCCAAGTTGAGGCTGGTCAACGGTGCCATGCTTGTCTTCACCGTAAACACGATTGCACTGGTCTTTGGGAGTCGTCGGAATATCTGACGCTCGAACCGGAAGATAACTTCTTCGGGACGTGCTGGTGGAGTTTTGGGTACCAGATCTTCGGGGGTTTGAGCAAAGAGGAATGTATGAGGCGCGGGAGTCGAGCCGGCGGGAATGACCACGGGAAAGAAGGCGAAGCGGGCCATGTTCGAGTCAGACGAGAGGCGCGAGAAGTAGCTTTGAATTCCCAGTCAGTTGTTGATGACATGCCCCTGGATCTCCAAAGTCATGGAAAAGGACAACAAACTCACTGTTCAACAGGTGCAGAAAGTTTCTCCGGCCACATAGGTACAGTGCCATGTAAATCAGTGACGTGCCACCCGATTCGTTCCCTCAATCTCCATGCGGCTGGAAAGAGAGTTGCGCTTCTGTCCACATATCAGTACAGTCGGTTTTGTGGATCCGGGTCACCGCTTACGCTGCCCTGTTCGATAAATCTGTTAGTACCGAGATCATTCTTGCAATATCCACAGGAGTGATACTGACAGTCTGTGACTTCCATCCTGCTCCTTGACTAACAAGCTGAAATCCTCCTGACAAAGCCGGGCCACTATTTCCATCGGACTGGGGATAGTGGGCTGGCTAATCCGGTACTCCTCTCCAGTCAATCGATTCCGGATTCGGCGCGGAGAAAAAGAGGCATACTGCCGTCCATCCTTCTCGGATATGTGTGGCGAGGACTGTATGATCTCGAAAAATCTACCGTGCTTTTGGATGAGATGTTTGACCACCTCATCGAAGAGCTCCTTCTCTGCCTCTTCAGCACCCGAAACCCTATGGATGGCCTCGCTTCCCATCTCTTCCAGAATCTTCGCTCGGACGGAATGATATGCAAGGTACCGTTCATCGACCTCGATCCAGTCATCGTGAAACAGCTTGCAGAGACCCATGTTCAACGCGTATCGCTCCCTGTCTGGGAACCGAGGCGGCCGGCATTGATAAAGGTCATCAAGAGTAAGGGACTCATACTGCTGTAAAACTATCTGAGTTTCGATAGGAGTGTGGAAAGGATCTTCGAGTGGTGAGCTGGGAGCAGAGGGGAGCGGGTCGACCCAATTGTCTGGTGTCCTGTCAACCTGTCGACGAAGGGCTGAATACATCGTAGTTACGAATGAGAGAGTTGCACCCAGGATCACGGAAGCCATGATCATGGAAGCCAGGGCCAGGAGATAGGCCTCCATGTTGGAATATGGGGACTCGACCTCCATCGTTGCAGTATTGGTTTCCGTCCTAATTAGCAAGGGTGTGAATTGACTCTGAGTGGGCTGTGAAGAGAATTAGGAAATGAGAGTTGTAGAAGGATATTGGTACAGAAAGAAACGAATGTCCCAAATAAGTCCTGCGTTTTCAATTATGAAGTTGGGTGGTCCATGTGAATGACTGAATGTGAAATATCACGCCGATGTGAATTCGGTTCAAGACATTCCAATAACACAAAAATAAACCAACATTGCCTCCCTGAACTTACCACATCTACTACGAAATATCATAAGGCCTTGATTCAGTTAAGAGCCTCAAGAGTGGCAAATACAAACCATCTTCGAATACCCGGAGATTTGGATCCTCATGCTGTTGTACGACACTTCGCGTATCTGGACAGCTTCGAAGTGGTGTCTCCGCCACCTTCAAGTGGACGACAGAATCAAGATAGTAAAGCAATGCGTACTCGTGAAGGGGTGGAACCCTCCATGTCTGTGTCAGGGTTTCTCAAATTTGCATATAGGCACTACCTCCAATGGTCATCAGTCGTTCATATCCTGGAAGAAACTCAGCCTCATTCAAGATAATGGTCAGTTGGTCACCAAGTGACACCTATTGCGCATAACCTTTCACCACATTAGCACACTCCGTGCGTCTTTCCATGCTTTCCTTGCAGACTATGATTCTCCGTAATAGACCAAGTGGAGCTACGACGCGACTGCTTATTGGTATTATTCAAATGCTTGATATGCCTACTTGCAGTCGTTAGCGCGATGCAAGCACAGCATAATATGCCATCACCACGAGTGGAATCTCCAAACTTACTCTTTGTGCATGCGAATCCTCTTGGCATCCATCGTCTTCAATGTTTCCAGGGTGAACTTCATGTCGGCGATCAACGCATCGCATCGGCTCCTGGAGAAATCTTCGCGAACCACGATCCGCATCATTTTGATGCTGGCGGTAGGGGGCGACGTGTATGCTGGAACGATCCAGCCACGTTCTCGAAGCTGATGGGCCACGGCGTATTCGTCGAACTCATACTCTTGATCCATGTCGAGACGGAAGGCAACCAAGGGGAGACCTTGACCTCCGCCTTTGGACATGATGAGGAACCCGAGAGCTTGAAGAGCAGCGCTCAGGTAGTCGGCGATCCGAGTGATGTTCAGCATGATGCTGCGGTAGCCGACCTTGCCTAGTCGGATGAGCTGGTAGTATTGTCCGATGATCTGTGAGGCGCCGCGAGAAAAGTTCAGAGTGAAGGAGGCTTGGTCGGCGCCGAGATAATTGATGTTGAAGATGAGATCCTTTGGCAGATACTCAGGGTCCTTCCACACGCACCAACCGACACCAGGGTACTGTGCGACCTGTAAGACGAAGACTCGCGAGCGTGCAGCTAGTTCCAACACTATAGACTTACCACTAGGCCATACTTGTGACCAGAAACGTTGATGGAGACAACCTTTGATAGTCGAAAATCCCACACCAAGTCCGGGTTCACAAAAGGGGTGACGAAGCCACCTGAAGCTGCATCGACGTGAATCGGCACATCCAAGTTCTTCTCCTCCAGGATGTCATTGATTCCCTTGATATCCTCGTACTCGCCGGTGTACGTAGAGCCAAGGATCGTGCAAATTCCGATGGTGTTCTCGTCCACCAGATCCACGGCTTGCTCCGGGTCTATCACGTAGCGTTCCGCGGTGCAGTTCACGAAGCGCTCCTCAACCTACGCATTGATCAGTCGAAAGGTCAATCGTTGAACCGGGGACCATACATCGAAATATCGAGCTGCCTTCTCCCAGCAGACCTGCACTGACGCGCTCATGATCATATTCGGGGTGCTGGCGTCTTTCCCAGCCTCCCTCATCTTGATCTGCCAACGCTTCTTCATTGCAAGAACAGCAAGCATGATGGCCTCTGAGCTTCCGACCGTGCTGGTACCTACGGGTTGGCGTCCACTGCGGTAAGAGATGTTGAACAACCGCGCAATCATACACACACATCGATTTTGAATGTCGGCCGAAACCGGGTACTCTTCGTAATCAATGAAGTTTTTCGGCAGGCACATGGTCATGAGCTTTTCGGCTTCATCCTCCATGTATGTCGTGACGAAGCTTGCGAGACTGTTGCTCTGGTTAGTCTTCTATCAGTCGCCGTACCTGTCAAGCAGCTCGGAGCGTACTTCAGCGTGGGAGTGCCATCAAGAGTCAATTCATCCCGTATCATTCGGTACGCGATTTCTCGTGGCATTGCCTCGTCTGGAATCTCGTATTTAGGAAGGTCCTGGCTGGCATAATGCGAGCCGTAGACGGGCTGAAGCAAGACTCAGTAGTGACCAAAACAGTCAGATACCTTGGAGGCATATATTTGACCCTTGAACAGGGTATACCAGCTTTGCGGGGAAATGATGCGCCCTATCCAAGCACGAGAAAGCTGGAAAGGAATCTTACCACCGTCGCCGCGTCTTCGGTCAATCTCAACTTCTCGATTCCCTCAACAATAGCCTGTTTGGCCTCCGCTTCGGAAGGGATAGCAGAGAGCACCATTGTGAAGTCTCCGACTCAGTGCAAATACTTTTATTCTTCAAAGGTCGAAAAAGCCAACAAGAAGCTTGTATGAACTGCGCAGAAACTAAGGGGGAGCTGCGGGTTTAAATGCTCACGTACATGTCGGTCGAGCCGGCGCAAGGAGCTTCGAGAGGCCAGGAAGATGACAGTCTCCTATCACAAATACCGGCATCTCGCTTCCTGTACCTTGCGAATGCATGTTGAAGAATGAGAGTGACCATTCAGCGCTTCCACCGCCTTCCGTACCGCGTATAATCTTACAGGTACTCCGTACTTATTCTGATTCCCTCGCACTGCCATAGAGCTTACGTGACAATCATGAGATGCCAATTACTCGTTGCTTTTGCTTCGAATGAAGTTGATGAAGCTGACAGGCTGGCTGAAGGACGATCGAATGTAACCTGGTTCCGTGGGGCACTAGGCAAGTTCAGGAGAAATTCAAGCTTTCGGGAGCCGGCGCGTCACACCCATGGACTGGGGTTTGGTCTCGGGTTCTCCATTTCATTTTATTGCAACTAAACCGGATGGGCTGCGTGGCATAAAGTTACTCACTGGCATTGGCTGGTGTTCACTGTTCTCTGGTGCACTCTGCAAGGTATCCTGACCCCGCCACGGTTGGATGACTGCAACGTGTCTCCGGTGTCTGGTATTGCGGCAATAAATGCATGCCATTTCGTTTACGCGCAGGTTTAATTGCTGAATGTAACTGCTGTCATGAGTGACATGACGATCTCAAGCGTCTAGTGGGAAAATTCGAGTAAGGCAGTCAGCCGTGGTAGCTTTCATAGCGTGATACTACAGCAGGAATTTGCTGAAAGATGCCGCCGGCGTATGCCTCCCATTCTCGAATTTGCCTCGTTTATGTGCATATTATTTACAGAAAACCGGATTAGATCATTCTGTTCCAGGTAGGAAATGCGCATTGGGAACAGAATGTTGGTTACGCGACCATCGAGTAAGGTACAGGTATGCAACGTGGTTTTACACCTCTGGGGTGCGTCTCGATTCATACCTGTCTGAGGAACCTCTGAAGCAAGGGAGGAAATTTCCAGCTCCTTTGGATCCTGCAGCGACCTGGTGGCGCACTTCGACGCTCTTAAGTCAACGGTGTGCCGCTCTTGCGTCGTCTGGGCATCTGGCACATCGTAGCCTCGCTTCTCATATGATATTCGCGATGCTTATCCGACTGGAGTTCGCTCCAGGACTGGACACCGTTCCCGATGCTCCAGGGCTCGGTGCCGACGTCTGCGGTGCCGCAAGATGCACTCTCTTCGCGGCATTCGCGGCGTTCTGACTGTACGGGTGGATATCGTCCTCGCGTTTCCTTTCCCGACCAGGGAGTCTCTCCTGCCCGGGCTCCATCATCTCTCCAACCTGGCCTCTCCCAGCACTCTCCCGGTATTTCCGTTGTCTTGTCTGCTCCTCGATTAACTGATGAATAAGGCTCTCGATACGTTCCCAACCACCCCATTCTTTCGTCTCCTGTTCCGTTAGCATTGCCCCCGGGTGAGCAGCTACCGCTACATTGGCGGCTTCGGATGCCGATTCCTCGGAGTCAGCAGGCCTCGAGAGCATCGCGGTCGGATCGGTTGGAAGCGGTCCCTGCGTCTGCGTGAGTCGCACGCCCGTCTCGCTGCCGACCCATACCCAGCTTTCGTCGATGCTGCCTTGCATGTCTCCGGAGATGTATGCGAGGATCTCTTCGTCGCCTTCGAGGAGATCCTGGGAGACACCGCCTCGGTGGCGCTCCAGCAGGACGTTAAGAACGTGGGAGAGGTTGCGCCCGCACGCGGTGTTTATCCGGCGCATTTCGCCGATGGTCGAGCTGAGAGCGATGCATTTGAGGGCAGACCGGTAGTTGCCGCGCAGGCAGAGGAAGAGAATGCAGCGCCAAAGATGGACACAGAAGTAGTTTGAGACGGTTGATTTGAGGCCCGTACACCATTGGGGGTCGGGGTACGATGCGCTGGTCGGTGACGAGGGAGGCGAAGGAAGTGAGCGGCATATGTAACGGACCGTGTCGTGGGCGACTGAAAGACAGCGGTTGAGCGCATCGATTCTGTCGGCGGGAGGGCATATGGAGGATAGGTTGTGTCGATAGAGGTGAAATCTGGCCATTTGTAGCATGAAGACGACATGAAGAGCATGCGGTTCCAGGTATTGGTCGGAGTTCAATTGATAAGGCCGTGGGAATGATGACATGATGGCTGTAAAGTAGTCTTCGTAGGTTTTTAGGGTTGCTGGAGCGATTACCCGGGTTTTGAGGGTCTTTTTGAGTTGGGCTATGAATCGCATGATCGGAATGACAAACGCGACGCTACTGTGAGGAAGCTGGTCTTCGGGCGGTTTCATAATACCATGAGGTTGTACGTAAATGTCGTCCACGGGACATGGCCAGCCGACGTCACAATCGTCATCGTCGATGTATAGTGGTCGACCTCCTTCGAGGGCCAAGAGGCTACAGCCGGTTAAACGACATCGACACGGGAGAAGAATGATTCAGAATCCCCTGACTTACCGATCCCAAGAATAGACGCCCCACCATACCCGTCGTCTCAACTCTCCGTCTACCAGTGGCCACGGTCCTGTTTCGCAATGCAGCCCGGTCTCCTGGGACATTCGCACAGCCATGCCGTGCCAGACCCACCCTGCGCTCTTCAAATTGCGCTCAATTAGAAAAATGCTAACGAGCAGGGTCGTCCGAACATGGTCGATGACGATTTCGTCCGTCCAGGTATTGATCATCTTGGCGGCGATTTTCAAAAAGTTGGTCCCTTCCACTTCATCCGAGACATCACCCCCTGACGATATCTCTTGGCTTTGGACCGTTCCGTTTGCGAGGACAGCAAAGAACAATGCCATCCATACTTGTTTCGTGCCGATAAACGAGCCTTTCTCGTACAGCCTATCCACATCTTGCCGAAACGTAGGCCAATGCAATAGCGGAGTATGTCGATGCACCGAATTGTAGTATTGCGTCAGCAATTTGTCAGCAAACTCTTTCTTGGGCAACGGAGTATATTCCGACGAGGCATTCAGTACCGGTTGCGGTGCCTGTTGTCGATATGGAGGCGGCACTTTGAAAATACCCCGGCCATACATCCGGATCTTCTTGCGAACGTGCTCAAAGTCTGCCATCCGAGGGGGCCCAACCTTCTGGTTTGTCGGCGGCATAATCTCCGGAAGCTTGAGAGTCTGGCCATCCGAAGATGAACTGTCCACGATTGGTGACCCGGCTTCACGGAGGACCGATTGCAGCTTTGAGATTTGCTGCTTTGCATCCGCGAGCTGAGCCTGGAGGTCTTGCACTTGTCTTTTACTTCGTTAATCATTACTCAGCTATACGTGCCATGACCGTTCCAAGGAACAAACTTACTTGATGGAAGACATCCGCCTGTTAGTCTCCTTCGTGAATTGGCATTTCACGCTTCGGCTCGAGCACTCCGAGCAACTTGATGTTTCGGTCGCATCGCACTAAAATACGTCAGCTATACTTATTGTGCGCAACCCTCGCAAATGATTTACCTTCACCTTGCGCTCGCGACACGCATCGCAGCTTGGATCTTTTCGTCGTTGTCTATAAGCACGCTTCTGAGCAGACAAGCTGGCCGACATGCCCGTCGGTGAAATGCCAGCAGCAGCTAGGGCAGGATCGTCATGGAATCCACTACCCGCTGTGCTTGGCGAGACAGAAGAATTACCATAAGCATGGCTGTAAGGGTTGGGTCCATGTCCAGGAAGTGGCCGGGTGTCCGCGTGCAGTCTATGGGAAGGGCCAGGAACAGATGGATGCTGAGGGAGCCTTGGATGAGCAAAGAGCGCCGACGGAGGCGGGATATACGAATGAGGCGAACCAGTCGTAGCGGAGCCGTGATGATGGTCTTGCGTTCGTACGGGTGGAAGATGTGAAGATTGTGAGTACGGGCTGGATAACGAGTGGTCCATCCTAAAGTCTAAAGGAGGAAGTGCTACGACAGTGGACATTGACATAGATGTTAAATGGTCGAGATTAGTGTCCGGTTGATGTTGAAACGAGCGAGGGATGAGGGCGGCGATGGACCTGAACTTCGGACTGGAATCGTCTGTAGATATCGGGATTGGGATATCAACCCTGGTTTGGAGGGGTAGAGCGACTCCAAATGATGAGTGTGGAGAGAATATAAACGGGTGCAGAAACCGAAGTTCTCGTCTGGGATATGCCTAGCAGGTCCAGAGGCACATGGATTACCATAACCTAAACTTTCTTCGACCCCGTGGAAAATCAGGATAGATCAAGTCAAAGAAGCGGAAGACAATATTCAATCCAGGGCGATGGTTCCATGCTCTTCATGCAGCGCATTCGTCCCAGTGTGACCAGCTCCAACCATCAACCGAAGTCGCCGAAAGCAATGCATCCAGGGTCGGGACGCTGATGCAAAGGTGGCCAGGGATTGGGGAAGCGGGTCGCGAGTCGAATTCGAACCTTCGTCTCAGGAATATGAAGAGCGCAACTGGGAAGGGGAGACGGGTTTCCAAACGAAGATAAAGTTTTGGACTCAAAGAGAAGCAGGTTCGAAATTGCGGAGGAGGATGTTCGATCAATCAACCCGGATGGTTACCGAGAGCGAAACCCGTCCCGGCACCTGGAAACGGAATAGGGTTCAATATAGGGTTTAAATCAAACTTTAAACGCGATTCAATAAATTCGGACCCCCGCATGCATAAATTCACAACACGGAAAGTGCGCGAGGCAGAGGCTGGGCTTTGGAGGTTTGGGAATAGGCTGGAGTTCGAACCGGCTTCACTCAAGCGGAAAACGAGTTCATATGAAAGTTCGTCTACCTATCACACCAGCAATTGGATGTTGGTCAGAAGAATGCATGCTTCTCGGAACGGGTCACTTCGAAGTCCGTGACTTAATCGGCGCTCGAAGGACGGGGGCTAGATGGAAGGTTGTTAGGTTACTAACAGCCAAAAGCCACGCTTGGGGCAATCTGGATGAAAAGCCAACTATCTCACAGGTTAGTTTCGAATTGGAAATGATTTTGCTGTCGGCAAATCGGAAAAGCATGCGAAGAGAGAAAGGATCAAAGGAACGATACCGCCACCGAATGTCCACTGCAGGGTGAAGACTAGGATCTGTCGGCGGCAAGGCAAATCATTGACCAGCAATATTCAGATCGCAATAACACTAACTCCTCACCATCTTAGCTCATCCGTCGCTGGTCTTGATACCGATGACCGCTTGTCGCTTGATCATCAGCCATGATCCGCCATCCGGCCATCCCGCTAGCAAGAGTGCAAGGCCAAAAACGTGAACATTCTCCAGGGGAAGGTTGGAGCCAGCTGTAGCGTCGAACTGCAGAAGCATGATGATTACAGCGTACGACATCAGCGCCCGGACCGCGTTAATGAATTATCGTGAGGTAACCTTAATCGGCTCTAGAATGCATCGCTGCAGACGTCGGGGGGGGAAATCAGGGAAACTGTTAACTGGCAGATTCGCTAATTTACGATCGGTCCGGTTGGGGAACGTATACACAGGAGAGTCGGGAATTTGCCTTTGTTCTGACTCTTCATCATGTCGTGTGCGAGAGCTGGCGGTTTGAGATCGTCGGCCAAGGCGCGAGGATCTGGGAATATTCTGGGCCCAGTGGATTGTCAGTTGTTAGTTGTGCTAGCCATTTTAGAACGCAGATTGCGGATTGCAGATTACAGATTGCAGATGGTTCATGCCGTTCACGAGGAGACAAAGGAGATGGTGGTCTGGCGGAAGCCGAAGATGCGCAAGAGCTGCTGTCTGCAGTCACCAAGACACCAAGTCACCAACCAGGTCAAGCGCCACCACGAATGCTCGAACACAACACCGTTCATGTTGTGACAGTCGAGGCAGTCAAACGTCAATCAGACGTTGAAGATGAAAATCGATACTACTGCTGGTCCCAGTCGCCAGTCATTTCATGTCCAAGGTACCTAGCTCAGCTCACCCTCTTCAAGCCACATTATATTCATTTGAAGATCAATTCTATAGAGTAACCTTCTTGAGAAACCTCTTCACGGATCGGGTATATCCCAGTTCATTCCCATTTCCCCCAGGCACCAGCAGTCCACTGTCCAGCACACAGATATGTCCGGCATGAAATATGCCAAATGGTGTCTGCACCATCGGCTGGGATCTTTTGGCACAATCACCTCTGGTCCTGCGAGCAGCCGACTCCAGCCTCCCATGACCGCATCTCATGTCCGACACGCTGATCCGCCCAGGCTGTGGGGTTACGAACTCGTTTCTTCTTGAGGGACAGCCGGACATGTGGGTGCGTCTGTAATCTGTATCGACCCTCTTCGTCTGAATCAGGGCAAACCATGCACGACGTTCGCCTGCAATAAACCAACCGGCCCACGATGAAGCCCGATTAGGGTCTCGAGAATGGCTGGATCGTTATCATTTCCGACTGGTCAGCCCCATGAAACGGCCTTCTTGTACCACCAAGACGAGAACTCGCGACAGGAAGTAGGGCTCACGCCCTGCCAGGCTGCCGCCATGTTTCCATGCTCGGGAAATATAATGCTCTTTGAAACTCGAAGGGCTTCTCGTGAGGGCTCCATGACCAAATCAAAACCACGGTCTGCGTTCCTTGACAATCCATGCTTCATGACTGGCTTCGTTAATAATGGGTTGCTGCTATTCTGTGATTTCCTACGATGGAACTGGTTGTGGTTAGACCGCTATTCGGCGCTGTCACAAGATGCTAGATGTCGAGCTGTCAGCACATGAGCCATTCACATTTCATATGCAAGATATGCCGGATGGCATCCGTGTTAAGCTCGGGCCGTCAGAGATGATCTGTCAAGAAACTCTTTCCAAGATGGATCCGGAGGGGACCATTTAGAGGCACGATTGGCGGTGGCTGAAAAGTGAAAACTCCCTCACCACTCAAGTCCCAATCGTTTTCGATCCATCTCTATTCACACGCCATCGTAGCCCGTAGGAGATTGCCTCCCTGATGTGCTTGCTATTACTGGTGTTTACGAGACTACGACCACCAACACGATGCGAATTGCGATGATTACTGTGAGCGTGGTCTAGACGAACCTAACATCATTGGGTGGGTCCTCGGTTGGAGATGACCACCGCCCGGCGGTCGGCGCCCATCGTGCGATCCTCGTGCTTTTTGGGAAATCTGAACTCTGACCCTTGCGACCGCCAAGGCGGCCAAACTTCGAGAAAGCTCTCGGGACATCGACCGAGAATCCAAAAAGGACACGGACAGGGGCCAAATGAAGGACGAGGGTCGAGGGAAGAAGGACTAAGGACAGCGCGTTGTCAAGGATTCTGATGAAACCTCCAAGATTTCCGCCTTTCGGAGCACAACCGAAATTCTGTCTGGGGTAGTAATGACTTGACCAGGCACAACCGCAGAAGCCATGACAGTTCCTCTACTCTTCACAAAGGACTGGGGAGTTTGCCTCTCCGGCTCGCCTTGTCATCTGTTCCGAAATTTGCAGCCGCTCGGATCAAGATTCATGATCCCACCATGCCTGAGCACCGACGCTAAATCTTCAGAGGCGTTGCCCATTTGGGCGCTGATCCTCGAAAGGCTGGCACAATTCCTGCGGATGCTTGAACATCGTGCATGAGCATTCGGACAGCTGTGGCTTTCTGCCCTAAAAGATCGCAAGTTTTACCGGCTCGGAATGCTCCGCCATGGCACAACAACGGTCTTAGATGGGCTCAGAGTCGGTTGCATGCTAGGCTTGCATCTCCTGCATGACGACAGTGCGTCAAGCTGGCGCAGGATAGATTGTTTGACAGCAGGTCGAGCAGGATGAATTCGATACGACAATGACTTCGATATCATTAAGTCTAGGAGCTATCGAAAAAATTCCGTCGATGGATTAAAATTCAAAAGCCAGATGAATCCGAAACGGAAACTTAATATCATCCACCAATCGGATCATGCTGCGAGATCAATTCTAAAGCGTGTTTTTGATTGTGTCATACTCAAATTGCTAGTGTCGAATTCACTCTTTCCTCTTGGCGGGCCAGCTTCGAGCTTTCAGGGTGATATACCTACTTCCTGATTGGTTTTACATCTGGCCCGTTGATTGCATTGCTGAGAACTTGAGATGGATTGGGCGGACTGAGTCTCCCATCGCTGCTATTAGTGCGTACTGCATAGATGAATTGAGGACGAGAACGGTAAATGCAGTGAAATATTGGCTGGTAGCACCATTTCTTGTACGACATTACCGTTCAGACTCCAGAGGACTCCTCGTGATCTCGTCTCGCAGCGCGTGGTGACTGGTGAGGGGAGACTGGAGGGACAGTCTACGACCTGCAGTGCTGTAGATACGCGGTGACCCACGGCCAGATGACAGGAATGGACGTTGGCGGCTGGCTCTAAAGGGATGACTTGATAATTCATCCGTTGAACCCTGGTACGGCCTGCTATGGGATTTCCATCTCGCATTCATCAATAATGTCTGTAGGTGTCGGCGATGACTGATGAGGCGTAGGAGAAAATGGCGATATAGTAATATCGATTGCAGCAAGAAAAATGTGGTAAATTAGGCACTACTCAGAACTCCGGAAGAGGAAGGAGCAAAGCCCCCACAGCTCAACGCTTTTCATTTCAGTTCGCTGTTCAGACAATATCAGTCCCCAGTGCGTCATTCCTTTGAAGCAGATTCAAGTCATCCTCGGACAACAGACGCGTTGAACCGTCTGACAGGCTATTAAATCACGGAAGTATGAAAGACGTTTACTGAGAAATTGACCATAGAGTGTTCGTATTCCCATTGGGCTTGACAGGTGGCGGTGGAGACATCTCCACCTTGCGCTATCTAAACAATAATCTGGTATTACCCATGTCTCTTCAGTCCTCACCTTTCTCGTACACAATATCTGTTCTTTCAATCTCTTCATCAAGTGTTCCTTCTCAAGGTCCCTGAAACAGTGGCCTGCCGTGACTTTCTTTTGTCCCGAATCAAGAATCTCGTATACAAACGATCGCATTCGCATCATGTCCAATCCCCGACCTCGGCCAGCTTACACCTCGCCTCCAATCAACAGGGATCTATATGATCGCATCGCAGCCACGGCCGGTGATGCGTCGTCTAGGACTCTCGTTACCGAGTTTCTGATTCCTCCTCGTTCGGGGAAGGCTTGGCATGTTCCCGCTGGAGCCATCTTGCGCCTCTCCACTCCCGAGGGTCCGCAGGTGGGAGACTTCAATTTGTGGAATATGCATAACCCACGGGAACGACTATGGGCGAGTCGTACTCGTCAGCTGGAAAAAAGCCATGTAAGCGTGGGGAATCGGTTGTGGAGCTCCTTGCCCTTCATGAGACCGATGGTCACGATCATCGCTGATTCACTCGCCGACTATGGCGTTGACGCTGTTGGGGGGAGATGTCACGATCTCCTAGGCACCAGGTGCGATCCATACGGTAGGTAACATCATAAATGGTATCAACCGGCCTACGCATATCATTTTCGAATCTTGATAGATTGGTCAAGTCCATATGTCTAACCCTACTGCCTCAGTCAATAAGCTTATAACGAATGATGACTTCGATCTCCACTGCCATTCGAACCTGACACGCGCTGTCCTGCCATATGGGCTCACTGAGTTCGATGTCCATGATGTTCTCAATGTGTTCCAGGTCACGGGTCTGGATGAAGAAGGCAAATACTTTATGTGAGTACCACGTGGACGGTCATAAATTGCTGGCCCTTAACGAAATGTGGTCAGGCGCGCTTCGCCAGCAACCGGTGACACATATATCGAGTTTTTCGCTGAGCAACCTCTCCTCTGCGCACTCTCCACATGCCCTGGTGGGGACCTCTCGAACTGGGGCTGGGGCGACGATGGGGCCATGGAAGATGTCTGCAGGCCAATTAAGGTAGAGGTATTCGAGATTCCTAGGCACGCGAGAAACGAGGTGCTCCGCGATTGGGAGGAGTCTAAATGCCCAGACTACAAAGGATTACATGGAATGAAGTCTCCCCAGTCGGAATAGTTAACGCGACATGGCCGCTAGGATGTATCGCGGGTACCACACACGGATCCTGGGGTAATGTCATCCAATCTATGTCCCCGCCATCACTCTACGGCAAGATCTTCCGAATCCCAGATTAATGTATACAAGCCTTCTATCAATCTCTTCGTAACGAACAAACGGCATACTTCCACGGAATCTGGCGAAGATTGCCGATGAGGGCCCGTCGGGTTGCCCTAGCGCAATATATCTGAAAGCTACGCCTATATATTATATTGCTTTAGTATAGGAGCCTTCCTATTGTAACCTCTATTCCTTAAACATTTAAATCTAAACGGTCGCTAAGCCTCGCTCCCTTGCCAGTCAGAGTTCCGTGCCCAATGTGCTTAGTTCTGCAATGGTCAATTGACGGTTTCTGTGATCGAGCCCTGTATATCAACAATCACCAACACCAACCTCAGCACTGAGCACTGGAGGTCTGGAGCCAATACCAACAAGAGTGAAGGTAGAGCTTCCGAGGCAGCAAATGTTCTATCATCACCAGCAGCCATCCCACTGCTCCCTCCAATATATCCCCCTTTACCAGAGAGATCGTTTTTGCGATGAAAGAATTGCCGCTTCGGCAGTCCTTGGGTCAGATTGTAACATTGAAACTTCGGAATATTTAGTTCAGACGAGTTTGTGTCCCTAACGAAGATATATTCAGATGACTACTGAACACGAGAGCAATTGTACAACATATGACTCATTTAACCCGGCCACTATAGGCAAGTATTGAGGTTCAGAGCCATATTCGTACGAATTCCTGTCCTTGTTACTGTTCAGTACCAACCACCATAGTATCTAAAGTACATAAGTGTGGTCGGCTGAGTTGTGTTCACTGTCTTGCGAGTAGCCTCCTACAGTAGATCTTCTTGTACAGGATCCGACTGAATATCCACAAATATCATCATCAGAACTTCCGCGTATGCCTTTGCCCGCACCCCTTCCATTCATGCGCGCTCTTGTCGAACTGAGTCATATTTGGCGCGCCCAGTCGCTAATCTCTTATTGAAATGCTCAAATCCCTCGTAGACGCCATGAAGCTCATCCCTTAGCTCTTTGATTTCTGTTGCCAAAGCCGTGTTCTCTTCGTTTTTTTCATTCATGGCCTGCTGGTGTTCCTTTTTCTCGTTGCCTGATAAGGCAATTGTTTCCTTTAGCCGCTGTATTTCGCGGTTCTGTTGTTTCAACTTGCTTCGATATTTCGCTATGATCTTTAAAGTCGTCTCGATATTTCTCTGTGCTAGAGAAAGAGCTTCGGAAACATTCGCTTTGCGAAGTTGAATGATGTCATCGCGGTATTCCTGGTCGTGTTCGTCGCCGTCAGTGCTTAGATGGTTGACCTGGTTTCCATCATTCACTCGGGGCCTGGGCGATTGGGATCTTCCACTGGCTTCGCCGCTTCCTGTGTTCTGTTAGATGGTGCTTTATCAAGTAGAAAATAGAACAAGTTGCAGTCCCGAGCGAACATCGCCACTCGCACCCATAGGTACGGAAGTCTCCTGGGGATCGGGATTAGGAGGGTTTGCACTGGTTTCCATGCCGTCGCCTCCACTCGTACCCGTAAAGATGGCAGTATCTTGGGGACCGAGATTGGGGGGGCTTCCATTGGATCCTCTGTTATCGTCCCCTAGTAGGTATTCTGTTAGATGCCTTTATATCAAAATGGGAAATAGCGGAAGTTCCTTACCCGGAAGGACGCTGTCGTTCCGGCTTGACCCTCGACTCGGGGGCGAGACGTCTCGTTCTCCACTGCCTAGTCAGTGTGGTTAGCATCTCCTATATATCGTTCTCACGAGAAAGTCGAAGGGTCACGGATCCGGTCATGTCTCATACCTTCAGCAGCTTCTTGGACACTATATCAGATTGGACTTCTGTACAAAGGTTCCCGAGCGTTATAGTAGGCATCTATGTTGTAGTCCCGTAATGGACCTTTCCGTAGTCGGTAACGCGATTCTGTTCTGGAGAGGATTAGTTCGTTTGATCTCTGATAATGTATTTTTAGAAGAGAAAATAGGTATAATCTCGAGTAGAGGGAAAAGAGACCTTAACTTACGTTTGGATACGCGAGGTAGGAGCCATTGATCACTAATATGACGGTTCAAATGAAACTCAGGCGTCTTTATTCCAGTAGTATTGGGTTGGAAAGAGTAGGATGTAGGTAAATCCAGTGATGAATTAGGTGAGAAGGATGGCATCGATAGCAGTAAATTTAGTGATGGATGAGATGAGAAAGAAGGGATCGATAAATTCAGTGAGCATATGAAAGGCATCCACATGCGTTTGGGCCCGTGTGCTCCTGTCAGACATTTGACATCTGACGGTTCCATGATGTTCGCATAGAAGAATGTGAGGTTTCTCATGAGTCTAGACAGGAGGCTCTGTCTCAATTAGCACATGAAGATGCATCGATCATGAGAGTTTGGTGCTATTCGAAGACTCAAGTCGCGGAAGATGAAGAATGAAGTGGACTGAAAGGTAACAGGCGATCAGATGATATTGCTTGGGACGATCCTCTTAATAGGCACTCAGATATCAATGTCATTTCCTCTTTAGGTTGGACTGAGACTCATCTCTGTAATCCGTTGAGACCACCACCCATGCGTAGGTTGGTGTGATTTCAGCCATTGCCAATACAATCGAAAGCTGCTTAGGGGGTGGAATGCCCGGGTAGCAGCTTGTGAATGACTTTTTTTAAGTATGATGGGCTACTGGTAGATTTTACCTAGTTTAAAGTTATATCTCTGGCCCCGTGGGTGTTCATGACAACGCTGAGAGCGTCCAGCAAATCAGACTTCCGGTCCGCACTGCACCAGCTATGCTCAATTGAATTTGTCGTGATCGTTTCCCATTCCTTCCGACTGAGATCAAACGTTTCTTGGACCGCACAGAAGCAGTCAAGGATGTACGCCCCAAAATATGCAGGGTCGTCACTGTTGACACTGAATTTGACACCCGCGTCGATGAACTTACGGATCGGAACATGGGAAATGTGCGGGACGCACCGTAGGACCACGTTGCTAACAGGGCACACGGTGAGGAGGATATTGTTGTCCACAACCCTTTTCATCAGGTCTGGATCGTGGTCGAGACCGAGCCGTATCCCGTGATCGATACGAGTCACGCCGAGGTGATCCAGCGCGTTTGCGAGGTATTCCGCCGGTCCCTCTTCACCAGCGTGCGCTGTAAGCTTCAACCCGATCGAGGACGCCTCCTGAAAGATCTCGGACCACAAGGTCGGCGGATTGTTTTCGGAGGAACATAGGCCTACGCCGATCACGGAGCCGTTCTTGTAGTGCTCCTGAACCTCGGGCGATTTGAACGTGGCCACGCTCTCGTGGACGGGGAGATGTCTCAGGTAACATGACGTTAGGAGACTGGTGATTCCTAGTTCGGATTCGGCCCTTGAGCGCGCCGCATTGAGACCATCGACTATCGTGGCATACGCGACGCCTCGACTGAGATGCGCCTGAGGATCGAAGAACGCTTCCACGTGATGAACGCCATCGGATTTGGCACGGGTGAAGTAATCCCACGCCAGCATTTCAAAGTCATCTTCCGTGATGAGCGCGTTCATGCAAATATAGTAATAATTCAGGAAGTCATCGAGACAGGTGAATCGTGTGTAGCGGAGTTTCAAGGACTCAATGGACGCGAATGAAGGGTCATCGGTAGGAAGAGGGATTTGGTTCTTTTCAGCAAGCTTGAACAGGAGTTCAGGAGAAAGGGCGCCCTAGAATCATCAGATTCATTTCCTGGTAATCGGAACCGTGGGTGAGGTATTTCCGTACCTCGAGATGGATATGATGCTCGACCTTTGGCAGGGCGGCCAAGAAGGCGTGTTGCTCACTCGACTTGCACATATTTTCTGTTTTCTAAATTTTACAAAATGTATATGTAGGTCCATCTTAACCTCATGTCGAAGGGGGATTTCGGGATTTATAGGTAACTTTCAAATTGCTGTGTCGGAAGTCACCGAGTTTCGAGTTCGTTTTATCTCTGAAAGGAGTCTCCAGTGTGGAGTCTAACTGGAGCGGTCGACCTCGAAATGGCTAGCGTCATCGCAGCCAATCAGTGCGGCCCATGAATTTTGAAAATTGCAGGGGTCCATACACGTGCCCGCCCTTCACGTGATGCCACTCAAGCGAAGCGTCCGCACCAAAATCCTCCACTTCCATATCACGATCGCAACTTCACGGGTAGCATCTCCGCGCATTCTGACACCCACGATCCATCGCCCATCATGTCTCTCGTCACGGGAGAGAAGTCGAACTTCCAGTTCATCGTAAGCCAAGCCGCTGGTATTCCATTTACCCGTTCGAGTGCGACTGACCGTGGAACAGCTGCGACTTCTGAACACCAATGTCGATGGAAAGCAGAAGGTCATGTACGCCTTGACCAAGATCAAGGGTGTCGGTCGACGATACTCCAACTTGGTCTGCAAGAAGGCCGATGTTGATCTCAACAAGCGGTATACCGTCCCGGATCTCCCATCGACTTCGAAAAAGTTCTAATTCCCATCTCTCACAGCGCCGGCGAGCTCACCTCCGAAGAACTCGAGCGACTCGTCACCATCATCCAAAACCCGACCCAGTACAAGATCCCCACCTGGTTCCTCAACAGGCAGCGTGACGTCGTCGATGGCAAAGACTCCCAGGTCCTGGCCAACGGCGTGGACAGCAAGCTGCGCGACGATCTGGAGCGACTGAAGAAGATCCGCGCCCACCGTGGTCTGCGTCACTACTGGGGCCTCCGCGTCCGTGGCCAGCACACCAAGACGACGGGCCGAAGAGGACGGACTGTCGGTGTGTCCAAGAAGAAGGGTTGAACGTCTCATACTACTGGCATGGGGAGATTGGAGTTCGTCTGTTACTGCTCATGGTGGATCGCCAAAAATTAGCATCAGCACGGTTGTGGACTGGCTAGCCTATATATCGGCAGCCTGCGTACAGTCAAATCATGGATTAAAATCAAGGGTCAACGGCTTCTGTCATTGCATCGTGTGGGTATCTCATGACCGTGATCTACACATTAACAAGCAGTATAATCCTCGTTCAATCGCCATCATGGATCACTGCCATATCCAGCACCTCCGCCCGGGCTTTCCCCTTCGTGTGGCTGCCAATGAAGTCCGTCAACGTCCTATAGGCGCCTGGTTCTACGAAACCCACGACCTCCCAGTCATCCCCCACCACATCCTGTGACTCCACTTGTTCGATTAAGCCCAAGATTCGCTCCTTGACCGTCCCACTTGCCTTCTCGGCTCCCTCGCCGTCCCCATCTGCTGGTTTTGGTGCTTTGAACGCTTGCTTCAAGATGCCGGTTGGACAGGTGATCCGAAGCTTCATTCGTGCCCGTGCTAGCGGGATCGGTTGATGGGCAATCAGCGCCTTCATGGCATCCAAGGCTTGTGATTTCGAGGATTTCGTAGTCACCACGCCCGTCCAAACGGGCAGGTCTTTCTCTTTCACACCAGCTGCGGCCGTTCCCGCCGGCTCGCTCGTAGCAGCTTCACCGCTAGTTGGAGCAGATTTGGGCGGATGGGCGGAATGTGAGCTTTGCGAGCTCAGCTGATCCAGGGCTTTCTCGATCATTCCGGTGGTATATACCCGCTTCGTCTTCGGATCGACGAGCTTGCCCGCGACGATATCCAGCACCTCATGACGAATCCGATCGAGCTGGGCGTTCCGCTCCTTCTCGCCGACCTGCAGCTCGCCCTTGCTCAGCACCTCGAGGATAATGTCGTCCAGTTTCTTGGCGCCGAACGCCTTCTTTAGATCATCGGACGACGCCACCTGGCCTTTGCTGACGTTCAGGAAGACGTTGTGGATCTGGAGGACGTTGTCGAGGTCTTTTTCCACGCCGGACCGCCATTCGAGGACTTTATTTTTGTAGCAGGCGATCTCGAAGCGTTTTTTGCCTGACTCCGAGTGTTAGAGCATTCGGTCATGTATACCGCCATGAAGACGTCCGGGATTGTGCTCACCTCGTCTCATCCGCACGAGGGACACATTGGTGAGCTTGATGAAGTTCGACGGCTGGAGCAGTTAGTGAAAGAGGTCTGCGAGACGCTTGAAAGCACAACGTACTTGAATGATTCCAACGGGCATTTTGACGGGCTCGTTAGAAACTGATATTGGTGATTCAACAAATTCTCGTCAAGTTGTCCATGTAAATCCTTCCCCCGCTCTGGTCAGGCTCATCGGGTGCAGTTCTGGGATGGAGGGATGATATCAATATGAGGTATCAAGGCATCAAGGCACTAAGGAATCAAGGTTTGAAATGCGGCGCCAAGGCCACATACGGAAAGCGACATGGATCACGTGGAGTCATTCGTCATCGCCGTCGCAACCGCCAATGGCCGAGCGTCTCCCCCCATTTCAGGTAATCAAGTCGAACCCCCAGATGACCCTGTGGCTTATCCTGTTGTCACTGCGGCACCTACCTACTCCGTTGTCTCAACTCTCAGAGCTTGATTACTGAAGCTTCCATCCTCATCCCCATTCCTGCTTAAACTCTCTCCCAGATTCCCTCCTTCGTAAATCTTCCTGTTCCTCCTTCAACCCCCCTTTGTCTCTCTTCTTTGACATAGCCACGAGCTGGCACTCCAAGACGTCACCGATAACCCCCCAAGACAGCAGTGACTCCGAAACCCCGACTGTTGTCTAACCGCCCATCATGAAGCTTTCCACCACCGCGCTCCTTGCAGGAGCAGCTTCGGCATCTGTCCTTCCACAGCAGGTTCTGCAGATGTCCGAGCAGCTCATGGAAGGATGGTCCAAGCCGTTGCACGAGCTGGAGGAGTCCTTCGGCTCCCTCTCGTCCGATGTGAAGGATCTCTGGAACGAGATGAGCATGATGTTCCCCGAGTCGTTCGATAAGGCAAACCTCCTGTCGATGCCAAAGCCTCACAAGCGGAGGCCCAACTCGGAGTGGGACCATATCTTGAAGGGTGAGGATATCCAGAAGGTCTGGGTCGAGAACGCCAACGGCGAGAAGGAGCGGGAGATCGATGGCCATCTCGAGCCGTATAGCATGCGGACCAAGGCTGTTGACCCGTCGACGCTTAATATCGACTCGGTGAAGCAGTATAGCGGGTATTTGGATAACGATGAGGATGACAAACATCTGTTCTACTGTGAGTGACCTTCGGAGCATGCTCGGTGAAGTGACACTAAGCTAACTGGATGAAGGGTTCTTCGAGTCAAGAAACGATCCTAAGAACGACCCCGTCATCCTCTGGCTCAACGGCGGCCCAGGCTGCTCCTCTCTCACTGGTCTCTTCATGGAACTCGGCCCATCATGGATCAACAAGGACATCAAGGCCGACTACAACCCCTTCTCCTGGAACGCCAACGCCTCCGTGATCTTCCTCGACCAGCCTGTTAACGTGGGCTACTCCTACAGCAGCAAATCCGTGAGCAACACGGTCGCGGCCGGCAAGGACGTCTATGCGCTGCTCACCCTCTTCTTCAAGCAATTCCCCGAATACGCCACCCAAGACTTCCACATCGCTGGTGAATCATACGGCGGACACTACATCCCGGTCTTCACCTCCGAGATCCTCGCCCACAAGAAACGCAACATCAACCTCAAGTCCATCATGATCGGCAACGGTTTGACGGACGGGTTGGTGCAGTACGAGTACTACAAGCCCATGGCCTGCGGCGAGGGCGGCTGGCCGGCAGTCTTGGACGAGGGCTCCTGCCAATCGATGGACAACGCCTATCCGCGATGCGCGAGCTTGATCCAGGGCTGCTACGACAGCGAGAGCGTCTGGCAGTGCGTGCCGGCGAGCATCTACTGCAACAACGCCATGATTGGGCCGTACCAGCGCACCGGTCAGAACGTATACGATGTGCGCGCCCAGTGTGAGGACCCCAGCAGCCTGTGCTACAGTGAAATTGGCTGGATCGGCGACTATCTGAACCAGAGGGACGTGATGGAGGCGGTGGGTGCCGAGGTCGATACCTACGAGGGCTGTAACAATGATATCAACCGGAACTTCCTGTTCCAGGGCGACTGGATGAAGCCATTCCACCGCGTTGTCCCTGGAATCCTGGAGCAAATCCCCGTGCTCATCTACGCCGTAAGTTCGCCCCCTGACCCCCCGTATTTCTAAACGCTAACGCATTTCCCCAGGGCGACGCCGATTACATCTGCAACTGGCTCGGCAACAAAGCCTGGGCCGAAGCGCTCGAGTGGCCCGGCCACAAGGAGTTCGCGAGCCTCCCGCTCGAGGACCTAACGCTGTCCGCCAGCAGCAAGAAGATCGGCGAGGTGAAGAGCCACGGGAATTTCACGTTCATGACCCTCCATGCGGGTGGGCACATGATCCCGCACGATCAGCCCGAGGCGAGCTTGGATATGCTTAATCGGTGGTTGAGTGGGGAGTGGTACGCGTAGGTTAGGGATGGCATCGAAATTCATGAGGTTGAATGGATGGTGCAGGTTGCAAGGCATGATATAGTGTGCAATGCACGTACCTGGGTTGCATTTGGGGTCGAATGTCGAGATTACTCTGTCGAAGAAAACTGCATGCATCTCCGTCCGTAGACTCTCCATCTATTAGAGATTATTCCAAATGCTTTTCCCGCTCCATCCACGTCCCTGTGAGCATCCCATCTCCCCCCCCCCCATCACACACCCTTGCGAACTCCGACAACAGCCAATACACATACACCCACGCGTCCTCCCTCCGCGCCACCCTCCCCCCTACGCCCTCCCACCCCGCTCAATCCACCCTGCCAAATCGTCGCGCTCCCGCAAAAAAAACCGCAGCATCTCGGGGAGATCCGAAAACGAGGTGTCGACGGGGATGAAGTGCACCAAGGGGACTAGGCGCGTCGTGAGTCAGGTGCGGTAGAGCGTGGAGAGAACGGGGGCGGAGGTGCTGTGGTGGGCGGCGAGGGGGGAAGGGGTGGACGGGGAGGGGGAGGGGTCGAGGTGGGAGATGAGGCGGTGGGTGAAGGGGGAGGGGTGGGGTGCTGTCGGATGGAAGGAGGCGAGTTGCGGGCATGGTGCGCTGGTTTCCGTGGATGGAGTGGAGGCGTTCGTGACGGTTTCGGGGCAATCGAGGTGGGCGAAGGCGACGTCGGAGTGGGCGTGGTGCCAGGAACGGGATCCGGAGAATGGGGGCCGGTAGCAGGGGGACGTCGCGTGCTTCCAGTGGAGATGTAGCCGCGGTAGGAGTATGGCACCAGGTGGCTCGGGAGGATGGCGATGGCGTCCTCAGGATCGGAGGGGGGGTATTTTTCGCCGCCCTGGCGGGCTGGGCTGATGGGTGGGCAGGCGGGGTGGAGGAGTTGCCAGTACGGCTAATTTCTAATCCAGTCCGGGTTGCCGATTTCGAGCAGGTCTTCGGTATCCTTGGGGCGGTTGAATTCCCGCTTCGTTTCTGAAGGCGAAGTCTCCGATCGGGAGGCTGTGGCCATACTGGCACACACGTCTTCCCAGCTGGCGAGCACGCGGGCCTGCGTCATTCCATTGATCGGTAGTGTGACGTCTGGTAACGACACGGAGATATTCGACAGCGCCTGCACCCATCGATGCAAATCCCCGTCGTCCGTATCTCCTTCGCCAGTCACGACGCCATCGTGGATCCGAATTTTCCTCATATCGACCCTCCTCGCCGCTTGCCGGACGCCCATCTGGGACATCCCCCAGAACGGCTCCAAGTCCTCGTAGATCTGGTCGAACAGCTCCTCGATGATGGTTGCGTTCTGGGACTCCTCGAACTTGAACCAGGAATCGAATTGCGGAGGCGGATGTCGACCCCGTCGTTGGCGGTATGCTTTTGCCGCATCGCTCAGCGTATGGGACTCGTGTTCCAATATACGTTGGAAGTCACTGAGCGCCTCGAGGATGAGATGTTCTATCGGATGTCGTTGCGGATTGAGCGAAGGGGTGGAACTTAGACCGAGTAATGAAGGACTTTTGACATTGCGAAAGGAAGTTGACAGATATAGGAAGACGAAGACAAGGACTATGATAAGGGCTCTTCGATGAGATACGAAGAACATCGTGAAAGCCATTGCAATATCCTACTGTTGTTCTCACTTACGGTTCTGAGATTTGGTATGATTCCCTGAAGTATCGAATCATCGCTTGCCGGCTGGCATCCATTCTGCTCGAATGAAGGGGGAGTTCCTGTGTCCATTCAACATATCGAAGCCATGTCAGAGATCATATTGTTCCTTTGTATATCCTTTGTATACCTCCCCAACAGGTAGCTGCGCCAGTACACCAGCTCCGTCCAATATTCTTGAACATCGGAGTCAGTTGGTCGGTCTTCACCGGTTCAGCCACCCCCACAGGATGCTTGTCCATCCGTGACGAGAGAGATATTAGATACCTGCACACGCGTGATGAAGTCGCTGGCTGCAGAAGTACTTCTCCTGCTGAATGACGAACAAATGACAGGTTAACGAAGCATGACCCGCAGCAAACGATAGTCATCCTGCCAGGCGATAGGAACAAGTCATCGTCATGGGTTCACGCCCTGTTCCTATCCTATCTATCCATGTCGATCACTCGGTCAACCAGGGAGGTGCACCATCCAGAACACAGAGAAGAATCGGATCCAGACTCCATGAGACGGCAACACCGAGTACAGGATGATCAAGACAGGACTCAGGACGACATCTCCCCTCCGTCATTTATCGACTAGCAGGGATAATACATGGACATTGGTATCAACTGCAGAGTTTTCTTGCAGCTGTGACGTCGATGCAAGTTGATGGCAAAACGAGAGACCTTGAAATCCTTGAATGAACCAAAGAGAGCTGGATTGAACCAAAGAGGTTGGAAATAGAACCGGAAGCGTCCCGCATGAACGTCCCACGACCCACGCGACCACTGCAGTCCACCATGCACAGCACCACTGCAGTCCACACCACCACATCAAGGAGGTTTCCTCCACTGTAAATTATGGTACGCTGCCTTCTTCTTACACCAGCTTGGCCCATTCCCCCAATTTGTGAACCCAATCATCCCGGTTTCTGTTCCGTAAGTCGAGATGGTTCTGATCCACTGGTCGCCCTGTTGGCTGGGACGGTGGTCCTTTTCTTTTCTAGGGCTTCCGTCTAACTGGTGCCCTGGCAGATCTCCCTGAGCCTGACAGCTCCACGTAATGGATCGACTAACCCGTCTACCCGTATCTCGAGAACGCGATCTGAAGGTAGGATTTCATACAAAGACCGCCTTGTCGCTGGGTGCACCAACCCATCCGTTGCCCATCTCACCTTTTTTCATTGAGAACCAAGAGGTTAGAGCCTAGGATCTACCGATCTACGGCACTTATACACGAGCAATATGTCTCAGAAACCCATCTTCGTAGCAACTCATCCACGAGCTTGCTCCACAGCGTTCGAGAGAGTAAGTACATGTGTCTCCAGTATCCCAGTCCCCCGCTTCGACATTGTCCTCTGACTAGATCATAGGTGTTCATGACATGCCGTGACAGTCTCCAATGCATCCATGAGCCGTTCGGCGACGCATTCTACTTCGGCCCGGAGAGACTGGGGTCAAGATATGAAGATGACGAGGAGGCGAGGCTGGAGAGTGGCTTCAGCAACAGCACATACAAGACCATCTTTGACAGGATCGACAAGGAGGCTGCCGAGGTTGGACTCCTCCCTTCCTCGCGCGTGTTGTTATTATCTCCCCAGTTCTGCCGCGCAATCCAACGTTATCCCCTTGAATTCAGTCCTTCCGTTTGGCTCTGTGAAATGCCCGCTTGTACTCAATACGATCAGCGCCCGCCTATGCGTGTTTCTTAGTACCTTCTTCGCGCGGAGTCACCCTAGTCGACACCCAGCCCCTGACCGTCCTCACTACATTGACGGAAGAGGAGGAGGCCAGTCACGGTTCAAGGAAATGGATCCCCACGTCTTTGCGGCCAGAAATACTCGATTCATTTGTTATGATTTTTCGCGTCCAGGGGTTCTCTCTCCTCGTTCACTACTTACCGTAACAGGGCAAACGGATCTTCATCAAGGACATCACGCACTACCTGGTCCCTCCCAATGGAAAACCGGCCATGATCGCACCCTCTCTAACGCAACCGCGCCGCGGGATCGGAACCGACGGCTCGCATTCGCCCGCGACCGATTCCTCGGAATCCGGACCGGGATCGACCGCGGACTCCACCACGGGAGATCGCTACCCCTTCCCCACGGAAACCGAGCCGGGGAATCCCTCCGTCGTGCCCCTGGAGCTCCTGCGCAAGTTCCAATTCGCCTTCTTAATCCGCCACCCGCGCTCGAGCATCCCATCCTACTACCGGTGCACCGTCCCCCCCCTCGACGAGGTCACCGGGTTCTACAACTTCCTGCCCGAGGAAGCGGGCTACGACGAACTGCGACGAGTCTTCGACTATCTCAAGGACCAAGGGTTGGTGGGTCCGCGGATCACCGGCCAAAGTCCGCCGAACGAGGACCCTGACAAGGTGGACATCGTGATGATCGATGCGGACGACCTGCTCGACAACCCGTCAGGGGTGGTCGAGGCGTTCTGTAAGAGCGTCGGGATGGAATACTCCCCCGACATGCTGAAGTGGGGCGACGAGATCGACCAACGCGAGTGCCGGGAGAAATTCGACAAGTGGAAGGGATTCCACGAGGATGCCATCAACAGCACCGAGCTGAAGCCCCGGACCCATGTACGATCCCCTTTTCTTCCCCCCTTTTTTCGACGACTTACTTACTCTGACCGTTCAGAAGAAGATACCCAAATCCGACGAGGCGCTGTTCGCCGAGTGGACGGAGAAATACGGCGTGCGCGGCGCAACGATCATTCGCGATGCCGTGGCGAAGAATGTGGCGGATTATGAGTACCTCAAGCAGTTTGCGCTGAAGGTTTAAGCGACGGATGGCGGCTGGAGACAGCAGCCGGTCGTCGCACGCTGTTTACTTTTATTGTTCGACCAGCTAAACCAGCGGTCCTAAGAAATGACCTATTACGGCTTTATATGGCTTGACTTCACTACCACAGCGTGGATTCACCTGTTTCCATCTGTGAGCCCAATCTCCATGCCTACTCCCAGTGTCCATCCTATGCCAATAGCTACGTCACCTAGATACTTCCCAATGCATGACCCCCCATTTATAGCCCTCCTCAACACTTGAAGGCTGCGCGCTACCACTCTGCACACGATCGATTCACTAGTAACGCCGCAGTGATGGCGTCATGCCCGCCCCCGCACCCCAAGCACCGCAGGAAGCGCTGCAGCCGCATATGTCGATGCGCACAATGGTCGCTCATCGATCGGCTTCGCCTGTTGCTCGCTTGGCAGAAGACCCATCAATAAGCGTTGCGGGTGGGGGTTACGTGGGGCATTATGTAATCTTCGTGGAGTCGACCTATGAATCTGGAGAGGGCTTGGTAACGCAGTGGGTTGTGGGATGAATGGCTGAGGTCAGGATTCTGTATCCGCGGGCATGAAGATGGGGTGGACAGGTAGGATAATGGATGGGGAAGTATCCTACTATTGTTACGGAGCACTGTGAATGGCGAAGATATTGCAAGGTTGGCTGACACCCAGTTGCAATTGCCAGAGTCAAGCCTTGCTGGGAAACGCAATATAAAACAACCAGCAATTGGGGTATTTACATCAGGTATGTATTAAGCAACGCTATTATCAATCCTGGCGTTGTGGGCATCATATTCCACTTTTGGACCGAGCTCGTCCTGTCGGTCAGCCAGCTCCGCTGTGAGCTTCAAATTCTGCGCGCCCGACAACGCTTTGGTTACCGCGGCCTCGCAGCGTTCGCGCACCAATCGACGCAGGGCACTGACGAGGAAGCCGGAGAACACGTCGATGGCCCAGGAATCGGGGATCATGTTTAGAACCTGAAGTACTTTAGTATATGAAACGAGCATTTAAGAGTCGCTGGGGACACGCACCGTGGATACGTCGAACCAGGGGCCGAACCTCTCCAGAAGCTCCCCCGTTCGTTCGATCCGGTCCGAAAGGTCCCGAATCTGGAAGAATTCGTGCAGCAGATACTCAAACAGCCGGGACTGGTCCTCTCGGCTCGGCTTCGGCCGACCGGGAACGACGTCGCCCAGGGTTCGAAACAGGCTGTGCCCGCCCAGGAGACAATAGCTGACGGCGGTGTCGAAATCGCCGAGACCATGCGTCAGGAGTCGGATGGCTTCCTCGTGGCGGCCTTGGCGACCGCAGAGGATGATCATTTCGGGGACGAGGTGTTCTTCGTAGGCGGTGAGCCGTTCGAGCACGGCGGCGGTGTCGTACGAGGAGGCGGGATCTTGGGTGCCGCCGAGGAGTTGTAGGAGTCGGAGTCGGCTCTGCCACCACTCGGCGTCGATGGCGTTGTCCATTATGAACTGGCGATATGTAGGCTTCGGGGGGTGTAGCGCTCTGTAGGTCTCATACGTTTGCATGAGGATTTGTTTCGATTCCTCGGATAACTCCAGCTCCTTGACGACGACGTCAAGGTAGTAGCCGATCAACTCATTCGAATATTGGGTTTGCTAACAAAGTCAGCGGTTGCCTGGATCGCTGGAGACCGTACCTTACCTTCTTGCCGAACACGAGATATTCAAGGTATTCCTTGACCGCCGCAGGTGCATGCTCATGAAGAATCTTCAATGCATCGGTAGTTCGAAACTTGACGGTGCTGTGATCGTCCGCAAACACCTGAACCCCAAGTTTTGGGTTCCGATTCGCTAACCATATCGCATATTCCCGTACAAGTTTGCTGTCCTTGAGTTTTGTGAGATACCGCCGTAGTTGCTGCTCTCCATCCAAGAACTCGCCACCAGCGTCATGCTCACCGCTGATGATCCGCTTCCAGGTGGCCAGGACCTTTGACGACATCTTCCGGCTCTGATACAGACGACTAAGCACGTATAGGCGCTTGTACTGCTCGAGAAGCAGGACGGCTCGATCGAACGATTCGAACTCCTTGTCATCGACAACGATGTTCAACTCTTGCCGTACACTGCCTGGGGTTGCTGGTCCTGGTGACGAGCCTTGGTCTAGGATGAGAAGGATATGAAGTAGAGCGGCATCCACCGACCCGAACAGATCGTCTCTATCCTCGACGCTTCCAAAGTTTCGTTTCTTCCTCCAATAGAGCATATAAGTCTTTGCAAGCTGCAAGACAAGATGAGACAGCGAGCCTGACATCTGTGACGATATGTCGACCTGAGCTTCCTGATGCAGGAACTTCTCAAAGACATCTTTCAACCCGTTGTGGGCCCACAAGCCAGAATCTCCTTCTCGGATCTCGTCACGAATTACGGGGATGAACGCTAAGATGATGCGAGGGTCTAATTCGCTCTCGATGAGGGCCTTTTCCGTCGCCCGAACACCCTGCTGCTGGTTATTTTCGTCGGATGATACTCTCAGAATCAAATCTGCAAACAGGAGAAGGGCGGCTTTCTGGCGGATGAAGCTAAGGGCAAAAAAGTCCAGTTCCGTTCGCGGATCCAGGCCTCGGATATCGTTGAGCAGCAGTTGGACCGCCACTCGATCAGGGCGGAGAAAACCCCGTCGGGACTCTGCAGATGAGGAAGCCTGCTCCAATCTCGCGTTGAGTTGAAGGAATCTGGGATTGCGGACCGTCCACCAGATTCGATCGCCGGACCAACATGCCATTTTCGCCGGAACATTGCAGAGGCGCCTCACGATCTCCAATTCGTCTCTTTCTCGCGTTTCTTCCGATTCCTCGAAGATGTCCTCGGCGGTCCGCGTCTTCCCCTTTGCAGACTGCTCAGATACAATCGGGGAGGAAGGTGGGGCAGGAGTTGATGGTTTTAGGCTCAATCGTTTCTTTGCCAATACCGAACTTATCTCGGGGAGACTGATGTCAACCGCCGACAAAAGTCGTTGAATGCCCAGATCAGTTCCGTCCGTTGTTGCTTCGGCGGACGGGGCTTCGCCGACTAAGGATTCAAGATCGTAGTTCAGCTTGGTCGCATGACCCTCACCGGAGTCCACATCCCAGCGCTGAATTTCTAATTGGCGCTTGAACGAGTCTTCTGTCCCGGCACGGACAACCGAGAGTACGTACCCCTCCTCAAAAACCTCATCAAGAGCGGCGCTGGCAGTCAGATCGATGCCTTTACCATCGACCACCATATTATCCGGATAGCTGGTAAATTCGATGGTTCCGCGCACGACTTCTCCATCCAAATTGACGAACATCCCTACGCCAGGATCGAACGGGCCGTTTCCTTGAGCCAGGAGGAACTCCGTGGATGTTGGGGATGCGATCTGTGGACGCAACAGGCCAAATCCTTTGATCAATTGCGAGCTCGGTCGAGATTCGGGAGGAGGTGGAGGGAGGGATTTGTTCGTTTCTTGTTGGGGTCGAGGAGATGCCGATCGCTCCGTGGTCGATTCGGGGGGAGTTGTGTTCGTCCTAGGTGTGGGTGATGTCATTCGTGACAAACTGTCCGGTATATCAAAGCCATATCGTGTACTTGAATGCCGTCGTGTGTCGCCCGAGAACACCCCCAGGCTGCTGCTTCGTCCATGACCCCGATCCTGAGTTGTCTCGGAACGACCTAGTGCGGAAACACTTCTCGAGTGGGCGGATGGTGGAGTCGAAAGCTGTGATGTCTCTCCTATACTCTGGGGGTCTTCCGTTGAGAAGGAGCTGATCGGGAACAACGGGATCTTTTGCTGATGCACCACATCCAAGAGCGCATACGAGTTGGCGTCGGCAACACAAGCAACATCGCCTCGTCGGGATGTAGTCAGGCATCCACCAAATTCGATATCCCGTACCACGATGGGTTCCTCGCCGATTCTTACCATCCGTATCTTATTCCGCAACCCCATCATGATCACCACCCCACCAGGCTCGTCCATCACATCTTCGGAGATGTCCTGGTCAGTTCCCCCGACCCAAGCACATGTGAACGGTTTAAGCCGTGGAAACGCTGGGCTAAGTTCGGGTAGTGAGTAGAAACTCAAGGTATGGTTGCTTAGGATCGCCGCCTTGCCAACGGCGGGCAGGAGGAGAATCCGCTGGATGCCATCTTCTGCCTCTCGGAGAACCGGCGGTCGAAGCCTCGAGGCGAGGATAAAGGTTGATTCGGCGGATACATCTTGAGGATCGGGCGGTATTCGAACGAGATGTAGGATCTCCGCGGCGGAGGTACCGATATAAAGGTTGTCGTCTGAGAACGTCAGCACAGATACTCAATGCATGCCACCTGGAGAAGATGATTTTAAAATCATTCTCGTACTTACTCCAGAACTCTACACAAGTTATTCGAGTATCATTCTTCTCCCCGTCCGCCGAGAGCGGTACATCTTTCGCTAAGCTCCGGAGGAGGTACGGAGCATCATCAGAAGACTCAGTTCGACCGCTCATCGAGTTCTGAGGGTCCATCATGTATGTTTGACATTTCCATGTTTATGAACCACACATTAAAGCGAGGTGGGACTCAATCGAAGGGCTCATCACCATAGTTATCTGTTCGATTGTGTTATTGTCTTATTATTGAAGCTTCTATGGCGTCGGGGATTCAGGCGGATGTCTCCAACGCAGGGATCAAGACGGTACGTACCTTAATTAGACCTTAACTAGGAGTATCGCCGCACGGCTGAATGAAGGTGACGAAGCTTAATATGCCGGCAACACGCAACGTGACTTTTACATGTATCTCCTTCAACTGTGAACCATCACCGCAAATCGTCCATACATATCCCGTCTTTCGTTCATATTGCTATTTATTGCCCATAGTGAATGCTGGAATCAATTATATACACCCAGAGGGTCCGCACCTGATTCGAAATGGATCCAAACGTAACGATCCAAGGGGCACAACAGGAGCAATCCCAGGCCGACGCGGTGCAAGATGGCGTCAATGCTGCGGTCGAGGAGGAGAACAAGTTCCAAAGGGCCATCGCAGCATGGAGGGGTCCGTCTCCTACATGGAATTGCTATGAATATACGGTTGCTGACGGTAAAACCTAGATATCGATCTCACGGCTCTCGTTCCAAAGCTGGACACCACCGCTTCCGACATCGTCGCGCACCAACGAGATGCACTGATACAGAGGAAGGATCTTGCCCAGAAAACCAAGGATTTCCGGAAGCTAGACGATACTGGAAAGCTGGCTGAAGTCAAGGCCCTGCTCAAAGCTTATCAGACCTTCATCGACCTCATCACGAACCAATCCAAGACCGTGCAATCTGGCTTCTTGCAGGTCTACTCACCACTGTCCGAGGCTCCAGACCCATATCCTTTGCTCGAAACGTCCATCGACTCGCTGATCACTGCCGAAGAAATCGTCCCCCGGTTGACTGAGGAAAACGGGCGGTTGCAGAGCCAAGTCGCGACGCTCACTGCCCAGCTGGAGGACACGGAGAAGCAGTTGGAGAGCGAACGAACCACCCGACAGTCACTAGAAATTTCGCGTGATGAGAAGATTAAGGAGGTTGAAACGTCATGGTCTGCCGTTCTATCGGAGAAGCAAGACAATTGGGAGGCCAAGGAGCGAAACCTGGAGGAGAAGGTTGAGAACCAGGATCGACTGCTCAAAGAGCTCAAGGCAAGCTACGAGGTCTCACAACGGCTCGGAAGAAGTGAAGATGGGGATGCTGAGTTACGACATTCCGGAGCAACCGCAGCGGAATTGGAAATCGTCAGCTCCGAGCTCGATCGTGTGAACGTGCGATTGGCAGAGGTTGAGGGTCGGAACGAGCAATTGAGAATCCAACTCGCACATTCTGCATCCCAGCATCCGTCGCACCCCGTGGAAGACGATCCTGCATATCTGCGACTACGATCCGAAAACCAATCTCTGCGGAGGAAGATGGAGAATACCAAGCTGGATCGTGACAGTCAAACCCGAAAGATAGAGGGCGAACTCCGGAGCCTGGAGCGCGAGCTTGCATCGATCAAGCAAGAGCGCGATGGATTGAAGGACAAGCTTCACAAGTACTCCGACTACGACGATATCAAGAGCGAGTTGGAGGTGTTGAAGGTAAGTAATCAACTACATCGCTTGAACACCGTACCTAATGCTGGCCACAGACGATCGAATTTGCAACCATCGAAGACGACGACGAAGCAGACGGCACAGAACACAATGGCGAGAAACGGTCTCGCGATAACCTCGAACAGCTCCTCCTCTCGCGCAACAAGAAACTCACCAACGACCTTACTCTCCTCAGGGTCTCGCACGCAGATTTGCAACGGCGCCTCGACTCCCTTACCTCCGATTTTAACAATACCACCGCGGACCTCGAGAAGAGCAAATCTCTTAACCAAACCCTCGAATCCGACCTCCTCTCCTTACAACAAGAAGCCACCAACGCCTTCTCCCAACCGGGCTTCTCATCTGCCGCCTCTGTCGCTGGCACCTATACATCCCGCTTCCCTTCTTCCGCCCGCTCCACCGCCCGCGGGAAAGGCTCATCCCCAACGTCCTCGATCATCAGCGGCTGGGACCCGATCCCCAACTCCCCCTCTCCATCGACCGAGGGCGTCGGTGGCGGCTCCGGTATCCTGCCCATGGTCACCGCGCAACGCGATCGGTTCAAGAAGAAAATCGCGGAGCTCGAGGGCGAGCTGCAGAAGCAGTATGCGACCGTCTCCTCGCTTCGCAACGAGATCGCCTCGCTGCAAAAGGACAACCTCTCTCTGTACGAAAAATCCCGGTACCTCTCCTCCTTCTCGTCCGCTTCTCCGGCGGGACGCGGCTCGATGGCGCCGAACCCGAACCCGAGCAAGATCGACATGCCGGGAGCGGCGGAAGATAAGTATCGTACCATGTACGAAGGACAGTTGGGATTGGCCCCGTTCGAGCGATGGCGTAGCCGCGAAAATGCGAGAAATATGAAACGCATGAGCTTGCCGGAGCGTACGCTGTTGCAGGTGACCAAAGTAGTTTTTTCCAGTCGGCTGGGGAGGAATATCTTCGCGGTATATCTGCTGGCACTGCATATGGTGGTGTTGATGTTGCTGATACCTGGTCACGGCGCACATCATGCACAAGTTATGGCGAGGAGCGTGACGAGTACCGTGGATGAAGGCGGGAAAAGCGGGTGATTTGCGTATGGATCAAGCGATGAAGCTGGGGATGGAAAAAGGTTCTTGGTTACTGTGCACAATCCGACGAAGCGAAGGTTTAAGATTATTGAAGCTCTCGACTCGAAAGGAACCAGATATATCCAAGCCAACGCCGAAGGTACTGCGAATAACGATCGTACAACTCCGAGCGATGCCGCGTCCAAGCAAACCACACCCTCACGAATATTCAAGCTATTCCCAACGATTGATACAGTACATGATATCCGCATCCAAGTCTCGCGCATCGATCCGAACGCCCTCCAGGAACGCCGGGACCTTCGAATGCACCTCATTAGGTCCAGCGATTTTCCATGTCTCGTCTTCCCTGGTCTTTCACCCTCCTCATTTCGACTTCCAGAACCAGTACTCAGCCGCATACTCCACCTCAATATGGTCCTTCTGCCCCGCACATGTCTCCGGCGGCTGTCCACCGACAGTGTTCAACCGATACACCTCCGAATACGTCGCCTCGATGCCATCCAGATGCGCGGTGCTCATCTTCAACCACGGCACGTTCTTCGGGTCCGGCGCGGGCGTCGCCCCGTCCTTCTTGCAGCCCACCTGCCCGTAGTCCCCGTTCCGCGAGTTGAGGCTGAAAAACGGCACCCCGCCGGCGGTGAAGAAGTGGTGGCCGGACAGCCAAAGGTTGGACGGGGCCAGGCCGTCGGCGTCGGCGGGCTTGGCGTGGCGGATGGCGACGGGAGGCATCAGGGAGAGCAGCTCGGGATAGAGCCCGGCGATGCAAGAGCTGTTGAAGAGCGTGGCGACGGCGCCGACCTGCACGGGGATAGCGGACGCGTTGGTGGTGTCGCAGGTGAAATTCTGGGTGCCGCGGCCGACGACGACGTGGGAGAGGACGAGGCCGGGCGATGGTGGGGGGAGTGCCCCTGATAAGTCATGTTAGCACAGAGCATAGAAAGGAGTTGTGAGGGTGTTACCTCTGTTCATCGGGGCGTTTTCGATGTTGCAAGCTGGGGGTGCGGGGAAGTTGGCCGTCCGTACGAATCGGGCGACGCGGTCGCCGACGGCATGGTAGTATTTCTCCTCTGGCTCGGACCAACTTCTCGCGTTGACCTGGCGGACATCAAGGGTTGGGGCGGCAGCGGAGAGGGTAGCCAGAGAGGTGAGGAGGAAGGTGAATGCTGGTATTGTTGTGAACAACATTGTGGTTGTGTCTCAATCGGTTGGTGTTGGCGCTAGTGTTGTTGTTGTCGTCTTCCACGGAACTCAGGCAGGTCAATGAGGAAGGATTTGAAAGTTCAATTAAAGCGTGATGATGTCCAGCACCGTGATATAGTTGTTCGGAAAGAAGTCCTTGACTTGTATGGCGTAAGAAGATATTAGGCTCGAGAGCAAGAATTGAAAGTATAGAAACGAAACAAATAACGCAGCAAGCAATGAGAGTAGGAGACTCGATGCAATTAAAGCAGTACGAAATCCCAATGCAGGTTCCAGTAATAGAACAGAGATATCCGAAATCTTCGATGGCCACCAGAGTCGGCCACGCGCGTCAATATATTCCAGCCTCTCCATCCACGTCCCCCAACCGCACCCTCACCTTTCCATCTTCCATTGTTTGACCAAGAGATTCTAGGTCCCACTGAACACAACCATTGCCCCATCGGTCTTCTCCTCGGAGACCATTCGACCACTCACCGCACCGCTTGCCCACCGTACTAAAAATACCTGCGAACCTGACGACGCGGGCGGTTACCGACTGGAGCGGTTCCACCCTCTGATTGGTCCCGTGGCCAGCGCCCAGAGCCGCCTGAACGGGATGGCGGCGGGCACTAGGAAGAGAGCCGCCCTTGGCCCCTGGCTCATGGCTGGACCTTTTGAGGTTCGAAGCGGGATTGGAGGGCGAGGGAGGCTCTGAAGCGTGTTATTTCCAATGGCAAGAATAGATCTGGCGGTGGAGATGACGGGGGAAGGGGATCGGGATGTTTGTCTAGCGGCCGAAACATTCGATGGCTGCCAGAGATTCCGATTGACGGATGGGATTGCGCATGAGGGGAGGACCAGTCTGGACCATGGATGGAAGAGGATCGTTTCTGTACAAGGTTAAGGCACGATGGACAAGATTAACGATTTGACATCAATGTACAGAATATCCTTGGAGCATATCCACGTGGATGCACGATACGGATACAGTTACATATCATTGTCATAATAGTCTGTACTCTGCAGGCTACCGTCCCGTGGACGCCCAAGATCTCGCCCTAAATCTTCCTGCCCTCCAACCCAAATTCCAACTTCCCACCTGTGAACCCTCTCGCCCATAAATCCAATCTATTCTCTCCCCCCGGTTCTCTGTTCACTTCCAGGGTCGGAGGTCAACCGTTAGCCCAGCGGGCGCGTGTGCGGGACCATCGGGATCCAATCGAGTCGCGGGCGGTTACATCCTCGCGTCCAGTTCTACCTGTGATCCACTCTGAGACTATGCCATGTCGACGATTTCGTAATGGGCTCGCCAATCTGGGGAAACGGCAATCCAAGAGTCGTGGCAGATCAATTAGTAGTACTATGAATATCGGTACCCGGCCAGATCTTAACCGTCGAGTTCTTTTAGCAATACTCGCCCAGAAATGGAAGCGCTTGAGGGCTTAGGGTCGAATAACGGCATACGCAATAGAAACGGCATTCCATCAAACAGGAAGGGTATCAACCGACGAGCTACTCAAGCTCCATGACTTCGTACCTCACCGCTGCTGTACTCTGGTCGGACAGGAATGGTTGGTGGGACCTCACGCGCTGGAGCGTCGAGTCAGTATCAGGTAGTAGTGCATGAATGCAGTGCATCCTGTACACCAGTTACTCCGACGATTACTGTAGGCCTGCATCACCATCGAGCTCAGGCCCACAGCTTTTGCATTACCGCTGGCTATCGCTATGACCTGTCCCAAGGCGCCTGGAAATTCCGTGGCGATGAGCGGCCCTATAAGCGCTCACTTGTCTCCATCCGAATCACGACAGGCTGGACGATATGCCAGCAGGCATGAAACGGACGGATGCCCTCAGAATGTTTCCCTCTCATTTCCATTTTGAGAGTGGCATGACGTGGATGATGCTGGACGTATAAGTCGGCATGGCTGATATGGCGTATTGGTTTCGCTGGTTTCGGCTAACCACAAAGCATTCGAGAGGATGGAGCAAAAACTCCGTGCTCTTCTATTCTAATTAGCAGAAAGTCTTGATTGTTTATGCGTCATCCCCCATCCGAGTGATCCCAATTATTATCTCGCTCGCGATTCTTGGCGCTCTTCTTCCTCCCCGCCCCACCCCCTTCATCCCTGACCCGATCTGGTTTCTTCGGCCAATTCTTCGCCACATCGATACTGCTCCGCGGCCACCAGAGTTCCAGAAACATCCAGATCAGGTAATCCACCACCATGCACAAGCAGAACAACTTGCCCGCCCAAATCCCGCATCCATAGTACCGTTTGAGCCGATCAATCAGCGCAAAGCTCTGCACGCCTGCCCGACCGCGTACCGCGCTCCGCGTCTCCCCGCCGTAGCCATGCCCGTAGAACTCTTCCTCGGACAAGACGCCCGAGATGCCGTCGTAGACCCGCTCCGTGCGTCGGGCAATGTCCGCCCAGCTGTACATGACCTTCACCTCATCATGGAACCGTTCTGTACGGATTCGGTTCGCTCGAAGGGCCGCGATGGCCTCGCCCGTCGCGCGCACCAGGTCGTCCTCCTCGGGTTTCGCGAACGTCGTCATATGTTGCGGTAGGACCTCCGGGATGCCGCCGACTCGAGTGCACACGACGTAGAGACCGCACGATGCCGCCTCCACGAGCACAGTTCCGAAGGCTTCCGTGAGTGACGGATGGAGGTAGATGTTCCCGCGCACCATCACGTCGCGGACCTGTTCGTGGCGAATGGGTCCTAGGAGCGAGACACGGTCATGTAGGACATTTCGTTCCAGCATCTGCTCCAGGTCGATGGCCTTGGGGCCAGAGCCGGCGATGAGGAAGCGGACGTTGGGATAGGAGGCGCATATGAGAGGTATAGCGGCGATGAGGAGATCGATTCCCTTATTGTAGAACAGCCGAGAGATTACCACGATGGTAATTGGATCGTTCGGGCCAATGGGGCGAGCGTGACTCGATGATTTTGGAGTTTTCCGTGAGGACGAGATCGGTAGCTTTGGAGCGTTGTCACCATGCCTCGATGACACCGTGCTTGGATGATTGAGCGGACGGAAGTTCTCTGCCACGAGAGCATTGGGTATAACCGACACCATCAGAGGGTCTAGCGATGCCCGGAGAACGGTGTTCTCTTTGCAGGTATGCGAAACGCAGATGGCGTGGTCCACATCCGACAACGTGAACTTCAACAGTTTATTTGCAAAGATGCTCGCCGTGTCAGCAAATCCAAACAAGGAGTGGTCAGTGAAGACGGTCCGCAGCCCCATGGTCCGCGCATGGAGGATCGCTTCGTGGCAGAGGTTGCTGAGGCTCCCGTGTGCGTGGACGATCTCGATGTCTTCGCGGATGATGAGGTTACGGAACATGGGGAAGAAGGAGAAGAGGGTCGGGAAGGTCGTCTCGCGGTAGACTACGAAGAAGGGGACATGGTAGACCTTGAGGCCGTTGGTGAGGTAGCGGACTCCCGTTCGCCCTTCGTATGCGTGGGTGATGATGACGACTTTGTGGCCGCGGTCGATGAGTTTCTAGAAGCGATGAGGGGCCAGTTCGATTATGGTTGGGTGGTGATCGTACACTTGACAATTGGTATACGTGAGATTCGACACCACCTAAATTCATCAATATGGGCCATGATCCTTATTTTTGCGAGCGTACCAGGTTGTGGGAAGAAGTAATCACTGATCATCCTGCGGGTCCGTTAGAGGGCTGATATCGAAGGATCAAGCGGTGGCTTACGCAATATTGTACGGCATCTTAACAATTTCCAGCTTATCGCTGTACGACTTCTTCGCAGCCGCATTGTGAAGGCAGGAGATGCCGCGTCTTCTGCTTGCAGACGTGTAATGATCGATACTTCAATCGTTCTGAACAGCTTGATGAAGCAGCGGACGAGTTGAGTTGAGTATCAGAATTGGTGCCTCAGCCTTGTGATTTAAGGCAGAAACTTATCCCTATCCGAATCGCTCTCCTGGTCGAGCACCAGCAGTTAAAACTTCACATCAACTTGTATCAAGGTGTGCGGTGCAAATCATGGACCGTTGGAGAATGTTCATTTACCCCAAATCATCTGGGGCTGCTCATTTTTTACCTCGTCATCGCCCAAACTATGTACGTCCTGCTTCGTAGCGCGATCTCGAATACTACAAACTAGACTCCTTCTCTAACCTACTACACCAGCAATATGGGGTATTGGTGAAATTAACTAAAAAGAACCGAACACCAGCCAATTATCCCTCGTAATGTCATGTTGTTGGCCAACCCCAAGAACCCAGCGTTTGATTCTGTTCGTCATTCTCCCATTCAAAGTCCGTGAGACCAAACGCATCCTCGGCCATCGGAACCGCCGTGTCCCACATCATATTATCCCACACTCCGTTAAAGGACATGTCGATCGAATCGGAATAGTCAATGGGCTGGCCCTGCATCGGCTGGTGATGCCGGCCGGCCAGCGGCGCTTGCATCATCACGTTCGACATCAAATTCGGTCGCATCTGTGCCCCGTTTATGTTGGGCTGCATCTGGTTGGCTTGGATGAATCTCTGAAGCCGTGCGCCGCCTTCATGGTACTCAGGCGCCAGAGCTAGTGGCTCAGGAGGCCGCGGCTCGAGCTTGACGGATTTCACGGATCTCGCTAGAGACAGATCGTGTGGGCTCATCGAGCCATCGGCAGATGTGCCACTTGTAGAGAGGTAATAGTCGCCGCTATCCTGACTTTCCGTGCGGATTTTCCCCAGTCGGTTCTTCCCTCGAGCCTGGGATTGACGCTGAGGATCTTCGTTGACCTTCTGCTGGGCGGCCTTTTGGTGCTTTTCTGCCTCGCGCTGCTCGATTGTGGCTTTGGCGGCTTCGAGAAGCCCACTAATGGTGAAGAAGGAATTTTTCGCCGCCACTGAGTAATGCTTCATACGTTCAAATATAGAGAGCGCAGTGGCGATGGACGCATGCCACTTCTGCTTTTCCTCTACCGGCGCATCGTCCGTGAACAAGGAAATCAAAGGGACAAAAGCCGCCTGATAGGCTAGCCACTGTGTCGGGAGCGTTAGCAAGATGGACAATGACAAGAAGCCGGCAGGTTTGGGAACGTACAACACCATTCCAGCCCGATATGAGCTCTTCCTTAATCCCAGCGCTGATATCCTCGATCGTCTGTTCTGCAGCCTGCCTACATTTTTTCACGGCTATCTTTTCCTCCGCGGTCATATTTGCTGGCGACGTTCGTTTCAACGCCGTTGATAATAAGAACGGGCGGTGGAGGACGATTCGGAGGTTCTGAAACCTCCAGTTCATTACAGTTCGTGGCGTCCGCAGGTATGAGGGTATTGTTTCCTCTTTATCTGTTGTGAGCATCGATGGAAGCTCCTCGTACCAGCGCACGAGATCTTGGTCAAATTGTAGTAGCTCTTCGAACGGAAGAAGAGGAGTCGTGGCGAGACGATCCTGGATCTTGAGACTAATCTTGCAAAAGGGGGCGTTGTGAATCAGCGGAAGCGTCTTTAGGGATTCCGGGTCATTGGGGTCGAGTGTCTGTTCCACGGTCAGTAATGGATAGTGCTGGGGTCTGGAAACGAAAAAGTACCTGGTGCGGAGCCTCCCCGGGCTCGCGAACAGTAATCGCAGGGCTTGTTCCTATAGACGGTCGGCCGGACGTCGTTGTCGCCCAGGCTTCTAAACAGTACAAGCTCCACCAAGCCCTGCGTCTCATCTCTGCGAGGCGTGAATCCACTTTACTGCCTTGATGTACTGGTATATTGCTCCCATCGGCGCCGTTCGCCGTGCTGGTGGGCCTCTCTCCGGGGTACTCGCGATGCAGTCCTAGCGAGCATGCTATGCTGAGAGCAGCCTGCAGGATGGCGTGTGCCTCGTTCGGTCGGTTTAAATAGTGCACGTAATAGCCGCCCATCATGCCTAGAGTTTGGAGCCGCTCGAAGCTGCCTGGCAACATGTGTTCCATGTTGAGATACTCTCTCGTGCGTCGAAAATAGTTGAGGTGTGCCACATTTTCGGATGTACCAGCAGCGAGCGACCCGAGAGCGAAGACCATATTGAGTAGACCCATCCATGACCCATCAGATCGCTCGTGGAGCATATAGGTCTTCCTGAAAGCTTTCTCATCAAGCATCGGGAAGAACGGGTGAACATGTTCGAAGTAGCTGGCTAGCAATCGCTGGCCCTCCGCCAGTGGTGGTAAGCCGTTCAGGTCATCAGTCTCTAGGGGCGGAGAGCTTGCCCTACTCGGCTGAGCTGTGTCGGTAGAGACAAGAGTCGTGAATATTCGAGCGTTTGGGGCGGTTTTCATAATCACCTTCATTGCCGCAGTGATAGATGAGATGCCCACGTATGACGAATGTCGGTCCGACATGGACAGGCCGTTGACATCATCCGATATGCTCTGGAGCTTCGTTATGGGCTCAATGGACTTGATTAGGTCTTCGCCATCGTGGTCCGCTGCTTGTTCCAAGGTATCCAGGCTGTCCGTTCCGTCGGACCTGCTCTGCGTCTGTATTCGCTGGTTGTGCGGCTCGCCCGTGGCTGGGGATGAGGTGGATGATGTTGGAAGAGATAATGCAAGGGACAAAAGGTCTTCGCGGGGCAAGGACGACAACGACTCGATCGTTTTTGAAGGGAATAGCCGTGATATCACCGTTTGATATTGGTCGATCGTCGATGACAGCTTCTCGACCAACCTGTGTCGCATGTCAGACATCGCCGGAGAAAAGTATTGGGCTGGTCATACTTTCGTGAGGGCACCACTCGCTGCGTGGGCTTGGAGTAGCTACAAGCCCCCGGATGCTGATACCACTGGCATTGACTGCATGGTTTGGTGCCATCGCACCGAATCTTTCTTCTTCGACATTCAACGCAAGCGTTGCTGGTTGATATCCTTCGTGAACCGGTTGGTCGCGTCGTCTTCAATCCATCCGTAAGCTCGCCGGATCCTGGACCCCGAGCGACTGAAGAGGTTTGAAAGACGTGATACATGAGCCCTAGCTCACGACGCGTACGTCGGATAATCGACTCATTCGTATAACAGTACCGTTGGCGACTTGCAAACCAGACACATATTCTGTGGCGTTGCGAGGTCCAACGACATAAGGTCGAGACAGCTTTTGGAAGTTAACAAGGAGACATCCGAGATGCATCATCGAGATTCAAGATGCACCCCAGATTCGCAGCTATATCATAATTCTTTCCCCAAGCCCTGTTATTCCCATCAACAGGTTGCAACCCCTTGGAATAGGTCTAAGTTTCCCGAGAATCAGCCATAACCCATGTTTCCCATTGAGTTAATACGGAAGGGTTGCTGGCAATAGCCTGGCATATCCCCAGACGCCTAGGCGGCTAGGCTCTTGGGGAGGTGCAGGGTGCCAATGTCGGCGCCAGACTGTCAGGTCAAGTGGACGAACATTTGAACATTGACCCCATGACTAGGGCGTTTCATTAGGAATGGGGATGTGTCGGGGCTGAGATCCGCCCTGTTTGATCAAGGCTGCAAGCCCTAAGGTCACAACCCGCAACTCACAGCCGGAAGTCGGAATCAGAAATCAGGGCACAGTCAGGGTAACCGATGGCCACCAATAACAACCTCCCCACAACCTCCCCCACAAACCCGCCCTCATTCGGAGTGGTTCGGCTCAAGCGGGGTAATATGTACTTGCTGAGCTGCCTCATGTTCATTCATATTCGTTAAGGATACTTTGAGACATGTCGAGTTGTCCACTGCCCCCTAGCACTCTGACGGCTGGTGGCGTTGAATGATAACGCCTTCCGAGTTCCGGGGCAGAGAAGATCGGGGTTTGTTCCAGAAGGGCTGCAGAAGTAGCTTAGAGAAGACGGTAGTTTCGGCGTGCTAGGAGGACCCACGTGCAGCAAAAGTTAATTTAGCCGCCATCGCGATGGTGCCTGTGCACATCCCCAACATCACTATAGTAGGGAGTTAGGACTGACTGTCCGACTCGTAACCTGTACGCTCTGTATGATTGGTCTGAACTCTGAAACGAAGTGAAGAGATCTGGTTCAGGTATTGAACTGTGCGCTACGGTCGATGGAAAGTTCATGCAAAGATTTAGTAATTAAGTCTTCCCGGTATTCCGAAGCTTTGAGGCCCTACATAGCAAAATAAAGTGGCTAGGCTTTAAGACGCTCATCCGGGTCCAAGCCCGTCCAACTGCCGCTCATGAGTCAACAATTGACACTGGTTTGATCGACTCTGTTCACAGACGATGGAATCCAGGAACGCCTGGCATCAGCACTCAATTGGAACCACCAGGAGTTCTGCCGTTGGTGATGAGATGGATTGCAGGGATGCTCCATAAAATCCCTAGATTGAAGTTGATGAAGATTCGGTCTTCCACCTACGCAGGACATATTGGTTTCATATCTACTCCATCTATATGGAAAACCGTGAAACAGATGACTTCTCTTGAGCTGCGCCGCGCAAGAGACTATCCATGCCTTCGATTTGATTGCACAGGTTCCAGAGGACATGTTGCTGAGATTAATTGACCATCTCGTGGGGCCGACTGGCATTGCTCGAGCAACGCCCGGTTACGATTTCCATTCCTCAAAAGCCTTGGGGAACTCAATTTGGTCGAGCATTGCAAGAGCGAAGGGAAAGGACCTTATAGATTGATTTCGGGAAAACAGTATATGAATTATCCGTTCTAGTCTTGTGGATCGGATTCGAAAGGGCCTAAATGAACAGAAAACTATCGGTGTGTCAAATGCTGATTATTAACTCAAGCCGAGCAGAACTTCTCTTGAAAGTGTTGCGGTCAAAGAGTGAAAAATCCAATCTAGCGACATCGATCCAAGTGCGATGGCCTGGACGTGCGTCACAGCAGGATGCAGGAGCATGATTAGCCGGCCTGCGGAATATGCACTTCTGAGCACTGATCCACGTCTGGGCTCAGTACCAGGAGCACATGTTACGGTTCTCCAAGGTAACGCCACCGCAGCGGGGGATCATCTTCGTTGATTCCAGATACTCGAATGGCCTGTTCGTCCCCTGGTACCAGATCGATTGCGCTGTCTTCGACAAGAACGCCCTCCCGTTCTTCGAAAACCAGGCCTTTGGTGGGCCTCTGTGCTCGGACGCTCAACAGTCGTGAAGATTCAGATATCGTTTCGCTCACCTCGACTCCCCGGTCTGCGAAATCAAGGTACTTTAGTGGTTGAGGCCAGTCCACGTCTCGCGAGACGATTTGTCCATCGATGCGGATTCGAGCGGCCAAAACGTGTGGTTCTTCCTCGGTATTGTCGATAGTCCCTGTTAGAATATCAGTCGTCCCGTTCGGGACCACTTCGACTTCTTTCACAACGGCCGGTTTGATGTCTTTGCCAGTCGCAATTGAGATGAAACGTAGCTCCACAGTCGCGGCCGTGGCATTCGGTAGACTGCTAGCTACCCACAGTTCATAGTCGCTGGTTTTGGCCGGCCTCGCATGCACTACGCTCCAGTCGTGGTGAGCACGCTTCACTGCCACGGCGATTGGAGCCAGAACTCGTCTCATCGCATAATATGCTGGTTTCATCCGCACGAAGTAGTCCCCAATTGACCACGAGGTCACCGGCCAGCAATCATTCAGTTGCCATACCAATGCTCCCCCACAGAAGCGTTTCTTGCCCCATTGTTGTCGCCAGCCTCGGTAGCCAAACATCAAAGCTTCTGCTTGTGAGAGCTGTGTGAGATGGATGAAGCCCTAAGACATGTCAGTCATATGCATCGTCAGACTTTGCTATTCCATGCACAATCGTACCTCGAGATCAGTCCTGGTGCGAAAATTCTCGACAAGGTATGTGGCAATCCGTCGTTCGTGACCATCGGCCTTGTTGTGGAAGTCCAAGGTGTGTGACTGTGGGTAAAGTTCGGATTCATCTCTGCAATAGTACTTGATTGTCTCGATATGGGGAAATGCCTCCATGCCGAATTCGCTGTTAAAGCGGCCACCAAGCTTGTCAAATATCTGATACTTCTCTTGTGTGCCATGCCATACTATGAAGATATTAGTATATCCAAGCGAAATTTGTGGGAACCTCTCATCCCTCACCGTTCCACTGATGCATGTCGCCAACGGTCGTATCAAACGTCGGCAACCCATCACCCCATGGACTTCCTGGGTGGTATGCGATATGAGGACACTTGTCCTCCACAACTTCGGGGAGGATCTATTCAACATCGCGAGCATTAGGGAGATGCAAAGTTTGGCCATTTCTGTCAGCAGACACACCTTTTCGTATATATATCGGGCCGGGAAATCAGTCTTCAGCCAGCTTTCCGGATCTTTATCTTCGAACTGATAGGTCAAATGGAACTGCTCCTGGACCTGATAGTCCTCATTGTTCCCAGCATAGAGGACAATGGACGGATGGTGCCGTAACCTGGTTAGGTTCTCTGCGCATTCTACCCTGATGGATTCGCAAATCTCTGGGAAGGCAGGGTAATTACCACAGGCAAACATGAAGTCGTGCCAGATCAAGATCCCGAGTTCGTCGCATATATCGTAGAAGATATCTTCTTCCCATATGCCCCCACCCCAGATCCTATACCACGATTAGACACTGAAATACTAGGTCCTTTGCCACGCACCTAATCATCGTTTGGTATCCGCGGACCATCATTGACAACCACTTTCTGTATCGGTGTTCCGATATCCTAGGGGTGAAGCTGTCCGCAGGAATCCAATTCGATCCGCCACAGAACACATCCACGCCATTGATCCTGAAGAAGAAGCTCTTTCCAATGTCATCTGGCTGCTGGACGAGTTCTGCCTTTCGGAATGCTGTTCTTTTCTTGGTTGAGTGGATGACATCGTCTCCTTCGTACAAAGTGGCCTCCACATCATATAAAGGCTGATCGCCATAGCCATGAGGATACCATAGCAGAACGTTTGGTATAGAGAACTCTTGCTTTGCGTTACGTTGCTCATCAACAATAGCGTCGATGGTGATGACTGTACTATCCCTGATTCTGATCTTGAAGTTGACCCTGTCGCCTTTTAGGCCTTCGATTGGTGCAGACACCGTACCGCGGACTTCGCCCAAGGATTCCGGAAAGTCATAGTCGATTCTCAAGCTTGAAATACGGGACTCGTACAGCTCCAGGCGGACCGGTCTCCAAGGCCCGCATGGTGAGAGCATTGGGCCCCAGTCCCAACCCCTGAACTGTAGTAAGCATCTGAGATTTCTTTAGATTTCAAGACCTACCAGTGGTACTGCGCTTTTCTGACCGCTAGACGGGCCATATCACCGTTGAACCCCACCCACTTGTGTTCTGGATATTTTGCTTTGATTTCTTGTGCTTTCACCATCGCTGGTTCAAAATCAATCTCAAGAATGTTCTCAGTTCCATGCTGAATCTGCTTCGTCACATCCAAACGATGAGGGATGAACATGTTGTCCGATTTGAGAAGGACATTGCCGTTCAGTTTTACTGTTGCAAAGGTGTCCAGGCCATCGAATGCAAGACATGCCGTGGCCCCTTTTTTGAGGGGCTCTATCTTCGGTATCGAAGTCCTGTATGTCCATGATGCGTCATTGACCCATTCACAAGACAATTCATTGAAACCAATGAAAGGGTCTGGGATCCTATTTATTTGACGGTCAGTGACTAAATCATCCCCCAGAGAAAGATACTTACTTCTCATGGGCTATGAGATCCAAGTGGACATTGGTTGGGACTCGCTCAACAGGTAGCCATTGAGAGTCTACAGTATCAGATGTCTGCTTGAACTCCCAGCCTTTCGAAAGCTCGTATGTTTGTACTGTTCCGGTCATTGTACCTTCGGTGTGATCCTGGAGCAAACTCCGAACGGAACACTGATGGCATCGGCATTTCATGGCGGAAGGATGGCTGACTTTATATTCGGTTAGGGATCCTGTCAGTCCCACTATTACCCTTGCGAATTGCACAAGGCCGGACAGAAGTTTGTCATGTTGTGTTGGCCTTGGTGATTGTTTTGGCTGTTGATTCTGGTGAGATGCTGCAGATTGGAAAGATACAACTAACCGAATACAGAAGTCTGGGCCGTCATCCGTGTAATTGAGGTCTTAGCGATCAATTTCGAATTACCTGGTAGACGATCCCAAATCTCTTTGTGGCCAGGATAATAGCACAGAATATTGTTCCCTTGACTGGTGTCTCTCTTGGCTCATGGATAGTGAAATCGGTCGGAGCACCATCGTATGCTCATTCAGGCTACGGACGTTGATGTCCGATCAAAATCCGGTTAAAGCAACGGCGGAAGCTATTAAGGCGGCTTACTTTGACGTTACGGTAGCTAAGGATACTAGGGATGGATCGCGGCTATCCGTTTAACACATCGAATGACGAATATCCGCAATAGCATCCATCATCCATGAACAAAGGGCACAGTCGGCCCACAAACCAGGTAGGAGGACACAGCCGAGCACGCCAATGGGGTCGGATCTTAGCCGACGCCGTTAGTAGGCTGGAAGGGTAGGCTGCACAAAATATTTGGTGCATGGCTTCACAACCTGATTGCTAGAACGTGGAATCCCATGCCGACAGGTTGAGGGCTAAATATGCAGCACGTATTCGGGATCGTGGGGCGTGGAGGGGGTAACCAGATTTAGTTTCCTCAACGGTGACAGGATAATTCTTGGTTAGCTACAGTATCATATATGATGAATATTTGTATACTCAGATCGAGTATCGTGAACCGGCCACATCGCTCAACCACCTCCGTTTACCGTATATGGTGGACAACCGAAGTTGACGTCACAGGTATTCGAAGCTGGAGACGACGGACGCACTATATCGGATGGTCAACAAGATCCTTCTGGTGTTTATGAAGTATGATACCGAGAAAAGATGCAAAGAAACATCGCTAGGGCGCGTAACGTAAGATTGACTTCTAAGTAGACATTGTTAAGTTGGTCACGGTTACTGCTGTCCCGAATCCGAATGCGATATCCCGCCTGTATCCACCTGCACGGCTGCACCCCCCGCGTGCTTCTCCATCACGATTCCTGCCGCGGTTTCGGTTGACTACATGATGTGCGATTGGATCTCCAAGACGAGGTAACAATCTCACCATGGCCTACAATAGAAAGATCATCGTGGGTACTGGGAACCGATAAATAAAATCACGAAGGCTCTATCCGTACTTCTCAAGGAATGAAGTCTCTCTGTGGCTTAAAATCGAGGGCGATTAGGACTGAAGGTTGAGCTACGGAATACAAACCAATAGTGATGTAGTATAATCTTAGGGGTTTCGGAGCCTAATTCTAGTAGCACCGGCATTACTATCTTCGCCTTCGTTGGTGCGATTGGACATGGGTCCTAGGATATCCTTAAAAGGAATGCGGACAAGGTGTTCCGAATCCAATCCGGATATGAATTATTCCGAGTACTGTCTGTAATACACCACGCTCCAAGCAACCGGAGTGATATTGATACGGTAGGGCACCACATCGAAATCGAAATGAAAGTGATTCATCATTCGCCTCGCCGTAGGAGGCTGTGAGTAGTCACCACCAAACACTGAAGACACTCTGAAATGTATTTCCATTTTTCGGGCAGCACGGGAGTCCATCTGGACCCAATGAGCCACAGGGGATATTGCGACTAAATTACACGTAGTCAGGTCCAAGATGACCTAGGCTAATGACTGAATCCTACCAACATAAACGCCGCAACTGCAGTCATATATCCCACTTTGATCTGCTGTTGACGAAATATACAATCTGAGAGACGTCGTCTTTGATGATTTGCATGTGACTCCCGAGATAGAATATTGCGTTCTCGTTCTACAAGAGGAAGAATGCTCCGATACCAGCAAGTGCAAGTCCGAGAAAGCCTCGGGATGGAGCGTCCACCGTAGACGCGGCACCAGTAGATTGAAGCGGTCCGCCGGCCTGAGTGGGATTGTTGGTCGTGCCGGAAGGACTCTGTCCAGTGCTTCCTGCACCTCCGGCTTGGCCGGTCGAGCCGCCAGACGCCTGGCCAGGGGACACATTCTGAGGCGCAGCTTTGGCTTTCTCAACGAAGGCGGCCAAAGTATTTCCCGTCGCAGGGCTGTGAAGTGCGAATTAGTGGAGGACCGCATGGGATCGACGGAGGAAACCTACGGGTTCACAGCACCAACCATGCCGCCTTGGCAATGCTTTCCCTGAGAGCAGTAAAACCAGATGGGCTTGGTATCCGTGACTGGGATGGTATACACCAGCTTTCCTTGTTCGGTTGTGGGCATGAAACCCGAGTAAAAGGCGCTGGTGGTGTTCTGTACCGACTGCTGAAGCGGGATGCATGGGTTGGCAAAGTTAGATTGGGCAACCGAGTGATTCTGTCTAAGGTTAGTATGGAGGATAAATGGGCGTCTCGAAGAGCAATGAGTTTACCTTTGGCCAGAACTGGAACTGCACCAGGTCGCCGGGATTGGCTTTGATCTCATTCGGGGAGAAGGTGAGTTCGCCATTTGCACCTCCGGCCTGCACAACGTGGACCATCATGCTCTGTTGTTGCCGTTTGAAATATGTTCGGCGGCCTAGGGCGGTTCCTGCCAGCAGGAGAGTGGATGTAAGAAGAGTCGAGAAATGCATGATTATTGCAGATGGACTCGAAGGATAAAGATAATGTAGAAAGTTATTAAAATACAGCGACTCGCGCTTGAGAATGGATATGACCAAGAGAAGGACAAATACAAAAAGATGGAATGAAAGCTGATAGGAAAGGTTCAACAGGCCAAATTGTGTGAGTGCCAGAAACGATGTTTCGAGGGCGATTCCAAGTTTTATATGTCTACACCGGAGATTGCAGAGGACCAAGGTTTGGATCACTGTGCTATTGCCCAGCAAAAGACTCACGGAGTCCAGACTCACTAGCAGTATCTGCGACGGAATCACAAAAGGGGATGCCTCAGACATTGCTGAAATCAGGATATCGAAACACAGGCTGAAGCAGTTGAGCGGGTCGCTTGTCTTCAGGACTCAGCCACACGATGACGAACCGTACCTTTCTAATTTAGAAACCAAATCGAGGAGATTCTTGCTAAGATTAGTTCCAAAGATGCGTTGGAGTGGGAGGAAGCAGGTGTGTGGTGATGTCAAGGAGGTGGAATGGCGCGATGTGCGGCGGTTGCGGTTTGATATGCGTCGGAACTGGGCGACTCCGCGTTTGAGCCTCAAGACCCTGGCTCCGACCGTCTGTTGGCAGCAACCCATCATTTCGCGATTAACTTAGGCTTAACCAATTTCTTATTTTGGAATTCTGACTTTATGCGTTAATTTTAACCAGCAATAGGCTCAAGTGCTCCAGTATCGCTTCAATATTGGGCAAAATAGCTGGCGGTCGCCCAATTCCACAGTGTAGGACGTGGGACGGGCACGACGCCCGACTGCACCTTTAGATCCCTTGATGGTCTCTCCAGACCAAGGAGCCCCCTCATCAGAGGTAACGGATGGAGTATTGTACATAACCACTGCCCGTCATGGCACCTGGGAGGAACTGTGCGACTTGGTGGGGGGTCGCACAACTGGCTGTATTCCCATCAAGATGAATTTGTACGAAATATTGTGCGTACACGCCTTTGCGTTCTCGTGTCGTCGTAAATCGTTGCACATTGTTAGGAAGGAATGAAAAGAGTTCAGAAGTCAAGTAGCAGTTGTGGCGCAAGTTTCTCGAGATCTTCGACCTGTTTTGATCAGCAATGTACCACGGCATAACAGGTGAAAAACCAGAACTTACCTGCAGAAACCCATCGCCACCAAAGCCGTCTTCGGCAGAGTCCTTTCTCTCTTGCGCTGCTCTAGCCATGGCTTCTCTGACGAATGTCTCGATATACTTCGACGTGGTTGTCAAAGCTTCCTTGCCAATCTTCATGTTTTTATCCTCGAAGCCTTCGTAGATGAGTCTGGCAAGGAGTTTCAGTGGAATTGGAGGAGGACCGCCTTCAAGGTGTACAGGGCCTGTCGGTGTCTCCCTGGCCGTTGTCTCGGCCGTGTTTTGCTGCGGTGTGTTGGTCTCTTCGTTTTCGTCGTCGTCGTCATCCAGCTCTATGTCCAGATCCAGCAAACTTGTGTTCCTGGCCATGGGAGCTAAACTCGAACGTGCACTTGAGAAACCAGGCAACCCATTGCTGTCGCGAGATTGGCGTCCTTGTCCTTGTCCAGGTGCCTTTGTAGAAGTTCTTGCGGATCTACTGGCATCGCTCACTCTTGAAGGCGGTTTGAAAGGTGCTGGACCTTTTCGAGTAGTATTTTTAGCTGAAGACATTGCATAGAAGGTTGGAACAACGGCCTGAACAGACGGGACTGCCAGTAAATGGTCAGGTCGATGGCAAATGTAATCCAGTCATCGATATCGACGATATCAACGGAAGCTCAGTGCTCAGCACCAGACGCGATCTGATCTTCGCGTTCCTACTTCCCTCAAAAGTGGGACATCGCGTTTTCACGTGACAAGAAATTTCATCGGACATCACTGGCGACTTGGGTTGGTCTACAGAATAAAGTTTTCGAACACTAAGATTCGCTGACGATCACGCTTAACAACGACTGTATCGGCGAGATAGAATGGCTTCCGCATTCTATTCGAGGTATATTCCGCCGAAGAAAGGCACAACAACAGGTGCCTCCGGTTTGACCGCTCCCTCGCCAAACCCCGATCCGGCTCCAAAAGCTCCTCCTCCGGACGAAGGAAATAAACCGAAGAAAAAGCCAAAGAAAGCCAAAGAACTCGAGCTTGATACAAAGAAGAAGAGCAAGGATCTTAGCCACAATGACCTCGAGGATAACTCGGTATTTCAAGAAAAAGTCCAAGGCGTGGATGTCGACAGCAAGAAGACCGAATTGCCAAAGGTGACGAAGAGTAAAGGCTCCAAGCGCAAAAGAACTGAGGAGGAACATGAACACGAGTCGACTCAGGAGTTACAAAGGCACAAAAGGTTACTCCAGAAGTACCAGCGTTCATCAGCACACACCGCACCGACAGAAACAATACAACCTGCACAACCTGTGGAGGAGGATGTTCCTCTACAACTGGAGCGAGAGCCCCAAGGTACGGTCTCTTATACAAGCAAGTGCGCATTCAACTAATACACCGCAAAGGAATACAGCCATTACCACAGCCTGAACCAGAGCCCGAACCAAAATTTAACCCCACATTTTCTTCATTGCCCTCATGGCTTGCTAAGCCTGTACACGTATCGTCCTCGACACGACTCCCGTTCACCGACTTAAACATCGATCCGAAATTGACAGAGCGGCTTGAGACAAAGGGCTTCAAACATGCTTTTGCTGTACAAGCCGCTGTCCTACCATTGATTCTACCTGGACCGGAGAGATGGATTGGAGACCTGTGCGTTTCCGCAGCCACGGGCTCGGGAAAGACACTGTCATATGTCCTTCCGATCGTCGAGTCTCTGAAGGGTCGACACGCTCCCAGTCTTCGAGCCGTTATTGTTGTTCCCACAAGAGAACTTGTCAGTCAGGTTCGGGAGGTCTGCGAATTATGCGCGACCGGTACTGGCGTGCAAGTGGGAATCGCGGTTGGGAGTCAGTCTCTAGCCACAGAACAAGAAAGTTTGATAGAGATTGACCGAATCTTCGATCCGAAAGCTGCAGAATTACTGGAAGCGAAAGCCAACAAGATCTATCAGAAAGGACTGGAAGACTATAGCCCTGAGCTGGAGACCTTCCTGGGCATGATTCCCGGCCATGTTCCATCGTACGTGTCCAAAGTCGACATCCTGATATGCACTCCGGGGCGACTTGTGGACCACATCAAGTCTACTACAGGGTTCTCACTAGACCAGGTTGAATGGCTAGTGATTGACGAAGCGGACCGCCTCCTGGATGACAGTTTCCAAGAATGGGTTGATACGATTAATAACAGCCTATACAAAGAACGGGCATTCGACAGATTGCCCCTCTCCGATCAGATGAGGGTCATTATTGGTGAACCTCCTAGTCAAAAAGCGATCAGAAAGGTCATACTGAGTGCCACGATGACCCGAGATCTTGAGAAGCTCAGTACACTGAAGCTGAGAAGACCAAAATTTGTCTCCGTCGGTCTCGAGCAGGGGCAGAATGGCGAGATCAATGGATCGGGGGATCCAGAGGCAACACTTGCCCTCCCTTCAACCCTGAACGAATGGGTTGTACCTGTTGAGGATCCCTCAGAGAAGCCACTGTACCTCATTAGTCTGTTGAAAGACAGGTTATTGGGTGCCCTCGACCGACCTAGAGTTGATTTAGATGCTTCCAATGAAGCCACGGATTTATCGAGTGACGAATCTAGTTCGGACTCGGACAGCGATAGCACATCATCAGACTCATCTAGTTCGGACTCTGACAGCGACAGCACATCATCAGACTCATCTAACAGTTCGGACTCTGACTCTTACTCGTCGGACTCCAGCGACGACTCGGAAGCATCTCGGAAGAATGTGAAAGATGCCATCAGCAGCAGGACACACGGTCCCACTGTCTTGATATTCGTCAGCAGCAACGAGAACACCACCCGCCTTTTCCATCTCATCTCGTCGATCGAACCATCCTTGGCGTCAAGCATCGGGACCCTTACAAAACAAGACGGCTCCGCCGACCGGAAACGAATTCTTGCTGCCTTCAAATCCAAGCGCATCAGCGTCATCATCGCGTCGGATCGTGCCTCTCGCGGTCTTGATCTCCTCGACCTTGACCACGTAATCAACTACGACATTCCACGTAGCCTTGAGAGCTACGTACATCGCGTGGGACGGACGGCGAGAGCTGGGAAGGGCGGCCAAGCGTGGACGCTTGTGACGAATACGGAAGCGGGGTGGTTCTGGAACAACGTTGCAAGGTCCAAGGACATATTGCGCGGCGAGAAGAAGGTTGATCGACAGCGTGTGAAGGAAGAGGATCTTGCTAGAAGACGGGAGTCGTATGCCGATGCATTGGTCAAGCTGGAGGAAGCGGTGACGGGAAAAGGACGGTGATGACTCTGCATGTAGCACAGCATCTTGGCGAAGACGACGATAATGACCACTTCGAGTGAGCGCTGATTCACGTATGCGAGTGCATACCAAGTTGAAGCGGTTTCCGATCAATCAACGACTGCTTGTCGGCAATAATTCCATCTCTCTCCTGTAGTCCTGGTACCCTTTGAAGGCGTGATATGAACGAGATGCCGATTTCACCTCAGTGCCATTTTGTATTAACCAACCCTCGGCATACTCGAAACCACCCGCCGTTTTGTAGTTATTCGCATATTACCCGACGCTCTCCTATCGTTTGTGCGGCGTGCAAGTATCGATGCTTTGAGTGAAGGCCAAATGGGCCCTGAAACTGCCAGGGTGTCCGAAGGGCTTTCTACCAACCCCCCAATTGGCTGGGACATTTTTCAACTTCATCTATCGAGCACATTGCCCAAGAAATCACCCCCTCGTGCCCTACACAGGCTCCTTGCATGTAACTGTTATTTCTGGAGTCGTAATTTCTCTCTGCCTATTCCCGGACCCGGAGGCCAGGCGGGCCGCTCGCAGTTATTGCACATTCGTACCTGTACCTGGGGCACAGCAATGATGTGCGCGTGGGATGCAATATCAAACGTCTCGTCCATGGATCGGCTGAGATGTTGATCTAGTCCTTTCAGTAGACTCCTAAGTGCTACCAATGAGAGCCTTGGTCTACTTCGTTCAGCATGGAGAAGTCGCACCTTCGGGAAGGCGAGGTTCGCACATGGACTGTATTTCTCTGTCTAGCCATTCCATCACTCGCAACGGCGCCTTCAAAGTTCAAACATCTTGGCCTCGCCTAGATTGAGACCATGATAATTGGCTCATGGATAACGATCCTTCCTACTTCCTCTCCTGAAGAATCTGGGGTGACAAGTACGTTGCGACGCGACCTCATCCCACGGCGTCTTCACATGCATTGCGAAGCGATCAAAGAAATTCGAAGAAGCAAAGCCATTGTCATGAATCGATTTAAACATCGTCTTATCAATTTACCGTGAAGTATCTATCTGTGGGCGTCTTCGAGCCTTGAACGGGTTTGAACCAGTGGACATCAACCTGGACACCGGAAAGAGCAGGGATATTCAATTTCGGCGTATTGGTATCCAAGACTTCATTTATTACCGTTGCAATATATTGGATATTCAACTGATCACCATCATTTCGCCGGCCAAACAAATATAATGTTGTACATATCCCACTCGCTTCCGCTGGGCGATTCACACAAGTCTCGCTTTAGCGTTATGCCCGTCAACAACCGACTTGGGAAAGGATTTCATATTTCCCGTCCTTTCCTTTCAACACCCATGTCGTCATCATGGCTTCTTTTCGATCCTTAATCGCTCTGGTCGCTCTGGTGGCGCTGGCCGTGGCGTCACCAGCATACAGGTTGCAGAAGCGGTCGTTCACAGTCCATCAGCAAGCTGCAAAACACCGGACGAGAGTAGGAGTATACGACTTCCGCCGAGCCTACCGCAAGTACAATGTTATTGTACCCGTTGACGTTCAAGAGGCTGTGGCTATGTATCAGAATGGGACAGTCCCGGCCGTTCCTCAAAAAAATGACATTGCCTATCTTTCCCAAGTGCGCATTGGCCAAGATTTGCTTGACTTAGACCTTGACACGGGGTCATCAGATATGTACGTATGGTTCTATCTAATCGCCGGAAGAAGGAAGACTCCCATTGCCAGTAGAGCAGCATGAGCATAATCAAGCCGGTGGTTAACTGGCTGTTTAACTAACTGATTCGTACTGTAGGTGGTGCTTCTCCAATTTGCTGCCGACCGCAGAGCAAGGAAGTCATGCGGTATATCGACCTTCCTCTTCTTCCCAAAAACTCGCAGATCACACATGGAACGTGAAATATGGCGACGGAAGCAGCGCATCCGGTGTGGTGTATCACGATCAAGTAGAAGTGGGAGGAATCGTGGCCCCAAAGCAGGCCGTCGGAGCCGCCACGGAAGTATCGGACATCTTCAAAGAGGACGAAGAAAATGATGGGCTGCTTGGTCTCGGGTTCGGACACATGAATACCATTCGACCCACACCACAACCGACCTTCTTCGAGAACATCCAGGCTCAGTTAACCCGCCCCCTTTTTACCGTGCAACTCCGAAAAGGGGCCCCGGGTGCGTTTGACTTCGGGTACATCAACAGCGCTCGTTACAAAGGCAGTATCCAATACATCAATGCCGACACCCAGAAGGGATATTGGGGACTCGAAGTTCAAGGCGCCCAAATCGGCTCCGCTAGTCCAAGCACTACTTCTTTCTCTGCGATTATCGATACCGGTACCTCACTCACGCTACTCCCTAGCACCGTGGTTTCCGCCTATTGGGCGACCGTGCCAGGCTCTCAGCTTCACGCCCAAGCCGGCGGCTATATCTTCCCATGCGGCACCCAGCTCCCGAATCTCGGACTCGTAGTCCAAGGCCGCCAACACGTCATCGAAGGGAAAATGATGGAATACGCATTCACCGGCACCATCGGGAACCAGCCGCAATGCTTCGGCGGGCTCCAATCGAGCGACGGCTTCCCGTTCACGGTCCTCGGAGACACGTTCCTCAAGAGCATCTTTGTGGTATTCGAAGGGGGAAGCGTCCCGCGAATCGGATTGGCGCAGCAACCTGACGCGCCAGATGCGATTGGTACTGGGGTTTCTCAGGCACCAGCTCCAGGAAGGCCCCGTCCGCAACCCGCCCTGCCCGAATCGAAGCCTGCACCGGAGGCCTCGCCACAGCCCTCACCGCAGCCTGAATCACAGCCTGCACCGGAGGCCTCCCCACAACCTGAACCGCAACCCTCATCAAAGCCTTCACCACAGCCTGAATCGCAGCCTGTACCGGAGGCCTCACCACAGCCTGAACCGCAGCCCTCACCACAGCCTGAACCGCAGCCCTCACCACAGCCTGAACCGCAGCCCTCACCACAGCCTGAACCGCAGCCCTCACCACAGCCTGAACCGCAGCCCTCACCACAGCCTGAACCGCAGCCCATACCTCAGCCCTCACCACAGCCTTCGCTACAACCCTCACCACAGCCGGAGCCGCAACCAGAACCACAACCGGAACCGCAGCCCGAGACGCTGCCCGCACCGCACCCTAAACCGCAACCGCAACCTCAGTATCCACCACAACCCGAAGACCAAGGCCGTCCAGGCCGTCCCAGCGGCGGTTCCAACAACAGCGGGATGTCCGCACTCTCCTGGCTAGGGTCACTGTTCAGCGGCCCGAGCGGCAGAAGAGGGCCCGGCCCCAGTGGCGGTTCCAGAGGCAGTGGCGGCTCAGGGGGCAGAATCGTGTCCGGGCCCGTGGGTAGTTCCGTGAGTTTTGAGGGGAGTGGAGGCTCGGATGGTAGAGTCGTGTCAGGGCCCGCGGGTGGTTCGGGGGTAATTGAGGTGAGTGCTGGCAATAGGGAGCAAGGGGGTGGTGGTGGCGGCGCTGGGGAGTGGGATAAATTCCTGGATCTCTTGATGTCGATGATTGGGAGGGATAGGGAGGGGTGAAGGTGTAGGAGGTTTGGTACGGCGCAATGGATGAAGGGCGGGTCTGTAGGTCCCTTACGGTTCACTAATTCAACGTGTGTATGGCCGGGGGTTCGTGCTTCATGTGTGTCTGCAGTCGCGCAACCCGAACTTTGTCCGCTCCATATTTAGGGCTTGTAGATTGCTCTATCTACGTAGCACTCGCTAACGTCGCTCATGCCTGCCGAGTTGGTACTATCTCTCTTAACCTCTAGCTCATCCGGAGTAGGCGGCAATCAGGGCTTCCGCACTCTGCATGCCGTCTGCGAGACTGGATGGCAGGCTTGCCGTCTCTCCTAGCTGACGTAGTTCGGGGTGGTCCCGGACGTCTCCCTTTCCCAATTCCATTCCCCTCACTTCTTCTTCCCCTTCTCCTTCTTCTTCTGTCCACTCCCCCCCGCCGCACCCGGAATTATGCCCCCACCCTCCTGCATCTCCGCCATCATGTCCTTGAACAGATTGTCGCTCACCCCGCCGCCCGTAACGGCTGGCGAATGCAGCGGTAAGATTTTGTTGATCTTCCACCCCCGAGGTGTCGGAACCTCGGGGTTGGGCTCCTTGGGCGTGGCGCCTGGAACCGGGAGCTTGAATGGCGTGCGGTCGGTCGTGGGGTTCTGTTGCAGCCACGCGGCGATTTTGAGGAGGAGATGATGTTCTGTAAACCCAACGTCAGCATTCCAACTCTTTGTGGTATATAATTCAAGCACACCAGGTCGTCAACGACGGCGGCGGGACAACATACTATTCTTCACCCCCTTATCCCCATCCTCAAACTTCACCCGCACCCGCCCCGGATTTGCCCAGTCCTTCGGATGCGACTTCTGCGCCTCCAGCTCACACTGCAGCCCCATCCGAAACGCCCCCTCCGCGATCTCCCTCGCTAGCGGATTCGCCACCGCGTGCTCCCGCCCCACCATCCGTCCCTCGCCCCGCGACCGCGACGCGTCGAAGTAGATTGGGTATAGGCAGGTCCAGGTTTTGACTTCGGCGGCGGGGGCGCCTTTGAATGCGTTGGAGGTGCGGGGAGTGGGGAGGGAGGAGGGGGAGAGGAGGGTTGGGTTGGCGGCGGGGGAGGAGGAGGGGGCGGGTCGGGTGGGGAGGGTGATGATGTCGGCGAGGTTTTCGATGTCGCCTTCGGATGGGTCGGAGTCGGAGTCGGAGATCTCCTCGACGCGGGCGTGTTGTGACATGGTGGAGGTGGGATATTTGGGCGGAGGTGGTGAATGGTGTCTTCTAAGTTATACCACCATGGGAGGGATGAAGTCTTTCTGAAGGCTAGATAGTATGCGGGCCTAGCCTGGTATCTGCCTTCAATGGAGGCGCAGATTAGGATTATGTAGTCGCCAGTTGCTCATCGCTATTCTACAAGCCTTCAATCCGAATATCAAAGGTCTATCGGTGGATGTTCATTCAATTGTGGGGAGAGAAATATCCGGATGCCTTGTTGCCTCGTACATGACTCGCTAGTGCGTCGGTGGGTCATACAATTGTTCTGTTGATCTACCAATGATCAATTCTCCAAGAATATCTATCGTAAGGAAAATGCATGCTAAATGTATCATATTCCTATTGGAACCAACTTACCAAGGGAGCAACCCTGTTGACGATACAATCCACCTATCGTTATTTTGGGGGCGGGTTTCCCCTCTGCCCCGCTTCCGCCATGGACGTAGAACATCGGTTGGGGATTGATGTTCGAGATAGGTTAAGATATCCTGGAATCAGGACCGGAGCTCGGCGCCTCGGACACGAAGGTGGATTCCTCAGTGATACAAAACTGGACTCTATCCACAAATCCAGTTGACGACTCACTTGACGTAGACGGATGTGGAAACTTGAATGGCAGGAACATCACAGTATCACAGTCTCAATCATATGGCCTTGACTTAGCAGATCGGAAATATAGTGAACTCTCTCATCCAACTTATATCTAGCCAAGCAATCGCGAACCATGCCTCCATCTAATCGCTCTCCCACTGCTACGGCCGCCAATGGCACCGATGACCCCTCCACCCCCAGCGCCGTCCTCCACCGCCACCTCCACCACCGCCCCCTCCGCATCACCTCCAGCCACGGCCTCTACCTCACAACCTCCACCGGCCAACGCATCCTCGACGCCACCTCCGGCGCCGCCGTCACCAGCCTCGGCCATGGCAACCCCCGCGTCCAATCCGCCATGGTCGCGCAAATGAACCAAGTCTCCTACTGCCACTCCCTCTTCTTCAGTACCACCGCAGCCGAGGACCTCTGCGCGGAGCTCATCCGCGGGACGGATGGGGCGATGGCACGCGCGCTCATCGTGAGCAGCGGGAGCGAAGCAATGGAGGGGGCGATGAAGTTGGCGCGGCAGTATTGGGTGGAGCGGGGGGAGGGGGCGCGGCGGACGGGGTTTGTGGCGCGGGAGGGGAGTTATCATGGGGTGACGTTGGGGGCGTTGGCGGTGGGAGGGCATGTGTTGCGGAAGGAGAAGTTTGCGCCGTTGTTGGGGGTGGAGGTGGGAAGGGTGGGGAGGTGTGATGCGTATCGGGGGATGAGGGAGGGGGAGGGGGAGGGGGAGTATGTGGGGAGGTTGGCGAGGGAGTTGGAGGAGGAGTTGAGGAGGGTAGGGCCGGAGACGGTGTGTGCGTTTGTTGCGGAGCCGGTGGTTGGGGCGGTAAGTGTCTACATATCCCACACGTCCAGCTCTTTTTCCACATGAAAATCCATGTGCGAAGGTCAGTAGTGCGATAGTAACCCTGACGCCCCTTATAGGCCACCGGCTGCGTCCCCGCCGTACCAGGCTACTTCAAAGCCATCCGCGAAGTCTGCGACAAGTACGGCATCCTCCTCATCCTCGACGAAGTCATGTGCGGCATGGGCCGCTGCGGCACCCTCCACGCCTGGCAGCAGGAAGGCATCGTGCCCGACATCCAGACCATCGGCAAGGGGTTAGGTAGCGGGTACAGTCCGGTCGCGGGGTTGCTGATGAACCAGAGAGTAGTTGACGCGCTCGATCGAGGCACGGGGGCGTTCACGCATGGCCAGACGTATCAGGGACATCCGATTGCGTGCGCAGCCGCGCTGGAGACGCAGAAGATATTGCAGGAGGAGAAGCTTGTTGATAATGTGAGAGAGATGGGGTTGGTCCTTGAAAAGCTGCTGAAGGAGGGGTTGGAAGACCATCCGCATATTGGCAATATTCGAGGGAAAGGTTTGTTTTGGGGGGTAAGTGTCTTTCACGGCCTCTAAGGACGGAACTGATGGTATTAGATCGAATTTGTGCAAGACAAGGCGACCAAGGCGCCATTTGAACCATCAGAAGCCATCTCCGCTGGCATTCATGAGAAAGGCATGTTTCTTAACCTACTTTAGGCTCATCTGCTAACGATGATCCAGGCATGGAAGAGAAGTACAGCATCTCCCTCTATCCGGGTAGTGGCACTGCCGATGGTCGAAAAGGAGACCACATCATGGTTTGTCCGCCGTTCATCGTCACCCCTGCCGACATCGAGGAGATTGTTCGGATCACGGTGAAGGTCATTGAGGACTTCTTCCAGGAGAGAGCAGGAAACAAATGAAAAACACCTAGTAGGCAGTACAAGGTCATGTCCTTGACGGCGGTAAGGGCCGGAAACCCAATGCTGTGCATAGAACCGTAGATACGATACAAGGACTTTGAGGACGATATTAAAGGAGAACTGAATACCGTGTTGAATTTCACTATAGCATGACCCTCGGCATTGTCTCGTTCCAGGAGATTGACTAGATGAATATTAGAACCCAGGAAACGGCCAATACAAAGACTCGGAAATAGGCTGTAAAGTGTCAATTATGAAGGCCATTTTCCCTAAACAGGAATCGCAGACCACTTCTCCGCCGAACCACTCTACGCATGCCGTGGTCTCGTGGAAGGAAAGGAAACCGCCGCATCCCACTCCCCAATCCTCTCGACCAGCCGGGCATCCATTCACCTTTAATATCCCCTATAAAAGCCCCGTCTAGGACCACCTGCATCGGAGCTGAGACCGTCACGATCCGATTTCTTTGTTCCTGACGGGTTTTCGGGTTGACGTTTTCCGTGTGCATATGCAGGGCGCCGAATGCACGGGGGAACACCGTGGCGGGTGGTTAGTAAGGCGTCGGGTCTCAGGACTCAGGACTCAGGAGTATGCGGAGGGCGGCCAGTCAGGGCGGAGGAAGGGAGTGGGGTGGTGGAGGGAGTCGGAGTTACATGTGCCGCAGGATGTGGATGTCGACTTGTTCATGGTTAAATGGAGCGGATGGATTGAACACGTAACTGGTACCTGTGCAGTGTACACGAAGTCCAGCATTGAGGGATTTAGCGGCATGATAATATTTGATGGGAGGCTCCACCAGGTCCAGACTCCAGAGCGGGCGGTTGATGTCTGTTGAGGACCACCCACCCGACCAGAATAAGCCTCGTGCTGGACAGACTACGTACAGCACGGCACCGTATTCGGTTCACAGACAGGTTATGGTGCCGGCACATAAGAGGCAGAGTTCTTAATGAGCGGAGTTTATGAATTGCTACACATGACGGAAGATGATGCGCAAGCTCACCCAGAGAAGGGTAAATATTGGACAGTGGAGGAGGGCGTTCCCTGGGAAACATTCTTTGCACTACGGTCATCAGCGTTGCTGCAGCATGATGACTTCAAAATTTTCAGAGGGCCTCGAGGGTGCCAGGCTCCGACGACTCCGGCATTGGGAATCGGGGTTATGAACACTGAATAGGGTAGGCGGGCGTTGGGGTGGCGACATAGCAGTACGACGCTGTCACCATTGTGCTCGTTGTGGTGCATCACTAGCATGAGACAGGCAGCCGGGATGGGGTATTAAGCATTATCTACATAGTAGACGAGTGTTGAGTCTGAGAGGCAAGATGAGGAATGAGATTAGGAGTAATTCAGCATATTGGAAATGAGGAGTATACTGGAATATTCGGCCTGTATATATGGGAAATTGGGAATTGCATCATGCATCGAATGAATGAATAAGTTAGAATTTATTAGTTAATGAAATAATGCTGCAGGGAAGAATATCATGATCTCAGATCTCAAGTCTCAGTCTCACACAGTCTCCGGTCTCAGTCTGGTGATGCAAGGCACCAAGGCAATGAGGCACGAACCCCAGACCCGCAGTTTAGTTAGTGAGGCAGCAAGGCAGCTAGACGCACTCACCCACACTGCACACAGTGGAGGCCTCCCACCCCCGACAGCCTCCGTTCTCTCCAGTGCGGCAGTCTCATCATTGATGAGCGCAACTGTGTGACAGTGAACTGAGAGATCCTACCACCGCCGACTCCAAAGGGACCACCACTCCATCAGCCTCGCATTTTGACCTCATCGTCCCTACTCCCATCTTCGCTTCCGTCCACCACCATCCTCCCCCTTCTATTTCACCCTCAATCTCCATTGCCATCACTGATCATCGTCTCCTGCCCGTGACCTCAGCATTCGTCCGAAAATTCCCCCGTGTTGCTCACCAGCGTCACTCAACACCATACCCACCCTCGATTTGGAAGCCCGTTCCGACCACATTCGAGGCTACGACTCCGTCGATTCATCATCTTTCGGGGTTATCTATAGCCGTCCATCGTCATCAATCCCTTGGAAGCCATCCGCGAGTTTTCAGACGCCCGTTTCAGCGTTTCCTGCGTGGAAATGACGCCCGACGACCGATCGTAGGTGTTTTGTTGCGGACCACGACCAATTCGACCTCAGCGGCCCTCGACGCAGCGGACGGAGAATTTTGCCATGTCGACGCCATCCACCGCGACTGCAGTCCTTCCACCGCACCAGTCATTCTATCCCCATCATCAGCAATACCAGTCGAGTCCCACCGCCTTTATCAATGGCCAACCCATTCGGGCCACTCCGAGGGTAGCGAATCCACCATATAACGGCCTCCCCAGTACTGCATCCACCACCTCCGCAACCGACCTTCGTCGCACCGTCACTTCCAACACCAGGCATCCCCCCCCGATCCTCTCCCCGCAATATCCACCCGACATGTCGGCGGCAAGCCTCGCTAGAGATCGTGAACGGAGAACGGACTGGGCGGAGTTCTACAAAAATGGGATCCCGAAGGAAGTTATCGTCATCGACGACGATTCCCCCGATCCCAAGCCCGCCTCCAAAGCAACCGCGAACGGCGTCACCCATAACCATCCTGCTCCCGTTCATCGACACGCCGATAAGAAGAGAAAAACCGGAGCAGCCTATGATCCGGTGTACCAACCGGGCTCGTACCCAAACCACACACCCTACTATGAGCACTCTTCCTCGCACCACAACACCGCCTCTACCGACCGGACGACATCGGCAATCAACACTACCGCTGCCACTTCACTCGGCAGCCAAGCGAGCGCGGGAGCATATCCACCACCCCCGTTGGACAACGCCGCACAGGCGGGCCAGAAGCGTAAGCGAACTCGACAAGCTGCGCAAGACGAAGCGAAGGAGGCCAAGAGGAGGGAGTTAGAGAAACTCGATCCATTGGCTCACTATCACCCTCCCCCCAAACCTCCGATCAAAGCCAAAGACGTCTATGTTCAGGTCATTTCAGATGTAGGTTGATCCCACGTTCTACTCAATGGCACTAACAATCTGTAGCGTCACCGGAACCGCGACCAAGCCGTGGACGATGATGACGGGCATTACAATGTTGCCGCCGACGTTGATCTTACTGAGAGGTGTATGTGTACTTGTCGTTATCCGAGTGGATTTTCCTGACCCCTTCCCAGATAAAATCATCAAACTCCTGGGCCAGGGCACATTCGGCAAGGTCGTCGAAGCGCTCGACCGCAGGAAGAACACCCGCTGCGCGATCAAGATCATCCGATCGGTCCAAAAATATCGCGATGCGTCTCGCATCGAATTACGCGTTCTATCGACCCTGGCATCCAACGACAAGCAAAACCGGAACAAGTGCATTCATCTACGGGATTGTTTTGATTTCCGGAACCATATCTGCATCGTCACCGATCTCTACGGGCAAAGCGTCTTCGATTTCCTCAAAGCTAATGGATTCGTTCCGTTCCCCAGTACTCATATCCAAAGCTTTGCTCGTCAGCTTTTCACGAGCGTTGCCTGTACGTTCCTTCCGACCTTTGTCCTCGCCAAGCTGACCTGTTAGTCTTACATGATCTCAACCTCATCCACACCGATTTGAAGCCGGAGAACATCCTGCTTGTTAATAATGCGTACCAGACCTTCACATACAACCGCGCCATCCCTTCGTCATCCGCCACGACCAACCGTTCCGCTCGACACCGAAAAGTCCTCCTAGACCCGGAGATTCGGTTGATCGATTTCGGGTCCGCCACGTTCAACGATGAGTACCACTCATCGGTGGTCTCGACCCGCCACTACCGTGCTCCTGAGATCATTCTGAATTTAGGATGGAGCTTCCCGTGCGACATTTGGAGTATTGGCTGTATTCTTGTCGAGTTCTTTACCGGGGACGCACTGTTTCAGACCCATGACAATCTCGAGCATCTTGCGATGATGGAGCCGGTGTGTAACGGAAAATTGGAGAGGGATCTGGTCCGGGCCGTCCATCGGAACGAGAAGTCGTCGAATCGGAATCCCGCTGCTGAGTAAGTTCCCGAGTCCCGTCTCTCACCAACCTACTAATTCCTCAGGTACTTCCGCGGCGGCAAACTAGACTACCCTAACACCGAAACCACCCGCGCGTCCCGAAAATACGTCAAAGCCATGCGAAAACTTAGCGTAAGCCTCACCCCCTCCCCCTCCCATCCCCTCAGCTAACCCCCCATCCAGGACTTCATCCCCCCCCACACCGAATTCAACCGCCAATTCCTCGAGCTCCTCCGCCGCATCTTCGTCTACAACCCCAACAAGCGCATCACCGCGAAAGAAGCCCTCGCCCACCCCTGGTTCCGTGAGAGCATCCTCGACGACGGCACTGAGGCAATCCGAATCCGCGACAGTCGGCGGCGCGCGGCGGAGGAGCGCCGGCTGCGCGAGGAGAACGAGAGTGCGGCGGGGAGGAACGGGGTGACGTCGGCGGGGGCGTCGACGGCGCTGTCGACCCCACGGGTCGCTCCGCCCGTCCCGCGTGCGGTGAACGTATCGGTTGCGGCGAGGAGCTGATGCGGACGGACTTGACGAATTGCATCAACTATGTCCCTGGAGACCATTTGGTGACACCTGACGACTAGGCACTGGCGCACGGAGTTGCTGTCTTACGCGACGGACGCCTTACATCGCTTATCCCTTCCTTGGTACACCCGGATCTCGGGATCGGAGCATGGACGGATGGGACCGGTTGGACGGTTGCATATCATGACATAGGATTCACATGCGAGCGCGTTTAGACGGACGCTTGGTTCCATCGATGGGATCGGGTTCCTGTTGACGCTTCACGGATGCGGTGGTCGATTGGACGCGCCTCCCGATCGTCCTCTCGGGCTGCATCTATCCACGAGCGTCCATTCTCTAGTGGACGGGGTCGGGCACTAGATGTTACGCTACGATGTACGGGCTCGGAAAACGGGTCATGACGGGGGAACTTTGCCGCACGGCATGCATGCATGAGGATGGTAGGATTCGTCGCAGACGAGCCGGTATCGATATCTGGATAGCCGAAAATGACGAGCTTGCTTATTTCACCCGTGACGTTCAGTCTAAGATCTACCTGCCAAACTGTCAGAATGAGTTGTTTCCAATGTGGACTGCGTTCGTTCCGTATATACATCCGTGATCTACCCCTATATTTACCCGAGCGTCCTCTCATCGCCTCACTCCGTCTTATCCGGCTCGCTCCCCTCATTCCCATCCAAGCCGACCAGACTTCTAACATTGTATTCTTTCCGTATACACATCCATGACGCACCCCTATTCACCCAACCACCCACCATCATCACCCCCACTCACTCCCCCTTGTCCGTCTCGCCCCCTTCATCTCCCTCATCCAAACTCCCTATACTCCCAAACATCGTACTCGTCTCCACCTCCGCCCCCACCATCACGTCAAAGCTCTCATCACTCAGTACCGGGCTCACGCTCCCCGCCTTCCCGCTTCCGAGCCTTCGTCCGTCCTCCGCCGCAACCTCTCCGCGCCATTCCCACCCGCCGTGCCCTCCGAACTGCCCGACCGAGGCGGTCGGCGTCCCGCGAGCCCAGGCGGCAATCCGACCGAGAATAGAGCCATTCCGTGCCCAGCGGCTCGTCTCGCGTTCTTCCAGCGGCATCCTCGCCGTCTTTTCCTCCCCCTCCCCCTCCCCTTCCCCCAACACCACCCTCCTCAACCACCCCCCCACAAACAACCCCTCCGGATCCACCTCCCCCCTCACCCTTAACCACGCCTCCAAATCCTCCCCATACCACCCCCTCACCTCCTCGCTCCCCACGCTACAGAAGTTCTTCGCCCAGTGCGGCCGCCCGCCGAGCGACTTCATGAGGTATTCGAACGCCGCGTAGTAGCGCGCCGCGCAGGCAGGCTCGAGGCCGTGCGGGCGGTAGAGGGTCGCGTTGAGGAAGAGGGTGGGTTCGGAGGGTGAGGACCAGTCGAGGAAGGGGCGGGGGTGGGCTTCGGATGTAGAGGTGGTGTCGGAGACGCGGACCTCGATCGGCGCGTGGATGTAGACGCCGGACGGGTCGAAGGGGAGCTGTGCGGTGGCGCGGTCGCCGTTGAGCCAGGCGGTGAGGCGGGATAGGGCCTCGGGGCCGCGGGAGAGGGGGAGGGACCATTCGTTGACGAGCTGGGAGTAGAGGCAGTCCATGAGGAGGGCGGAGCGCTGGGGGGCGGCGCCAGTGGTGGTGGTGCCGTTACGGAAGCCGTATTGCATGCTGAAGATGAAGCGTTCGATGAGGGGGAGGAGGGGGGGGAGGTAGTGCGCGAGGTAGAGGAGGGTATGGTAGGTGTGGTATCCGACTGCGCCAGCGTACCAGGAGCCGTCTTCGTTCGTCGATGTTTCTGTAGCGGCGGACGCGGTGTCTGGATCAACTTTACTCGCCCTCCACATGACGCTCCGTCCCGTATACGGCAGCCACCACACCCTCACAAACTCCTCCGCCGTCCACAGATCCTCCGTCCATTTCGCCAAAATCGTTTCGCTCGGTACGATCGTCTGCGTCCACGCGATCTGCACGTCCGCCACCATCTCATACTCCACCTCCACGATAATCCCCAGCGCCCCTAAGCTCACCAACGCTGCGCGGAACAGCTCCCCGTTCTGCGCCCCCGAACACCGCACCACCGCCCCGTTCGCCAGCACGATTCGCAGCGCCCGCGCCCGCGACGAGACCAGGCCATGCGATAGCGAGCTGCCGTGCGTCCCCGTCGCCATCACCCCCGCGATCGACTGCTCGTCGATGCTCCCGAGGTTCGGCATTGTGAGGCCGTGCTCCGCGGCGCGGGCGTTCAGATCGTGCAATCGGATGCCCGCCTGCACGCGCATCACTTTCGAGTCGTCATCGACGCTGAGCACTCGGTTGAAGTGGTCAAGGTTGACGAGCCAGGAGGAGGTGCAGGTGAGGTCGGAGGGGGAGTGGGCGCTGCCGACAACGACGATACGGCGGCGACATCGTCGTGCGAGGGTGATCAGTTTCTGGATCTCTTCAATGGATTGCGGTTGGATGTAGAGTTCGGGGCGGGTGTGGAAGGTGCGGGCCCAGGTATGGTGGTGGTGGGAGGTGGAGGCGTGGAAGGGGATGGAGGGATCGAGGCGGGAGAGTTCGAGGGTGAGTTTTGCATCCATCGTGATGGGGGATCGGTGATGAGGTATAGGGGGATTAAGGAAGGCTATTCATAGAATTATTCTAGACGGCATTGTGAAAGCGGACTGTCGGGTGGTTATGAAAAAGATGCTAGTTCCAGAATCGCAATATCAAAATCACGATGCAAAATGACGAATTGGTCTGGTAGTGGGGTGCTATGGCTCCCGCCGAGGTTGGGCTTCGAGACCAGTGATGACGAGTTAACGATTACATTCTCACGGATAACTCATTTTTATATCAGATCTTATAGTTTAACAAAAGCTTTTCATGATGGGTGTTCATTTGCTCTTTCATTCATTTCGCCAGATCTCGCTCTCATTAAAGGAAAATGTGCGGATATCAACCGAAGCTCGATAACATCTACTCCATCAATTTTGTACCATTCAGGTTGAGTGAAGTATTCCAATCCATATTACGCCCATCCTTCAAACCGAGGCCAGCTCAGCAGGCTCATAAATGGCCATGTAGTGGTATGGATAGACTCCAGAACAGGGAGAACGCAACGCCGCATGATCTCTTTCGAAGGGATAGATACGCTGAAAGCAATGTGCCAACTGCCAAGTGCTATTCATAATCCAAGGCAATGCATTAAAATTGATCTAAGAATGGTCAGTAGATGCACATACGTCGACAATCGAATGACAAACCTAGCGTCATGCTCATTGACACATCTGTGTTCTCCACCATCTTGGTGAACTCCTCGAAGCTGATCTTACCATCTCGGTCTAAATCCGCTTCCATGATCGTCTTGTCTACGATCTGTTTGAGAATCTGTCAGCATATATCTTTTCGACATGACCCGTTCGAACCATTTACCTGTTGTAGTTGCTGATCCTTCAAATTGCTCCCCACCATCATCTTCAAGACGATAAACAGCTCTCCATTGCTGATGTATCCATCCCGATCGATATCATAGACCTTAAACGCGAACAGTAGCTTCTCTTCCTTGTTTCCTTTAGAGCTGAATGCGCTCAGCCCGGAGACGAACTCCTTAAAGTCCACGTCGCCACCACCGTCTTCGTCGAAGATCGCAATCATGCGTGTCGCAAGCGGATTTGAGGATACTTGTGGGAGCGACAGGAACTCATCGCGCTCGATCGTGCCGGAACCGTCCTGGAATTTGTTAATAGGGAACCTAAACGCAAACCTCGAATACAATAGCCCTGAGGCCCTCTTGGAGAACATACCTTGTCGAGTTTCATGAACCGTTTTCGTAGTCGATCGACTTCATCATGATCGACTAATACCAAAGGTCAGTTTATCTCCAACATCATGTGGCATAGAAGACCATACAATTCGTTCCTTCGACGATCTTGTCGATGACAGCGGAGTTTGCTTGCCCCATGATGGGCGACGATTGCGCGGAGGGGATGTATACTGCGGGGGGACGTATATTACAAACAACCACGATATCAGCCGTGATAATCCGTATGAGGGGTATGGGGTATCTTCAACTGCGAGGGAGATTTGATATCAAGATTCAGAATGAAGGTGAAGCTCAGGTCGAGGCATCGGCGTAAGACTGTTTGATACTCAATGAGAGTCGTGGGGGCGGCCAGCATCCCATCTGCCTTGGCGCCTGAACACCGGCCTTTCACGTGACCCCAATTCTATCTTGATATCGATATCTCAGAATTTCGGGAGTCTTCCACTGCCTCACAAGGCACAGGAGACCACTATAATATTGCTTTCCTGCATGGAAACACGTCTATAAGCACACTGTAACACCTCGTTACTTCCCTTCAATTCGTTTTTGAAAAGTCCATGATCCATCTCGAAACTTGAGTGTGAAACTCGGGAAACATGCAGCGTCGCATGGTCAGTTACACTTATCTTTCCCCTTATTTTCCACCAAATTTCATATGGTCGTATAATCAGGGTATCTGACCAGTCTCTAGCTCACGAAGGAGGAGGAAGCCGCGTCAGGAGATGTGGAAGTCCGGAAAGAGGATCAAGATAAGATTAATGGGTTCAGCCGATTGCATCAGAGGGAGCAAGCCCTTATGGAGGAATTGAAGACGAAACAAGTATGTTTTCAAGGCCCTTCCCACGAGATTTCAGGTCATCTGAAAGGTGCTGATCGATCGGTTAGAAAGATAAGGAGGACCTCGAGGAAGTGACCAACGAGCTCGAGCTCGCCGACGAGGACGACAAGTTCCCGTAAGCCAATCGACCTTGTCTTTCTGTGCAATACGAATATCAAAGGAGGTATCTAATACTTGCCCAGGTATAAAATCGGAGATACCTTTGTGTCTCTCCCCCTGATCGAAGTTCAAGAACTACTCGCTTCATCCGTCAAACGGATCGACAAGAACGTTTCCGATGCTGAAAACCAGCTCAGTGAAATCCGTGACGAGATGCAGGAGCTAAAAGTTGCGCTCTATGCGCGGTTTGGAAGAAATATCAACTTGGAAACATAATCCAAGCATGACTCGAGGATGGGGGATCTTGATACGAAACACGAGTCATGCTCGCGCAGCAAGTATTTCACCTGGAGACATCGGACATCGCTACAACATGTTTCGGTATCGATATCCAACAAGTTTGGCCAAAATCATGGTCCCTCTTCATACCGTTCGCCATTGTCTAGGATCAATTTCGTCACTTCACATCGCGATGATGATAGATGACTAAAGTCAGCAACGAAGAATGTGGAGGAGGTTCATTGGACTGGGAGCATAGGTTGCCGTTATAACCGAGAAAAGTCCACATCCCGCATTTGTGCGCTGATGCTAAACTCTAGCTAGCCGCGTACATCGATGGTTTTTGTTGAAGCCTGAGGGTCTTAGATCCTTGGGGTATGGGGAATGGCCCATGGGTCCGTTCTTGACGATATCTCTGCACCTGACGCTCAAACTACAACTTACAATTCATCCGGCTCGGTAATTGATACGGTACTTGTACACGGCCATGTTCATATTATTGTCTTGCAAATGAAAGAGTTTTCTTAATAGCTTCGTCCTTCGATGAAGGTCATAATTGTAAGTCATGGAAAGTGCGCAGCCTGCAGAGCCCCGGGCTCCTCCCCATGATCGTTCTGGAGCCGAACTTGAAATAAGCAAGAACGTACCGCAGGATTATACCACCATGAATGGTAAGTCAGCGTATCAAGAACCTCATAGATTGCTAATATGTTCAGGTGCAAAAGCCTTCGATGAAAAGCATGGCTCCAAAGAGGAGGTATCCAACCCACCTTCTGCTCCAAGTTCTTCATCCAATTCCGTGCAAAGGACCATTATATATTTCGAAAAGAATGACCCAACCAATCCATATAATTGGAGCACAGTATGGGTTTCGTCCATGGCCTGTACCCCAGCCACTAACACCCGTCCAGCTCAAGAAATCATACTGTCTTCTTGTTCCCGTATCCACCGTCATGAATTCCACCATTTCCTCTTCCTTAACCGCAGGCATCACCCCCAGTTTTTCGAACTACTTCCACATCACGGAGCAAGCAGAGCTCGTCCTCCCCACGTCTATCTTCCTCGTCGGCTACATCGTCGGCCCGCTCTTGTTCGGACCGCTTAGCGAAAGCTATGGGCGACGAGTCGTCATGTTCGTGGCGTTTGCCTTGTTCACCGTCTTCACGCTTGCATGTGCCGTGGCGCCGACGTACGCTTCCTACATAGTTTTCCGACTCCTTGCGGGGATCTTTGCGTCGTGTCCGATCGCGGTGCTTGGAGGGTATGTGGAATGAATTCTCCACGCCATAGGTGGCCCGCTGACGAATTTGGTCAGAGTTTGTGCAGATATCTACGCTGATGCAGTGTCCCGAGGTCGAGCCATGGCCCTATTCATGGCTGGCACGACGTTCGGTCCCGTCCTCGGTCCCATTATTGGAGGGTACTTGGACCCCGTGGGATGGCGATGGGCGTTCTGGGTGGCGTTGATTCTCGCGGGGGTGACCACCTTTGTGCTTGCGTTTATTCCCGAGACGTACGGGCCGTTGATTTTGAAATGGAAGGCTCAGAAGTTGAGGAAAGAGACCGGAGATCCGAACATCTTGGCCCCGTTGGAGCTCGAGGAGAAAAGCATGATGCATATCTTCACGGTCGTTCTGACGAGACCGATACGGATGATCTGCTTTGAAGGTAAGCCCCTTAACATTGAACTGAGAAACCCTGGCTAATGTGCGCAGCAATCGTTCTCTTTTCTTGTTTATACCTCGCATTGGTCTATGCAATCTTCTATATTTTCCTCCAATCATATCCAATCATCTATATCAGTAAGTCCCAGCAGTCGTCTATCGAACCCATACTCACGGCTCTAGACACCTACGGATTCACCATGGGCGAGGAAGGGCTCACGTTCCTCCCCATCGCAATTGGAGCATGTTTTGCCTGTGGGCTCTACTTACTATACGACGGGTTCCTTCTCCGTGCTCAGAAACAAAACAAACCCTGGGCCCACCGCGAAGAATACCGCCGTCTCCCACTGGCATCCATAGCCGGCCCGTTCCTCGTCGTCGCCATCTTCTGGGTCGGATGGAGCGCCCGCCCGGACGTGCACTGGATCGTCCCCGTCCTGGCCGGCCTCCCCTTCGGCTTCGGCTACCTCCTGATCTTCATGGCCCTTCTCAACTACGTCGTCGATGCCTACGAGATCTTCGCCGCGTCGGCGATGGCCGCCTCTAGCACCTCGCGGAGCATGTTCGGTGCGGTGTTACCGTTCGCGACACGACCAATGTATGACAAGCTGGGCGTGGCCTGGGCTTGCTCGGTGTTGGGGTTTTTGAGCCTAGCCATGTGCGTGATTCCGTTCGTCTTCATCTCCTACGGCGAGCAGATCCGGGCGAGGAGTCAGTTCTGCCAGCAATTAAAACGGCGGAAGGCGGAGCAGGAAGCGGAGGAACAGGAACGATACCGGGTGCATGATGCGAGGCAGGCGGAGGCGGGAATGAGGGGTATTCAGAGAGTAAAAAGCAGTGATGCGGAGATAGATACGCCTGAACTGGCGGTTTGACTGGAAAATGTAAATGTGAATCATTTACCACAGCCATGACTTAAGAGGTATCAAGTCTAATTAGTTGGGCTAGCGGGAAGTTAATATAAATTCCAAACTGTTTGGATCAAAGGACATTTCTTCTCCAACACTGCTATAATTCTATTGCCCCTAACATCCCGTTAAACCCATTCAATATTTCCTTTGATTCGAATGCAAAGACCCTTTAAGGTAATGAATTTCCATTGCCCAAGATATTTTTAAGGGGCTCCTCCAACAATCCTGCACGTGATCCACAAACATTCGCACATCGCCTAACCTCCACTCCACAAACCCTATAATCCACAATATGCTAATTCTTCTAATTCAGGCTGGTTGGCGCAATGGTAGCGCGTTGGTTTTCGGTGTAGAAGCACACCAAAGGTTGCGGGTTCGAATCCCGTGCTGGTCGACTTTTTTTGCTATTATTGGGGAAAGGAGATATTTATTTTTGGTGTTGGCGATGTGGGTGAAGATTCGGGTGGTGGCATGGGAGTCGCAGACTAACACGGTGCACCCATCGATGAGACTCGGTGTCGTAACTCTGGGTCAAGTTGCACAAGATGATCATTCCATTGTTCTTCAGTTGCACAGGATTTAGATGGCTGGATCAAAGTTGTCTTAAAATATAGGCCGAGATGATGAACCGGAAGTAATCTAATTATTTCCAGGAAGTACAGGAGACCGCTTCAATTCCATTGCCTTCATTTCCAGTTCCTATTATTCCATAATTCTAGTTGTCACCAAGCTCGACTACAATCCTCTTTGAAAAATGAGTGAACAGATCGAAGGAAAGCTATACAATGTAACGAGGATCTCGTGAAACATTAGACAATAGAGAATACGTTAGTATCATAGTGGTTGATAATGAGTCTTTAGAGTCTTTGGTCGCTAAGCATCAAAACATAAAAAACCGATGACCCTAGCCCATTGTCCCACGTCCTGGTACTAATGATAGGGAATACCAAGTTGACCAACGATCTTCTCTAACTTCGGAATGGCCTTCTTCACATGCTCGGGATCCGTGTTCTTCCGGATGATATCGATGAGTTCGGCCGGCGTCAATCTCGCGTTGCGGGGAGCATTGCTCGGATTGATGTGCGTCCGATAATGCTCACACAAGTTATCATGTCGGTTGAACTCCCGACCACAGGACTTGCGGCGACCGTTCTCGGTCGCCTTGAAGACCACGGGACACTTGTATGGCTTCCGGTCAGAATGAGTCGTGTTCTCATGTCGCTTGAGGTGTTCCTGTCTCTTGAACGTTCTCTCACATCGCTGCCTCACGCCGTCGGGGGTCGTGATGGTAAAGCTGCATTGATGCTGCTCCTTGGGAGACATGTCCCGGTCGGCTTCCAACCGCCCATCCGGACCGGGTCGGATATTTTCTCCGATGACGACTTCCATCATATGACCAGACCTCAAGGGGATGGTTTGTTCCTTGCCCGGCCTCCGCGTGCTTGGCTTGCGCTGGGGGTATTTTTTCGGGCGTCGTGCTGGCTTGATGGTCTTCCGCCCATTGGAGACCCGGATGGAATGGGTAGGCCTAAAGTCGTGGAGCCCGTCGTCTGATACGGGAGACCACATGGCCGAGGTATGACTCTCCACAGTATGGATGTCATAATTGAGGTCGACTGGATCGGTGTCCATTGGCTGAGGAGTCATAAAGGTATGGGAGGGAATAATGGTCGATCGTCCTAGGTCCATCTCATCGCAATAAGAGGTCGGGACTTGCGGCATCTCAAATGCCAACCCGCCCGTTCCAGCACTGCCAGGTAACTGGTGATGAAAGGTGTTTGAGTATTGTCCAAAGGGCGACGTGCTTCCTTGATTTGGCTCAGGAGTGAGAAGACAGCTCTTTTGATCTTCGATGTATCTCCCAGGTAAACTGGGATCAAATAGTGACTGATAGTCGTGCGGGGATTGGAGTGTGAGCCCTTGGGACTGTGAGGGACCCGTAAATACCCAGTCGTTGCTGAGAGCGTGATCTCGTGCGGAGGCGGGCCATTGAAGATCAACCTCATGGGGAGGGTACCGGGACTGAGTAGCGGGTGGTTCTGTTGGCGTACAGTGACCCGACACCAAGTCATGAGAGCCTCGAGACTTGGAGGAGCATGCGGAACTCGGGATGATTTCGAATTGAGTCTCTGATCCATATACAGAAAATTCGCTCGTGGGGGGAGGATGGAAGGACGGAGGAGTACGAGGTTCTGGCCCCGATTGGAATGAAGCAAGACTAGAATGACTAGACGGGATGGATTGAAAGGAGAACTGGGAGGAGGAAATGGAATCACGCCTGCTTCCATCACTGCAGGAGAGAGGAGTCATGGTTGTAGGGATGGAATGGTTGATGTCAACACCAACAAGATCTGCAGGCTCGAGTTTGATTCGGTCCGTGGTCATGTTTCCTTTTGCTTTTGCACGAAAATTATGCACTGTTTTCGAGACCCACGAAGTCAGCATGAAGCTGATAGAAGAATAATAGAAGGGGATTTTGTATGAGCGACGAGTCAAAATGGATCAACCATGTGGAAGGCTCATGGGGAGGAATTCAAGAATGAGTTGAAGATCGGAGGGAGGGGCGGGATGCTTTTCAAAGCAAAACCAGACTTCAAATGGATGTAGGGAAATGCAGTTCCCCGACCACTTTCCCCGGCCACTGGAGTTTGTACAACAACATGATACGGTAGAACCAAACTTGAAGCGCGACCGTTATACGCGACCAGTGTCGTTGGAATGACGAGGAGAATACCGGGGTGGTGTCAAGCAACGCTTGACCAAATCGGCGAGCGAGATCAAGAGAATGACCACACTTGGTCCAGGTGAGGACCCTGGTTCCTACAGAGCGCAAGGGATGTTCCAAATCTGAAGTGAACTCAAGAACCACAGACCTGGAGATGCACAATGAAGGGTCTTCATGATAGGGAAACGGGACCTTGCGTGCAGAACATCTTGGAACTTGGATGTGTGCCGTCCTCGTAAATATTGGTTGCGGCACAGCAGTCGATTTCCTAGATCGCTGCAAGGTCCCGCACGTCAGTGGAATGCTGGGGACGGGGACCCCGTGCTTGGTGGTAGCGTCAGCTTCCATAAACGCCTCCCTAGAGGAATGAAAACTCAGGAATATGGCACTCGCCATCTTCATCCTAAAGCCATAAGTCGAATCAGTCCTAGCTCTTCCTATTCACGCTATGACTCGGTCACAATCTCGGTCTCGATCTCAGTCTCACCTGAATCAACTCCATCCGAGTACAAAGAACCCTGGTGGACTAGACTGTCGAAGTCGATTCATCGGCTAAGAATGTCAACAGGAGGCTGATGGAGAATTTCAGATGCGGTATAGCAGGACTCATCGGCCGCACCAATCATGTCCAGTAGCCCCCCGCCAGGACTGAAATGGAGACTCGTGATTTGAACTGGGAACCAGGTGCAGCATTCGAAACACGGGCCATAAACATGTCGAAGGGATCAAAAGTGACTTAGGGTTAACGGCGTAGTTGAGCGGGTTACACAAAGCTCGCACCCACCCACGTTGGCCTGCACGGATCTTGAGGTGGCTTTCGCCGCATCTGCAGGATCGTTGAATGTCTGCGATGTCGTCCAATGATCGACGGATTTGCGTTGCACGGCAAGCTTCGATCGAAAACTCCCTGGTTACTCGCAGCAGTTGTGTCCTGTTTCGACATGACATCGCAAGCTGACATGGAAGAAGGGTAGCTGCTTCGCTCAGTTGGTAGCCTCTCACAAGCAACAATCCTATTTCAACGTCGTTTAGTACCGTTGAACAGCAAAGAATTGGATAGATCGAATCAAACCAAAAGGCTCCATTTCACGTTCTCGAGGGAAGTCAAGCCGTACGCAAGTGGTAGAAGGACCCCTGGACGTAATACGAAAAATCGATAGATTACGGTAACATGCTTTTGAACATGGCGGTTCGTCCTTGCAGCGAATATTGGCTGTCCGAGATCGTGGGTCGATCGATTCTGCAGTCTGCTACCCTTCTGAGCTCTGGACAAGGACTGGAAATGGACGTGGCTTCGAACAACATGTAGCCGATCGACGGGATGCATAATTCCGTACTAAAACTTGGTAGCTACAATCTGTGTAACCACGGGCTGATGTGCAGATTTAGTCGAGGAAAAGCAGGGACCTACAACTACTCAACGGTTCTTCCCGCCACGATGCTGCATTCTTTCTTTCCATAGCCTTATCTAGATACATTCCACTACACTGCCATGTGCGGCGAAGTGGTGGAGACGCCAACATGCAGAAAGAACCCTTGTCTGGTGAGGTACATTTACCCACCATCAGGATTGACAGAGGACATAAGGAACAGTTTCGAAGGACTGAGAATTCGACACTCTTTCTAATGAGTCTTGAAACGAACATACCGAATGACTTTTCAGAGTGAGAAATTTTAGTATCATTCACACTTCCAATACGTCCCATTGGATGAGCCGATTCCATGTGGTCCTATCTGGACAGATAATCTGGTGGGAAAGACACCGTTCGATTCCCACACTTCGACGGATTGGAGTAAACGATTGAAATCCGCCGTTCGCACAAAGGCTGTTTTCCTGTCCATAGGATTGTTTGGCTCGTCTAAACTCTTAGCCAATGAAGGCTTTAGCCAAATGAAGATGGAAGGGAGGAAATGCTGCGGCGAGGGTCATCGAATGACACAGTAGATACGCTGAAGATGGTTGGTGGAGTTGGGTTTTGAGCAGTTGCTCGCTGGTTGGAGAACCCATTGTTCGATCTTTGCCAAATCAAAGCTGCTCGTCCGAAGTATGGCGTGGTGGTGGGACCAAGAGCGCCATTGCCGCCATGTGTGCGACGTGAATATTCAGTTCTAAATTCCAGATGTTGGAAAAGATGTTGGAACGGAAAAAGGGTGGTGGTGGATGTATCACGTGTTGACGTGCTCATTCATGTCACGTGCTCAGGTTCTGGTTCAGGTCGTTTCATTATTGGAACGCGTCGATGTCATGGCGTCATAAACACGACTTAGGGGACGGGGAACCCATCTTTGCTCCTTTTCCAACCCATTGACTTATCTTTCAGCTTCGCATTTAATTCCAGTCGACAGCCCTCTCATCTCTTTCCATCATCCCTAACACGGAATTGAAGCCGCACCTCGTTGATTCAACCCGTGATGGCTCCCAAGCGAGCAGCCGCCGAAGTAGAGACCAGCGAAGCGCCAGCTCGTAAGTCACGGGACACTGGAAAGGAAGCAGAATCATCCAAGCCGAAAACTAAGGCTGAAAAGCGAGCGGAGTATCATGCGGTAATGATTGGTTCAACCCCTAGCAAAATTCAAATCCTCATGTGAAGCAGGAAAGCAAACGAATTGAGGAGAAGGCAAACAGCCCAGAGGGCCTCGAGTACATATGTCTCGCCCGTCCATGGCAAGACCGGGAGAAAGAATGGGAAGAGGACGAAGATTGGGAGGATGAGCCCTCGGAGGAGCAAATGAAGCTACTCGAGGACGAGATCGAGAAGTACGCGGAGAAACCCGCTGAAGAACATCCGGAATGGAAATGGATCATCACCCGCCAAGGCAATTATTTGGCCAACACATACGGCGATGACACCACTCGACGCAATCCTGATATGATGGGAATGTATACATACAATGACCATGCCGGGTATGGGATGCAGGAAGTCATCGAAAACCAAGTGAGTGCAAGAGTACTATCAAAACAGTTTGTTCTGACCATCGCTCAGCTCATCGCCTTTAAGAAAGAGTTCAGTAAGAAGAATTGTGACCCTCATCGACTGTGGATCCATTTGGAGGCAATGGGTTTATACTTCTACATCAACGATCAGATGGGTTGGCACAGTAAGTAGTCCGTCTCCAATTGGATCCTCACGCTCACACTAGCGGTCTAGTGCTGGAAGATGGGGAGTGTATGGCCCAGACGCTCGCTCTCGTTGGGCAAGCCTTGCTGACAGGCCTCAATGTCCTTGAGCGTGCTGACCTGCTGAAGCCTGACTCTAAGATCAAAAACATCGGCCTCGTCGTCGGCTTATTCCTCTCGCTTGCAGCCATGCACACCGATGCGATGGATGACGAAGAGTGGCCCTCCCAAGCCATTGCATATTGCAAGAGCCACAACGTTGAGATTAAAGGACTCTATGACTCTGACGAGCTCGTTGCCCAAGCTGACGAGGGGCTGGATCTCGAGGATTTCGAGGACCCCCCCGGTCCAGATCGCTTCAATTTCAAGAGGATGTTCAAAGACCTCAGCGACCGGTATGGACCACTCGGAGGGAGCAAGTATGATATCGTCAAGATGTCAAAGAAAGAACGGATCGCGGCTAGTTACGACAAGGAGGATCCGCTCGACAAGGCTGACCCAGATTTTCTCATCCATTGAGTGGACATGTTCTCGAGAGGTAGTTTTGACATGGTGTCCCGACTCGAAAGGGTTGTATCTTGACTACGGCTAAGGTGGGTATATCGAACGATTCCATCCACACGATTCGCTAGTCATCAGTGTCATTCAAATATATTTAGAAGTCTTCGTATCGACGGGCTCATGGTTGAGCTGAAGAGCCAACCACCTACATTTGGCGCCACCGGATGTTTCAATAGAAACTGGTGGTTGCCATCATTTCATGAGAAATGGCCCAATAAGTACAAGGAATCTGATCTAACTTCCAAATGTTTCGAAACAGTACCATTCAACTACAGAGCGACGCCAACCGATAAACAGCGGCAAGTACTAGCGAGCGGCAGCGAGGATTGAAACCTGGCGAATGGGGCGTGAATTAATACGATCGGTCCAAATCTGGTGGATGCAGAGTCGGTTGCAGACATGCAGGATGCAGTCCTTACGTACCTATTATTATTATTGCAGGAGTACCGTCATTATCAACTCAAGTGTCAACAATAATGAATAGACAGTCAACTAGTGGTGTCAACAGACAGTCTACTGGAACCTGTCTGGCGTCTGCCGCTTGAAAGTGTGCCGCCAACAGAGTGCCACCGATTGAACCGTGCCGCCAGCGTCCATCTGGGCGTCTGGCGACAGGCGCCTTGCAGAATCTAGCTGAAGATAAAAATATCAGATGCCGCAGGGTCATGGATATTTTTAAGGGATGTGCGGCAGATGTGGCAGAATGCAGATGTCGCAAGGAGCTTTGTTAGGAGCATTCCTCGTTCCCGGTTCACCCCCAGTCAGCAGTCCCAGACCCAATGATATCTTCATCTTGGTGCCACAGCAATGACTTCTATCTTCGTAGTATTATGTCCGTTAAACGAATCACGACGAGTTCGATCAACCAATCAGCTCGTGCGCATTTGTCGAAAAGGCGCCAATGTTGGGTTTTACGAATACATTTTAGGAATGCTGCAAAGAAGGTATTTTTAGGCCTCCTGCAGACTGCTGAGTGCTGACAACTCTGCCGCGCTGCGCCATAGTCCATGTCGGATTGTCAACGCCACTCAGCACCACTCGTCAGGCCTCGGTGAGAGATCAGGGTGAGTGATCAGGCCCTCCATTTTCTGACTTCTGTTCAACCTCAACAATCAAAGTCAATCTAGACTCTGGCTCAGCCCTCAGGTTTGACAGGTGTGTCCTGGTGTACTCTGGGGCCCGTTCCGAACACCACCCTCAGATTCCGTCTCACCAGCGAGACCAGTCACCACACCTCATCGCTCACTCATGTCCATGATAGGCTGTTGTCGAAATAACCTTGAGAAGAAGCTTAATCTTATTTTCTGTCGATCTCACCATGGCCCCCACCGCGATCTTCCTCCGCCATTCCTCGCACTGAGGCGGAGTGAGACGGATGCTGTTGCTCCCGGCGCCACGATGGGAAGTGAGCCCAAACATGAGACTCTGTATCTCCAGGTTTGGAGGTACGATGGCTAGGCTTAGAGCACCATACGCCGTGATGGGAAGTGAGCCACCAACACGGCATTGCATCTCGGGCCCCATGGTATGTCACAAAGTAAGATGGTCAGACTGGGGCATGACGGTGATGAAATGGGTATAAAGATGAACATCCTTCTCGACCTCATTATGTCCATTATCAATCCATCAGACAATCTAAAGCTTCATACCAACCAGCTTTGTTTATTTCCTTTTGGGTATATTTCTTGTTTCCTATCTGTTTTCGCACGATCTTTCAGAGGCTCCAGGTCCCCAGCTGATCCATCTGATTTAATATTATCTTCGACAAAAACCCCGAAAAAAACCTGCAAACAAAATCATGCATTTCTTTCAGACCTTCACAATTGCAACCCTCGCTTCTCTTGCCGCCGCTGGCTGGCACTCCGACCCGAAACCCACCAAGGGACATCCATGGTCCCCTGCCCACACCCATGAGATCAAGCTCGTTGCCGAGAATGGTGTCGTGAAATATGTCCCGGACCGAATCGATGCTGAGGTGGGAGATGTGGTCAAGTTCCGGTTCTTCGCCGCCGCCCACAGCGCGACTCAGTCGACCTTCGACACGCCTTGCACACCCCTCCAACATGGCTTCGACACTGACCTCATCCCGAATCCCAACAACGTCGAAAGCGCCGAGTTTGAACGCCTGTTCCACGTGAAAGACAAGAAGCCGACATGGTTCTACTGCAAGCAGCCGAACAAGAACCACTGTGGTCAAGGAATGGTCTTCGGCATCAATCCCAATGGCAAGATGGACGAGTTCATCCAGCGTGCGAAGGACCAGAACGGCGCCCTCGTTGATGCCCCTCCACCACCCACCGACACGGCACCGCCTCCTGCTACGGCCACCGTTGTTGTGTCTGGCGGCTTCAACCCCGATGGATCCAACAACCTCCAATTCACCCCCCCGTTCCTCCCGACGGTGAAGAAGGGCGAGAAAGTCGTCTTCGACTTCCGCAAGCTGAACCATACCCTCACGGAATCCACGTTCTGGAACCCGTGCGTGAAGAAATTCGGAACTGACATCGACACGGACTTCCAAAACTTCAACCCCGATGACGTGCCGCTGAAGACCCCCGCGACGGTTGAGTTCACGTCCGATAAACCCCGCTTCTTCTACTGCAAGCAGGCGAACGGCACCCCCAACGGCCACTGCAGCAACGGCATGGTGTTCGCGGTTAATGTCAACGACTACACCTTCCAGGCGTTCCAGAGGAATGCGCAGGCCACTCTGCCCCGGATCAAGGGTCGATCTCCTTTGGCTTTCTCTGGGCCAATGGAATGAGTGACGGGGAGGTTATTGGTTGGGTGGTAATGTACTCCATCTCCTCGGCACTCTAATGTCAGTCGTGGTTATATAGCAGCATCGGAAGGCGTTTGGGTTCGCATTATATTATATACAAGGGTCTTCGGATCCGATCTAAATAAAATCTTTCTGGGGAATCTCTGGACCAGTCCTTATCGCCTCACCGTGAGTTCTAATGTGTGTATTGTATGTCAGCGGCCACCCGCCATCATCTGTTCGGTATCTTCCAGTCGTTTACTCCCCACCACCATCGTCTCATCTTCGCGCCAACCGTCCGTCCCGAAAATGACGTAGTCTGATGCCAATGTCTCCAACCACTCAATATCAGCGCCCACAGCGTCCCCTGAAACAACGGAAGGAATACCTGCCCCAAGATCACATTAGCAAGCCATCCATCCAACACCCCCCCGTCCACGCTCCATAACCTACCTGGTCCCGTATCGTAATCCACGCCACCCCCCACCCCGTCTCCGCCTCCTGGAGGCTCTTCAGATAACTCTGCTCGAACCGTAGATCCGGCAGCGGCGGCAGCGTCGACCGTCTCGGGATGGGTCGTAGGGCGGATAGCGGGACGACGTCGGAGGTGGTGGAGGGAGTGCGGTCGTGGGATGGCTCGGAGAGGGTAACGGGCTCTTTGGAACTGGCGGTGGTGGAGGGATTGATGTCGTGGGAGGGGGACGGGTGACGCCTTATGGAGCCGAATTGGAGGGTCGAGGCAAGTTCGGAGGCGGCAGTGGAGGTCATGGTGAGGAAGATGGGATGGAGGACGGAGGTTAAGGGTGTGGGTTCAAGGTAATCTTGTCTCCGCTAGCTATTTGTATGCTCTTGTGGTCTTGTGCATCGATCGAACAATCAGGTTAGGAATCCAAATTATCGTGGGAGGTAGGCAAAGATGAATGGTTCATTGCACTGGTGATATCTGACGTTTTCTATCCGCAAGATGTCGATCTATCTGGACACTGGAGTGCCGGAGTGGATGATGGGGGCTGGCTGAATCGATATATTAATGCCTGAGGCATAGAGTCGTGCTGGTCACATGCAGGGTCACTATGTAAGGCATCAACTTTTTCTGTCCCTCAACCCCGAACTGATGTCTACTCATCTTCTTCACATCCTCTCCGTGCATATGTCCAAAGATAATCTGTATCACCCCATCGATGGAAATTCCGACCACCTCATCGCCAATGCTCGCTCAAAATCAACAGTGATAGGAGTCCTTCAGCCCTTGGCGACCCTTGCAGATGCCAATGCTGTTCTAGACCTCGTGTAGATTCCGACCCCCTCGTGTGGCTTTATGGGTAAAGGCTGAGACTGATTTAGACCATGCGGTCTGAAGATGCCAATGCTGTTCTAGACCTCGTGTAGATTCCGACCCCCTCGTGTGGCTTTATGGGTAAAGGCTGAGACTGATTTAGACCATGCGGTCTGATGTTGTTCGGTCACACCGAGAGGGAGAAAGGATAAGTATTGTTATCATTCATCATGTCTATTGCGAAATGAAGTGTTCTTTGTTTCAGTACCGGTCTTCCATCGTTCGAGTTCATTTTAGCGTTGTCTTGTGGTTCTTTTCGTTTATCAAGTCGCTTGCTACCGAAGTCTTCGTGGAGCAGCTGTCTAACTGCGTTTTGTGGTATAATATTTCAAGATGGTACATAAACCAAATTCCAAAAAGCTGGTCGTCTGCTGCGATGGTGACTCCTATGGTTCCCCTCGATTTCTCTCATTTGGCTAAACATGCATAGGTACATGGCAGAACTCTGACTCTGGCTGGAAGAAAGATGGTATCTTTGGCGCCGGACGCCTCCAGACTCCAACGAATGTGACTCTGCTCCGAGATGCCATTATGCCAGAGGACAATCAAGGAGTACTACAGATCGTGTACTACCAAAACGGGATTGGGTCCAACGATAACGTCTTTGACCAGGTCTGGGGTGGGCTCACTAGTGCCGGAATCAGCGAAGTATGGCCCTCTTGTGACTACTCGTCCCTGATCTGCATGTGGCTGAGATTGCAACAGAACATTCGGGAAGCCTATGCATTTTTGGTTGACAACTTTGTTGCGGACAACGACGACGAGATATACCTAGTCGGGTTTTCCAGGGGTTCATACATTGCACGGAGCATTGGGGGGATGATAGGGAGTATCGGGCTTCTTGAGAAGAATGCCATGAGATCATTCTATCCAATTTTTAAAGACTACGAGAATGCGGGACGGGAAGGTAATTATTTATTCTGCTGAAATCTATATACTGGTACTGACGTTTAAAGGGTACAAATTGATGCTGCCGGATTATATCAAAGGCTTCAATGTCCACGAGAACCCTGCGAATATCGAGTCGTATCTAGCGGAATACAAGCAGAAGCTGTTGAATGTGGGTCTTATCTTGCCTCCGCTTTGCTAATTGGCTAATATCTGTCAGATGAAATTGACTCGAGTGGTGAACGTCAAAGCTATCGGAGTGTTTGATACTGTTGGTGAGTTGATCGACGTTCTTTGAACCAGAGTCCGTCAAAACAATTCGGATGGAACGCCATAGAGGCATATCGTGACCTCTTAAATCTTGAAAACGAGCTTGGCGCATTGGAGACATCCAGACCAACATATGCGATGCATAAGTTGGAATTTTGGATTACCAAGATTGTAAAAGATGCTAAGATCGCCATGGTTAGGTGCCCTTGGAATCCCTCTCCAGCCGTGGCTATCGAAACTCGGGCTGCCAGTATCTATTCCTACCGAGGAGTACGCGTTCTATGACACCGGAATCGACCCACATGTCGAGAACGCGTTCCAAGCCCTAGCAATTGACGAGAGGCGTGCGGCGTTCCGACCGACCCTTTGGGAGAAGCCCGATGGTTCAAAAACTGTGAGTTCTTAACGTGCCTTTGCATCTGGGTCAGCCTACTTACCAAGTGAAAAGAACCTCAAACAATGCTGGTTTCCAGGCGCACACTCCAGCGTCGGCGGAAGCTATGAAGACACCGCCTGCTCCACCATCTCCCTCGCATGGATGATGGAGAACTTGCGGCCATTCCTCGACTTCCACCCCACCTACATCTCCGACCAAGTCGCCCGGAACAAAGCCTGGTACACACAGCAACAAACCATTGGGAAGCTCCATCGTAACTGGGGATGGGGCGTCGGCATTATTTACGAGTCGGTCCATTTCCCAACGTCGCTCGGAGGCAGCTTGGATCGGACGCCGAGGTTTTACCGTCGGACGGGCCCGTTGACGGGGAAGCCGCAGCGGGAGAAGTTGAGCAACACCAACGAGAGGATGCACGCGTCCGTTAGGGGGAGGATCAAGCTGGGCGGGCTGGATGAGAACCAGTCGAGCGCGTATGCCTCGCCACCATTGGGCAAGTGGAGCATGAAATCGAAGAACGAGGGGGGGAAGGTTAGTTGGTATTGGGAGTATTCTGGGACGGATAAAGATGGCTTTGAGGGAGGGAAGCCGGCGGTGATGGTGGAGGATACGTTGAAAGGGTTTGAGCTGGAAGTCCTGGCGATGGATCTGGAGGCGCAGGCGGAACTTTTTTCGTGATTGGGTCGGTCGCATCGGAGTTTCGCATCACCTTTTCTTAGATCTAGTTAATTGGCAAAGACTTTACATGGCCAGTATCTAATGCACTTCAGTTTTATATTTGTATATCTTGTCATGATGATGAAAATGTCACTGATATGACTGATGTTGCCCATCTTGGAGATACCAATGCCAGTCTGGCTGCCCTTCATTCGTTGAGAAATTGGCCTCAACAGTTTCAAGAATCTACAAGGAGTACAGATCAAAAGTGGAGTGACATAGCATAAGCTGTTCCTAGATAGTAATGGACCATACTCAAAGCAGGCGGGTTGAAAGAAAGGACATGGTGTTTTGGGTATGGGAAAAGATCGACCTACACCCCCCCAAAGGCTCAACCTACACCCTTCGCACGTGAATTTGAATTCCTGCAATCTGATTGGTCCATTTAGGAACGGTCATATAGCACGTGACTTATTTTGACGACGTCCCTATGGCGCGGGCACCCTATCACCCATTTGGGGCAACCCCCAAAACCCATTTTGGGCAAACCCCACCCACCCGTCTTGGGCACCCGACCACCCATTTTGGGCGACCCCTACCACCCATTTTGTACTCCCTGTACCACCACTTTTGGGCACTCTTTGCCGCCTATACGGCCCTCGACCACTTCTACGCCGCCACAACGAGCGGCTAACCCAAAACTGGGGATAGGGTCTGCCTAAAACGGGTGGTCGTAAGTGCCACAGATGGGTGGTCGGGTGCCCAAGACGGGTGGGTGGGGTTTGCCCAAAATGGGTTTTGGGGGTTGCCCCAAATGGGTGATAGGGTGCCCGCGCCATAGGGACGTCGTCAAAATAAGTCACGTGCTATATGACCGTTCCTAAATGGACCAATCAGATTGCAGGAATTCAAATTCACGTGCGAAGGGTGTAGGTTGAGCCTTTGGGGGGGTGTAGGTCGATCTTTTCCCTTTGGGTATTGCTGTTGTTTAATTCCACGCTGCTAATTTTATGTTCACACCAATCCTCCATTGAGGTATGCATAACCGGGTCTCCTTTCATATCAACCAGATGATGCTGAGAACCACTTGAGGCTCCATCGTTAATAATGAAAGACTCTGGGTATTAGAGTAGAGAATTTCGCATCATGCTCAACGCCGTGAGCCCTGTGACCGCAATGCAGACCATGATATCATCCATGACGGTTCAGTCCGCCATTCAAACGCCAGAGCAAATCTGTTTCCCATCCACAGCTCTCCGGTTGTCTCATTCCTCCCCATCAATTGTATCGAGGGCCGATGATCCAAGTGAACTTCGGCTCCAACCACCTCCACATACCGATATGCAAACACCCATCCTCCATCCACTCCCCCATCCCCTCATCCTGCTTGAACCCATACCGCTCCCATAGCCCCTTCACCGGTTTCTGCGCATGCACGAGTAGCAACCCCTTCCACAACTCCTCGCTCTTCCCCTGCGCATTATACGCCTCCCGCTCCGCGGGGCCTAGCGGCGGCACAATCTTCTCCGGATTGTTCACGATGAACTCGAACGCGTCGCTTAGTAGTAGCCTCGTGAGCCCTAGGCCGCGGAACTGCCGGTGCACCGCGAGCCGCGTCACCTTGACGAAAGGCTCCTTGGTCGGGAAGCTCGTCGGCGTGCCGGGCACCTCGCGCGGGCGGTTGCGGATCGGTGGGACGAAGCGGACGGTGCCGACGGGAACGGTGGTGTGCGGCGAGGGTGGGCGCTTGCCTAGATGCTCGGGCTGGTAGGCGGAGGAGCGACGGCGCATGATGATCTTTCCGCCGAGGGCGTTGCGGGGAACTTCGTCGGCGGCGGAGGACTCGGGCGCGTCGGTGACGGCGGCGGAGTCGGTGGCGCTTTTCTTGCGGCTGACGGAGGCGTAGCAGACCCAGTGGTAGGAGATGGGGTCGTCGGCATCGACTTCTTCGGCTTGGGGGACGCCTTGGCCTTGGACGAAGACGTCTTCGCGGACGGACATGGCTTCGAGGAAGACCGGGTCGACGGTATCGGGTTGGTGATCGTAGGTCTTGGCCGGGTTGTATCCCTTGATGGCGATGGGGGGGTCGATGCGGTTGACGAAGCCGGTGCCGCCGGTAGTCGGCTCGCCGAGAGGCATGGCCATGCTCATGTTGGAGAGTGAGGGTTGAGGATTGCGGTTGGTATGATTGGCTTGAGTGACTCGGATACGAGTTTCTCTTGAAGATGAGGCGGATATGAGTGATGGATGAGGTGCGGTTGGTGAAAGAAGTTCATATGATGAGTAATCGAAGGTGGATCGCGAAGACGTTCGTTCGCTGAGTCACGGAGAATGTTTTTCTTCGATCGTAGGGCGTGAACTTATATATGTCTACTGCAGCAGACATCGATCTGTTTATTCTTTCGCATTAACACGATGCGCGCCTCCACCAGGCAACGCTGGGCGGAATAGAAGTGGCCGGAATTTCCACGAAATCGTTCGGAAACGACAGCGTTATTGAAGTCAAACGAAACGACTTCTGTATTTGACATATGAAAGAGCGACTTGGGTAAGATGGAAAGAGCACGGATTCACAGCAGTTAAGAAATATGAAGCCTAGAAGTAGCTTCAGAGCCAATCGCGACCGACGAAGCACCTCATCGCCGACGATCTTCGATCATCAGGGTCTTCCGCATGGGTTAGTTAGTTACTCAGGGCGGAGGTGACGGGCATCCATCATTGCTTGTTCCACTTTGACATCAAGGTACCTCGAATCCGGACGATTTGACGGCGAAAATCGCCCGCATGGCGACATCGTTGAGTCGCATTCTCCAGAGAAGCACGAGATATTGGGGGTCCGAATGGGAGTGAGGGCGGGTTTGCCGTTTTGTACGAGGTGCGTCCGCTGCATTGGGTTTGAAACGGTCGTTCGACATTTTTCGGGATGGGAATGACGTTAATTTCTGGTTCCTTGGCGGCGAAAGGACGGTTTTTTGGTGTTGGCTCCCCGACATTCCAGAGCCGGTTCTCACCTGAGACCCTTGGTTATTCAGGGTAGCGACATTGCGACCCCTTGGGTGAAGCACAGGTAGCCGAATTGCGCGCGGAAGGAACATGGCCAATCGACAATTGTTTCATAGTTATTCATAAAGCTAGCTACACTGTATATGCCATACCTTAACTGGTCGAGTAGTGATGATCCAGCGATGTCCGCATATCTCCAAACCCCCCAGAATATATAGTAGTCATTCATATATCGGTCATTAATTACATCTGATAAACGACGTGGTCTAGCAAGCGCATTGCCGTGCTCCGAGTCCGTCATGAGAAAAGCGCCCGTCAAACCAAACCCCCAAAACGCACCCTCAAGGTCGGTCGCAACTCAAGAGGTAGCTGAACGAGGATCATAGAGGTCCGCGCGCGGTCCAAACGCCCATGTCTCGTGATCGAATTTCGTTAAATCAAACTCGACGTCCACGCCTCGATCCGGTGGGAGAGGGGATCGATGGCCGCACACATCCGCTCTAGCCGTGCGGTCAGGTCCTCGTCGCTCGACATCCGGACGACGAGTTCGAACTGTGAGTCTTTCTCGGACGTGATGGGAGCGATGGGCGACAGTGTGGACGACGGGGCAGGCGTGGTGACGGGTGGGTTGACATAGAGAGCGAAAGCGGGATCCTCAGCGATGTCCGCATCGTCTTCGATCGGAGTCTTCGCAGCGGGTTCAGTGACCGGATGCTCGATCACGGGATGCGCCGGCTTCGTCTCGTCGTCCTCGGCGGCGAAGTGGTTGAGCATGGAACCAGTGCCCTTGCCGGAGAGCGCGTCGGCGTTCAGCGGCTGGGCGGGGCCGACAGGGAGGTCGAGGACGGAGTACACGTTCGGGATTTGGAAGCCGAATCCGAGGTTCGGAAGGGTCCAGTTGCCGGCATGGTTGCCGTTGAGGTTCAGAGCGGAGATGTCGAGAGTGTGTTCTGGGATCGTGGCCATGCCGACGATGGGGGCTTCCTCGGACTGCTCGAGCATCTGGGATGCCTGGAAGGGATCCACATCCTTTTGCTGGGGAGCGGGGGCGGGAGCGGATGCTTGCTGGGTTTGGGCGGTGGGGGCGAGGTTTTGCATGTTCGGAAGGGTGTCCGACAGGGTGGGGTCGCGGGAGAGGTCTTCGAGGAAGTCCTGGAAGGCGGGATGGCGGAGGACCAAGTCGATGAAGTTACGCGACCGAGTGTTTTCGGCGACGAGATCGGCGTTGCGGCGCTTAAGGTCGGCGGCCTCGTTCGTCTTGGCAGTGATTTCGGACTCCAATTGACCGATGTATTCTATGGATATCGTTAGTATGATCGGGAATAGTGGATGATAATCACCGGAGTGTGTACTGACCCTTTCTCCTCGAGCGGAACGCACGAGCAGACACCTTGTTGCGAAGCTGTCGACGTTCTTTACTGCTGAGCTTCTTGCCTTCTTCACTGGCGAGGAGACGTTCGTCCTCGTCCATCTCATCCTCCTCTTTCTTGTTGCGGAAGATATTCGAGCCATTCGATTGAGGCGACCCGTCCTCACCAGAAGTGTTGGAGCTGTTCCGGCGGATCTGATTGATGACACGAGCGATGGCCTCTTCACTTCGAGCATCCACTGGTTGCTTGCCCTTTCCGGCGGAACCCTTCGAATTCTGCTCCGGCGAGTCTTTCTGTTGAGCCGCCTGTGCCTGTGCCTTGGCGAGCGCTTCCTGCTGATGCATGCCGGGAAAATAACGGGCCGGCCGCTGCTCCTGTTGCAGGTTACTTGGGTTGATAAAGCTGTTGTTGGGGAAGAAGAAGGCAGGGAGATCGTTGGTCGGAGTTTCGAGTTCGAACTTCATGTTGGTGTCGCCGCCCATATTCATGCCCGAGCCCATGCCGTCGAAGGCGAAGTTGGCCTCTTCCAGGCCCTCAAAGTCGAACGTATCGAGACCAGTTTGGCTTGACTGATCGATTGTCCGGAAGTGGGCCATGGAGCCGGCTGGCAAACCGACTTGTTGCTTGAACTGGTCATAGTCATGGGCCGGCTTGGCAGGCGTTTGTTGCGGCTCTTCAGCGATGTCAAGCAGTGGGCTTGGTATACTCGACTGCGCACGGGACATGGGAATCGGTTGCTGGTGACTTGACGATGATGGACCCGGAGAGGTCATGTTCATGTCGATGAAGGCATCCATATCCGGGTCGACACATTGGTTTCCCATTGTGCTGAAAGGATTAAACGACAGGAATTGAGTTGCGGCCATTGGAAACTGCGGTGGAGCCTCAGGAGGCAATGGAGAATAGGATCCTGATGATGCCTAGTTCTCTCAGGCGTCGAGGAGCGCCCTGATTATGATGGCGATGAGGAGTTGGTGAAGATGGGTGGGATGGATGGGACGCGTGGCCTCCGGCGGCAGTCGAAATCGCAGGGTTCCCCGTCCAATAGGTGATTAATATACGAAGAAACCGGTGGTGAATGCGACGTATGCTCGAAAGTCGTGATGAATAGGCCGTGGTAATGTCGTAAGAGGTTTCGATATTGATAGCGATAATTCGAAGACGATTTGAAGATTATTGAAGAGAATCGGAACGAAAAGACAGGACCGAGAAACTGGGGACACTTGGGGGACACTGGGGATTAGAATGTGCAGGCAGGGCTAAAGGCCAAAGGGGAGGGGGCTGTGCCAGGGTTTCAGGACTCAAGAATTACACAATATGGAGATTAGAGAGACATGGGCTTGTGGAAACGCCGAAGGGCCGGCGGAAGAAGGAACCTCTAATAAGAAGAGATGGTGTCGCACTAACGACAACTAAATGGGAGAGCAGCGTTAGGAAGCGTAAAAAGACTAGAGAGTGGGTTACCCTACAGAATACAATACGCTCCCTGCAAAGTTCAGTCAATCAGACTTCAGACTTCAGAGTGACGTGGATTCAAGGACTCCAATTTAGCCCCCAATCCCCATAGAGTTTCATGAATATTACTGTATTATTCTCATTTGGACACCGAACTAGCGCAAGGCTGAGTCGGCAAATACTCGGGCAGCTCCACCTCCAGCCAATTGAGACCTGCCCTTGCGCCTCACAACGGCCTAATAATACGGAGTAACAATACAAAGTCCAGGTAATATTTGGATTTTGAGAAGGAGCAACAATTTGCCCGACTCCTTGACAATTGTCACCACCAATTCCTCCATTATTCCCGCTTCGACTCGGGCGCAAAGGCCCTCTTGGACTTTGGACTTTGGACGCATTGCACCGAGCATGGGTTCAGATTGGGCACACCCTCGGGCACTCTTCCGGGCTCCAGTGGATTTAATAGCCCACCATGGCCACTGAAACCCCTCGAGACTTTCGAGGAACGTTTCATTCCCATCCAGAACACTCCTTCAACACCTTTCGTCTCGCCTTGAACAGACACGGAGAATCAAATTTACCTCCTCCTGGTATCCCAGCTGAAAGAGTCCCTCGACAGTCGACACGGATCATAAGCACCAGCAATTTGGCGGTGGCAGAGCAACAGATTTGGAAATCCGGCTCTACTCTGCAGTTATTATTACTACGGACGTAATCCCGTTTGGGTATGCAGCGCGAGTGCGCGACAGCAGCATGTGCTGACTGCTGAGACTTGAGAGGCATCGAGTGACTGCTAAGTGATGAGTGATCGCCAAGGAGTGTTGTCCAATCGCCCAACGAGATCAGAGTGTCGCGGCCGACAGGGGAAGCAGGCGCAGAAAGGACGCGTCATCTCGTCTCTAAAATCGCTGCGGAGTGCGGACATGTCGGTGTCGGACTTGCTTCGACCAGAAACTCCGATCATCACGTGAACTGTACTCGTAGTCCTAACTCCTAAGTACCTACCTACAGATTGCTCCTTGAGTCATCACTCAAGATCAGACGGGTTCCGTTTCAAACACGAGACTTGGCGATTGCACTCTATCCCCATGGTCCATTGGAACTATTCCAGGTTGCCACGGTCAGGTCGAAGGCGAAAGGTTGGTTCCCTGACATCATGGCCGCAGTCGCCCCGTCACGAACTCACGATACACGATACACGGAGATTGAAAAGACAAAATTATTGATTCTCCGGTGTACTGTACATTAGAGTCAAATTCACTAATTACGTGATTATCGCCTTCCATCAATATCCACACTGCCACAGTTGACGCCACATACTCAACCGAATATTTCAACCCATTGCCCGGTATTAATGCCTGAGTGCCTCAGGCTGAAATGTACTTTCACATTGTAGCGCCGTGCATGCAGGAAGGTCAAACTTTTATTACAAGCATAACGATAGATTTTGGTTATTCTACCTTAGAAAACACAGGTAATTCAGGAGTATTTCACAGGTTATTTAACCAAGTGGCTTAGCAAGAGGCCTAAAGGGACCTAATTATTCATTAGACCTGTCTCATCCAATCAATTAAATATCCAAGCGCCGTGGTCAGTCTAGAAACTACACAATCAAGGGTTGCTAGTTTGACGAAGGATAGATGATTGTATTTCCATTTCTATTTTCACCATTCACTGCACACCGTCCGCGGTACTGTAACGCCCCTTGCGGAACTAAAGTTTCCGAGCACGGCCACAGAGGCGAAATAACGTGAGACAGGCCTAAGGTTTGGAGAAACTAAACCCATTTAGGGATTGGTGATGAGCGCAGCAACATAAGCATTGCCGCTCTCACCACTTTCGTGAGAGTATAAAGCAATGTCGACCACGACGGAGGGGTGGGCGGGGTGGAGCTCCAGTAAGATACTAAGATTCAAAGTCGAATGCCATGACTGACACACGACCAGATCCACATCCTAAAGCAACAACGTTGCTGTGAATATCAACGCAACAGCGCCGATATTCGGAAGGAAGCCAAAGCATATTGTCCATGCCCCAGCTAATCCATTGCTGATTCACGAATATAGCCCATGAACGGCTGGATTCGGAAGCAGCTAAACCGTGGGAGAGAATTGCGAGGTGTAGCTGTCCTCTTTCAGTCTGGAGGGATATCCCATCATTAGAGAACGAAAGAGTCTGAACAACAGCATCTACAGGGAACATCTGCAGGGACGCTCCCGATCCGGCGTCCCATAGCCGGACCGTCTTGTCGTTCGACGCCGACGCTACCACCTTGCCGTCCGGCGAGAAGGCCACGGCGTTGACCCGGTCCGCATGGCCCTCGAGTGTCTGCAGTAGAGCACTCCAATCGTTCTCAATCTTAGGCAATCTTTGCATCCATCGAGGTATCCGGTCTTTGAACTGCCTCCTAACTACACTCATCGTAGGTGTAAAAATCAATGCACTACAGTAGATCTGTAGAGGAGCATACTCTAAGACTGGTTGGTTAAATAGTGCAAATCATTTGGCATCATGAATAAACTCGGAGAGACGGGGACAGTCATGTTCCTGAACCAAATTAAGCTGGAAGACTCGTGTAATGCTGTTGGCTTACTTACAAGGGCAACGGACTCTAAAGAAGTAATTGTATAGATCCCTTCAGAGATCCTCCGCATCCAGCTTAGCGCCTCAAACCAGTGTAGTAAGTGTATCTGCAGGAACTGATGCACTACGTCGTTGTCATGAAGCCGAGCATCGCTCTTCTGAAGATGCTGAACCCAGTAGAGACATGCATATTGAACCTCCGGAGTAAAGTATTGCTCCACTCGATTGCTCGATACATTAGCTACGAGCACACCTGGAGCTTCCATTCCGCAGATGTCTTGCTTAAGAGAGGCCGACATTAGCTGTATACAGCTCGTAGCTAATGCCCTATGTACCTGCTTCTCGTTAACCCAGAAGTTTGAATTACTGCATCTCTTCTTATCAAGGAGGAATTCGCGAAATGAAGGGTGGTGTAGACGAAGCGGGCGATGTCGGTCCTCTGGAATGTCTAGTATTGCATGAAGAACGTCTAACGTCTGGTCAATGTCCCTGGTTTGAAGGTGGATAAGTCTGCCTAGAGAAGCGGAAGAGAGTGGGGAAAAGAGCAGAACTATACTCCCAAGAATATGTCTCACCATTCCGTACAACTCCTCTTTCTCCTCATCCGAATAGTCTGGGGAAATGGAATACCCAAGAACAGGAATGTAAATTTCATTGAGGTGCTTCTCTAGTGCCGTAGCAGCGTTGCTACTGCCGCCAAGAATTGTACTCAGTCTCTTTTCTGTAAATCGTCTCCCGTCACGGATGAACCGATATGCTGTTGCCGCCCAGATGAATAGGCCACTTGCATTCTGAACCAGACGTTTAATGTTATCTCCGCCGGGCCAATTAGCGCCTAGAGAGCGTTCCTGCCCGATGAGTGCCAGATTGTATTCTAGGAAAATAGTAATATCGTGGTCCACAATTGATGGTGGGATGTTGTGCAGGATAAAGTCCTGGTGTTCCGTATCCGGTATTTGACAGAACCCATATCGGATTGGAATTTCAGGTCTGCTCGTTAAAAAGATTCGTAGCCGGACCTTCGGTAGCGATCGTATCTCGGCCACTAGCTGTAAAATGATCCGGATGTTGTTATCCTCAGCGCACTCATCGAGAGCATCAATGACCAGAACATAAGAGGATTGGGAGTCCTTGCCGACCAGCTTTAAAAACGGACCGACAACGAGATGGTGCCATTGATCGCGAAGGGACCGGCTAGAAATATCGCTGCGCTCTGCGATAGCGTCACAAATGTGTTGATGGAGAGCAGGAACGTTTCTTGCAAGCTGTACTGTAATGCTTGTTACGAATTTGCCAGCATGACCAACGTCTCCACCACCCCTTGAGAAGAAGAAGCTGGCTCCAAGACGGACTGAGTCGAAACATCTGCGCGCAACAGTACGAGCAATCGTAGACTTTCCCGTCCTAGCTAGGCCGCTCAACCAGAAGATGCACCGCTCATCTTGCCTATCAGCCCAGTTGAATATTTCTTCCAGAATATTGACGCGGGTATTATTCACGTAGGTTAAGAGTTATTCATTACTATTGTAGAACAGTGCGTTGTACCATAGTAAGTCGAGTTCCATATACCTGGTCCTAGATCTTGGCAACCAATAAACAATAATTACTCCGTTAACACATCTTAGGTAGATAATTCCTGTGGAGGCACTGAGAGGAAGAGCTGTCGTTGCAACGGATTGGGATGATTGGAGTCCTCAGCAAAATCACCACACTTCCAAGAGGCGGCCTGAGGGTTTGACACATTATTACAAGTGTTCCCTTGATTGTGCCTACGGAGGAAATACCAGACGACCAGGCCCACGGCAACGACAACGAGAATGCCCACACCAAGTCCAACACCCACCCCAACTTTGGTATCTGAGCTCGAATCTGCTGACGGAGCCGGAGTTGGAGCCAGAGTCACCGTCTCCCTTCCACCGGTGGTGGCGGTGGAAAAGGTAGAAGAAGTGGGTGGGATGCTGGCTGCCGAAGAGGTAGAAGTGGGCGAAGTGATGGGTTCACCTTGTGGGTTGACTCGGTCGTTGGTGATGTTGAAGTAGTGGCTTCCGAAATAGTCCCTTCCGCTGCCGGACTTGAAGACGGCAAAGAAAAAGACATTTCCTTGAAGGGGGTCGAATAGACCATCGACAGATGTAGTCCATCGAATCTGTGAAGCTGTGATATTCTCTGGAAATTTTCATCAATATGCATTATGGCATTGTCCAATGGGGGCCTTACCCGATCCGGGAAGGTACTGAAAGCTTGAATTGCTGTCTTGATATAAAACAAGAGAGATGTATTCCCAAGATGTTGACCACTTCACCGTCTGCGAGGTGCCGACGGGATATATGGGATTTTGTGAGAACTCGCTAGTAGGTCCAGTGGGAGGAGGGTTGATGAAGGAGCCCATTGTGCAGTTGGCTCTCACAGGTGCGGATCTATCGCAGAATATAGATAGAGAGAAGGCGAGAGAAGGAGGCAGTGGCAGGGTGGGTGAGATGTCGGCGCGAGAAGTCGACTAAGCTCTCGTTGGCAAACGCAAGCCTCCCATAGTTGACGGTATATATGCCATCACTGCCATGGATTCATCGGATTCCGGGCTCTGTAGGTAGTGGGCTAAACGCTGCCAGTCTGCCATATACATAATATGTTCATAGCAGGATGAGCTGTATGAGCATGCGGGAGATCGGCGGGCCTAATTTTATTTCGGGCGCCTTGGGTGCTGAGCAGGGCATTTGGTTGGACAGAAACGGCAGGGCCGGCCCGAAGGAGTGGAACACCCTAGGCTCGGCTAGGTATTTAATACTCCATCCCAAGCACAACATGTCAACAACATCTCAGCCCTCTGGATTTTCGCCTATCAAATTCTGACCAACACACTTAACACTGCACAGCAGCTGGGACGTATGATCGACCGCTTTTAAGTGTCCTCAGGAACGCTTCATCACGTTGAGGACCAGCCATGTTGCTCGCCGATTTAGAGCAGGTATCAACCCGGCTACATTAGTTGTTCGCCGCAACAAGGCGCGCCACTGCCTTACCGAGCCGTAAATGTTGAAAGGGGGGCGCCCAAATTTGTCCTCCGCTATGACACTCCTTGATACATGTGGGTCACGATAATACATTCCGCTGTCATGTAGTATATCTACCAACTAGGGTTCGCGGTGTCCAACGTCCTGCACTGTGTGTATCCTATGGCAATATGGCATGCAATACACGAGCGGCACAGTATTCTCACTTCTTAGCCTTGTTAATAACAGAAATAGCCAGGCCGGTCTTTAATGATGTCGTCTCCACGCTCTTTTTTTTTTGCAACGAGGCCGACTTTCAACTCCTGAATGATGCTTTTTGAAACTCTTACCGACGCCTCGGCGTATATCGGCCCTCATCTTATGCCCCTAATCTTTCGCCGTCCCCTATTCACGCGCCTTTCCGTAGTCTTTGTAATTGTGCTATTGTTATGCTATGTTCTACCCATCTCAGTTTTACAACGACACACATGGCGGCCCGCCTTTTACCATCTATCGACGCCAGGACCCGAGCTGCTAAAGCCTATGGATGATGAATATATCGAGAGCCCAGTATTACATGACCCGCGATGCGCAGCTTTTCCTGACCTTGGAAACGTGGTCATTGCCGTCAAGACTGGGGCCACTGAGGTTCAGAGACGGCTTCCAATACAAATGCTCACCTCATTACGGTGTGTTCGAAATGTCATGGTCTTTTCTGACTTGGAAGAGGACGTAGCCGGCTTCCACATCCATGATGCGCTGGATATGATCCCAAGCTCTGCAATGGAGGGGAATTCTGACTTCGCTTTCTATTTGAAGCAGAAAGAGTTAAAGAAGTATGGCGAGGTCGAGGCTATGATGGGCGGAGTCCTTGATCCTCGAAGGCCAGAAGACCTTGCTGCTTGGACACTCGACAAGTACAAACAGGTGCATATTCTGGAGAAGATTTGGGATGCCTTTCCGGAACGAGACTGGTACATGATGATTGACGCAGATACCTACTTGTCCTGGTCCAATCTCCTCTTGTGGCTGGAACGCCTTCCGGACCCATCGGAAAAGTCCTATCTCGGTTCTCCAGCACGTTGGGCAGAAGTCGCATTCGCTCACGGAGGTAGTGGCATCCTCATGTCTCGAGCGACAGTCTACGATTTTGCCGTCACCCACAACGGTTCGGCGGCAAGCTGGGACAAACCCATGCACGAGGAATGCTGCGGAGATTATGTCATTGGAATGATCTTGAAGGAGCGTGGCATCATCCTAAAAGAATCGTGGCCGACTATCAATGGAGAAAATCCAGTGACACTACCCTTCGGATCTACACACTGGTGCGAACCAAGTGTTACCATGCACCATGTCCAGCCAAACCATATGAGCATCATTGCCAACTTCGAAAGGTCGAGGGCTAATCAGACGGTACGTTTTACACAGTCTGGACTTTCTGCTTAGGTTGCAAGACTAACAGAGTAGTCGCCTTGGACCTTTTCGGATTTCTTCAACGCAGTCGTTAGAAACAACCTTCCCGATGAACTGGAAGACTGGGATAGTCTTTCTACAGATACCATGGAACAGGCTGAGTCGTATAACGCATGCAAACAAAGGTGTGAACAAGCCAAGGAATGCTTTCAATTTGCTTTCGACGGAAAGAGGTGCGGTTTAGGAAAGAGTATCCATCTCGGTCAGAGAAGGGATCAGAAGGACAACAAGAAGTGGCGAAGTGGATGGAACAAGTCAAAGATCGAGCAGTGGATTGCAAAACAACCTCCTTGCCATCCGACGTTCCCTCACACATGAGCCGTCTATACTACACATGTAACGACACGACATGCGTTCTAGTTAGCAACCGCTGACATGCACTTCAAACAAGCCTGTATAGAAGCCTGTATAGAAGCCTATAGAAGTCTGCTGCTCTTCACAATCGACTTAAAGTGATGATGAGACCGAGTGGTAATCAATCACTAATGTGATGGTTCCGATCCTAGGTATCGTGATTCGTGTCGCAAGATGCCCCTATTCAAAATAATAAGGATTTCGAATAACTATAGGAATTTCAACGTGCCAATTGCCCGATATTAATGCCTTGGCGCCTCAGGCTGAACCGTCCTTGGCTCAGAATTCAACCAAATTATTTTGAAGCGCCAACTCCAATCTGCTTGTGGCCCTGGAATAATGGATCTTCTCCTCCAGTAATCCAACTTTTGCATTATGAGCCGTTGAATGTTGTACACGAGGTCCTTCACACGTGGATTGTCCACAGATTTTACCTCCCCTATTTCGTCTTTTGCCGCATCATTGGTGAACGCTTTTCACCCACTGCTGTCCCCGTTGACTCAATTCGTATACCACAGCCGTGCTCAATACATTCACACTGGTAATTCTAGCAACTCAACACGTCCTCGGAAGGGAAAATCCCATCGCAAGGGCCGCAAACCATCCGCTGAAGATGAGGAGATCCTCGATCCATTCCTATACTCATCTCGCGTCGCCCGAAACCTAAAGCAAGTCCTTCTTGTTCGAAAACGGAAACCTATCGTTCTTCGTAACAGGCGAGATCTCAAGGACACCATGCAGCGAAACTCTTCCTTCGTTCAATTCCTCACGACGCCGACGGCAGACACCCCCGGCGCGGCATTCGCCCTCACCTTTGACAATCCCCCTCGAAGCTACCTGTTCGGACATGTTGGAGAGGGTCTCCAACGGGCTGCGGTACAGAATGGAGTGAGGTTGATCAAGTTCGGCGACATATTCTTCACGGGACGGACGGAATGGAGTAACATCGGAGGGACGCTGGGGTTTATCCTCAGCACCACGGACGTGATCATTGGGAGACAGCTGGCGGCAAAGGCCAAACAAAAAGAGAAAGCGGAGAGGGCGGAGAGGGTCGAGAAAGAGGGGAAGACGGATGGACAAGGAGCCAAAGGAGAGCTGAAGGAGAGCCGTAAGGTCGAAGAAGTTGACCGGCCCGAGTTTCGACTGCATGGAGCTAGAAATCTAATGCATTTTTTGGGAACCGCAAGGAGGTTCATTTTTAGAAAGGGCGTCCCTTTGCATGTAACGGAGTATAAGAGCGAGGAGGGCGATAAAGACACGGACACTCTGCCTGAACCAAGCTTTGCGGATGAGTTCATCAAGGTCTGGCCGGTCGTCGCAATGCCGCAAACCCAAAGCTCACGATCAACACCCTCCCCTCACGGTCGAAAGCGCAGTTTAGACGAGGCAGAGGGACGAACCATGGAGTCGCGATTGACGGCGACGGACGCCGAAAAAGCACAACAATATGACGAGCTGCGAAAGGCCGCGGTCTCCGCCATGTTCGGATCCGACTGGAGCATGGACGCGCTCGAGGAACATCGCCTGGTCGACGTCCAACTGCCCGCCAAGCTCTACATCCGCGATCCGGAGACCAAAGACCTGAAACGCTACGAAGGGCCGACACCAGGTGGGGACGTGGATGTCTCCGATGTCAAGGTCCTGGTTCGCAAGCCATGGCCCGGCGCGAAGATCGACACGCTTCCCCCGACTGCGCCGCTGAAAGATTCGGTATCGTATGTCATTCATCAGTACGAGCAACGGGGTCGGTTCATGCCGTCGATAGCCAAGAACCTTGGTGTACCCTCTGGTCCCCTCTTCAGTCAGTTAGCGGCGGGTGGCAGCATTCAATTGCCCAACGGCAAGACCATCACGTCAGACATGGTTGTCGAGCCAGGGCGACCTGGACGTGGCGTCGCTGTTCTTGATATCCCAGGTCCTGAGTACGTCCAGCCGTTGCTGAGTCGTTCAGAATGGACCAATTCCCAGATGATGGATAGCGTATCCGCCTTTATCTGGCTCCTTGGCCCTGGTGTGGCATCCAATCCTGATGTTAACCGGTTCATGGAAGAGCGGAGTACATTGCAGCATATCGTATCTTCCCCCGACATATGTCACAATCGTCTTTCGATGAACAAAGCGGCCATGAACACCGTTCGACTAAAAGAGGTTGATCCGGACCGCTATGAGTTGCCTCATCATGAGGATCAACCCCTCTCCAACTCCTTGGCGACCAATTTCACAGACGGCAGTGCCGCACTACCCGATTTTGTCAATGTTGCGGATCGGGGTAGCACGTTGCGTTTAGAGCCAAATCTACACTTCTCCCAGGAGACCGTAGCGGAACCCGTGGATATCGCGGCTGCTCGGCAGAGTTTGAGTCCGACAGTCCTCGAACTTGTCCGGGAAGCGCAGGCAAATCTCGAGAAAGACAAAACCACTTTGGAGCAATGGAAGTCCACTATCCCCAACCCGGAAACGGAGATTATTACACTGGGCACTGGTTCTGCTCTCCCTTCGAACCATCGTAACGTATCAGCGACTCTGGTTCGTGTGCCTGGCCATGGCTCGTACCTCCTTGACTGTGGTGAAGGGACGCTCGGTCAAATCAAACGCGTATATGGACGCAAGTATAAAGAGGTGATCAAAGACCTCCGCATGATCTGGATCAGTCACCTCCATGCCGACCATCATCTCGGCACTGCCAATGTCATCAAAGAGTGGTACGCTCTCGTCCACGATTCCGTCCCTGATCCCAACCCCCTCTCCATCCATTCCCTCGCCCGCGAAGCGCAAGCCTCTCCAAACACCGTTCCTCGTCGTCTCGCCGTGGTCTCCGAGATCGGCATGCACCAATGGATCGCTGAGTACTCCCAATGCGAAGACATCGGCTACTCCCGCCTTCTCCCCCTCCTCCCTCCCGCCACCCGCTCTGGCACCCGCCCCATCCAACTCATTACCTACAACATCCCCACCCCCACCAGCCATCCGTCTGACACTCAATTAATCTCCATCGACCCCCTCCCCACTCAGCCCTCCACCCTCCAGCGCCTCACCGGCCTCCACCACCTCAGCGCCGTCCTCGTCCGCCACTGCCACCACGCCTGCGCCGTCGCCCTCACCTGGCCCGACGGCCTCAAGATCGCCTACTCGGGCGACTGCCGCCCCTCGTTGGAGTTCGCGCGCATCGGCCGCGGCGCCACGGTGTGCATCCACGAAGCGACCTTCGGCGACGAGCTCGGCGGCGAGGCGAAGGCGAAGCTGCACTCGACGAGCGGCGAGGCGGTCGCGGTGGCGCGGGAGATGCGCGCGCGCGCGTGCCTGCTGACGCATTTTAGCCAGCGGTACGCGAAGGTGGTCAATTGGCAGAATCCGAAGGTGGAGATCGAGAAGGAGGCGGAATTGGTGGGGGAGGGGGAGGAGGAGGAGGTGGCGGCGGCGGAAGGGGTCGTCGAGGTGCCGATCGATGTGGTGCCGGAAGAGAAAGTGGAGGAGGAAGTGGAGCAGGCGCAGCGGCGGAAGGGAGTCCCGGAGTATACCGCGGATCGCATGGACGTGGATCCGCCGATGAAAAACGACGAGGATCCCGACACCCGGGTTGCGGTGGCGTTCGACTACATGCGCGTCAAAGTCGGCGACCTCGCGAAGCTAGAATATTTCCTCCCCGCGCTCAATGAACTGCACAACGAGCCCGAGCCCGAGCCGGCGGACGAGGAAGGCGACGACGCCGACAATCCCGCCAAACCCGCCAAGACGAAGAAACAGAAGGACAAGAAACCGTCGCATCAGGAGAAGCAGTCAGGGAAGGCGAAGAAAAAAGCCGCGTGGGGGGAGAAGCAGAGGGGGAATAAGAAAAACAAGGGGGATGGGGGGGTGACGGCTGTGGACGCTGAGTCGAAGCCGCTGATGGTAGAGGAGAATGGCGGCGGTGTACAATCAACCGGATGAGGAGACTAACCAAGATATTTGTACATATGTATATCACTCAATCGAACTTTTGTTCCAACTGTTGAGACCAGATGTAATTCGTATTGTGAATCATTCTATCATAACATCAGTCCCCTAATGGAACTTCAGCAGGAATGTACGCTGGACGACCGCTCGCTGCCTGTGTGGAGGGAAAGCACGACACGTGCACCTTCCGTTGCTACGCGTAGAAAGGTCTCGAATTCGCTGAAACAAACGATCGATCGAATGTTTATGTCACACTCTCGTTCCTAGCATCCTGATATACACCTTCATTTGAAAATCGTGCGGACGGCTCACCAATTTCAGCCATATAGACTCACTGCCTCAACTATCGAACCTCCAGACCACCTAACAACAATGAACCCCTCCCCCACCCCCCATCCTTCATTCCCCCTCTATCGCGAAGACATGCTCGCCACCCTCCTCGCCCTCAAGCCCGACCCCCCCAGCCCCACCACCCCGGACACGTCCCTCCCTCCTCTCCCGGATCAACTCACCCTCCCATATCTCCACGCCGCAGCCTCGTGGATCCGCGACACGCTCGACCCAAAGATCGCGCGCGACGGGGAGCAGGAACTGCAGCTGGAGGAGGAGGTTTACCTGCGGGAGTTGTTTGGGCGGCTGCGTGGCGCGGGGATCGAGCCGGGCGCGAACAGGGGGCGGAGGGCGAAGGATGTTATGGGGCAGGGGAAAGATTCAAAGAGTCTTGTCGTGGTGAAGCGGGTGGGTGAGGATGAGATGGAGCGGATCAAGTCGCATGTGTGCGAAGGGTTAAGGAGGGACTCGGTCGCGGAGTCCAACAGCAGGGCATCGAGAAAAACGGGAGACGGCGCCACGGGGGATGTACTGTCGCCCTATGTGATCGCCATGTCAAGGATCCATCTGGCGGTGCTGGAGATGGCGGGGAAGGGCACGCGGTGGCCGGGGAGGTTGATCGCCGATTGCGATCAGATCGTGGCGGAGTGGAGTGCGGTGCTGGGATATCCGTTGAGGAAGATGGCGTTACCGTTGTTAGGTGCAGGGGCAAGGCTGGAAGGCGTGGTTGGATTTCATGAGTTGACGAGAGAGGTGAAGCGTTAAAGAGCTGGATTCGCATGATACTGACCGAGAACTAGTTCATGATGAATCGCTGGATGAACGAGGGGGTGGTTCCGCAGAGCAATTCCAACGCACGACAAACTGGATCACTTGGATTCGAACCGGGAGCGTGAGTAAACAGAAAGGAAGACCCCAAGACTGAATGAACCGCTAATAACTAAATAGATGGTGGATCAACTGCATCTTCGCTTTCCGAGCAGGAATCATCGATCAAATGTGCACTGAAGGTGGCGTCTGCGCCGATGAGAAGGGTGCATATGCAATCGTATTGACAAACGACGAAGAAATTAGCACAGACACTGCCGAGTCTTTCGCATACCGGTGTAAAACAGGTGAGAGAGAAAAGTTAAGGCTCCTCAAACCAGGACCTTCTCGGTCAACCTCGATCAGAGTACTCCGTTCACAATCATTGCGCTCGTTTTGGGCACCCAGGGCGGGGGTCCGGTATGATGGGCTGTAAGTTAGCATATATCTGATTTATCATGGCTACACCGTACTAAGGTGCCATAGATATAAAATATGTGGCTGGTCCTTGCTTCCCACAGCAAGTTACGATGCATCACATGGTCTGACATGGGAAGTCCGCCTGGAGAGAATCCGGGATCAGCTGGCCATGAAAGATGTTCTGGAGCACCCACTGGCCGCCGAGATGGACGATTACATCGAGTACAAGCGACTACGGAAGTTGAGTCGAGACGCTTTGCACTCTCGAGCCGTTCAGCAGAACGGTTACAGGGCTGATGAGTTTCCTCGGCCTCCACGCATGTCACCCCTGCGAACGACGTCCATTGAATTGGGGAATATGTCGCTAAGGCAGAAAAGTGCTGGAAGTATCTCAACCTCGGAACTGGAAGTTCTCCCGTTCCAGCATATTCGACCGTCTCGAACAAGGCAGCAATCCGCAGCGAAGCCACACGACCTGGGGTTAGCGGCACTGGGTATGAGCTGGAACCCATCGTTTGAGCAATCGAAAGAAAACGTCCCAAAGAGGACGGTGCATCTGCTAGACGAAACTCGGAGCTATTTCAGCGGAAATTTCGAATACAGAGGGGATGTCCGGACTGAAAGAGAAGCATCCGAACTGTCTCGGGCCTCCAGGGAGCGAATCTTGAGAAAGGTGATGCGACGGAGCTTGGATGGATCCCTGATGGAGTCTGACAGTGACCTCTTTGATACTCCGATGACTTTGGAGAGCGATATCGAGGAGTCGGCGGATGTAACGGCGTCAGCAAGCCCGTTATTTCGCATGCCAGACTGGAACCCTCGACCGCATCATCCACGCATGGAGATGCAGAAGGCGAGCGTCAGCCTTTCCGACGTTGTTCTCCATAGAGATCATGGCCAGACACAACGACTTGCTCGAGCCATCTTCGACCAGGTAGTGAAAGCGAAGGCCGGTCCTGAGGGGGTCATAAGACTCCTGAAAGCCTTAGATGTGGTATATCCCGATCTAGAATCTCCAGAATATCCAGACATGATGGTTCCGTGCGCGGACGAGGTCGATGCAGGTAGCATCGACGAGATCCTTAACAATCTTTCGCAATTCCGGTTCTTGTCCGAGAGCCAAGCACGTTTCGAGCGTGCGGTACGAGACCTGAAGAAGCTGCGAGACACCCAGACCTTGGACTCGATGCGAGCTGCGCTGCACTTGAAACAATCCACGGACGAGTCTCCTCGAGGCACGAAGGCGTATGCGGTATGACCACATGGGGAAGCGTCCATCCGCACCAATCGTCCTTCCATCATACTTCCGAAAGTGGTAGACTGGAGCGAAATGAAGCGGCAGCGTTACAGCGCAGCGGCATCCACGGCGGAGGTGACACAAGCGGATGTCATTTGGAATTTTCCACGCATGATAGACGAGGATACGAGAACTTACATACCAGGCTGAGCGAAGACGGCGAGATGACGACAACTAATAGGGCTGGGTGTTGGGATGGGTACTGGGTAGGCGAGAAGGTCAAGATGGCTGACGGAAGGGCGGAGAGAAAGTATGGGACACGCGGACATTTTAGGCGGAGAGCCAAGCCAGGGACCTGGTACCGCCCAGACCACCAGCCGCACCAGGGCCTAGCATGAGTAGCATCAACCTTCGCATCTCCAATTGTCCCCAGTAATATTCATCCAATTCGCTACGCAGACCCTGATGCGGCCAACGGCTTCGCTAACTGACGCCACCGTCATTCTCTGCCTCCGCGGTCAAACTGTTCAACTCCAGTTAAAGGCAGCAGATCCTTGAAATAGTTCGCGATGAAGCCTATTATCGTCGGTTTCGCTTCAGGCTGTCCGCAGATCCTGGGCGACAGTTACATCTGATCTTGGATCCGACAGAAGATGATGAAGACGGTTTAATACCAAACCCGTCCCAGGTAAGCAGCGGTAGTTCGGCCGTAAGTCGTCTCCAACGGTGGCAAGCCAGCATACACTTTGGCCGTTAGTAATCCATCCGTTTTGAAACCCTCCGGCCTCCATATTAATACGTCCGTACTGTTTGTCGTCGGTACTTTCATCACACCGTCTACGTCCGTTTTGAATCCAAAGGCTGGCATTGGCTAGTTTGTGTGGGTATTGTCAAGAGCGGGTCTCGTCATCGAGATGAACGAGGGATGTGAAGATGTAAACGTCTGAGTCGAATATAAAGTCTTGCTTTCCAGTTGTTATCAGGAATAACCGGTTGGATGAACACAGACCTGGAAGAGCCTACATCGCTTCCTTTTCTGATATAATCGATCACAAATTCTCCGATCTATACCGGTATACCGTACCACATTCGAAAACGATGGCGACAGAAACACAGCCGGAAAAGTACGAGGAGTGGCCAAACGCGAAAGGGGTGAGTTTATGAAGGCCGTTGTTCAGTCCAGTTATGCTTGGAGAAGTCGACCTACAAATGCAATGATTTGATAGGTGCTTACTCAGTCAAACAGGCCCAGCCGCAATTCGAACAAAAAGATCCCATCAAGCTCAAAGTTACCGGCCATATTCCGAGCTATGCTATCGGGACCCTGCTCCGGACTGGCCCTGGAGCTCACGAGATCGAGACGGAAAAGGGGCTGTTCAAGCTCTCGCATTGGTTCGATGGATTATCCATGGTCCACAAGTTCAAGATCGAGAACGATTCCGATCAGGTGAAGGTGTCCTACAGGTATTAGATCATCCTTGGATGGAAGAAAGCTTGCTGACACCTAAATAGCTCAAGGTTCATCGTCGATCAGCTGATAGAAACCATCCGCAAGACTGGGAGCACCGAGGGGTTCACCTTCGGACAGAAGCAAGATCCTTGCCAAAGCTATTTCAAGAAGCTCATGAGTGTATTCACTGCAGCTCCTCCCTCATCAACTCAGGGAGGACGTGAGGGGAGCAATATCGGGGTTACCATCTCAGCCAATATGCCAGGCTTCGGGCCCTTTGGTCCCGATCAAGCTGAAACCTCAAAGAACCACGCGTCAGGAATTTCGACTCTGGTCACGAAAACAGATAGAAACGCCTACCAGCATCTCAACCCCGAGACGCTCGAACCGGCGGGTGTTGCAATACAAACCAGCCTCCACCCAGAGCTCATTGGGCAGCTTTCCAGCGCGCACGCAAAGTCGGACCCTGATACGGGGGACATCTTCAACTACAACCTCGAACTCAGCTCCGATCCGACGTATAGGATATTCCGAGTATCGGCTACGACTGGCAAGACCGATATTCTCGCTAAGTTCAAAGCCACTCCAGCGTACATCCACTCCCTTTTCCTGACCCAGAACTACGTCGTGCTCTGCGTCTGGAACTCGCACCTCTCCGCAAGAGGCGCGTCGATTCTCTGGAATAAGAACGTTCTTGACTCCATCTCACCACTGAATCCAAGATACCCAGCAAAGTGGTACATCGTCGATCGGAAGCATGGTCGCGGTTTGGTCTCGGTCTATGACACGCCCGCTTTCTACGCCTTCCATGCAACCAACGCCTGGGAAGAACCGTCAAAGACCAATCCTGGACAGACTGATATTATCGCCGAGATCCCCGCATTCGATTCCATCGATGTCCTCAAACGGTTCTACTACGAGAACTTGATCTCATCCGAACCCGGTGCATTGAAATACGCCGGAAAAGCCGGCAACATCGCCCGGCCCAAGTATCGCCGCTACCGCCTTCCAGACATCCCGCAGCCGGCGCTACAGAACGGTCATGCCAACGGCCATACCCGATCCAAGAGCATCCTTCCCTCCTCCTCTTCACCCAAGACACTGAAAGGCCGAGTCGTCTTTGAAGTCCCGTTCACCGCAAGCATGGAGCTCCCCACTATCAACCCTAAGTACCTGGCCCGGCCACACCGGTACATCTACGGCATCTGCGACCGCGGCATCAGTCCCTCGTTCGTGGACGGCCTGGTCAAGCTGGATACCTACGCGTACACCCACCCATCTGCCGCCGACGCGGCCGACGCGAAGCCGCTGTACTGGTCGCAGTACGCGCACTCGCCCGGCGAAGCGATCTTCATCGCGGATCCGGAAGGCACGGCGGAGGATGATGGGGTGTTGTTGAGTGTCGTGCTGGATGGGATTAAAGGGTATAGTTATTTGTTGGTGTTGGATGCGAAGACGATGACGGAGGTGGGGAGGGCGGAGTTGGGGGAGGGTAGATGTGTTGGTTTTGGCTTCCATGGGACACATGTTCGACCGGCTGGAAGGACCTTGGATGTTTGAACTGGCTTCTGTTTGATGGTTGTACGTTTGGCATTGATGCACATAGAGTCTCCTTGGGTTCGATATCCTTGTATTCAGCACAATATTCACAGTTCGTCTGCATTCCGCCTACCGTTAAATTAAGTTATGCCCAAATCACTGATTCAAGCCCACTGGTTCAAGTCCACCAAAAGAATACCGCCATTACAAACATTGCTTGTGCTACCGTCAACTACGCTCCAACAGCAACCCCTCCTGTCTGCCTGTCTCCAGTTCGCCAGACGACCAACACTGTAGCGAAGCCGCCCACCACAAGCAGTATAAACATCAGAAAAGAAAAGAAGCAAACGGACTCCAGTCCGGCCGCTCTTCAAGATAAATCCCCCACCCTTCCGTCCTTGCAGCTTGGCACATTCCATCCTCTATGGATATCGAAACCACGCAATCCAGAATCCCCACCTCCAACAATCTCAAAAATGTGGACGTGTCGCTTCGTTAAACGCCTTCCACATGAATATAAGCGCATTAAACAGTGTCCCATGGATTCTAAGTGTATACAGGCTGAAGATATTGGGATTGTGCAGACATTTTACGATCGCTGGGAGATTGTTATCAAAAGCCATCACATCCGCCCATGCAACATCTACAACATGTATGAGACAGGCTTCCAGATTGGCCAGGGAAAGGTTGAGAAGGTTATAACTGCTTTCCTGAAGCAAATGCAAACATTGGAAGTACCATGACATGGAATTGGTCACTGTCATTTAATGCATCTCTGCTGAAGGCAAACCAACCAACCCCTTTCTTGTTCTGGCAGGTTCATACCATCTGGAGGATTGGTATAAGGATTGTGGGCTTCCAGGCCACTGGATGATTACCCTTACACCTAATGGGTATATCACTGATGAAGGAGGATATGGATTGGGTTCATCATTTTGATATAGAAACACGCCCAGCTACATCTTCTGAATACCGGCTCCTCTTACTTGACAACCATGGTTCACACGTGATATACGACTTCCTCAAATTCTGTGAGGACCGCCGAATTATTCCTTACTTCCTTCCACCACACATGACACACCATTTACAACCTCTGGATGGAATCCCTTTTCAGCAGTACAAGCACTGGCATGTAAAGGCTGTCAATGAGGCTGCACGCCTGAGTGATGAGAGCTTCAACCATCGGCAGTTCCTTTCAGCTCTACCTGCAATAAGAGAGAAAGCCTTCACCCCACGAGTTCTCCGCGCCGGCTAGACAAGACGAGGGTATGGCCAATTAAGCCTGAGCTTGTTATTAAAGAGTTGGAAAAGTGATATGCAAATGATGGCCCCGTGCTTGAGTTTTTGAACGGCGAACCCGAACGTGAAAAGACCCCTTCCATGTCTTCCTCCCAACTTTCCTGGCCAAAGAATGTGCAAAAACTCCGACAGTATTGAGAAGGTGAAGAAAAACCTTACGGATATAGAGGATGTCCTTGACGAAGCCTCGCCATCGCTCAATAAAAAGATAAACAGCTGCTACAGCTACTGGAGATCAAGAGAATCTCCCTTATTTTATAGATACTCCACCGTGTAGAAGAAATCGTTTATTTTGTTGTTTGATGTACTCGATTTTGCGTTGATCTGTGATTTGCGACTTTGCGTTGATCTGTGGCGTACCCACCCCGGCGGGGGGGAAGCCTGGCACGAGTAGTGAGTACCCCTCTGAAATCTCATTTTCCCTTCCCCAAAATCATCCCCTTCAACACCTCTCGATCCCCACTCTCCTCCACCAGCCCCCTAAACACCCCTTCCTCCCCCCTCCCCAACAACTCCGCCGGCCTTCCAAATTCCACGCTCCGCCCCTCACTCATCACCAAGATGCGATCGAAATCTGCCACCGTGCTCAACCGATGCGCGATCACAAGCAGCGTGCACCCCTGGAAGTTCTCTCGGATGCTCTTTTGGATCTTCGCGTCCGTCGCCGTGTCCACCGCGCTTGTCGCCTCGTCTAGCACCAGGATCGACGGCCGCGACAGGAGCGCCCGCGCGAGGCAGAGGAGTTGGCGTTGCCCTTGGGAGAGGTTGTGCCCAGATTCGGAGATCGGGGAGGTGACGGAGTAGAAGACGTTGGTGTTAATGGGGGTGCGTGGCGTGCTGGTGCCGGAGAGGGCGGAGGATGAGGATGAGGATGGGTCCGGGGCGACGGGCGTGTCGATGCCGCTGCTGCCGATGAGATGCACCCGCTCAAGCGCGTCTCGCAGCTCCCAGTCTTCGTGCTCGTCGAACGGATCGAGGTTCGACCGGACCGTCCCACTGAACAGGACCGGGTCTTGCGGGATGATCGCGAGCCGGCTGCGAAGGTCGTGCAGCTTCACCTTGCTAATGTCGATGCCGTCGATCGCGATCGTCCCAGTCTTCGCCTCAAGGAAGCGGAACAGCGCAAGGGCCAGCGAACTTTTCCCTGCCCCGGTGCGGCCTACGACTCCGACGCGCTCCCTCGCCTCAACGTGGAACGAGACATCCCGCAGCGAGTCGGGTAGATCGTCCGCGTATGAGACGCTAAGGTTGTCGACCTCGAGCGCGCCGTTGGACGGCCACGATGCCGGCACGTCCATGCCCGTTTCGGGCTCCGTGTCGAGTTCGGAGTATTCGACGATGCGTTCTGCGGCGTTCATGCCGAGCTCGATGCTAACGACCTGCCGGAGCATCGTAGTGACAGCTTCGCTGTACTGGACCGTGAATCCCAGTGCAAACCCGGCGAGCGCGGCGTCGATGTTGTGGATGGACACTATTAATCCAGAGACGAGTAGGGAGAAGGCGGCGCCGGTGAGGGAGAGTCGGAACGTAAGCCAACGGTTAAGCAGCTGCTGGTACCAGTGTGTCTTTACGTAGTCGTCGATGCGGGCATTCATGGTGGTCATGAACCTGGGGGTCATGTCGTACGTACGAATCGTGGCGATGCCGGCGAGGGTCGAGCCGAAGAGTTCGAAGATGGGAGACTTAGCGATGCTTTCGAGGCGTCTCACTTCGCGAGCGCCGACGATGTAGTACAGTGCGTAACGTAAGCAGAGGATAAGCAGCGCGACGGCAAATAGAAGGAAGATCGGCGATATGAAGGCACCCGCCGTGATGACGCCAACAACAAGCATAAAGTTGTATAACCCGAATGAGGCCGCGACGGCGAGCATAGAGTCAACAACTTTGAAGTCGGCAGAGAAACGGTTAAGGATGCGGCCGACAGGGACAGTATCCAGCCAGCGCAGTTTTGCGTACAAGATATTAGATATCATGCTTTCGAACATGGTGCGACTGGCTCGGATAGAGCCAATGTACACGGTCAGGTACCGTATCACGCCTTCGAAGCCAGTAGCGAAGGAAACGCCGACGTACAGGTAGAGGTAGAAAAGGGTATTGGGATCGATACCCTTGGTTTGCCTTTGCCGATTCTGTCCTTGGAGCAGCAGATCAGGTATGTGATCCTCAGATTGTGCTGCGCTTTTGGTCCAGAGACGGAGGATCCAGGACTATTAATATGGTAGTTAGTGATGGATCTGAATAGTACTTGGTCAAAAGACTTACCCGTGTAAGCAGCATGACTTCAAAGAAAATAAATGTACTGAGGAGTAGTGTCCAGAACCAGAACCCCCCATTTGCGCGCAAGTATGTGAGATACACCCGCCATTTGACGTGCCCAACTTCACGCATCTCTTCTTCAACGAACTTCCGCGGCGCGGCATCCAAGTCCACTAGATTATGAGGATCATCCGGAAGTTCTGACTGGTGGCTCTTGACTAGTATCAGATCATGGTCCACGACGCTCTCCTTCCGTTGGCCTCCAAGCTTCCCAGCGTTATCGGGGTAAGGTTCGTCAATGAATTCGTTGCTATGAGTATCGAGTGGAGTCTCAGTGTCGGACACCACAGGAGTTGCACCATGTCGCTTGATTATTCCGTCCCCAAGAACAACTTCATACGCCATCTTGCCATGAAGTATTGACACATGATGAGTCGCAAGGATCCTAGTTCTTCCTTGCACCAGCTCCCCAGTGAGTGCTTCATTAAGCAAGTATCTTCCGGTGGTAGCGTCAACCGCTGCGAAGATATCGTCGAGGAGAAGGATGCCGGCACGGGAATACAGCGCTCTAGCTAAGCTGAGACGCCACTTTTGACCTCCCGAAAGATTGATTCCAGAGCTTCCAATCTCAGTCTGGTCGCCGTCAATTAAGAAGGAAATATCCTTCTCGAGAGCACAAGATTTCACTACTTTGTTATACCTTTGCTCGTCGAAGGGGAGTCCAAATAGCACATTGTCTCGGAAAGACATGTTCTCTAGCCATGCTTCTTGACTAACAAATGCCATAGAGTTCGGTAGTATCCAATTGCTCTTATTTGCTTTCTGGTCGAATCTTTCGTAATAAGGGAGGCGGGGTGGGAGAACTAGATTGCCCTTAAGCACCTCGGCCTCTCCTTGTATGGCTGTGAGCATCAGGCTCTTTCCGGAACCGGTTGGTCCAGATATAACAGAGAGCTGTTCGTTCGGGAACTTTAGTGACACATCTTTTAGGCTGAACGTATTTGGGTCGACTTCATCCGCAGGCCAGGTAATTGTCGCACCCCTCATCTCGATCGAGTCGCCTGGGATTGCAACGTCTCTCTTTTCCGCGGATTCCAGGTATTCACTAAGCCGCTTCAGACTGACAACGCAGTCCAGAAGGTGCGTGATCATCTCTGGGATGACCGCAAGCGATATTTCGATGCTAGACATAATCGAAATGGATGTAAAAGCAACCGAGGGCGGGAGACTGTCATGTTGCAGTGCGTATACTGAAATCGACGCTGCCGAGAGTAGTACTGGGCCCATGATCCAACAGAAATTCAGGAGACAATGAAACACAAACACGCTCCATTGTGCACGCAGTTCGCTTTCTCTTGATTCTCGGATTCTGCGGTACCACTGCCCTTCAGTGGCCGAGAACTTGATTTGCCTGATCCCGTTCAAGGCTTCATTGACGATCGCAACCTTTCGGTCTCGATGGGTCATCAGCTGGCCCTGAGCATCGGCGTATTTCTTTGCGGTGTATGCATTCAATGGCGAGAGTAAGACCAAGGCCACCAAGCCCGCAAGAAGCGCCTGCCACCCGATTAACGATAGGAGGAAATAGAATGATATGGCCAAACGAAAGATGGTGCCTGGAAAAAACAAGTTGAGCGATGCGAAGTCGGCGATACGGGAAACATCGACGCCAACCAAATTGATGACGGATTGTCTGCTGGCCATAACCTTCTCTTCTTTCGCGCCCATTTCTTTTGTATCGTCGTCGCTCTCTGCATCTGTGTTTTTTGCACCAGTTGATTTGATGTCCCTTTTCCTCAGCGACTTGCCGAACACTAGTGCAATGATTTGGGCCCGGATTGGCGTATTTAGTCGATTAAAGGAGATGAACCACAGTTGGATATTCACAACATTGGCTACAATCGCAAACAAGCCAAGCATGGCGGCCCAGAAAGTCGCTTCCTTGGTAGAGTTTATCCCAGCTTCTCTCTTCTCTAGTGTTTTTATCAATCTATACAAAGCGTACTGTGGTGAAAACATGAGAAGAGCGTCGAGCAAGGTATAGGCGTATTGTAGAGAGAACGCGACGGAATGCGACCTAATTAGATGCATGGCAAGAGACTTGCTATCCTTGATTTGGTAAAATGCGTCATAGAGATCTCGTGCCCGCGTGTGATGATCCAACACTGGTAATATGTCGAAGGAGAGTCGTTTACCCTCCGCCGGTAGCCGAAGGACGGACTCGGACCACGAGTGGGTAATTCGATAGAGAATCGAAACTGTCCATTGCTCATCGACGGTGTGTCCATCTCGATAGACATGTGGGCGCCTTGGATAGGTGATGCAGGCGAATATGCCGAGGAGATGCACCGCAGTGTATGTCCACACCACCACAGTAGAGAGCTTGTCGGGGCCTTCATGACGTTTCGAGGTATCTAGAACAAAGGTCCCATAGATGTTGAATATATCGATTGCGAAGAGCACGACGAACGCAATTGCCTCAACTGCTGCATGGTTGAAGCGTACCACGGGATGTCTCTCGAAGACGATATTGCAGAATCCAATAAGAAGGAGGATCGAGATGCCAAATGTGAGCCATTCTGCCACCAGGAAAGAGTTTATACTCGCATTCAAAGTGGCGGTTATGGCCTTCGCAAGAGAGACTGCAACCAGTATAGTAACAGTAATTCCCAGTATGATGTGTTGTAAAACCGTTGAATACCGTTTAATGGATTCGGCGGTAGCTTTGCCATCGGCATCTTCATAGTCCGAAGTAATGCTAGCTTTGGAACGTTCTGATTTGACAAATGGTCGGACGAATCTACGGACGAAAGGTATCGCTATAAAAAGAGCCACAAGTGAAAAGGAAATGCTTGCAATAACGAGCTGAATCGGCATCATTGTCGATATGCTGCCGGGAAACCTCGCAGTATATGGAAAGAAAGATGCTCACACCAGTGGAAATCACCCTACTGCCTCGTTAATATTTAACGGGGCTTATGTCTGGTCGCCTCAATGATGTCAAATCCACATGAATTGAACCATTTGTCCCTGCATCTTTCCACACGTGCGACTGGTTAACTACACCTTTTAGCGTCTGACTCAATGAGAAGCGGTGGCCGAATTGGGAGAGGTTTGAACTGTATCCTTGTAACTACGGATACTGTCTTACTGTGTATCCATAACTGTTGACAGCACAGAGGTTACACAAGCTATCCAAAGATTTCCGGCCTCATCCGCTCGGCTTGCCTACTTCGACCTCATATAATTATAAAACGCGCATGTCAAATGAAAAATCTCCGGATTTTGGCAGGGGATAGTAGGTAGATCTTGTTGAAACACCTGAAAAGAGCACAGGTTTTCCTGTGACATAATACCAACTTACTCCGGACGGGATTTCCCAATCTCTGTTTTCATCATTGAATATGATCCGCCAATGACATGGTGCTTAAGCATCCATATTCTCTAGAAGAGTGATGCTATATTAATATTTTGTATGTTTCCTATAGTTTGTGAGACACGGAAGAAGATCAGTAAAATGGGTAAAACCCGTCAGCTCAGAGAATCTGGCATAAAGACCAACCAACCTCATGATAGTGTGAGGTCTCCAATCAAGTTATCGTACTATGGTATTGTATCATAGCGTAGCACTTTCGTCCATATATAAATTCCCCAGCTCACCCCAAGCGCACCGCATCACCATCAACAAGGCCCATACCGCTCATTCACAGTCAACGGTTCCGGCCCATTCTCTGTCCCCCCACCCCCTGGCAAATAAACCGACTCCCCAATCACCGCCGCCCCAAATCCATGCCTAGGAACCCTCATCGCCTCCCCCTCCACCCACGTATCCCCCACCGTATCATACACCTCCACCTCCCCAAACACCCCCTTCTCACTCTCCACGTTCCCCTCCCCCCCAAACGCAAATATCTTCCCCTCCACCACCGCCGCCGCGATCCCCCCCCTGGCCACCCCCATCTTCCGCTTCTCCACCCACCGCGCCCCCGGCAACCCCCCTAAATCAAGCGCATACACCGTGTCCCGCACCGACGCGATCGTCCCCACCCGTCCGCCCACCACATACAGCGTGTCCCCCACCACTCCGCCCCCGGCATGGTCCCTCCCCTCCGGCAGCGCCAGCTCCGCGTGCGTCGTCCACGTATCCTCTGCGATATCATAGCTCGAGACCATCGTCGACGCCGCGCGGCCGCCGCCCAGCTGTGCGGGGCCCAGGCCGCCGACAGCCCAGATCTTCCCGTTGTGTACGCCAACGACGCAGCTGCCGCGGGGGTTGGGGAAGTCGGCGAGCTTTTGCCAGGAGGGGGAGGGGTCGGACGGGGTGTATTTCCAAGATGAGGCGGAGGCGGCCCAGCGGAAGAGGTCGAGGATGCCGCCGAAGAGGTAGATAGAGGAGTTGGTGACGATGGCGTTGGGGTGGTGGAGGGGGATGGGGAGTGGAGGGGCGAGAGACCAGGTATTGGTGGGGGTGGAGTAGCGGTGAACGGCGGATTTGATGGAGGGGCCGTCGATGCCGCCGAGGAGGTAGATGGAGGGGGGGAGGGCAACGACGGTGTGTTCTTGGAGGGGAGAGGGAAGGGGGACGAGGGTGCGGTAGCAGGAGAGGGGGTCGTCGCCGGGTTGGGCGTGGGAGCGGGAGAAGAGGAGAAGGGCGAGGAGTTGGAGGTGAAGGATCATTGTTGTGGTGAGAGATGAGGTTGGTGACTGGGAGTATAGACTTGCGTGGTGAGGATTGTGGTGCTCTCCTGCATCTTTATGACTTTCTGAAGGACCCAAAAAATGATGTCAGTAATTCAAAAATTTACAACCATTCGAAAAGACGCATTGATTGACATTGTATAACTGAGGCCCGCATATAAGAACTCATTGCGCCAAGCGGAAATTAATATCTTGATATGTTGCGGGGTAGTACAGGGCGAACAAATGTCCGCTTAATGGAAAATCTATATGAACTGAAATAGGCTGGTAACCAATGAGACGCGTGTTGAACGGGGTGAGATTACTCGGTATTGGGCCTCCATACTGGATCGGCGATGAGGATAATGGGTACCAGATGGCATTACTGTCTTGATAGGCATAGGTTGGGATGATGAAAGTCGAACGTCGAAGGTGATTCGAGAAAGGGGTGAAGCTGGGGCATAATTCACGTGACCAAAAGCCCCTATTTTGCGACCTGAAGGAGAGCAGCATGAAATGCCGAAGTTTGGACGTCCATAATCCAGAAAAGGCTTCATATTAGCTGTTCATATATATCCAAGGCTCAATCGCCAAGCAAGCTATCCAACCCCATTATCCTCCCACCCCCTACAACTTCGCCTGCCCCCTCCTTTCCACCCCCCCCAAACCCCTCCCCACTCCCCGACTCACCCAATCACTAATCGCCATATTCGTCACCATTGGATTCACCCCGCTCGCGCTTGGAAACACGCTCGCGTCCGCCACATACACCCCGTCGGTGCCCCACACTGCCCCTGTCGGATCCACTACGCTCACGTTCGGCGACGCCCCCATGCGGCACGTCCCCATCTGATGCGCGCTCACGAACTGCACGTCGGGGTACGACAGCCCCGTCTTGCGGATGAGCGCGAGGTACGCGAGCAGCGCGGGGTCGTTGACGCCGGCGTCGTCGAGCGTCGAGGGGGCGTGTGGGTAGTCGGATTCCGGATGCGCCGGCGGCGGCGGGTGCGCGGGGTCGCGGGGCGCGGGATACGGGTTGTTGTACGTTGAGGAGGATGAGGAGGCGGGGATGGGCCCGGCGCGGACGAAGGGGGGGATGCTGGGGATGCCGGGGATGATTTCGCGGGCGCCAGTGATGTAGGCGAGTTTGATGATGCCGCAGAGGCCTTCGAGGATGTGGGCACGGTCGCGGGGGTGGACGTGGTAGTGGAAGCGGGTGCGGCCGTCGACGGGGTCGGGATACACATAGCCCTCGCCGATGTCGCGCGCCATGGCGAACATGGAGGCGGCGTGGCGGGTTTTGGTGGCGAGGCGCTTCCAGTCGACAGCGTCGCGCCACACGGGGAAGGTAAGGAACGTGGACGGGAGCATGACGGCGGTTTCGATCTTCGCGCCGTGGCCGTGCCCGTCGAGGTTCTCGAACTCGTTGACCACCGAGGTGAGGATCCCACCTTCCCACGGGCGGGTTTCCTGGTCGTAAATCAACCCGACGACATTGACCGGGTGCGCTTTGAGGTGGCGCCCGATGTTCTTGTTCTTCAGCCCGGAGCGGAGGAGGAGCAGCGGCGACTGCATGGTGCCGGCGGAGACGATGACGCGCTTCGCCTTGATGAACACCTTGCGGACAGTGCGCTGGGCGCCAGCGACGCCGCCGTTCTCGTCGCGTGAGGTCCACACGCCGCGCACGCCCGACACGACGCGCTTGCCGTTTTTGAGCGCCTTCTCGAATACGATCTCCCGCGCGTCGAAGCCCTCGATGAACTGCGCGCCGGCGTTGGCGGCGTCCGGGAGGAAGGAGTTAGCAGGGCCTTGCTTCACGCAAGCGCCACAGCCGAGAGTGCAGTAGCCGCAGTAGTGTTGCTTGCCGGCAGTGTTCTGTGGGACGGGTTTGTGTGCCCAGCCGAGTTTGCGGGCGCCGTCGAGGACGGCGCGGTTGGCGTGGTTGTGCTCGATGAATTTGTCGGAGACGCCCATGCGCTCGCAGATGCGGTCGAGGGAGGTTTGGAAGGCGGCGCTGGTGAAGAAGGGGAGTTTATCTTTCTCGGCCCATTCTTTGCGGACGTAGCCTTGGGTTTGGAGAGAGGCGGACCAGTTGATGGTGCCGCCTCCACCCCACGTGGCACCAGCAAGGACAATGAGATCGGAGTCGTCGGCTGGATAGGTCAGCAGGAGTAGCGGATGGAATTGAGAGGGACTTACCAACGATGCCACCTCCGTCCATAAACATATGGACCATCCCATCGGTCTCATTCATCGGCATATGCTCAGACGGCCAATGGTACCACTTCTCCGTGACGATAACCCTCAACCCCATTTCCGCAATATTCTTCGCCGACACACCTCCACCGCATCCACTCCCCACGACCACCACATCCGTCTCCAAAACCTCCTCGGGCTCCGGCGCCGGCCCTTTTCCCACATACACCCCTGTGACTGGCGGAAACTGCATGAACTTGAAATCGAACCCGGGGACCGGCTCGCCGTGGACCGGGATGCGTGGGAATCCGATGAGGTTGTAGAGGGAGGGCGACGTCTTGGCCGCAAGCTGCTTGAAGATCATACTCATGCTCTTCAGGAGCTGGCGTAGCATGGGGATCCGGGATTTCTGCCAGGAGAGGAGGATGGCGTGGCGGGAAGAGAGGGGGAGGTCGGCGAAGGAGGTGGCGTAGCCACCCAGGACGAGGGTGCCGGCACGGTAGCTTTAGGATATTAGTACTCAGCCATGGAAAAAATATGGAAACCGTCAAGTCGCGCAGTTTCAAGGCTGGAATCTGCACACTCCATCCAAGGGCCTGTTCCAGGGCAAGGGCTGAGGAGATCGATAGGGGCTACCATACTTCAACAATGTCAACACCAACTTAAATTGCTTCCTCAAATCCTCCGGCGTATAACTCCCCAAAAACCTCCACAGCTGTAGTTTCAACTCCTCATTCTCTGACGGCTTCTCCCGCATCCACGCCTCAATATTTTTTGGGTCCGCGTCCGCCGCCGCGAACCGCTTCGCCGTCGCCACAGACGCGCTGTATTCGTCCTGCGGGATGGGGAGCACGGTGGTGGAGGCTGCGTTGGCGGGCGAGGCGGGCTCGAGGGAGGCGACGATGGTGTCGCCGAGGGCGAGGAGGGTGGTCCATTGGTCTTTGGTGAAGGGGTCGGCGGGGAGGGGGGGGAGGGGGTGGGAGACATGGCTGTGGGGGATACGACTACGGGGATAGGAGGGGGATTAACTTTGGGTGCAGATGTTAGATATATCAGCGTGGTGGATATCAACAGAAAGCGCAAATAGAGCTTCGAATGCGGAGACCAGGGCCGGATAGAGACAGGAGCTCAGACGACGGCGTTTCCCGAGTCGATAGCTAGCGAGGGGAGACACGCAAAATCAATTGAATCAGAGATAAATCCAAACGCGCCAAATGGAATCGAAGGAGACGCAGATGGGGGGGAGACGACGGAATTTAATATGCTGGGGAGGAGATTGCCTAGGTTCAGAGGAGGATCAGGCGACGTCGGTATGTCTGGTGGATGCAAATGCTTGTGATCCTGAATCCAGAATCCTCCTCCACAGGACGCTCGGATGCTGCTGACATGAGCGGAGGTGCGGATCTGGGGAATTCCGATCGGCGGAGGAGGGGGGTTGCTTGTGTTGGACGGTTGGTTGGAGCGGAGATGGGCTGAGAATGGTAAAGTTTCTTCTTCGGGTTTAAACTTAAAGAGCAGTTACTCATTACTGCATTCGAATGAATGAGCTTTTTAAGGAAATTCATCAAGTCAAAGAGTCAAGACAACTTGCGCTCATGAAGTCAAGATGAACTCGACTCGGATTGGTTGAACGCGACTAAGACACGTGTGAAGTGTGAATAGGAAAAAATACCTGGGGCTTCAAGGCTGCAGTTCCCCAACCCTACAAACCTCGAAATTCCCCTCCTGGACCCCCCATCGCCAGCGTTCCATTCCATCGGGCTCGACTCTGGAGATAGTAGTATGATTCCATTCTACACGTGGTACTCTGCAAAATGAACCTAAGCGTGAACATAAACTTAATAAATGGAAATAATATTAGGGACTGAAGCCGATGGCTAGCCGGCCCGTGCTCGAGATTGAAAGGCTGGTAGATTCGATGGTCGGGTTAAGCGTCTTGGCGAATTCACATGCTGAATGTCTCATTCGGAGTCGGATGTCGGCCATGGTTAGATATGATACGCTGACGTCGTCCGGGTTATGCACACGAGATGGATGTACTTGTAGAGAAATGGAGGGGGGAATGGGTTAGGATATAGATATGCTATTGATTATGGAATCCATCATCGGAGCGGTTGACTAAGAAGTGCCACCCGACGCGCAACAACTTAATTAACGAGTCTGACATCAGACGTCTAGATTCGTATTCACACCACAACTGCGGCATCGATGCTGGTGTGGAGACGAGAGACCATGTCCACTTCCACGTTGCGAAAAAGGGACCAGGAATCAGGCCTCCCTTGATTGCCCCTGCGAGCCCGAAGGCCTGTTTATCGATATAGATGAGATTGATAGTGAATCCAGACAAGCTGACAACGATCGATTAATAAGAGGATGGCCTGGAATGGGACCTCGGCGAAACAGGCTCTGATGGAGGGCAATCGGAGTCGCGTCGACTCGGGATAATCGCGTTCAATGATTGAAAGATCGAAGATAGATTGTCTTTGCCGAGCAAGAGTCGCAAAAGAGTCCATATCATTGGGATGGTTAAAATCGGTTTATCTAGCATGTCCTCTCCAATTGCCTTCGCGTTCAACTCTAGTTTTGCCTCGCCGCAATGGCCCCCCAGCATGCCGCCGGACTGGCCTCCGGTCTGGACTCCCGTCTCTCCTCTCAGTCAGCACCGCCACTGACACAAGCCAGTAATCCGATCCAGGCCGCCCACTATTGGAGCCAAGCCTGACCAGGCCAACCTCCAAGCCCCAGCAAAACAGGAAAGACGCAGTGACCAGCCGGCATAGACCGAGACCGGTCACGTGGATCCACGTGGGAATCGCAAACCGTCTGTGCCACGATCCCGAATATCCGTCTCACGAGAATCTGGCCGAACGGAGGAACGAATGGGAAGTGCATTAGGTAAATCTTGAACTTAGTGGGACGACGGGAGGGTCGGGATCTCTCGCTAGTGGGCGTTGAGGCGTGGGTTTGGCCTTTCGGAAATTGCGCTAATAATACATAGTACTGCACTCTGCACTCTGCAGTTTGCATTATTTCTGCCGTCGTCACTTGGGAGTTGGGGCAAGGGAGTTGGGGAGAATCTTGAATCTGCAAAGGGCTTGATTTCCAGTTCGCATGGAGCGGCTCCGGTTTCGATTGGGGATGGGGTCGCCTCTCCACGAGGGAGCCTGTCCGAGCGTCGAACGGCCCGAATACGGAATACCAAAAGTCAAAAACATCTAGCCATCAACCACCGGAAAAGACTCCCGCTCAATGCCGCATCTCCGCATCATCGACACATCTATCAACTCGATCGGAAGAGGGATGCAACGACGGGAGCGTTGAAGGTTTAAGGCGTTCAACGTTGCACGAAGGAATCCACCAGGAAAAACGGGTGGTGGTTGTGAGTGGAAGGGGGTGGGATGGACAGGGAGGAAGAGAGCCAATGGAAATTCAGCGATAAGAGTAGTAGCAATCCAGGGGACGCTAATGCAAGGATCCCTAGTATCCTGGCGAGCCGCTTGCCACCGCTTATTCGCCGATTCTCCCATTCGCTCGCTGGAGGTATTGGATTTCGGGATTGGCAGGTGCGACTGGCAGAACTGGAGATGCATCGTCATGATCAATTCCGATGTTGACGAGGATGGAAATGGAGTCGGAGATGGAGATGAACATGTAAAATATATTACTGACTATCACGTACCGGTTTATGCTATCCAGTGTGTCTCTATAGCCAATCCAAACGACTGAAAGTACGACGATACGATGCCGCGTCTCCCGTAGATCTATCATGATAGATGGAGGCATGGAACATCACCGCAGGGGCTCCCTAGTTCATTCTCGCCGACCATCACCGTCGATCTGCGAGAAGCCCCCGATGCTTCAGGGTATGGGTTCAGGGTAGGGAGTCTAGTAGCAACTAAACGGCATTGTATCGTGTGCAGGAATCCCCTAAGCGGCGAAGAATCCGCGAATAAACCGCGAACTAAAAGGCTGGGCCTGGCCGCTCCTGCGTCTATCGTCGCCTTCACTTCAACTGTCACTTGTCACTTAACTAAACACCCCCATCCTCCATACTCCATACACCTTTCATTCCCCCTTTGGTTCGGTGAAGGGAGAAGGGATCAATCTGTGTGTTGTGATCTTATCCGACGATATTACATCTACCACTCTACCTCATCTCCTACCCAATACTCGACTCACCACCACCTTTCCTCCACCTCCCACCGCCAAATCACTTATCGTGAGATCGCAAACACCCAAGCACCCAAACACTCACCTCTTTCTCCCCAATCCTCACTCGATGCATATCTAATAATCCCATCACCCCAACCCCCCAATTCTCCATCCCTCCCATCATCCGACATCATTTCCATCCCTCCCAATCATCCGATCGGCTCCACCTATCAATGGCGACCATCGCGCCCTCCATCGTCACGGCCGCGACCCATAGTCCGGATAACTTCCATAATGCCTACGACACCGGCGTCTATTACAACCCCCGCGCGCCCGTCAACCAACAACAACCCCCCTTTCAACCATCCGCCCATCCACACCCGCAACCCCCTCCTGGCAAGGTGCCTCACCCTCCGACCTCCGCACCCGCGCACCACCACCACAGCCACTCCGCACCCATGACCACCCTCCCCCCTTCCACCCAACACCCCCCACCACCACCGCACCTCCAGCTCCCCCTCCGCAAAGGCCGCCAGCTCAAATCCCCCCTCTACGTCCCCGCCGTCCTCCGCCCGACCGAGCGCCCCGTCCGCCACTCGCCGCCGAAAGACGGGAACAGCAGCGACGGCAGCCCGCCGAAGAGCGCGGGCGCGTCGTCGCCAGAGTCCGCAAGGTCGATGTTTCCGTTCCTGCGTGGTGCGGGAGCGGAGGCACGGCAGTGGAGGGAACGGAGAGATACCGGCGGGAGTCTCGAGAGCCATCTCAGCCGCCCAGTTGACGACGAATTCGAAGAGACGCTCGGCACCGTAACCGGCCCCCCCACCCGAGATCACTGGAAGGTACGCCACATCCCCCCCTCTCCCTCAGCATCTAAGCTAACCACCTCACAGCCCGACCTCTCCTCCCCCACCTGCTCCCACCCCACCTGCACCACCGCCTTCTCCCTCTTCACCCGCCGCCACCACTGCCGCCGCTGCGGCCACCTCTTCTGCGCCGCCCACTCCCCCTTCGCCGTTCCGCTCGACCACCGCGCCCGCTTCCATCCGCGCGCACCTGCGTACCGCGCCTGCGAGGACTGCTGGCGAGAGTACTGCGTGTGGGAGGCGGAGCGGAGTCGAGTGGGGAGTGAGGTGGGAAGCGAGGAGAACGACAGCGTTAGCGCGGAGGGAGAGGATGGGATTGCGGATCTTGGAGCGACACAGGGCGAAGGGAAACCGCCCGGCGTGAAGATCGGCGGGGCGAAGCCAGAGGGGCGGTTTGGGAGCTTGAGTCAGAGTTTTGGGCGGGAGTGGAGTTGGAGTACGTTTTGAGGACGCCCCGAGCTCCCGAACGGAATGACGTCGATCACGATGCGACGATACCCGTGAAGTTACTGGACTTCGCACGAATAGACTTTACCTTTTTTCACCCCCTCGACCATCGAATCTCGAATCTTGAGGACGACCGATATTTCATCGGAGGACCTACCATACATCGACCGCGGTCCCCTCTATCCCTTTTCTTTCCAATCACGATTAATAGAAATCCGTCATCGGACTCGGAGATTCCCCGACATTTTCCGGCGTTTCTGCTTTTCTTGCCTGCGAGGATTCTCGGTCCCGTTTTTGCGCCTCTCGATCGTTCGGCTTTCCACGCCCGGTCGATCGGTTTCTCCGGATCGGATTTCGACGCCGCCATCGCGGTCGTCCACTACGCGTATGCGTTCATGCTTTTCTGCTGGGTTGCTTGCTTGCTTGGATTCGGGCGGCGTTGGTTTTGTTTTTGCTGTGGTAGCAGCGGTGGGTGTGTGGGCGGGGGTGGGTTAATAGAATCGACGGATGACGGTGGCGTAATATTGGTTTTCCGATTTCCTTCCCGATCGTTTTGCGCCTCGTGGAGGTGGGGAGCAGAGGGAGAAGTAGTCGGAATCGTCTATTCGGTTTTTTATTCGGACTGAGATGATGACGGTTGAGATGCTGGGAGGGAGGGGATATCGCGTGGTGCGGTTTGGGTATAAGATATCGGAAGCACTTCGAGTAACCGAGAGTTAATGAATCCCTATTTTGAAATTTTGAACGGATGATGGATGAAAGTGAGTCTTATCGAGTAGATCTTAAACAATTCGTCGCACCATACCTTGATGGGGATGGAGGGATAGATGGGAATGGATGGGAATGGATGATGTGATGCTCGGTGGGAAATCTCGCCATTGCTCTGGTGCCTGCGTGCACCTTGATGGCTACGTACGCTACCTCCCTCCTCCCTCCTCTCTCCTCCAGCAGACAGAATTATGTAAAGGCTGAGATAGTAGATTTCGGGATTTCTAAGAGAGCGATCGTTCGATTTACTCATCGCTAGGACGGGGTGATGCACTTCTAATCCACAGTAGGTAGATACCGCATATAGTTATCATACACAGTCCTTAGCGGGACGGGCATCAAGCGCTCTACCTTCCAACCCTGACATCTCCTATCCCCAGCCCAGCATCCCCCCTCTAGCCCAACCGAACCATCTTATCCGCACCTCATTGCTTCATTCGTCGTCCAGCACCGTCGAACCCGGGGCCGGACGACGCGGTTGTACTCCTATCATAGTCCACCACCCTGCCCCCTCTCCCTTCAACTGGCTTCCATCCGCGGACACTCGCTAAGAGTAGTCGGGCGCCGTTGGTGGCGGGACCGGGTCCTGGGGCCGTGGCTATCGCCAAGGGGGTCGGTCGCGATGGGGGGAGCGAAGTGCGAGATGGCGGGGGAGCGAATTCGAGGGTGTGGCATGTGGAGGCGAGGTGGAGCGAGGATTCGTTTAGGACGAACGGCTCCGCCTGGCGCGTTCATGGGAATAAGTAGTCCAGTGGGAATCCAGCGGTATTTCCATCACTAGAATGTTACTTTGCGCTGTCCCGTTCACCCAGTCGCCGCCACCGCCGGCTGGACAACCTCGTCCACCGCGATTTTTTCCGTCGGCGCCTGCACGTCGCATGCACCGTTCTCCGCGCCATTCGCAACCACTTGCCCCTGCTCCGCCAGCCGCTTCTTCTCCTTCTTACTTAACGTCAACGACCCTTTCTCCACCGCCTCATGCGGCAGCGGCCGAATATACGGCTGGCAGATCCACCACGGCCGGTCGCACCGCTCGATCGCGCCGCGGGAGCTCTCAGTGGAGTCGTCGATAGGCGCGTCGGCGTTCGCCGGGGGTGGTTGGGCACCGTTGGTGCGCGCGGCCGCGTGGGAGGCCTCATAGTCGACGAGGCCCTGGCGGACGGCCTTCTCGACCATTTGCAGGGCGCGCTCGTAGCTGTCGACGTCGGCGGTTTGGGTGCGGGCGAGGGCGTTGCGGATGTCGTGGTGTTCGGAGACGAGTGCGCGGAGGAGGCTGAAGAGGTGGGAGCGCATGGCGACCAAGTTCGGCTCGTGGCAGCGTTTTTGCTTTTTGGGTTTCGCGGGTGGGTCGGTGCGGCGCTGTTTTTTTAGGGGAGGTTCGGAGGGTTCCGTTTCCGCGCCGGGGGAGGCGGTCGACGGGGTGGATTGGGGGGAGGAGGGAGCGCGGGGATCGAAGAGCGGGGCGCGGGGGGGAGGGGCGACCCCGAGGACAGAGTGGTGGATGATGTCCATATAGCGACGGAATACGGCGTCGACGCGCCAGCCGCCTTCGCCGTCGACGCCGCGCCAGTACTCGGGATTATCGTCGCCCACTGGAGGGGGTGCGAAGATGGAAGGGTCCGATAGATTTCCTTCGGCACTCATGACGCCGTCGGCACCGGTCGCCTCCAAGCATCGAGCGATGTCCTGGTATTGGAGGATATTGCCGTTCGCGAAGATCACGGTCTCCGGTGGGAGGTTGTCGCGCAGGTACTTGATGATCGACCAATCCGCTAGTCCAGTATTGTGTCCTTTCTGCTCTCTCTGCCTCCCATGGACGGTGATAATGCTTGCTCCCGCGCTCAAGATCATCTTCGCATACTCCAGCGTCTTCTCTTTGGTTTCTTGCGCCCGGAACTTCGCCGTCACGGGTATATCCAGATCCTTATGCAGCGCGCTGATCAGCGCGTGGATCTTCTCCCAGTCCTCCTGCAAGAACGCGCCGTAGTTCCCCCGCTTCGCGATCCCTTGCGGACACCCCAAGTTCAGGTCCACTGCATCGCAGTACCGCTGAATATACCGCGCGGCGCCGAGGAAATCGTCCGGCTCGTTCGAGCAGAACTGGACGAACAGCGGCCGATCAAACTTCGGGTTGCCATCCAGGTGCCATTCGTCCGGGTTCGGCGGCGAATTGCCTTCCGACGGCTCGGGGATCGCGGTCTTCAGCGGCTGGAAGCTCGACGCTCGGTAGTTGCTTTCCTTCACGAAGAGCCGGGAATGGAGCATCGGCGAGTACGCGAGGAGGCTGCTGCGTAGTTCGGGAGGGAAGAACGAGCGGGAGAGCATGCGCCATGCCTAGTGATATATAAGTAACAGGAAGACGATCTGTTTGGGATATCAGACGTACAAACTCGGATTGGTCCACCATAGGTGCCAGAATCAGTTTCGGGCTGCCTAAGTTTTCGTAGAATGCTCGTCCATGGAGTTTAGGCTTCTTGAGCGGCGGCTCGCCGTTCGCCTGTATGGTAACCACTGACGGCTCGGGGGAGAGGTTGCTGTGCATGGTGGCGTGGAGAGGTCGGAGATATTTGGTGGCTGCGAGTGTCCTGGGATGCGCAAACCGCGCCGGATATGTAATGAACAGTATCTTGGGATAGGTGTCTAGTCGTCCTATGAGCCGTGGTATGGACTGAGAGTTGTGTAGATGGCGAATGAAGACTGAAGTTGAGATACGTCGGACAAATGTTTAAGAAAATTCGTGCTTGAGTCAGTTCGGGCTTTTGTAATGGAGTCCCTGACCGATGCATGACTCATGTTGATAACTCCAGTAATTAATAATGTGGGTACTACTCCGTACGGAGTATACGCTGCTGAGGTGTTGTTGATTCACTTCAACTGTTCAAACCTCAGCATCTCGAAAGATGTCCGTCTATAAACACAAACCTTCTTTGCTTCAACGGATTTAGAGAATCTTTCGTGCCTTTCCTTACACGAATTGTGGGAGGGACCATCTTTGCCTCTACTATCGCTTTGGTCTTTCGCTTTGTCCTCCTGACTTGTCTTTTATCCCCTGTTATGCCAATGACACGTCAACTCATCATGGTGGCTGAGGTGGCACATAGAGAGTGCATCGAGACCGTGGACCTATCAGGTCTAGACACTCAAATGGACCATAATGCTATGTTAGAGCTTCAAAGGGATCAGCAACAACTGCTTAACCTGATCCACGAAGTCCGCCAGCAAGGAATATGCAATCATGTCCCTATGCCACAGCTCATCATTTGCGGAGCTCAGTCTGCTGGCAAGAGTTCTGTTTTGGAAGCCATCTCCCGCTTTCGTTTCCCAATTAGGGAGACAGGCTGTACAAGATGGGCCACAGAGCTCATCCTAAAGAGGGCCGAAAGCCATGTCGTCCATGTCTCTGTGATCCAAGCAGATCCGGAATGTGCAACATCCGGCGCCTTGAAAGCTTTCACAAAACGTGCGACCACTTGTACGGATATGGACCATCTCGCAAAATTGCTAGCAGAAGAACAAGCCGTGCTCCACCTGGCCCATCGAGACAGCGATCACGGCTTCATTATAGAGGACACCCTTCGAATCGAAGTCTGTGGTCCCAACCTACCTCATCTCACACTGGTCGATCTTCCTGGTATCACTCATGAAGGCGATAGCGAAGACGTGAACGCAGCAAAAAGGATAGCCACCAAATATCTCGGCAACGAAAGCGCAATTATATTGCCTGTTCTTGAAACTCATCAATATACATCCAACCAAAGGGTATTGGACTTTGTCAACCAATATGACAAGGAACGAAAGAGGACCTTTGCCATTCTCACAAAGCCCGACCGTGTCGAACCCGGGTCGGATCTAGAATCTGTGGCTGTCGAGCTTGCAAAGAACCGGCACTCCAAGTATGGAGGATTTGAGTATGGTTGGGTCGTACTGAAGAATCGCGACCAGTCCACGCTAAATACTACCGACGTCGAACGCGACGCTTGTGAACGTGAGTTCTTCCGCAAAGGCATTTGGAGTGGAGCGGATCCGAACCTTTGGGGTGTACGTTCCCTTCGCTGTCGTCTCAGTGCCATTCTCTTCAAGCGCATTGGAAATGTGTTGCCTCAACTCACCAAGGGCGTTGAAACACGGATCAACGACATTTCGCTCCAGATTCGAAAATTTGGACCAGAAAGAGCCACGCCTGAGCAGCAGAGGAAGTATCTGGTGGACACTGTGACGAAATTCCGAGAGCTCATCATCTGTGGGAAAAAGGGCGACTTCAGCGATCCATTTTTCAGCACTCAACGGCAGGGAATTAAGACAACATTGCGCGCGAATATCCACGACCGAAATGGACAATACAGCAACGAAATGGCGGTACAAAAACCCGAAAGGGGTACTGTCCTAGCACTGTTCAAGAACGGTCGGACAGCAGAAGCGCTGGATGCAGTCTCACAAACAGCATCCAAATATCGTGGACAAAGCTTGCCAGGATTCCAAAACTCCGAACTCCTAGGGATCCTTTTTCGTGAAGAGGTCAAAGGGAATTGGCGAGACGTCACACTGAAGCATGCAGAGGCAACTTTCAACTATGTCAAGGGATTCCTCTATGCGGCATTGCAAGCGGCTACAGATGAGCGAACAGCACATCTCATCATGCAAGAGATTCTATCCGATGTGCTGGAGACCCGCCACCATGAACTTCAAGAGATGTGCTCGTTGTTGTTGAAGCCTCATGAAGCAGGCCACCCGATCACATATGACCCAGACTATGAAAAACAGTGTCGGGTACTCGCTGATGAGCTGGGTGGCGGAGATGCCAGAGGTTCACCTGAGGAAGCCCCTGAGAAACATTATGCGAACTTTATTTTGAGCGGCCTGGCAACATACCATAAAATCAAATTGAGAATACTGGTTGACAATGTAGCCGTTCTCGCCATCGAGAGCTGCCTCTTACACCAGTTGGAAGATACCCTTCCTCTTGCGACTGTGGCTGCCATGGATAATGACACGCTAGGGAGACTTGCCGGGGAAGACGAAGATATTGGAGAGGCTCGACGTTCAGCAAGCAATTCCTTAGTAGCCTTGAAAGCTGCTCAAGCCTTGTTGAAAAGGATGATATCTGCAGAAAAACTGAAGGACCAAGGTAGGTTTTATTTCCGCAGCCGTTGATTCGACCATGTTATTGATCTATGACAGGCCTATATCCACCCGATTCTTCTAGCATCCAACAGACAAACACTGCTGGTAATAGGGTTGGTGGGCAGCATGGGGGACTAGCTGGTTAGTCAAACGTTCTGAGCGAACGAGAAATACCACTAACCGCTATCCTGAACAAGGTCCTAGAAATACAGGACAGTCTCCCGGCGGAGGCCCGAATGTACCTGCAAATAATATCAGCCCGGCTGCCACTACTCCTTTAGTGTCCGCTGTGTCGCCATTAAGTACCCTAAGGATCATAGGCGAACCTTCCACTTCCGGCAACCAAGCCTTCGCTTTTCCCAAAATCGCACCACCCAAGTAGGTAGTCATACTCATACGGGAGTACTAGACCCCGTTTAACACCTCTCCTAGCCAGTCTGTTTCTCCTTCAAGCCAGACTCTAAATAACAAAGTGGTATCTCATCCCGGCTTCCTGAGCGAAAAGGATTCTAGGGGTCGGACCGAGATTTTTGACAGCATAACATCCATCTTTCCACACGAAGACTATTCCTTCGAAGAGTTGAAATTGGCTGACTATTCAAGAAGAAACTCGGCCCAGCCAACTGGCGGTGCGGCAGGCGCCGTTGGCAGCACGAGCGCCTCTGCTGGCCCGTTAACGCCCGGACGGAGTATCCCAAGCTTATTCGCCCATTTGCCACATGGATCGACGGCCCGCAATGGCGCAAGCACTACACCCCCAGAACCACGAACTACGTCACTATTTGGCCAGAGCAAAAATTTCGGAGGTCTAGGGACGCCCCCTGTCCCTACTACAGGCACTAAACCTTCACAGTCAGGCTTTGAGACGAGCGGTAGTCACCCGTTTGGCGGATTCGGAAAAGGGCCCGTCTCATAGGGGAAGTTCGGAGACTACGCAATTGCATTAGCATTCGGGAGACCAACAATTTCCCTCCCTTCGAACACATTTGGCTGGTCTGCTGTGCGAACCAGTGCCAGGGAATATTCTCCCATGGAGCAGCTACTCCTAGTTGCAAAGGGGACAACTGCGGAGGTTCGGATAGTACAACACCACTGATGGGAATATTTCTACAATTGACTCCGGGATAAGGGAGTGTGCTGCGCATGTATTATATTGAGATTATTGCTGTCTTTAATCAAAAGTCCCACTTACAAGCCATTCACGCCCCGTCTCTCTCGCGAAGCTGATGGCCCCGAACTCTGGAGTATTCCATCGGTTACCCTAAATAATTGACGCTAGAAGTAGTCGTCGGGACAATGTGCCTCAGGAGCATGGTAGAACCGTAGAAGCCACCGCGTTCTAAACAGGCCGTTTCAACGTTAGCCGGCTCCAGGTATTTGGCGGACTCTCCTTTGCTCGATTTGGCGCTTCGACTAGATGTCGACTTTGAGGTACTTTGTTTAGAAATAGGTAATATCTACAAACATTCCTAACGTTGGAAGGTCGCAGGACAAAGGCATGGATTGCCCTTGAAACACCCCCTCCCCCGCGGAGGACAAAAATAGCGGGACTCACATTGGGCTTGGCGCCACCACCCCGTACAGATTTCTATATAAAAACAGATATATTCACAATAACGCAGTCAATCCACGTCAAAATGGAAGGTGACGTTATTAAGTCTTATACAAACAGTCTATAGGTAAAAAATGCGGCGGTTAGCCCGCCAATCCGCCCCCATAACCAATCAGTTGACCACCAGCCTCGATCACCTTTCGAAGTCGATCAGGCATAGAAAGTACCCGTTTATTAATCCATTCCTGTTTAAGCTCTCCCCAGGCCTCGATCGCTAATTCACGAGTCTCTTCGGGATTGAAATGGCGATATTTCCGTACGTATTGCTTCGTCGGTTGCCAACAGTCCTCGATGATCGCAAGATCCGGCGATCCTGCGCAATTAAAGTACGAATGTACGCCATTTTGCTCTTTCCATTGTTGTACGGCATTGCCTTTTTTCCTTGACCGCGGCGGTGCGTGGCCTGAGTCTTGATCCTCCTCTAAAACGAAGAAATCTCCACGGTCGACCCATTCCTGAACTTCCGTCTGGAGTATCTCCTTGAGATAGACGTCCTGCGTCATCTTCCCGTTTTTATTCGTCGGTATCACGTAAAAGGTAAGGGGGACTTGAAGTCGTAGCCCACCGCGGCCCATGCGTGGACTTTGAGCTTCTCTGCGTCGTCCCATTCCTCCACGCGTTGGATACACTTGGGACAGTACCGTTCGCCGCGTTTCCGGATAATAACGAGCTTCCCTTGAGGCCCCATCCCGAAATGGACTTCGTCGCTAAATCTGATATATTTCCAGTGATCCGGAGTCGGATACTTATCGAGCCAAAGCTTCGCGCGGTTCAATCGCATCTCGGCCAGCTGTTTGTTGCAGTACGGCTTCCGACACGCGACGCATTTGAAGTATCCATGCTTTTCCATAGCTCGACGAATTGTTCGGCTAGAAACATCGAGTCCGGTCTCAAGCGCGAGTGTATCCCAATCAATAGCTCGTTCTTCGGCGCAGTCAGCGCTCTCGAGGATATCGGTCATCCGTTGGATATCTTCGTCGGTGATTTTAGGCGGTCGACCTCTTGTTTCGCGTCGATTAGGGATATTCCGTTCCCTCCGCTCTGTTTCCGCTTTGGCGTACTCATATCCTCTGGTTTTGGATACACCATAACGGCGGAAGATATCGGCGTGAGTGTAAGTCCGATTAAAACCATCGATACGTCTTGTATCGTTAATATACTCAATAGCACCCTTAATTTTCGCTTTTGTAGGTGTTGTAATATGTTCTCGAGGCCTTTTTCTACGATCTTCAGCTAATAGAGCTGCTGCACGGGTTTGGGGAGCCATATTAATTGATTATCTAAATGGAAGGTGAATAGAGATTTTGGTGGTGGTCTGCCAAGGCCTGAAATGAGTCCCGCTATTTTTGTCCTCCGCTGGAGCCCCTGAATACGGAGTTTAGCGCCGTCAAGCACATCACCAACATCACCACCATCACCACCATCACCACCATCGTTTCTCTATCTCAACTGCTTCCCTTTCAAAGTCCCACACATCGTCCAAAGTCTCCCAGAAATGAATATAAATGTGCATTAACAAGCATTGAAAGCTTAGAGTCCCGTATGCTGCTCAGTATGGTCTCTGAGCTAATCGGCATTCCAGTTCCCAGCCGAGTTGGCTCGCTCCCAGTGTGTTTCATTCCCCTCACCGTCTTGACAAGTATTTTGCATTTCCCCGGCTGGTTGTGTGCGGCGACTAATCTGCTGGAAAGAGTTCCGTTCCTGAAGCAATATCTGGCTTTCGGTTTCCAGCTGCAGAAGGCACAGGCACACGCTGGGCAACGGAGCTGGTCCTCCGTAGAGACTCATCTTCAACTACCAAAGTTTCCATCGTTCCTGGTTCAGAGAGCAATGTGCCGAAGCTCGTTGAGCCACTTTTCGAAAAGTTCAAAGCGGCTACGGGCCTAGATGCGATTTCGGGTATCATTGAGGAAGCGCAGAATGCGCTCAAAACTGCCTCTAACGGGACATCCAGGGCTTACTACGATGACGTCCTACGCATCGAAGTACGCGGACCCAATCAGCCACATTTAACGCTGATCGACTTGCCGGGTATCATCTATGCACATGGTGACAAGAGGAGAGACCCGACATTCAAGGATATCCTATTGCAGCTTCTTGACATATACCTCAAGAATGAGCGCGCCATTATCATGGCAGTAATCCACGGCAACTTAGACCCGGAGTTGAATTTGATCCTCGACGTGATTAAGGAATATGATCCGAAAGGTTCCAGAACCCTCGGCGTCGTTACAAAGCCAGACTTGAACCCTGGGCCTGAGATGGAGGACAGAGTTTTCAAGATCCTCGCGAATGAAGATCCTCTCTGCATTTTCGGGTATGTTTGACGGCGGAGTATAATCAAAGCTTTCGAGGCTTGGTATCTAACAATCAAGTAGATACGGCTGGCACGTCCTCAAGAACCGCCCTTCAACCAAGAAAGACTAGTCAATTGAACAACGAGATGAAAGCGAGACCGACTTCTTCAGCCAAGATCGATGGGTGGATCTGGATGAGAACCCCAAGGGTGTCAAGTCATTGAGGACGCGATTGAGTAAGGCTATCCGCGATGCCGTTAGCGCAGCATTGCCAGAGCTCATGACCCAAATCGACCGGGGCAGCGTAACGTGCGAAGAGCTTCGAGAACTTGGTGAGCTGCGTGTTTCCAATGAACAACAGAGCCGGTATCTGTTTTGAAAAGCAAGTGACCCCAAGCCTTAATACAGTCTGCCAAGAATGGGGTCTATACGCATGGATTCTTCAAAGGTGGTGAAGGCCAAAATCGAGATAAGCGACGGATTCGTGCCCAGATTTTTCACCAGAACCAAGCGTTTGAGAACCACATGTTGACTCAAGGGAAGAGAATGCGAATCGTCGAAGTGCTACCTGAAGGCCATCCTGCCAATTGGACTCTTTGGGCTCAAGAAGTAGCACGCGTTCAGACTCTGGAGGCTGCCAATGCTGGGATTAACCTGCCAGGCTTCCCAAACGCCGCTCTGATTACGGATCTCTACCAAGCTGAGGTGCAGAAATGGCCGAACATTGTCAACATTCAACAGAATGAAGCGTGGCTATATGTGCAACAATTCTTCGACCAAGCTCTTGTGTACTTGACAGACAAGCGTGTTGCGGGTCTAGTGATGGAAGAAATCATTGGACCTGCATTGGAGGCAAGGAAGCAAGAGTTGGATCGGATATGTAGAATGCTTTTGAAGCCGCACATCAGCGGAATTCCCATGACCTGCGCCCCGGAATATCTCAACAAGCTAGCAGCACTAAAATCTAACAGACCCACGTCGCAGTCTTCCCCCACGGTGAATGGAGCTGCTGATATCATTGACAGCTTGGAAGTCTAATGCGAGATCAAAGTCAAGATTTTTATTGACAATATAATCGTGCTCGGAATCGAGAACTGTTTGCTTGAAGGTCTCGAGGATATCCTTTCTGCCGAAATGGTGGCTACCATGTCCACCGAAGATTGCAATCGTCTTGTTGGAGAAACCGAGACTCTAGAGAAGATAAAGAGACAGCAGGACAAATTGGAGACATGTAGAAGCTGCAACAAGACCTTGCGAAGGTTTAAGACAAGTGGGGGTTCATTCCCAACTGGTACGTTGCTCCAATACTTGGAAATTCTTTAAAATGTAAGGTATTAATGTCACTCACTGCAACAGATCTTGAGAAACCCTCTATCGAAGTGGACTTTGCCAATACGATTAAAAGCGCCCAGCTCCGTGACCCCATACCAGCCAAACGAGCAGCTGATCAGAGGCAAAATAAGTGGGTTCGATCATCCGAGAATGAGAGGTGATTGACCACCGCGTAGTGAACGTCGAGTCAACTCAATCGCAGAAAGCAGATGAACGCAGCTCGCATCTAGCAGCTCGGCCCACCACTCCACAAACACAGGCCATGGGTCCTGCGAGTTCTCTGGAAATCCTTAGCAGCGATCAATCTTCGAACTATGCGTTCTCCGGTGCATCGAGAGAAGCAAGCCCAGCTGGTACCTCAGTGGCAAGTCAATCGCCAGCCACAACGGGCCTTTACGAATCAAGGGAAATTGACAACGTCGAAAAGTCGAGCCAATAACGATGGGCTGCAAGAGGAAGAGCTCTGACAGAAGAATAGAAGTACCAAATCCCCGTTGACAAAACGGCAGCCCATCCCTGATCTCCCTCCAGTTGATGGTAAGGGGGGGTAGGGCTCCGTTTGTCGGGGGGGTAGGGCTCCGTTTGTCAACTGTGGCTCATACTCCAGGGAACAGGACTCCATCAAATGTGTTCGAACCCAACTATCAAATACGACATAGCAAGGGGGAAGTTAGAATGAATCGGGATTCGATGATAGTCCGCTTGCGCTCAGATGTTCGATGGCTCCGGTGGATGGACGCGTGGGCCAGAAAGGAAGGCGAGACGTTAAGGTTGTGTTTCATAGCTTGTTACATAAGGACGATATCTGAAGCAAGGAAGATCATCTAATATCAAACCTCTGTTGGATCCAACGTTGCGTTTGGGATACGGGGGACATCTGCCATGTGCCTGACGCCAGGTTGATGCCAGACGCTGGGAGGGTTTACGGACACATTGACCACAACGGCTGGCACGTCCTTATATATTCGATAATCGATAAGACTTACTACGCGTAGCAATAGTGGTTTGAGATCGGGAAAGGAAATAGGAGTTGATGAAAGTAAAGTCGTGGAAGCGTTGGAAAATCTCGCGGATCCATGGAGGTTCAAGTGGACGGTGGCTTGTGCGTTTCCGAGGATCGTCGTTGACGATTTCAAGGCATTCCGCGCTTCATCACAACGCCACCTGCATCTCCTACTCGCTATTCAGCCCAGCTGAGTGCTGATCAACGATCCAGACGGGATCGTCCCACCATATCGGTACAGCTCCTTCCGGCTCTTCGTGACAAGAAAGATGACACCTTCTCATCACTTCTTCCATGCGCAATGGTTGGTCGACGCGTCGTACGAAGCACAATGGAAGCAAAGCTGTCGCTAGAAGGCTCGGTGCCACCATCGTGGGGGTGCCTTACATTGGACGCCTTCGCGGCCGTCCCGGGAGATGATATCCGTTGATCCGCTTCTTGAGACAGTGTCGTCGTATTGAATTGCCTCACTCTTCACATGGGCCACATTGCGACGCCGCATGACGGCCTGGACACGCAACCGTTGGTGAAGTCGATTGCAATAATGTAGGAAAAACAGATGTTTGTGAAACTAGAGAGCTTGGGTGAATCTATCGGCATTTGGAATGGGGTTCCGTTCTAAAGGTTCATCATCGAATGGGGAAAGGTTCGAGCGGACTTACACCATTCACCATTGTTCAGCCTTCGCTTTCTATTCAAGTCATTGAATCTCATATTTGCAGTATATTTCTTATTTAAATTTCTATGCAATTCAAGGACGCTACTATTGTGGCCTCATTGCCGAATGTCTCCTACCTCTCCTAGCCCAGTTCAATCTTCCCTCGCTTCTGTGAGGTTCTAAGAGATATCTCGGAGAAACAGTGTCACAGAATCCAAGACTCCGCTCTAGGTGATCAGGAATACCCACTTCTCTATTCGCCTAGAGCAAAGCAATTTTCCATACCAAGTGGAACATGGCTTCACTCATTAGGAGAGAAGGACACGATTTCGGAGAACCAAACCTCAACGGGCTTGGTGTCTTCTATATCTGCCTCTCCCTCCTCTATACAATCTTCGTCTTAGGTGGTCTATGGGCATTATGGCTCCACCGCGACACTACTGCTGTGCGCATCCGTGGCTTCTGGACCATTTTTTCGGCTGTTCTATGCATTCACATGTATAGCATGGCGGTTGTCCTCGTGTATCCTCTGAATGGTATCCTTAAATGCGGTACGGAGTTCTGGATGATGTCTATAGTGCTACCTTTCAGTGTGGCGCTATTCCAAGGTATACCAAACGCCTACTCTTGAGATGCATTTATAACATTGACATAGCCTCGAATATTCGACTTTCCGCGTACTATGAAGGGCAACGCAGTCTCATCAATAGTCCTACAACAGGAGGAAGGAAAGCGAGGTATCCGACCGAAATGCGTGGCCTTCTCCGGTGGTGGCGGGAGCAGAATAGTGCGACCAAGACATATGTCTTCATTGCTTTAGGACTTACTGTTCAGGTTGGTGATCCTAGCCCGATCTACATCAGTGGTGTTTCGCAGGTATTTATGATTTACTCACATTCACAGCTTTTCGTGACGCTGTTCTTGTTCTTCGGTTCTCGTCGATTCCATGGCTCCTACGGCTTCTTTTCTAGACACGTTGGTCCTGCCGACTGCTGCCGCGGATATGAATGGTATGTCATCCACCACCAAATTGGTTCATCAACTAACTCAGCAGGATCCCCTCTGTCTTCTGGCAGTTTCTATGGGCGAGTGTGTTCGGTCCATATGTCCTGCTCCGCATACGATACATTCGAGATGTCCACTACTGGGCATGGCAGACCAGACTTGCAATCATTGCCGCGTAAGACATGACTAAACCAGGGTGAATCATTCTCCGATAGAGAATTCCACTGATATACTGCCGATAGGCTTCCTGGGACGCCACTCTGGCTGGCATTTGTGTACTCTGACAACCCTCGTCTCATGAAGGTCAGCAAGTCGTTCGTCCCTGCCGGATGGTGAGTACATGATGTGCCCCGCCGACATTTTGCGTGTACCTAACACAATTCTTAGGTTCCTCCCGGGCCTTATCACCATGCAATTTGTCTCGATCTATTTTCCTCTTCATGATGCGCACAACAAATCACAACGACCGTCCAGTCCGCAGAGCGTAAAATCAACCATGACCAAAAGTGAGAAGAAAGATGTGTACAGCCTGGCGTCCCTTGAGCTACAGATTGCCTACAATATCAACCCCCTTCTGAAGTGGACGGCCGAAAAGGAGTTCACGGCGGAGAATATCGTTTTCCTCAAAGCCGTTCGTGACTTCAAGCGAAAATGGGCCGTCCAGCTGCAACTAGGCCTATTGGATCCGGAACAACTTCGAGACCGCTACGAGGAAGCCGCTCTCATTTTCTTCACACTTGTGAATCCACAGACCGCTCGATTCAATATCAATATCGATTACCACACATACAAGGAGCTTTCTTGGCTGTTTGTTGGTCTTCGATATGTTCCTTTCGAAGACAATGCGACCTCGCGCCGTTCACAATCGGAAAATGTCATCACACCCTGGTCGAACGAACGACGTTGTTCAATGACTTCTGAAGATATACCATCGACGACAGACGTGGATCGTTTATATCCTATCCCTGTCACCGAAATCGAACCCGCATACGTCAAAACCAGAAGCGATACGACTCTTTACAAGAGCGGCGATACAATTCGTCGCAAAAGCACCTCTGTCAACCCTCCCCCAATTCCCGCCCAATTTACCGTTGCGGCGTTTGACAAAGCGTATGAGTCGGTCAAGGACGATGTATTCCGCAACACCTGGGTCAGGTATGAAGCAACCATTCTATCCCACCATCAATTCCTGCGATTCCCATCCCATTTGACATCGTCGCATCCACCATACCCACTTTATAAGTGCCCTCTCTAACATTGGCTTTGTAGATTCGTCGATTCCGGCGAGACAGCGAGTATTGCGGACTCGGAGCTGACCGACTTCTCGTTCACCTCCATGTCTTCTTACCTCTCGAAACTCAAACGTGCGCATAAACGATAGGTTCCTCGGTCACATTGTTTTCCAATCATACATTTTCCGAGCGTGCATAGACACTGCAGGCGCGAGATCATTCCTTTCCATGCGACCACATTCCGGCCGTTCCGAATCCGGGCGACGAATCATGGAACAATCCCTGAGAAGGTTAAAAGATGGAAGTCGGAAAGGATATCAGCTGTGGGAAAGGTTGCAACTTGAGTCTTTCATTGCCCTAGGATAGTAAAGTGAGAAAGATGAACAGATCTGGAGCTCAAGAGGTGGAGTTAATACATCAAACTCTTACAAAAGTTCTCTTGCAAGGGAAATGGATTGCATCTTAGAATCGAACGGGAATGCCAACTCCACATCTTGAATTTTGCGGTATAATACTTGCGTAACACGAATCCACATGCAATGCAGCAAATGATCTCTTCGTCATGGGTGTCACGGCTAAGACAGTGATGATTACTTCCCATAGTGCCTTATATATCTATGGTGAGATGCAGGAGTTTAACAGACTCCACGCTCATCTATCTCATCAGATACATTGCCCTGCGGCCTTCATGCCCTCGTCTAAGACATATTACGCAGATATTGAAACACGGGCAGTCTCTGCGACATTCTTGAAGAGCATGGGAGCCGCTTCATGCCTTTCCGTCCGGGGATTGTTTTGCCGGGTATGAAGAACATAAAGGTGTTCGAGCTATTAGATGGAGTCCAACTAGGCCAACGGCATTCCCGCTCATCCCTTTTCCCGGCTCTGCTGCACCAACACTCGACCCAATACCGCCGCCATATCTTCCATCTCAAGCTTATCCTTCACCTCGGCCTCCTTGCTAGCCGCTTCCCAGAATTTTGCCATGCGGCCCTCATCGACTCTCACCAACCACCCCGTCTCAGTAATCATAATCACCGCCCCGTTCCCCTTACCCAGAACCCCCCCTCTTTTCAGCACCCCTTCCACCCACGCCTCATCCCTCCCCTTCTTCCCTCTCGCCGCCAACTCCACCAACCTCACCGCCCCCCTCCGCCTCACCTCCCTCTCCGCCCTCTCCACCACCTCCCGCCTCTCCTCCTCCGCCTCCCTCTCCCTCCTCATCCTCTCCTCCCTCTCCTTCCTCTGCCTCTCCTCCGTCTGCCGTACATACTCCTCCCTCCGCCTCTTCTCCTCCGCATCCCGCCCCGCCCGCTCCGCCTGCTCCGCCGCGATCGCCTCCCGCGCCGCGTTCCCCTGCGACCTCATGAACTCGTTGTACGCCCGCCGTTCTTCCTTGCGCTGCAGCGACGCGGATTTCTTCTTGCCGACCGTACGGTCGCCGCGTTGCGCGGGGGGTGGGGGTTGCGGTCGCTGCGGTCGCTGCGGGGGTTGCGGCGGGGGTGGGGGCGGCGGCGGGAATTCCATCGGGTTGTCTGGAGCGGCAATGTTGGGGAAGATGTGCGGGAATATTTGTTGGAGGGGGTGGACGGGGGCGGGAAGGAGGTCTTCGGCGTCGGGGGCGGGGTGGGGTGGGCGGTCGTCGGCGTCGGAGTCGTCTTCGACGTATTGGAAGCGGTTGGGTTGGGTTGGGGGAGTGGGCGCGCGAGGAATCTGGCGGATGAGGTCAGTTTCGGTGAGATGATGGTAGAACGTTTGACATACTTCGACCTGGCCGGGTCCTGCTTCCGGAACCGGATTGGTGTCGTCGGCGACGTTTATAGGCTCCTGATGTCTGCCGTCATCGGGGATTTCTCTTCGCTCCTCCTCTACCCACCATAGTCTTGATATCTCCGGGCCATAATAGAGGAGTGTGCACAGCACGACGCTATGCAGAATGTCTCGCCATATAGGTGTTGCCGGCTTCGTGAACGGGAGTAATAAATTGAGCACGTATCGCACCGGCGCAAGGGCCTTGAAGACAAGGCCCATTGCGAGGGAGGTGTTCAGAGGAAGACCAATTCGATGGATTTCTAGCTGTTCAGTTTCGGGGAATTGAAAATGCTGATGAGTGTCAGTTGTGGTATCATTCAGACTTTCCGGGGTTGGTGGGATGGTTCGTATTGCTCAGCAGTCAGCTCCAGTGGGCAGTGAATACTGAATAGTGATGGTCTTGATGACTTGATCAGTGATGTGGAAAGAGTGGAATATTATCTCGAGTCAGGTTTAGCCGTCATAGTATTCTGCATGACTTACGCAGTAAGAGGAAGAAATACTTTATGCCTTAGGTGTCATTCAGATTCTTGTTTGGGGTGACAACTCGGATCACATGATGCGCTTCTCGAATTAATGCCTCAGGTGACAAGGCTTCTAATCCACCGCGCTAAACCCATTCCAGCATCATTAGCGATTCTCGCTCCCACAGCCCAAAAGAAGTTTCGCCAAACCCACCCTCCAACCACCTCGACATCCACAATCCAGCCAAGGCGCAAAACATTGTTGACAAAAATCACTGAGGACTCCTATTAGGACGAATCGTCACGACAATAACGCGCCTCTTACACATCCACTTGCTTCTGCAACTTATCGACAACCATGTCTGACAACGGCGAGATCGAAGTCGAGAACCCTTCGGGGTTCCAGATCCTTCCCAAGGAGGTCACCGAGGAGATTGGCAGCATCAAGCTGTTCAACAAATGGAGCTACGAGGATGTCGAGATCCGTGATATCTCTTTGACGTACGTTGGCAGCCGTTCAGGACCGCCGGACGGTTCGAAGAAGCCCATATCGCTAACCTGAGGCGCATCAGTGATTATATCCAAATCCGATCCCCCGTCTACATCACCCACTCTGCCGGCCGCTATGCCGTCAAGCGATTCCGCAAGGCCCAATGCCCCATCATCGAGCGCCTCACCAACTCCCTGATGATGAACGGCCGCAACAACGGTAAAAAGCTGATGGCCGTCCGCATCGTCGCCCACGCATTCGAGATCGTATGTCCACCCACATCCCACACGTCCCAAAGCGAATTTTCCATGACCGAAAGTTTCTGTGCTAACTCTACCACCAGGTTCACGTCATGACCGACCAGAACCCCATCCAGGTCGCCGTCGACGCCATCGTCAACTGCGGTCCCCGCGAAGACTCCACCCGCATCGGCTCCGCCGGTACCGTCCGTCGTCAAGCCGTCGACGTGTCCCCGCTGCGCCGCGTCAACCAGGCCATCGCCCTCCTCACCATCGGAGCCCGCGAGGCCGCCTTCCGCAACGTCAAGTCCATCGCCGAGTGCCTGGCCGAGGAGCTGATCAACGCGGCCAAGGGAAGCAGCAACTCGTACGCGATCAAGAAGAAGGATGAGTTGGAGCGTGTGGCCAAGAGCAATCGTTAAAGCGGTCGTTAGGTGGTGTTGGGAAAATTCGGAGGGGAGAGTGGCTGGATTACATGGGACTGTTTTCTTTGCATTGCATGAAATCGGCGAGCAGAGGATGGCTTTCCTCGGTATAAAAGTCAAGCTTCCTACGTAGAAGAATATATGATATCAAGTACATTGTACTCCTGCTGTTGTGAATTCATTGGTTTCTACAGGATGGTGGACTTCGCTTAGGGGGCATGTCCAGTAGCATATTCGGAATTGGTCGGAGTGGAGAAGAGCAGAGTTGAGGAGCAATATTAATTGACCTATGTACTACATGTATGGAGATTTGTCAAAGGCAGGGACCACCGCGCTCTTCCGTGCGCCGCCAAAGCTAAGTGAAGAATGATACACTCCTTCAGCCATATCCCACACGCCATGCTATAATGCGACAGACCCGATAATGCTCTTCCCCCCAGAAAGATGAACTCGTGCAAGCAAACCGATATCCGAAGAATTGTATTATCCTCGACCTCCGGACGTCAGCACACGCATCATCCATGAAGCTTCATCGGCGCACTTATATCCCTTCGCTCCCCCATCCCTGCCATCGGCTGCCGCGGCGTCGCACTCCCCATCGCCAGGCTCCGCGCGCGCCCCCGCCTCTGCCGAATCATCTCCAGCGCGGCCTCCCGATCGATCGTGCCATCCGGTCGCAGGGCGCCGGGGGTGACCGCCGACGGTGTCAGCGGTGGCAGGGCGTCGCTCTTCGCGGGCGTCATCATCGTGGTAGAGACGTGGGCGACGGTCGCGGGGCGGGGGATGCTAGGGGGGATGAAGTTGGTACGGAGGGCGTCGCCGGGGGAGAAGTGGATGGGGATGGTGGTCGTGGTGGTGACGGTGCGGATCGCGCGGTCTGCGGGGGTTGACGGGGGGGGAGGAGATGTGACGCGGTGGTGGCTGGCTTTGGGGGTGGACGCGTCGGTATCGTCGGTGAATACGCTGTCTGAGGAGGGGGGGAGGTCGTTGCCTAAGTCGAGGGGCGTGCCGGCGCGTATAGTGGAGTCATCGGGGATGGAGAAGAATGTGTCCTCGTAGGGGAGGACGCTGCTCGCTCGCGGGACAGAAGGTGAGGGTTTCCGAGGTGTAGGCTCATCCTCTGGTTTCTCTTCCACGTCGCCGCGGGGTTCATCTACGGGTTGAGCAAGGAGAGAGACGCGACGGAATGTTCCGGTTGAAGGTGAGAAGGAGATCTCCTCCGTCTCCTCTACGCGTGATTCATGCTCTTCCTGCTCTTCCACTTTGATGGGAGTCTCCGGTCGGACCCCAATCTGTTCCTGACGTACCTGCTCCTGGCGTCCTTGCTCCTGACGTGCCTGCTCCTGACGTTCGTGCTCCTGGCGTTCGTGCTCCTGACGTTCGTGCTCCTGGCGTTCGTGCTCCTGACGTTCGTGCTCCTGACGTTCCTGCTCCTGGCGTTCCTGCTCCTGACGTTCCTGCTCCTGCCGTTCCTGCTCCTGACGTTCCTGCTCCTGGCGTTCCTGCTCCTGGCGTTCCTGCTCCTGGCGTTCGTGTTCCTGGGGCTCCTGGGGCTCCTGGGGCTCCTGTGGGGCCGGAAACGTTGTATCTTCCATCTCATGGTCTTCCGGCTCAATAGGTAAGGAGGCGGAAGCTTGTTCGCGAATACGCTGCATGTCCGCCTCAAAGCTATCGTCGTGGACATATCGAGAGCCAGTCCGTTCTGCAATTCGACAGGAACAACATTCGAACTGACACTCAATCTTCATGAATTCAGCCTGTTCCTCCGCTCGTGCGCGAAGCCTCGTTTCGCGCTCCAATTGCTCAGTCAGCAACTTTAACTCGACTTTACGGGCCGGCATGAGGTTCTCCTTGTTCTCTTCATCCAGTCTTTGCATTTTGCGTGGAGATTTGACGGGCGAGGCGAACTCTTCATCATCGTCTGCGCCGGTTGGCAACGCGATACGACCTTCCGCTGCGATTCGCGAGATCTCCTCTCCTTGCAGGCTCGTCTTGAGCGCATCTCGCTCTTCCTCCACAACCTTTATACGCTCTCTCATCTTTTGTAGCTCCTCTTGGACGCCAACGAGTTGGTACTGCGCGGTGAATGCCTCTTGTTCGCGACGGGACGCCTTACCCCGTTCCGTTTCGAGGTTCGTTTGGCATGCCCGCAGCGAACTTCGCGAGGCTTTGAGCTCTTCTTGGAGCTTGACGAGGGCGGAGGATGATTTGAATGCTTCTTTTCGTGCCTTGCGAATCTCTTTCTCATATAGCGCGGTGGTGCGGCCGGTCGTTTCCTTCCCACGATGTGCATCTTCCTACAACTGAAGTCAGTATCGATGTATAAACGGACAGGTACATTCAAGCTGACCATGACAACATCTAACCGTTTCATCACTCTTCGTTCCCTATCCTTGCCTTCTTCCACGTCCTTCTTCATCTGTCGCATCTCTTCTCTGAGTCTCCGTACTTCGTCATCCAGCTCCCCACATTCAGACCTAAACCTGTCGACCTCCTTCTCCGCCATGTCGCGCGCCATCTCCGAGCGTTTCAACGCCAGTTCATCTCTCCGATGCAGTTCTTGGTGATCGCGTATCTCCAATGCATTGAATCGTGCAACCATTCCGTGCACGCTCGCCTCAGAGTCGTTCCGGCGATGGGATCGAAGGGGCGAACCACGGGTCGGTGATCCGTTCTGCACGGCGTCTGTGAACGCAGGCTTCCCAAACTCGGGAGCAGATGGTGATTGAGGCATTTTCGTCATCGTGCTCTGCGGCGTCCGGGCGGCATTTACGCGTTCTGGGGAGAGAGGATGCAGAGGTGCACCGGGCGAGCCAAGGGCTGCCACTGAACGTGATTCCATCAAACCGAATGACAAGTCCGGGATCCAGATGTTGTATTTCAACCAGTATTTAACGTATTTAAGTAGATGCTTGGGATTGTGCGACGTGATGCAAGGATTCAAGAGTTGACTGGACTTCGATGTTGGTGGTTGAGATGTTTACGCGGGCTCATATCTGATTGGGTGGATCCGCATGGCCTGGCTTGCCCCAGCAACGGGGATTGATTCCTGAGGCATGGAGGCACATATCATTTGTCCTCCTGTGGAGGTGTCCTCCTGTCTGGCTGACTAACCGCCCCTCTCAACAAGCCGGCCCTGTTGCCCCTCAAAGTTCATTCTCTCTCTTCGATTTGAAGATATTTTAGGGCAAAGGTGACGAGCTACGACGACATCGTCGAAGTGCAACGTAAGCGTGATGTCGAGAACACCGGCGTAGGCAGTTTGGCTCGACGACCTTTTAGGTGCACGAGCTCTGGACCTGTGCGGATAACGCAAAATGTCAAGAAACAAACTTGAGGAGGCTCAATAAGTCAATATGGAATTGAAGCATCAGGATTGGGGAATACTGTTCCATCCTGCATCTCTAATAGAAACCTAGTTAATAATGGCCAAGTTTTTGAGTTACTTCACCTGAACGTGAAATGCCGACCCAGAGACGCTGTAAGGGAAGTCGCGACGATGAAGGTGAAACATAAATGTCAGACTTGCACACTGCACACATGCCACTGTATGCTTCATGACAGTTATTAATTAAGATTTAGAAAATTGTGGTTGTGTCTCACACCGAGCCATTGACGTTGAGGAGTGGCTGATTGCAATGTTGGAATATAGCGGGTGGCCCATCAGCTTCATTATAAACACAGCCACAGTCAAGCGCGTGAAGCAGTCTGCACATTCAACAGTCATGAGGCTGAACCACTCCAGCCTTATTCGCATTTTCATGTCTGTTCCGGCATATCTTTATTATTCATCTATTCTCCAACAAAGAGCGATGTCCAGTACCGTCGGCACTCTGGCTTCCTGGAGCGTTAACAGGTACGAGCAAGAGCAATGCGTTTCTTGAAGCGCGGCAGCAACCGTCACCTCAGTCTGACGGAAGATTTGGCTACCGACGATGTTCCGAAGAAGTATGTCGTACTCTCACATACATGGAAGCATGGCGAGGAGGTGACGCTTGACGAATTCATCAACGGGACGGGAAAGAACAAGGCTGGCTACAATAAGATCGAATTTTGCGGAGAGCAGGCTGCTCGTGATGGATTGGAACACTTCTGGGTGGACACCTGCTACATCTAACGTATCGATCTTGGAGCAGATGCCGCAGAAAGCTGAGCATTGAACCTCAAGTTTGTGGATACAGGTTCAGTAGCAGTCAGTAACACTTCACTGAATATCTCCCAAGGGAAAAATATATATTTAATTATCACGATTTTTTAGCATTCTATTAATTGTAACTAACTTAACTAACTTATAACTAACTAGTTAACTAACTTAGTTAAGTTAACTAACTACTGCAACTTAAACAAATTCATGTAGTTGGCTCTGCTCTCGGTCCTATGTTACAGTTGAATGTTTGCGTAGCCTTGAATCGCCACTGGCATGCCGCAGCATCGTCAACATTCGATCCGTCCCGAATAGCCGCTCCAGCAGCTCCATTTGCAGAGCCAAACTGTAGAGTACTGTCCAATGAACCTAGAGCAACCGTATCTGAGGAGCCAAGACTGCCCCCTCCAACTGGAAGTCCCTTAGTTTGCCGTGGAAAAAGCCGGCTTCCATCCTCGGGCGCTAATTGGCCCTCCTTTTTCGTGGCGGATTTAGGATATTAAACGGTTTTCCTGGGTCCTGAGACGCATCGCAGGTCCCTGTCCTGATCATGCTAACCAAGTTGTTCAGTTCGGTATCACCACTGTCCCGGCGATTGGTCTCATTCGTCGGTACTGGACCATACATCAGCCAGGCATTGAGAGGCTGGACCGTCCAATGCTTCTTGGGGGTTGATTCAAGACCTGCACGCTCGATATCTGCCAGGCTTGAATTGACGCTGGCTAGGGCATCGAGATAGCCAGCTGGTACAGTTTGTTTGATTTCCTTCCCTAGATTGCCAGCGATTATGTACGCAGGGAACTTTGGGGCCCTTGGGCGAGGATAGTCCAACAGCGTGATCGGTGTCCCCGCATACCCGATTGGAAGTTTGTCGATTTCATAAGACGGATATGAGATCCCGTCAAGCAGTTCATTCGTAGTCCCGGTCGCCATGTATTTCCCGTCCTTATCCCAGGATATGAACCCGGTCAGCCAGCCGGAGATACGGTAGGGCGGACCTCCGCACAAGTGCTGGGGCTCGGCATTGATAATGGAATTCCAAAACTCGCGGATTTTGGGGTCGCTCGGTTTATCAAAAGATTCCACAAACCGACTGAGGATTGGTTTCAAACGGCCCTGGTACATTGTCGGCTCGGCACCAAAATCTGGCAGATGGTCGAGTTTAGCGAGTAGTCGCTCCCAGTCGGCCTTGGTACCTAGGAGGGTGACTGAGGGCAATCCGCAAATGATACCCCCTAAGTAGTCGAAGTAAGCTTGGAAGAGGCCCATCATGAGCACGGTTGCCGTCGTCGCGTCATTGTCCGTACTGGTACTGAATTCCGGCATCATCCAGTCGAGTAACCAGGGAGTTTTGACACGTTTTTGTATCTCCTCAGCGAATTGGTCAATCACTTGATGCCATGTCCGGTCAAAGACTCTGATTTCTTGCTTTCCTTCAAATGTGACAAACACGTCACGTACATCCTCCGCGTGGTCATTCATGTAGAAGTTCATTTGTGCCAATATGGTAAACCATACTTCGTCTGGACGAATGACTAGATGATGGTGCTGACCCCATGCTTGGATGGTACTCCGGACGAAGGAGTCGGATGACGCATATGTGTCTTTGGAGATTGTTCCGTTTGGAGTGTCTGCAGAAGAGGTGATAATATGGGTGTCGTTGAGAGTATAGTGTGCCTCATTGAAGGCGCTAGTTTGAAATAGCTCATCAATGGAACTAATTCGCCTGTCGAATTCCTCATTGTAAGGCCTCGGATCTGGATTTCCGGGGATTATTGTAACGTCTGCTGCTGTGAATGATATCAGAGCTAGGAAAACGAGAAACAAGGTACATGAAAGCCATGTGTCGAAGCGGGACGAGAAAGACATTGTTTCGATACTGGTGCAGTGTGAATGTCCACTGGCATCAAATAGTGTCGCCTCTTCTAGAAGTAACAATCCAGATAGTCCAAGCTAAATTGACAGCCACTTCAAGACAATATGGATATGTCCAGAAATTCCAAGGAAACCGCAGGTTTAAGTTCTAAACATCTCATTAGAGCCCTTGGTTCATCGATACCGAGATAGAGTCGCACTCATTGGCCATGGAGGTCAGGAAAGCTTAATTCGCGTGCTCATCGTCGAGACCATATTACTTCATTCGATTTGCATGCATTTGAAGTCTCTTGTTGGCCATGCAATTTCGTAAGCCATATATATCTTTGCAACCGCCAGATTGATGAATGACCGGGGGGTAAATCCAGGGAAGGCGGGTCGAGAAAGTGGCAGTCCCGGAAAATAAATGCGTTTGCATATTGAGTAATATCGACTTTCGTGACCAAAAATAGTTGGAGGCTGGCCTGTTCGTAACTTTACGGCGCTCATGGTCCTAGTCATTACAGATTAAGAATTGGGGACATGAAACAATTGGACAGGACCGCAGGTACTGGCCTTAGCAAAGGGAGATGGAGTTTGCTGTGGAGGTAAGATGCGGTAGATATCCAGGAATATTGGATGCTATGCATTCTGATGGGTGCATTGGAAGTCCTTCCCAGCTGAGATCTAAGCAGAAATAGATTTTTGGTTTTGGGAAACCCTAATGGCTATTGAATAGAGTTCATATCAAGTTCAATACGACAATTCCAACGCAAGGGTAGGTGGCAGCATTAGTCCACGGACGTGTCTTGACGATGCGAATCAAAGTCACCATACTACTATTCTTAGGAAAAATATAGTTAATGAAGGTGCGAAGAAAGAGAGGATCTGCACACGTGCCATCTTGCTCGTGGATGGTACTTAGGCAAGCACAGCAGGAGGGCCAAGGTGAATTGAATAAACATACTCGTCAATTCAAAACCAATAAACTTCGAGACCTAAGGATTTTCGCATGCACCACCCTTGAGGGTGATCGGTATTCATGGTAAACCTTCCGCACAAAATGTGTTTACTCGCGAGTCCCCAGAATGCTGGAGCCTACTGTATCCCAGCTTCGAGTTGGCGTCATGGGCGGAAACGCGGACGATGATATCCCCAATTCAGTGGATGCCGCATGTTCGTCCAAGGATGGAGAAACAAAAGCATTCAATTGCGAGGGGCTCATCCGCGACCTTTGACGGAAGCATATTCGAGAAGAATTAATACATCATCCGTTTAGCATAGCCATCTGGCGTGCCTTGAGCGGCGGCATCAGTTACAGTAAAAACCTGGTTATAAGTTCAGCAAGCTCAGGCTATTGTGGTAGTGCCTGAGGCAATGAACCGCGTGAGATTTTCCAAAACCGTGAAAGACACATACAAATTCTCGATCTATCAGTGAGCGTCATTGACAGGATCCTCAGGCTATTTGTTCGAGAACTGCATTTACCGATTAGGTATAGTGTGGTTTGTTGCCTCAGGCACGAACGCAAATAGCCTGAGCTTGCTGAGGTATACTCCAGCACGGAAATAGTACGTAAGTTGCCTCTTTGGGCTTAGTGTGAACTTGGCTGTGGTTTCTCCATTCTTTGTTCCGCAATCTGCCATCGTCATACTCAATACCACTCTCGAAGACTCTTACCATCATTTTCAATTACCGTACCTACTTCGGTCCCTCTTACAGTCTCCATGAATATGATACGTCTACGGCGTCCACGACGTTTACAATGTCGTCTCTATCCTCTCCGGTATCAAACTGCCCCTCCAACTCCTCTAATCCGACTCAAACTATGACCCCAAGAGATCGCTCACGAGGGCGAGACGTTCATATCTATGATGCCAGCGATCGGAATACAGTACTTGGCGGTCTAATCCTCACAAACAGTATCACAAACGCCAACTTCTTGTCGATGGTAGAGATTCTTGTCTTGTTCACAAGTAGCTTTGAATTACGATATGAGGACGATACCAAAATCTAATAGAATATTTTAAAAAATATCCTTCTAAATTGAAAGGAATGACAGCAAGCTTCAGCCGGGGAAGTACTATATAACTGCTGCTGGTAAGTTTCTATGTAATTGCCTCGTTGTGCTTGACTAACTAGGCTTTTTAACTAGATCCTTTCTCGGTCAACAATGAGCCGTGGCTTCTCCGTACGATATCTCACACCACTGGAACTCGGGTCAAACCGTTCTGTGCAGCTGTACGTGCGCGAGATCGTCGATGCGTCATATCTGGAGTAGAGGCAATCAATTCCGACCTTGACGACTGGACGGGGTTTCACGCTACTCATGTCTTCCCACTAGCCTACCACGACCATTGGACGAAGAACGGCTACGATCGCTGGATTACAATTCTGCCGGAGAAGGGTGAAGCCATTAACTCTGTACAAAATGGATTGTTGCTTCGAACTGATATACACGAGTTGTTCGATATGTTTAACCTCTCAATTAACCCCGACGTAAGGATACTCTGTATTTCAATTGGAGATGCAGTGGCTAACGATTATTTTAGGACAACTATAAGATTGTTTTCTTCACCCGCGATGCGAACGGTCTAGCCGGCAAGTGTCTTGACCAAAAGTTTCGAGATAACCTTCAACGACCTGTCGATCAGGTTTTGCGATGGCACTTCAGACAGGCTGTCCTAGCAAATATGAGGGGTGCTGGCGAGCCTCGGTTCGAGCATGACTTCCCGCCCGGCTCAGATATGGTTGGTGACATTCTTCATGGTCCAAAGGCGGCCGAAAGGATGGAATTCGAGTTGTTCAATCGCCTAGCAGCATAGGTTGATGTATGAGGCGTTTCTCTTAGCTAGGCAGGAATATTGTACTTTACTCAGTTTTCGCCAATAGACCATCAACCCCTTTAGTTACACATATTGCACTCTATACAGAGCGTTGCTCAACAATCCCAAAAGCAAGAGCTAGTTGGTTGAAATGGTGATCCAACTATACCTAGGGACGTCTTCGGTTCAAAATGCGTACAGCCAGGGAACCCTTAAATGCCAATGCCACAGAAAATGTCTCAGTACTAGTTTGGAGGACCATGGAGATGGTTCACCATAGTAAAACAGCTTGTATACAACGAAAAAAAGATGAAGAAAAAGAAAAGGAAAGCAGGAACGAAAGAGGTATCTAATCCACATGTGTATCCCCCAGTAGTGGTTTGTTTGCTACTTTATCTCTCAACACATGCGACTACACATCCTAAAATAGGCCTGTGGTGCATAAAGGTAACCTTTCTACCCCAAAACATCACGAGTGTAGCTAGTACGTGATCTCTACCTTTCTAGAGTATCGTAACGTCGGCTTTGGCGATAAGTTTCCTCCAGCACTGTAGGAGAGTATAGGCGGAATTGACTGTTTGCCGCCTTTCATACTCTTCCGGTCCAAGGTACGGCTTAACCCAGGCCTTCAGCTGATGCAGATGTTGGGGGGGGGCGAGGATGTTGCGATAGTGGTGTTTGATGCAGGAAAGTATGGAAGGAATCGTGGATGGGATGTTCAAATCCTCGATCGGAGAAAGGGGTATGGCCTTCCAGAGCGCATATATCGGAATGTTCAGCACCAAACTCTCTTCGTTTTTGGGATCCTTGGACTTCCAATTTTAGACGTCTTTCCATTTAGAGAAATGACACTTATCTAACAGAGCGAAGGCCTTTAATCAGTAACGTTAGTTGCGTGTATTCATGGGCTGTTTTGATTGTTAGGCTGTATCTAAAAATCAGCAAGTGAGCTCTTTTCACCAACTCCCTCACGCCATCAAAGAGAACATTCTATTGTCCTTCGCTTCTCCCGTGAAACCTTCTCCTTGGGTCTTCGTTCGTTATCGGATTGTGCTCTATCGTCTCCCGGTAGTGCTGATCAGTATCGTGCCTCTTCAAGTTTGGAGTATTGCTCGTTCTCCAAATTGGGATCGTACAGGACCCTAGCGCAGCCTCACGTAGCAAGATATGACAGTCCTGAATGGGAAGCGCACCGTTTTTGTTGAACTCGATAAAAGAGTTCTGCTAGAGGACAAGCAGATGAGAGAGCATACCCTATCGCACAGCTGTGGGCTTCTGCAACTTCGAGGGGGTTATCGGCATTCAGCGATGGTCGAGCTCGTTAACGTTGGGACTTCGACGCTGGAATGCCATACTCCACGATTTAAATGCTGGAGAAACGTGGACTGGAGAGTTGCTGCTGGAATGCTCTATTGCTGCGGTGCGTGGGAATGTTTGGGGAGAACGACCGCGGAGCCTAATACTGCTAGGCAAGTGCACTAGGCAAGTGCACTAGGCAACCTAAGACGGTCTTTCCCATTCGATAGACCAGGATAACCAGAGGTCGGCAATAGATGATATCATTCAAAGATGGAGATAGTAGGAAAGATTTCGTAAGTGCAAAGTAGGCATATTCTAAGCATGGGGATCAGCATTTGAGATTTGTCCACCATTGTTATGGGCATAGGATTGCTCCATGGCATTGAAATCAACAGGGGGCACCTTGCTACATATTGCCTGGGAGCCTGGGTCTATTTCGTGAGGCTAGTTCTAGACTGGGATGGAAGGCTAGTTGGGTTAAGGAGCCTGATTGGGCTCGGTCAGCATGGGGAGCGGAGCCCATTTAGGCCAGAGGCCTGTTTGGGACGACGGCCAGATTGACCCGACCACAAGTTATAACTAGCCTTATATGCATACGGAATGCCCCGAGAAATGGCTATGCTTTTATTATTCTTCTACTTTTGTCTGGCGGCAAATCGTAGTATTGCGCAAAGAGAATGGAGTTCGGTTGGTGAGAGGGTTTAACCCATCAGGAGAACTTGCTGGGTATGTTCGCCTAGGTTGATCCCATCTGCATCTAACGTATCGATCTTGGAGCAGATGCTGCAGAAAGCTGAGGATTGAACCTCAAGTTTGTGAGGATTTGGCTCTGGACAACGGAAATATTTTGATCCATACAGGTTCAGTAGCACTTAATATCTTCCGAGGGAAACCAAAATATTTAATTAACAAGATTTTTTGACATTCTATTAACTAATTGTAGTTATAGTTAACTAGTTAGATAACTCATAACTATAGACTATGTCTTTAATACTTGTAACTAGATAAAGTAACTGAAGCTTAAGATTGCAGCATTTACACTTTACTCCTTCATAAGAAGCAAACGGCGTCCGGGAGAATTTCGTTTAGAGTTTAGCTTGCCGAATCGGGAAAACTTACGCTCCTCGTTTTGAAAATGGAAATCTATTAGTACATCGCTTTCCACCTGAATCTGGCAATGCTGCCTTCGCGTCGCCTTGCCTGTTCTTCGCATTAACATGACTACGCATCCTTGCTTTGAAACTGCGCGAGTATCGCTTATGCTGGCGTCACCGATAAGGGGTGGCATAGCTCACTGGTGATTTGCTTGCCAGCTTAGTGGGATCTTTGGCAGTGAGTCCTAAGGCGAGCAGTGGTGAAGTCGAGGGGTAGTGAGAGCACTGAGCAAATTATAGGTGAGCATTGGATGAGCAGTGGGTGAGCAGTGGGTGAGCACTGGGTGAGCCCCGTGGGTGGGTAGAGAGTGAGCACTGGGTGGGTAGAGAGTGAGGCAGTGAGAGCGCTGGGTGAGGCAGTGAGCAATAGGTGAGCAGGTCGATTACCAGACAAGGATCTTAATCCGTCTTCTTGGAGCCCGAAATGGCCCTGGGTTCTGCGTCCCATAGTAGCATGGGTTCTACGGTCAGCCAGCTAGGCGTCCAGATTCCCGCAATCCTTCTTCTTTCTGATTAAGTCACAGATGCATAGGGACAATTCGACCGTCAAGCCCGCTTGGGCTTCCAACTCGAAATAGCCTCTAGAGCCCATTTGGGGATACGCTCTACTCATGGCTATCCTCTTGCTTAAGGAAGAATCGCAAACCAGCGCAGCTAAAGGCTCCCACGGCAATGCTAAGCACCATGACGTAATATGGCCTCAAGTCTCAGGACGAGACACTAATAGATTAGAAGCCATTGGCTGGTTCATGCGACTATGAAAAAGGTAGAATTCATGCAGGTACGGAGTAGGGATTCCAGAACTGAGGAGATTGAGGAGCTGGTCGATTTCCCTCTTCCGGTTTAGCTCCGCTCTTTCAGGTTTAGCGCCGCCAAGCTCTCACCCGGAGTTTTGCCCGGCCTCGTCGATGTCGAATCCTCCATATCGTCGATATCTTTCCAATCCTTCTTCAGAAATACAAAATCCTCTCCGTCCCGTCCCCATCCCCCCTATCCCACTCGCCCTCTCATTCTCCACCGCCTTCGAAATCTCTTCTCCTTCTCCCCGTCCGAATTCGGTATCGGTGGCCGCTTCACCTCGTGTCCTGTTTCCCAACGAATTCTCTCCCAAACCGACCTCGCCCAATCGACCGCTCTCTTCCTCCTCGCAATGGAACGATTCACGCTGCGTTTCCCCCCTCGCAGCCCTGCTTCTCCTCGAAATCAGACTGGATTGGGGGTTCCCCAAGCCCTTCGGCTCCCGCCTGCGACCGGCGGTGCACCTCTCTCTGCTCTCCAACCTACACGGTTGCGACCAATTGCAGCGAAACAGAAAGAGGAGGGTATTGCGAGGACTGTTAGGAAGGGCGGTCCCCACTAATGCGGCGATCGATCGGTTCGACTGTTAAAAGGAGACGATGATGACCGTTTTAATTAATCCCCTTTCACTGCCGGCTCACCTCTGCTTTCTCCTACCGCTTCGCTCTCGTCGGCTGTAACTCCTCCAACCTCATTTTCCTAGCAGCTTGAGATCTCTCTCACGACGATGATGTTACCCGATGAACCCGACGACAACACAACATGGGACTCCCTAGCGGAGCCCGGCATCGGCTTCGACATCGCGGACGAACTTGCCACGACGCCGCTGACGATACCTCCTTCACCATCAACTCCTCCTCATCCTTATCCTTCTACTGCTGCTCCAGCTCCAGCTGCTGCCGCTACCTTCCCCCTACCTTTCTCCCCCGGGCTGTGCCGGACTTGTTACTGGATCCGAGATTAACCGAAGCCTCTGGAGCGATTGGGGCCGACGGCAGCCTGGCACATGACGCCTTACGCCACCTTCAAGATCGGTTTCCGGGCAAGCTCTTCGAGGCGGAGCTGTATGATTTTGGCGCCGTCAAGATCCTGGAAGTACGGGGCGAGAACGAGGAGGAACTCAGGGAGTGCCTCCTTGGAGATTTGGGCCCACTAGGGGAGCACGAGATCATTGTGAGCACGTTACAGGGTCCATCTTTGATGCAACGGCTCCATGTCAGCTTTCAGGCGGTACGTCTACTGCGCTCGGTACCACCTGCACTACTCAGATGCGCCGTTTTCCTTCTCTCTCCTTTCTTGCTCTCACTCCCCCACGCCTCTCTCCCTCTCCCGTGTCCTGGGGCCGTTTCTGATCTGACCTTCCTTCGCACTCCTAGCGGCAACAACAACATGGAACGCATAGCCAGTCACCACCGCTGGCTCCGTACCGCCCACCTGCTCCTCCACCACTGCCGACTCCTCCTTCATCATTCGAACCGCGTTCAGTGGCTCGGCCCCTGGTGCTTCCCGGTGCTCGGAACCAGTGCCTGGCTGAGATTGCGGACGGCTCCCATCAAACGAACCGCTTGCTCGCGGAATTACTTGCATCGCAGCAGGTTTCGAACGACCTGGCACGTGAGATGCTCGACGGGTTCGTTGAGCTGCGGGGGGACCTGGGAACAGCTAGGGTGGAAGGTCACAGGACCCCTGCCACCTCCTCGCCGCCAAATGAGGGTGGGCTGAGCGTGTCTGATGACAATGGACGGGCACAGGCTCCCGCGCTAGCACCGGCAGCAACCCAGTCGTTGCGGATCCAGATCCAGAATCCGAAGGGTCAGAGTGACCAGAGGGATCAGCCAGGGAAGCAGGAGACGAACCGGGCGAAGTAGCGGCGAACGAGGATTCCCTTCAGTCATGCTGAAGATAGCCTGCTTCTTCGCCTCGCCGAGAAGCATAAAATGCCACTGGGAGACTGTCACAAGAGAATTGAATCGGCAAAAGCCGACTGATCGAAACCCGGTTACGTTGAAGAGTCGCTGGCACCTTGTCACGCATAAAAAGCAGAGTGCAAGTACAAGGGGGCTACGTGGCAGCGCTGCCTTTCAAAGTCGGACTTTGGGAATGAGTCTCGGGGCAAAAGACGGGCGTGGTTGAAATGGCGATTGTCTCTCCTCCAACCAGCTTATTCTGGCTGCTTTCATTTAGTGTAACTCGCATGACGTAAAATGTATCCCGATAAAACCATCAGATCAGATCCTGTTGCACTTTCTACGCGTTCTCCTACCAACGGTGCCATTGGTAGACTCCTCTCAGGAGGCGATTCTCCTTCGCTTCATTACCACCGGACCGCTTCAACAAAGTCTACGAATCGTGGTGTTGATATCTCATGTTCTGATGAGCGAAATCAAGCAACTGATACCTTAAATTTAGGATTCGAACTTTCGAAAATCCTCTCCAAAGCTTTACAGCCATCCTACCGAAATCGGCGCACCGAGAATCTGTTCCACGTTAGCGATACCACTTTTGAGCTCAAGCTGCACTGTCATACTGTTAGCCTACGAACCAGAGCTGACAGCGCTGTGCAAGAAGTTAGGAGGCAATAACAGGCGAAGAGAGTAAGTTTTCTTTGTGATTGCAAACCAGATGATAATCTAACAGAGTCTGGCTTAGGCCTTGATTGATTAACCTGCGATGGCCTACAACCAAATTCTCGTGAGCAAGTGCTCGTACAGTGGCTGGCCGAGCTCTCATTGCGCGCCACGTATCTTTATCTTTCCTAATTTCCATGTGCCCGAACTCTGCTTCCCTAGCGTTACGGAACAAATCATGTGACTCTAGAGTACTTGCTGTTGAAATGCATGAACATGTTCTGATAAGTTGACTTCGTCGCCTTGGACATCCTCTTTGTAGGTCATAGAAGCCATTTGAGAAACTGAGACAAGACATGGTCGTCTGTCACCATGTATTGATCTGTCTGATGATACTAAAACTAGTATACATCGTGGAGGAAAAGTGGTTCCCGCTGTGGGTCACGTGACTGCGACACCATTCCTCTTATCAACTTATCTCACAATGCCAGACGTTAGATTACGACTTGCTTGCTTACATCAGCGCCTTAGCCCCTTCGGGTAAGGCGTATACAAGACAAGTCTTCATACAACGTCTGGGGAAAATGTGTTAAAAAGTTGAAAGATATGATACCTTTTCCCAAAAAAAAGTGTCCAATTCGGTCTCTACTCCCAACGTGAGGCTTCAGCAAAAGTACGCTTGTGTTCGACAATATATCTTGGTTACTGGCCATCTTTTGAACCTAGTTTTACTCACAGACATATCGAAATGAACTCATAATGTTGGGGTAAAAGGACCGAAACGATTTGTATGGGCGTTCGGCGTGTCGTGCAGAAGCAGCTCAACACTCACAACAAGTAGCCTAGTATGCTAAAAAATCTATCAAATACATTCTGCTGATGCACATTATCCTTCTCATAATATTTTTTCCACCTCAGATCACATTGTGGTGGAGTGGAGTGGGGTCACTCGTCAGAAATTCTCCCTTCGAGGCGCTCGGAATCGCCATCAGACCATCAACACCAGTCAACTAGAAGCCAAAATCCAACACGCGTCGCCCAAATGGACATCCTAACATGCGAGCCTCCGACTGTCGCATCAAGCGGGTATCTGGATGATACGGAGCCCTTGATTAGACAAAATATTCGATCCCTGGAGACGACTGTTAGCATGGACTTACCTCATATTACCACCAAGCTGTTTCAATTCATTTCACGGCTACGGGCAGCGGATGAACAAGCCATAGAGCATATCTTCTCGTGCCGGGAGCTCTTTATCCACGCTTTGTTGACTCGATTGTTAGTGGACCGAACTGGCGCGTATATTTTTCATACGAAAGATGGAACCGAAAGTTTGGTCTTTCAAGCCGCCTGGATAATGGCTGCTCCCAGATGAAATTCGAGTCGAGTTGGCTCGACATCCTTATGCTCCGCTCCTAAGCACGTCTGAGGTAAAATGGGGGAGAGGATCTCGAGGACAAGAGTTGGAGGAGACTCTCCGGGACATGGACGATGGCGCAGCATACGCAGTCCGATTTCGAGCCTTT